TGACTCTCGCTACTTGCAAAGACTCTGGAAAGAGACTCGGGGCTCGGGACTCGGACTATAGACCTCTTTCTTCTCGTTCACGACAACCAGGACTCGGAATCTCCTATTCTTTTTTTAAATTTTTTTTTTTACCCGCCTCTGCGGCTCTGCCTTCAACTTCGTCCGAGGCGGTGCTCCTCGAGCGATGAGCCCATATGCCGTCGCGTGACACGGTTTCGTACCCCATTGTGGGAAAGAAATGATGCCAACACGTGCAAGAGGGACTCAAGCGAGTTGTTGAGTCTCATTCAAGTTGTTGAGTCTCAAACCTAGTTTTTGTGGGACCAAATAGTCTCTTTACCGTTGCTGAAATCTGCCGAGTTGGAGAGCTCAGCTGACCACACACACCTTTTTTCCCCTGCACTTTGGCAATCCACCGCGCAGCGCCATGAAACATTTCGAGGCCAATCAGCGCCGCAAGCGACTGCCATCCTGGGGCATCAAATTGCCTCACCAGGGCAGAGCTGAGAATTTCGGGGGATCGAGCTGCTTGATCAGGAGCTACGTTCATGCTGTGCAAAGCGCGACCCACTCTGGTCGGCGAGCATTGTCTACCTGGTACTGGACCAAGGGTGTACATCTTCTTTTGGTTCTGCTTGTATTGTGACTGTGAAGCTGATATCTGGGGGCAACTATACCTTTCATTGGAGGCAGCCTCTCCTTCGCAGCGTCTCAGAAGCCTCACTGTGCTAGCTCCTGACTCGGCCTCCCTGCAGCGGTCTGGCACAGTACCACACATAACTCGGGTTTCTGCACACCGGCTGAATCTGCTGGGACCCTGGGACCCAGAAACAGGGTTCCAAAAGCCACTTCGAAGCCAGGCTGGAGCTGTCAACTAAGTGACCCTTTTGGCCTGTGCGGAGAAGCGAGTGCGAAGTTTAAATGACGACAATTTGCCGTGACTGGTTCAGCGGAACGGCACGCAGCGCGCGGGACAGTGGGAAATTCGAGAAGCAACAGCACCACGCGCACAGAAGCAAGAAAAAGCAAGTTGGGCGGTTCGTCGCGGAGCAGGGGTGGTGCCAGCTGCTGAACCATGCCACCACGACCCCCATGCCGACCCTCATGGGAGATCCCGCGTATCCGTCCCCATCCACTGGCTCACATTCAACGCAGGACACATAACAGCTTCGAGACAAGCCCTTCCCTTCCCACATCCCACACCTCTGCCCCCTCCTTCCCGTCCCGCTTGCCTGGGTCCCGCAAGGTCGAGGGTGCCGGGCAAGCCGTATCGTCGCGTGTCTCGGGATAAGGGGGGCATTGAGTGGGAGGAGGAGGACGAGGAAACAAAGGAGCCACATTGAAATCAGGTGGACTGGTGGGGGCTGGGAGGATGGATCGGGGTGACGAGTCAGAAAAGAAATTTCACCCCTCTCTGTGTACGTCGCTTCGGATCTCGACCTCGACCGAGGCGTTGACCGAGGGGCCCGTCGAGACGATGCATCGCGTACTGTACAGTTCAGGCCGGTCTTGCTGCCACATGTGAGCTGGGACTGTGCGGTAGATCTGCCCGGCCTTCACGTGGGCGGGCGGGCCTTGCCCTCGTCCCCTCCCTTAGGCCCCTGCTCGCTATTGGGAGTTTTTTTTTTTCTCTTTCGTCTCGCGTGATTGATTCGCACCGGCCCGATGATGCAAGCACCTCGGGTGTGGGGCACCCTTGCTACTTGCTGTCTGAAAGGCCCGCACAGTGTCTTGGGGACCCTCGGGGCGGCCCATTACCCACCCCCTTGCTGATCAGTCTATATGTAGGTACCTGTGCTGTTAACGCCGACGGGGCGGTTGGCACTGAGTACGTGCATGCATGTTGTACGCTGCGTCCAATACGGAACGAGGGCGAGAACAACGCAGGACGAGCGTCGCGAGGGGCTGCACACTTAAGGCCTGAGGGGATGAGATAGCGGTAAAGTCGATAATAACGGCAGGACAATTGAATTGATCGAGAGATTTGGGGTGAGTTTTAGGGCGTGTGGCTTGTTCATTCCACGCTGCGCTTATCGCGGGTAATTTGTGCACGTCTGCGCGCGGTTATACCGCTGGACATGGAGGCACAGAGAAGTTTGGGAAGTTGGGATACTTGGGTGCATACCGAAAGGAGATTGGGATTCTTTTTTTTTCTTTTCCCCTTCTATTCTTGATATACTCTGGTCAAGGCGAGATGACTTTGTGACATGGCTTCCGGAATTGTGTGTTTCGTGAGCTGAGCATTGAGAGCACGGTTCTGAGCCGAGGAGGATCTATCGCCTCGCGGAAATCCTGCTGGTGCTGTGCGGATACCTTGCAGGCCGATTTACTTTACAGGTTTTATTGGTGAGGCTGATTTCGTGTATTGGGCTCTGGTCCGTCTATTGTTTTTCTAACCATGACGGCCTCGATCGCCACCAAGATTCTTCATGTCTGGGTGGATGGATGGGACGTGAACTACAAAACCTTGGGATCAGGATGGGCAAGTACTTCGAGTTCATGCCATGTTTGACAGTGATTTCCTGACCAGGTATGGTCTCGAAAATGAGGAAAGAAAAACAAAACACAAACGCCGATGAAGGCTCGTGGCCGGGCATTCTCGGGGCATGTCTGTATGCCTGCGCGATGCTTTTGTAGAAGTCCAGGTGTGACCCTGACTTGAGCTATGCTTGTTTCTCATCCGACGACTTGTTGGTTTATTTATTACCTTCGTCTCACAATGTACGGTTCTAGCAAACCGTACAGCTGTGCCATTGGAACTTTCCTGCTGCCAGTCGCGAAGCTCCGTATCATCTTGGCGATGAATCTTTTATCTCAAAAAGAATACTTCAAGGCCCATCCCGCCTCCTTTCCCCCTCTCTCTCCCTGTCTCTCTTCCTTTGTCCATCTGTCCAGGCTCGCTTTCTGTGATTATCTACCGAGACATTACAGCACATTGGCAAGACACGCAGAAACATGCCGCTTGCGGATCCGCATCCTCCTCTCTTGGACCTGCTTGCCCAGCCACGTGAATAGCTGCATAGACAGACGGTGCCCTGAGTGGTTCGATGAACATACCTACTAGAACGATTAGTGCCGATTGGGGGGGTAGAGCACTGGGCGTTGAGTTTTGTCTCGGACTAGACGGCCGTAGAATGGATCGCGCACCGCACGACACTCGTCCTGCAGGCCCCATCACGATCTATACGAGGAGGGGGCGCAGACTTGGCTTCAGGTTTCGCCAGGCCCGGCACGGAGGGTTGGAAGAGGGGAAACGCACGCTTGGTGTCCCGCCTGTGAGACATGTCCTGCACGAATTGAAGCTGTAGTTCCGAGACGGGGATATTTTCTGTTGCGGCCTAGTATGCAAAGGTCGGTCGGGCGTCAGAAATGGGTTTGCCAGGAGGCTTTGCGAACGCCGCAATCCCACATCCTTTCCCCATCTTGGTGGCATTGGTTCAGTATCTAGGGCAGGAAGAAACCAAGAGCCTGCAATGATCAAAAGTTGGCAACTACGGGTTAAACGAGATGGGCAGAAGTGTTTGGCGACGTGTGTCTACACTTTCATGAGGACAATTGAAGACTGCCCCCTGTGAAGTAGATTTAGTTCCCTTATACCTTCCCATGCACATCATTAGGACCGCTCAAGCTTGTGGGCGTGCGGAATCCCTCGACTCCGGGTACCTCCTATCGAGTTGCCAGCCATGAAGAAGTAACCTGTACCAAGTGGGCTGGGCTGGTCCTTTCTCCGAGGATACGTCTGAGGAATGATATGCTGGGCCTGCAGAGCTGGCAAGCCAGGGACGGGATGGCCGAGACGGCGCTGGGTGAGTGACAGGTTGTGGTAGAACATGCATCAACACGCATATGGATTATGTTGTCATTTATCCCCATCATTGTCGACTGATTCGGAATGGCCGGATCGTGAGCAGCTAGCCCTCTCCCTGATGTGCATCAAACGATTCGTGGGGACGAGTTCGTTCGCGGTCAGAGCAGAACAATACAGACACTCGTTACGTACGACCTTTGGGAGGTTGAATCACCACCTCAGGCACATGCCCTATTCTATGTTCTCCCCTCCACTGAATTCCCTGGACCTGCTCAGCCTAATGGTCTTGGGCTCATTGGCCGCTCTGGAAGGCTAAATACTGCCCCGTGGAACGTCCAGGTCGGCGCCCCAGCTAGTAGAGCTCCTTGGACTCTCCAGGGGCTTTTGTAGTGAAGACGGATCACCGGCGCTCTTGAGAATTTTCCATCTCCATCCCAGGCGCGTGTCTAGGCAAAGACTTGCCGTCAAGACGTTCTCCAGGTACGGCTGTATCTTCCTTCGTGGAGAACCGTCCCTTTTTGCCCGCGCGTGATTTGTTCAGGACGATAGACAGTATTCAATGTACATCTACATGTGTTGTCCAGTGCAGACTACATGCTAGGGGCCCAGAAGCTTAGCCTTTCTTGCTGTTTTCGGTTCAGACAAGCTGCTGGGTGACTGCAAGACACAGAAACACGCGTGGCTCGCTGTCCTGGTCATCTCGAGATGGCCTGAGCATCAAGCACAAAGAGAGGAGACGCGAGGTGATCACGCACAGGCAACATGTCACACGTTCAGGAGTAATTGAGCAGGCACAGCTCTGCAAGCAAAAAGAGCAGGTAGTGTGAAATACCATATGTAGGTAGACGTGCCAATGTTCGATCATTCTATCTGGTACCATATGCTACCATATGCCAAACCAACCAGTCGATCATGACCCGATGAATGGAATAAACCCCCGCTAATAACGCCCTTGCTTAATGTGTGTGTCTGCGTTGTGTGTGTAATATGTGCACGCACGCCGCGAAATGCTTCTCCTATTCACTCGCTCACTGTTTGTCTGCCTGCCCATCAGGCCCGCAATATGCCGAATGTGAAAATGGCTGCAATATGCTTAAGGTCTCCTCTTTTTGTATGAATCTGTCGTGCTCGCGAGCTATGCAATTTCCCCCTTGGAAACCTTAGTTAGTAGTTGGGTCTCTTCTTTCCTCTTTTAATTATCGTTGTCGTCGGACATCTCCTCGTCCTCGTCCTCGTCCTCGTCCATGTCTTCCTCTTCCTCATCCTCCTCTTCAGGCGTGGCCTGCCGGCTCGCTTCGACGGCGACCTCCTCGCGGACGCTCATCTCGCCGGTGGCAGGGCTGCGCTCGAGGACGAAGCACCGCTCGGCAAAGACGCCGCGCTCGTTCTGGCGGCGCCAGGGCTCGCTGAGGCGGCGGACCATGACCTTCTTCCAGCCGCCGACGTTGATGGTGATGGAGCGCCAGGGGACGGGCCCCGCCTTGTGGCGCACGAGGAATTGCAGCGTGCGCATGGCGGCGTCGCGGTCGCGGTCCATGCCCGGGTGCACGACCTCGAAGGGGTGCAGGACCGTCTGCACGTGCAGCGTCAGCGTGTGCAGCGATGGAAAAGCGCACGCCGCCCGCAGGAACTGCGGCGGGTCCGTGTGCACCACGTCCATGTCCAGCTCCAGGATCTGCACCTGGCGCATGTGCTGCGCCAGTAGCCACAGGTCCTCGTGGTACATGGTCGGGCACCGCCGGTCCTCCTCGCCGAAGCCCGTGTGGTCGCGCAGTCGCAGCGTCGTCAGCGAGTGAGCGTGTGACAGCAGAGCGTCCACTGGGAAGTGGTATGTGTGCACCGTAATCTGCAAGGTCGACAAGGCACGAATGTACGACTTGACAAGCAAATGGAGCCGCCTCGTGGCCTCGATGCGCCGGTCTGGAAGGTGCGCACTGAAGTCCTCGCAGTGGAGGGTCTGGAGATTCGCGAGCTCGTAGAAGTTGACCGAGTTGAGGAAGTTGAACACGGGCATCGAGATGAGCTCCAGCGAGGTGATCCGCGAGAAGTCCCAGTGCCGCGCCACCTCCTCAGCGCTGTGCCTCCAGTCGTAGGAGCGAAGGGTGAGCTCGCGCAGGGCTGGGAGACGCTCGTGGGGCGCAAAGTCGAACTGTGTGCCCTGGCCCCGATCCTCGAAGTGCAGTATCTCCAGCCGGCGAGCGGAGAGGAGGAGATTCTTAAGAGAGTTCAACCGAGTGACCAAAGGCGGCGCGGGATGGGCCATCTTCAACGACACGAGAAGCTCGATGGGTATGGCACGAAGATAGGTGTTGCGCATCTCGCCCTCAAAGTCTCGCAGCGGTAGCTCCTCGACATATAGCCTAGTGCGGTTGTAACGAGTCTGCTCTGCGTTTAGTATGTCAGATGGCAGCCAGAACCGTCCTGAGCGGACTTCTCTGTCCACATATCGCCATCTGTGTTGGCAGCATGGTCAGCATGTACGAGACAATGGTAGAAGGTTCCCAACTGGTCGCAAAGAAGCACTTACCTTACGGAAGAAAGTTTCCGTATTCTCTCCAGGATCCTCCTGATCCCAGCTGGGTCCAGGTCGCTTCTGGCAATCACATGGTGTGTGTGAGCACTAATATACTCGAGAGCTTGAGGGAATAGCTGCCCTGCATCCTGGGCGACTATTTTCTCTGTCAAGACCAGTGTCTTGTAGGTGATGGGGATTGCTATTTGGTTGAAACGTTGACAGAGAAGCCGAGCGGTAGAGACATATTGAGTATCGATATCTCGGAGCTGCCACACGTGAGTCAGTATAGGCCTAGGGAACTACTGCTCGGAGGCTTTGCTGGGAAGCCAAAAGGCTGTCCGAGAGAAACTGCCACAAACCTGCTCGAATATCAAGGCCAAGAGCTCAGTACTCAGGTCGTTAAGAGACCAACTAGGCTGATGATGCTGTTGCTGCTGGGAGCGGTGATATGTCTGGCCTGGGCCATGGGCATATGAGGCCATTCGCTTCCTCCGCTGGCGAGCACATTCAGCCAGGTCTCTGGGGAAGGGTAAGAGAATAGAAGGCATGGACATGAGTAGGAGAGCTTCGCGGAGAAGATCTCACACGAAGCAGGCGGGACGGTAAATTTTAATTCTAGAAGATGTTTCCATGGGATCCAACAATTGATACGAACAGGGGTGGGTGACCCAGATGAGGATGAATTGGTTATGTGGGTATCCCGATGGGTAGCAGCAGAATGAACTGCAGGGGGAGCTCAGATCTTGCCCCAGGTTGGATGTTGAGGGTCGAAGTAGACAAGGGAGGCTATCCTCCTTTTGGAGAAAGTAACGAATATGGGGCGATTGGGAAATGTGAGCGGAGGTGACATCAAAGACCTCTGATAGTCGAAGACGAACCACCGGTTGCGGCGGAAGCTGCAGTGCTAATCTGCAAGTAGCGTGGCACGTCCTGAAAGACAACCGAGAGGGGGGACAGCGAGGCCCGAATGAAGGATGATGAAGCTGGGGTCCTTTTGATGGGTCCTGGCACCGACTGCCTGCGTTGTACTCCTGCGGATACCAAGAAGCCGGCAGGATTGCTGGCTCAGCTTGCAGGCTAATGAGATCGACACACCATGTACTGCGTATCTGCGACCTGGCGCGTGAGACCTGGGTAAATGCGCACAGTATCGAGGCGGATCCAAGGGGAGAGAGACACAGCCGGGCTGTTTTGCCGCGCCGGTGGATATGCGGGCGTCGGCGCAGGCGAGGTGGCTCTCAACCACAGGGGGGAGAATTCGGCGAGGAGGGGGAACCAACAAAGCACGAGCGAGTGGATTGACGATAATGATGATGATGATGATGATGATCAGAGGGAGACGAGACGGGAGCAAAAGAGGCGGTAAGGCTATAAGAGCCTAGATGCTACAGTACCAGCCCGTCTTGGAATGGAGAAACGTGGCACGCACGGATTCTGGCTGGTGGACCAAGAGGCCCGCCGTGTAGCGAAGTGAAGAACAAGAAGCTAGAAGCGAGGGTTTGGGAGCTAGAGCGGGAATATTCAACGGGAAGGGAAGCGATTCGTAGAGGAGAAAGAAAAGCGGCTGTTTGAGAAAACGGCGGCAGCGTCAGCTTCAGGTCATGGCCAGGAGGATAGGGTGGCCAGTTCCGCGTGCAGTCCTGTTTCGTTCAATTCTATCCTGCTCTGTCCAGTCCTGTCCAGTCCTGTCCTTTCCTGGCCTGTCATGTCCAAGGTTGGGCAGGCCTCTCGTGTGTGTGTGTGTGTGTGTGGGCACAAGGTAAAGCAAGGCAAGGCAGAGGCCAGGAAAGATGAGATGAGGTGAAGCAGCGCGCAGCTTCACAGGAGAAACACGCCGCCAAAGCAGCCGTGGGGCCGGGCAGAGAAGGCACGGGGCGGATTGGTCTGGAGCGGATAACGACCCAATCGCAGAGCAGGACGGATGGAGGAGGCAGGCAAACATCAGATGAGCCGGCCAATGCTTGTTCCGCTCTGGCAGCGTCGAGTTAGAGCCAGGATAGAAGCTTATACGCCGTCTGATTGTCGGTGGTCGAGACGAGAGGGATTCTGCGAGTGCTCGCAACCCGCGCGCCCTTGCTCCTTGGTCTTGGCCCTCTGGGGGAGGAGATTGTTGCATGCTGTGCTGCCACAGCATGCCATGTCACGCAATGTGGTGGCCTGGGTGGGTTGAATCGACTGACTGCCCTTGCACCCCCCAAATGCAGGAAGGAGGGTTTTCATCCCATTCGAACGACTCATCCAGTCTCGCCATGTCGATCTCTGCGGACCCTCGCATCTGCTGCTGCTGTGACTGTCGCTGCAAGTTGCAGCAGCAGCAGCAGAGACACGAGTTGATCCATGTCACGTAATGCCATGTCATGTCATTTTCTGTTGTCTGGCTGGCTGTCTCTGACTGTCTGTGTGTCTGTCGGTGTGTATAGTGTGTGTGTGTGTGTGTAGTGCGTATCGTATCACTCAATGGTCGAGTGGCTTCTGGCTGATGCTGGCTGCTGGCTGCTGATGGATGCTGACTGATGATGGATGTGCAACGCGAGTGGGAGAGGTTCTGATGGCGTCTGAACGTTGCCAAAGTGGACGTTTCGCAAGGTCCGCCCAAAGAAGGAAGAGGCGTTTTGGCTCCCGCTCCACCCTCCTGCAACTGGGGCCCCCCCACCCTGTGCGCTTGGCCTGTTTGGGGGGGCGGATACCACCCTATCCAGGTGGCCACGCCGCAGGAGGGCGACGCTGGCACATGTGTTTCCGCTGCAGTGGTAACGGTTATCCAATCAGGGGTCCTGCGACGAGGCCGCCCAGGCGGACATGCTCCTAATGGGCTCTGGAAGGTTGTGGGGGGGCTGGGCCCTGTCCTGCAGATTGCCGTGTGGATCCGAACAAAACACTGCATGTACAGTATGTAACCGACCACAGTACTTATAAGCAGAAGTACCTAGCCCCCATGCAGCCCACACCAACACCCACACCATTTTGAGAGGGCTCAACGGCAACCCGACAGCTGCATCCACTAAATACCTTAGGTACAGTACAGTAGCATGTAACATGCTTTGTATGCGGATATATGCACTTTGCTCATCCCCAGCATGCTCGCCATCTTCGCCCTATTTGAACGAACCACTCGACAAGTCACATCACGACACGATACGACACGACACGACATGCTATAGGCAATGGATCTGCAGTTTCTATTGCAAGGCCACAGACAGGACCTGTCGCAACATCGAGTCAAGAGGGGTATCCTGACGCCAATCATTCATTTGCTTGGCCGCAACTCGGTGGCTTTGCTGTTCCACAGTACAAAATACAGGATACATTCCCCGAGAGAGCATTAACCCAACAAGCCAACCGATAGAAACATGCGGACCGAGGCACGTATAGCATTTGTGATATATGACAACCAAACTTCTTCCCTGCCTGCCTACCAGCCTGCTTGCCTGCCTTGCCAGTAGGGACTTTTAAAACACATAGTTAATCAACATGCGTCCGTCACGTCAACGACTTCCTCTCAGCATCAGGATAAGAAGCAATCATGATTTGTGCTGTGCTGTGCTGTCCATACGGCAAGTGTTTCATCCGGGAAGCCTGTCAAGCCTCTGCACATCTCCGTGCGAACACCACAGCCAGCAGTAGCATCATGATGGCATGCTTCCCCGATATGCAGCCCTGCATGCACACGTATGCACACACACATAGTACACCCACATTTATCCGTTGCTTCACCAGCCTGAATAGCCAGCCCTTGTGTAATCATGGACCACCCACCCGGCCTGGCCGGTCATGGCATATTGACTACGGGACCGAACCAGGTCGCCGTCTTGCACGGTACCGGCCTCTGTACCATCAATGCAGGCCATCGCCGTCCCCAGGGGGCTCGCGTCATCGCAGTCAACCACGGGACGACACCATCAGGTCATATCAATCCCTGGTATAGTAACGCTCCAGGTATGGTACGATGTTTCCGTCCCGTGGCCGCGCCGGACACTACCAGCACCGCCACAACCATCGCCAACACCTTCGGAAGACCGGAAGACACGCACCCCCAGACCTGTCACCGAGTAGCCCAAAACATCAGACGATGTTGTCGTATCCACCGGGGCAATGCTTTTACTCTGCTGATGCTACTATTGCTGCTACTACTGCTACTACTCATACAATAGACAGCCAGATGGCGGATGGTCATGACACTTGCCACCTGCGAGCGAATTGCCAAAACCAGCATGCAGAGCTCGGCGTCAAACCCAACGCAGCCATTGAGCCTTCGTTCGGTCCATTCCACTGCCTGCTGTATACGTACGCATACCCAACACCAGGGCGCGCTACTAGCCGAGAGCAGGGGCCAGGGAGGCCCAGGTGGCCAGATTGGGAACCGGGCCACTTTGCAACTTTACTTTTTATTTGCGCACGCAGTATGCAGCATGCAGCAGCATGCAAGCATCCGTCGGCTCTGCCTTAAGCCGCAGGACAGGACATGGGGCTGGGCTTGCTGGGTGATTTACTGACTGACTGACTGACTGACTGACTTGGGCTTGCCACACCCCTTTCGGCCGCCCGTTCATCTCGTCTGTGATACGGTGGTAGCCCACTCTATATCAAACTGCCAGACTGCCGCGGTATTAATTGACTGCATCTGGGGTGACATCTGGGGCGTCGATCACAGGTTTTCCCGATGCGACCGCACACGGGACGAAGATAGCGTCAGCCAGCGATTGATTGACTGCGGGAAAAGTCTGCTGAAGATTTGCATGCGCAACGTTGGACATGTGAGAAGAAAGGAGAAACAGGACTAAACGTAGGCCCAGGGCACTCTGCATACCTCTCCTCCCAAAGCCTGAGAAGGTGTGCAGGCCCAGGACACCATTTACTGCTACGTGAGCGCCATTTCCCGCCCCAAACAAAGCCATGATGATCCGTAGTTTCGCAGGTGTTGCCGCAAGCTCTTCCAAGAACAGCCATCCAGCCAGCCAGCCTGCCCCGGCAGAGGTCACCCGAGCTCCTGCAGGGCTGCAGGGCTGGACGAGCCGGGCACAGACATGAGACGATTCACAGCGTTCGTGTCGGATGCGTTGTCGATCAGCCCTCCCTCCCTCCCTCTCTTTGCTGTTTGCTGGCCAGTCGCGTCTACTACTACATCTCTCAAGATGTAGGCACTAGGCGCCTCTCGGAGTGGTGTGCTCGGGCGTGGGCTGCCGCGTGGGCCGTATGGTCATTGTCAGTACTTACAAAGATGGATCTACACTAGTCTACCTGGTGTTTACCCCGGCAGCGGCTCGGCGGGCCCCACAGAAAGAGCGTGTGGAACAAAAAAAAGACAGCGCCTGGTGTGGAGTCGCAGGGCAGATCTGGGTGGAGCCCTGGATCGAGGTTGCGAGGTTGCACTCCCTCACCGCGAAATAGCTTTTTGGCCCAACAGTCTAGCCTGCTTTTGATTACAGAAAGTACACACTTGGGAGTACTGCTACATGATACCCTCGGGGGCCAAGAAAGTCTTTTTCTGGTCTCAGTCCTCGCATCCCTGTCGCGGGGAGCGGAACCTTCTTGACTTGCATGCAAGTCAGATGGTCACGCACGCTTATAGAGCATATCGTACGTGATGTACTCTATGTATGGACAAGTCTACATACACACGTACAGCTGCCACAGGGAGGAGTCAACAAAAACAGAGTTTTCCAATTCCGAGATCACTCCGTCTCAGGGACCCCCCCAAGACTGAAAATCATGTCCACACACACGTGTGGAACATGGTCATCACAACCCCAAAAGACGCATCCGCCCCGGGAAGCGACTCAAGTTCCCCCCGTAGCCTCCGCCCACCCCGCCGGAACCATGATTAAAGTTTGGTCACTCCTCACACTTGCCTGGCCAGCGGAGAGCCATATTTCCCAGCACCTCATATCTCTCGCGAATCTTTGTGGGTTCTGGGTTTGGAGCATGAGGCACTCAGTAGCTGCTGCCGAAGGAATGAAGGAAGCGCCCAAGTGGGTGACCGAGGGACCAGCAGGATGGAAGGGTGATAGAGGAAGAATGCGGTGTATCTTCTCACCTTCCCTGCGCCCTGGAATTCGCTCGTGTGCAAGCCATGCTCTCTCGTGGCCGGATTTTGTGCGGTGTGAACACAAATCGATGACTTCAGTGTGCAGCCACACACTCGCCCGTATCCAACCCCCTCAAGACACAGGGGGCTCAGCGGGCGGCGCCACGCTGCGGACGCCTTCTGTGATTCCAAAACCCCGGATCATGGACTAGATTCACGAACTTGCATTCCGAGATCTTTGATAGCGGGTGGCTCGGGCTCGGGTTCGAGGGGCCAGGGGCTGGCTCAACAAAAGGACCAAACCCGGGGGCGCGTGCCCCACGACCACTGTTATAATTCCGATCGTCCTCGTGGGAGATGGGACGAACGCATGTTCAAGGTGCAAACAAAGGGCGCGGCACGGCCGGCAGACCCACCCGGAAAGAAGTGGACTGGAACTTGACGCCGCCGCCGGCGACAGGCTTACTTGATTCGGATGTAGCTTGCGACAAGATGTGGTGGAGAAGAGGAGGAGGGAGGAGGCTCTCTCTCTCACCGCGGGAGCAGAAATGGCCCCCGATATGTCAGTACGTTTCTTGCCGCATCCGTACGTCCCTCGCTTGAGAAAGGTCTTGCTTGCGGGGATGTGTACTCCTCCTTCGTCGGTGGCGCGCCACGTCGTGCATATCGCGGTGAGTAGGTAGAGAGGGAGGAGAGGTGGAGGCTGGCGCCTATCGACCCTCCCATCCACTCCCTTCGCCAACAAGCACGACACGATCCGCGGAGATAGCCTCGTGCCCGCATCATCGGGAGACAAAAAGAGCCCCGTTCTCCATTGGGCGTGAACACGTCTCCCCGGACAAGAGAGACAGCACCGCCTCAGGGCCGAAGGAGTGCATGCCGGTCCCCACTATGTGGATATCTTGAGACGCTGGAGACGCTTCACCCCCAGCCACTCGAGCGAGTGAGCGAGATGGAAGGCGTGTCCTCGATAGACGATGCCATGCACCTGTCCCAAGCCATCGGCGGCGCTGAGGCACATCGTATCACATCACCCGTCCTCAAGGCGGGAGGGATGTGAGAATGGGAAGGCAAGAAGAAATCTCTGAAGAAATCTCTTGCCTCGTTATTTTCTTTCTCCCTCCACTCCACTGCTCTGCACATATGCATGGCGGCCTCTTCGGCAGCACGCACAATGCAGTCCTCGCAACCAGTCGCATCTCACACCTATATGGGCGGTCGTTGGGTGGGAGTGATGTGCGGGAGATATCGAGGAAACCTTCCATAAATACACTACACGTCTTTTGCTTTTTCTTTTCCCTTTTCCTTTTTTTCTTTTGTGTGTCGCACAAGGCCCGACACGAGGTAGGCAGGCCCACGAGACACGTGCATCGGAGGATAGGCAGGCAGATCACCCAACCCGCCCGTCGAACGGATAGTTCCACGGCCTGTCCGAGAAGGAAGGGAGCGTACAAAGATGTAGAAAAAGGAAAAAAATAGAGGGAGAAGAAAAAGTTCCAGGCCGGGCGAAAGATATGCATATATATTTTTGCTTCTGCCTTCGTCCGCTTCTGCCTCCTCCCGCGCACCCCCGGGGCCTTGGCTGCGTCGGAGTTATTCACACACACACGCACACATACGCACGCACGCAGATCATTGTCTCTTGCCTGAGCGGGAGATCTCCCATCCGGACCTGGCTTGCGACCAGGTCGGGGTGAAGTCGGCACTGTTCGAGACTCAAGCCACAGTGGCCACATGGACAGCGGGCAGTCGTTTGTGGCGGGCTTGGGAAAAAGCAAAAAGATGGGATAGCAGCTATTTCTGATACATGTTGGTATGTACACGTCAACGCGCAGGAACAGCACCGCAGCGACAGTAGCAGCAGCAGCAGCATAGTTACCCTATCCGCGCTCGACACGACTCGGGGTTTCATATGCCGGTCTTGCTGGTGGATGTGATGGATGGATTGTGATGGCTCGGGCTTCATTTGGAAGAAGGACCGGGTCTTCGGCGAAGAGGAGAAGAAGAAACACTCGCGTCATGTTCAACTTACTGAAACTCTATGGCCTCACTTCCCGGGGCTATGTGATAGAGTATTATCTATGCAATTCTAACAGTCAAGACAGAGACCACGGGCAGGGCACGGTTTCAGGGACCAACGAGGGACAAGGCTGCAAGGAGGTAGCGAGCACACATGCTCTTCACATCTCTGAATGGTATTTCTCTGATGCCTGATGATAACAACTACTGTTTGTTCGTCCACCCCCATGTGCACACCCCTCATGATATCTTCAGCTCACCTCAAAATCATAAACAAAACCCTGCTGCTTTCTCTACCTGGTGTAGGAAGGTAGGTATGTAGGTGGACAGGTAGGTAAGTACTTCCAAACCACGTCCCCAATCCAACATGTTTATGTAGCCAGACGCACTCAATACCGGTACACAGGCCTCTTCCCCTCGGACGACGAGCCGCCGCGTGTACCCGAGGACGGCGCATTATAGATGTCATCGCTCAGGTCCGACACATTGCGCGGCCTCGTAGCGGACGACGAGGACCCGCCTGCCGCCGCGCCGCCGCCGGACGAGTACGAGGACCCTCCGTAGCCCCCGCTCACGACCTCCTTGTCTTCGTCCTGATAGGACGACCCATACCCGGCGCCGTGCATGGTGAGCTTGTTCGCGGCGCTGTCCTGGCGGCCCAGGTAGCTCCGCGTCGGCTCGCCGAAGCCCGGGTGGAACGGCTCGTCGGCCAGCCGCGGCTCCTCCAGGAACGGCGCTCCTGACCCTGACGTGGACGAGAGCCCTGCCGTCGTCTTGCCTCTTCCTGCTGGCTCCGGGTCGCGGAATGGATCTTGGCCTTCATCCGCTGGTGTCGCATTTGCAGACCGGGACGGGCCGGCTACTGAATGGCCAGGTGGCGGCCCTGGTGGTGGCGGCACGTAGTCTGCTGGGTCAGGCTCTTGCCTTCCCTTTCCTTTGCCATTGTTGAGTGGTTTTCTTGGTAATGGTGGCGCCGAGTCGCCCGAGTATGCTCCGTTGCTGGGGAACGCCCCTCCAGCAGAGTATGACCCGGATGGCTGGGGTATAGGAGGGCGGCTCGAGCCATTTACTTCCGGCGCGGGGCTCACATTCTCAGAACGATCGCCGACGCCGAGTTCCTTCCTGGCGCTCAGCCTCGCACGCTTCTCGTTGTTCAGCGCCTGTTGTAGCTCCTCGTTCACATCAATCAGGCTCTCCATGGTCTCGTTGTCCGGGCCGGGGTTATCCGCGGTCATGTAGCCCTGTATGCTCCTGGACGCGCTGAGACACCTATCGGCGAACTCCTTGATCAAGTCGTTGTCGAGAACCTCGGTTGACGGCGTGTTGGCTACCAGCTGCGACAGCAGGTTTGCCGACGTCCGCGCCTCCTCCAGACGATTTGCCAGCTCGACCGGGCTGGGCAGACGCTTGTTGTTGTGGCTCCTGGCGAAATAGTTCTGCGAGTGCGGATCTGTAGGGGGTGCGGCGAATTGCTGTGGATGCGGTGGTTGCGGCGGATGTCCCTGGAAAACATTAGCGACTCACTTCCTTTGTAGATGCAGGGATGCTAGGCCGTACTCCGTAAGCTTTGTAGGCCTTTTCCTTCTCCTTCTTCCACAACTCGATAATGGGTCCGAGGCCCTCATCCCAGCCCTTCTGATGCTCGAATGAATCCAGCGTCTCCATGAGCATTTGGCGTACAGAAAGATCGCGCCCGTTCCGCAGCAGGTCCTTAACCACGTCGAGAAACTTGCCATCCAAATTTCGTGTGAAGGTCGGTCCCGGGTTGTCGGAGAGGATCCTCGTAAGCATGAGCGCATTGTACTGGTAGGAGGGTTTCGACCAGTATTCCTTCTTAAGGTACTTGCGTATTGTCCGCGCACACTCGGCTGCTGCTGTTGGCGAGGATTCGGCGGATTCGACGATGGATGGCAGGAAGGTGACCTCGTCGCCCTAGATTCGATCCGATCAGCACCTCTCCGTCAGACGTGGTTTTGAGCAGGAATGCAGTAGCTCCAGAGACGATAACAACAACACGCAGCCGGGCGTCAGGGCCGCTGCGGAGGTGTTGCGCCTGTCTCTCCAGACCATCACGGTGCATGGCTACGCCGGCGTGCGCGCCGCCTATTAAAGATTGCGCGCCCAACATAGGAGTAGCAGGTATCCATAAATCGTTACATGCAGCACTCCCGGGGCTCGATGTGCCTGGTCCAAGTGCTACGAGTCCGCCTCTATCACATGCAACGTACCGCATTATCCGGGCCGCCCGACTCGCAGAAAGCTTTCTGTGACCACATCGTCAGCACATAATTCCTGCAACCTGACAGCTCTCGGCCGCCCGGATTGGTTGTCATACCACACTCCTGGCTCCAACGGCCTCGGGCGAGTCGCCCTGTAGGTCCACGGCGGAATCGCTGGTGGCGCTCGCGGTGTCGCCGGAGGAGTCGGTCCTCTTCTTGATGCTGCCGAGCATCTTACTGCTCAGGCCCTTCATGGACTTCATGGTGGGCGGGCGGGCGAAGGCCGTGTGCGATGGGATCACAGCAGCGAAAAGGGGGGGGGGGGAGTATGACGTCGTGGGTAGGAGGTCGGTGTGTGAGGTAGACGTCGCGATAAGGTGGTGGGCGAGTCGGGGTGTTGCCAAGATTCCGAGTGAAGCAGGCTGCCCCTCAAGATGGATGGACGGCGGCTCAGGGTGATGTGGGATAAGTAGGTGTTGGGAATGTCGTTCAAAGAGGGAGGGGGGTATCTCAACAAAGAAGAAAACAGAAAGGATCAAGACGGCGAAGCGAAGCGGCGCAGTTGCAGTTGCAGTTGCAGTCGTAATGATTAAAGGGGGGGTGGTGCACGATAATACACAGGTAGATAGGTGGACTGGGGGGTTAGACGATGGCAACATGCGAAGGCAGCCTGGGATCCGCGAAGTCGCGTCAGTGTCTTAGCCTGGGGTGCATGGGGTCTGATTTGGGTACCTAGACCAAGGGTCCTCCAGCTCTTTGGAGGGGAATCCACCTGCCCACGCTGTCCAGGCGCGGCTGTGCTGTGTTGTGCTGTGTGCTGTGTGTGCTGTGCTGTGTGCTGGCAGTTGCCCCAACCCAAGGGTCTATCTGTCTGTGTGTCTGTCTGTCTGTCTGTCTCTGTTTCCTCTCTCCCGAGGTCTCTTACTCTCTCTGTCTCTCACTCGCCAGTGGCAAGTGTCTCCACTCGGCTCCCAGCTACCAAAAACAGGCTAGACTATTGTCAATCGGCCCACCAAGATCTGGATGGTGGCCGACTCCTGTTTGCGAGCAAGACGGCAGTAGTTTCAACGACGGCCGACCGTTTGAGGCCAGTGTTTTGACAGCTGCAGGAACGGATTAGGGCGGCCAGTGTTTGTGTTCAGATCGGTCAAAAAAGACTTTGCCAGGGGACACCAAGCACTCGGAAACAAGATGTGCGGGGATCAGTTGCACTTACTGTAGTCTAATGTGTGCTGAGGACCAGACCAGACCAGACCAGATGGGATGGGTTTGGATTGATTGGGGCCCTGTTCCTATTATAGCCTTCTCAGGGTTTTCCCGAGCACCGCGCTGCCCTCGCCATTGTCGCGGTTGCTGCTGCTTCTACTATTGGTGGTGATGATCCTCAACGGCGACCACGCACTGCACAGCCTCAACCTCCACGCAACCCGTCCACACCTCCAAGCCTCCTGGCACCTAGCCCAGCGGGCCCTCCAGCTCAGCCGGCACATCATCATACGTCTTGGTGGTTGCTTGGCTGGCAGGTCACCCGTCATCAGTCACCGTCATCCCGCGCAGTGCCGAAGGACAGGGCTCGCTTGTCGCGGTCTGAAGGCTGCCGCGTGCCGCGCTGTCAGAGCTGGTGCTGGCAAAGATTGACGAGACCGCCGTCACACAGGTTTCGACCAGTCCTGGGCCTGCAAGCACTAAAAGCAAAAGGAAATGCTATACTGCGAGGAACGACTTTTTGTATTACTCTTCCAAATGCATCCACTCTAATTCTATCGCTGGCAATGTGCCTCAATGTCCATACTCCATTACAAATCGTGTTGGCAAGTGCAGCCTCAGCCAGACTCAACCTTTGACTAGATCAGTGGCGCTTCTTTTCCTGACTTAGACGGCGAGGGTACGCCTCGCGCCAAAAGTACTAGACTCTGGTGCTCTGTCACGTCTGCCCGATGATCAGATTGCAGCGTGCTCCCACATGCTGCGAGTCCCATCGCATCAACATCAACCACGAGGAGATTGAGTGCGATGATTTTGTGATATCACCAGTGAGCGGTGTGTACATCCTCTGCCGTGATCGCCGTGAACCGTCTGTAGAGAAGTGGACTGGGCAAGCCAGAAGGACATAGATGGGTCTCGTTACCGGCGTCCCGGCCACACTCAGGTCCAGCAAACTGCCAGTCTCGTCCACGAATCCTCTACGAGCTTTCCTCAACAGTAGGCAATGGAACGGCCTTGTACAGCAGAATCAGAGCAGAGTGACTCTCTCCGCCTCCAGACAGCGTCTCGATTTTGTCTCCAGCCACCTCCGAAACCCTGTCGTCGTTGAACCAGTACCAGTTGCCATCCTCTTCGCCGACCTTGCCCGTCTTGGGGTCCTTCGGGCCTGGCTTCTTCACGTATGCCGTGTAGTGACCGCTGTCGGCGCTCGAGCCCTGGTGAGTGATCAGGGCCCGGAGTTCGTACAGACCAGACTGGTTTGCGCCCTCGTCCTTGGCTAGGTCCTGGTTAACCAATGCCAGAAGCTCCTTCTTCGCTGCACGCAGCGCTGAGGCTTTCTCCTCCTCCCACTCCGCGTCTGTCTTGTATGTCTCCATCGACGTGTCTCCATCGGAGTCGGTGGCGGGCTTCTTGGCTTCCTTCTCCTTCTTCTGGACCTCAACTGGCTCCTCGGGTGCATCCGCAGATGTAGGCTGAGTCCTTCTCCTCTTCCGTGCGCGCGTAATGTCCTCCTCGTCCTTTTGGACCTCCCGAAGTTTGTCTCTAACCGGGATCAACTTCTCCTTAAGAGAGTCGGTGCAGAACTCCAAAATGTCGAGCTCCTTGGGAAAGGTGACCTTGCGGAGAATCTTGGCCTTCTTCTGTGTGTCTCTCCTCCAGAAGAAACGGACGAATTGGACGGTCAGGTACACGGGCAATCTCGAGATCTTGGACGACCTGGTATAGGAAACATCCCTGCCAAGGATCTCTGATTTCTTCTCGATCTTCTCCTTCAAGCCGTTCAGGATTCCATCGCGCAAGAAGTTTGTCTCAGCATCAATGTGACAGTTGAGTTTGAGGAAGGTATCGGTCGCCTCAACTGCCTGCTCGCCTCGCTCCCGAGCCTCAGCTTCATCACACTCGAGCTTTGACTCGAACTGCAAAGACATGTAGCGGTCAACCCACGAAACAGGGGCAGAGTCATTCGGGCCCTTGATCTGCAGGCTGTTCCTGACTTGGGAAAGGATGTTGGTCCAGGCTTCCTCGGCATCTTGCTGCGCATAGCCCTGACCAGTTCGAGATCTCTCGGCGAATTGGGGAAAAGCCTGACGCAGCGCTTGAATGAAAGCAAAGGGCGCAAAGGCCTCCTGCGTCTCGCCCATTGATTTGACAAGATTCTTTAGTTGCGTCGTGATGTCAAACTGGGGCAGAACGCCCAGGGCGCTGGAACCAGGTTGACTCTTGTACTCGTATTTGACCAGAGACTCCTGGAGCTCGGGTATGGCCCGGAGTGTCTGCAGGGTAGAGTTGAGGTAGCAGGTATTGCCCAGGTTTGTGAGACCACTTGGAATTGCGCCCTCCTGTTGAGCTTTCTCGGCGTCGGTCATGTCCTCCATGAACTTGATTTTCTCTTTGGGTCGCACGAGTTCTGCGCCGCCGGCGCTAGGTGTGCCCATCATCATGATCTGTTGGCCGGGCTTCAGGCCCAGTTTGCCCATGTCTGCATCATCTTTCAGCTGACCGCCCTTGATCAGGATCTTCTGTCGTTCGGGCTCGACAGCCGTCAAGCTATAGACTATTTCCTTGAATTCCGCGCCGGTGGCAGTTGGGTCCACCTCGACATCGTACTTGGTGCCTTGATGCTTGATAATCACTGTGAGAACCAATGTCAGCCATCGCGGTTACTGGAGGGAATGCGACCGAAGTTGTAGGTTGAGTGACTCGCTAAAAGGTGGGGGGTTCAACGCACCATTTACCGCCATTTTGTCGGTTGCGCGTCTTGGTTGTGGTAGACTGTGATGTGCATTCACAAAGTCACTGAGTACTGGAAGTTCAGAGAAAAGTGGCAATCGTATAGACCGTATGGGGCGGACTAAGTGGTGTCTTTTGGACGTGGGCAACAGGGAGGCAAAACGATGTGAAGGCGGGCAGGCAGCTGGGAGCTTGTGTCATCAGTGGACATGGCGGGGCAGACTAGACTAGATAGTGTAAGGGAAGGTGTGACAGGGGTTCAAGCATTGGAGCTTCATACTGTAGATGGGGGATTGGGGATTGGGTACGTACCTTCTTCCCTTTCCCCCTGATTCCGCTGGCTGGTCCCGCCGCTCCTGACGCCCCACACCGCGCTGGTTGACGTCGCTCCATTTGGGGACAGCTCCTCTTGAACAGCATCTTGACCTTCACCACGCCAGTTCGGCATCTTGAACACACCTGGCAGAGTCTCTGCGCCTTCAAGATGGTATGAATCACTCCCAATTTCTCAGATCCACTTGCAAAGCTGATGGTCCTCGCAGTCTCAATCCCTCAGGCCGTACCTCCAGGCCGTCCGCAGCAGCCTGACAGCCGCCCTCTGCCTGTCCAACTTCGCATCCCAGACCGCCGAGCGGCACAATGTTCCCGAAGTCGAAGCCCGGACGTCTCCAGAGGTCCTTCTGGCACCATTGACGATCGCCCGAAACGAGAACGAGCGAGTGCTCATCGAGCCCAGCATCAACAGCGTGCGCATCAGCATCAAGATCAAGCAGGCCGACGAGATCGAGCATATCCTGGTCCACAAGTTCACCCGCTTCTTGGAACAGCGCGCCGAGTCTTTCTTCATCCTGAGGCGGAAACCCATCAAGGTGCGTGGTTACAACGCCTTCCGTGCGGATCTGGCCGCTGCTGGCCGCCGCTCTCTTGCGGCTGCGGGACATCCCTGACCAAGGTGGAGACTGACTGTCTGAGTAGGGATATGACATCTCGTTCTTGATTACGAACTTCCACACGGAAGAAATGTTGAAGCACAAGCTGGTGGATTTCATAATCCAATTCATGGAGGAGGTTGACAAGGAGATTTCGGAGATGAAGCTATTCGTGAGCAACACATCGGCCCCGCCGTCTCCCCACCGTCTAACGCTACGCAGTTGAACGCAAGAGCCCGATTTGTTGCTGAGTCGTTCTTGACACCTTTCGACTAAGGCTCGGCGAACCTCTGAGTTCCGTCGGAGGCCGTACGAATGCTATGATGGATGGCGTGTGGCGGGTAGCGCTCAGAAATGGGGTGACTCATTAAACATGGCTCTTGCCTTCCGCCCCGACTCAGTAGCTCTAAGTTTTGATATGCGGCTCAGAAGTAGGGGCCCTACTGAGAGAAGTCTTCAGGGCACTGATGAATAGACATATATTGGCAGCACATGAGCTACAGGGCAGCATACAATGTGGTCCTGCAGAAGCTGGCAATTGGGATAAGATGCGATGGATCAAATTCAAGAAGCGATCAGGACCAATAAAACATATATCAACCACTTGCAGTCAATTCTGTGACGGCATGACCTTTCTATACCTGAACTCAACTGCTTGTGTGTGACATGTTGTTTCTACAGCCATGTTAATGGTAGGAAACCACCACTGTCATTAATGCGAGGTATGTCTTTTGTACAGAGAAGAACTGGTTTCGGTTCCTGTGCAGCTCATCAGTTCACCCTACTGTACCGAGAATATCTCGAATATGCCATGCCATACTACGAAAAAGTCGCGTGTGCTGTGCTAAACCGCGAAGAAGTCGACTGGGCTGTGTTTTGCCTAATCAGCTTTGCTCTTCGCGTTGTTCTGTAGAAGTCTTCATGTCAGCCACGAGCCCCAAGTCCTTTCTCGTGAGCATCAAGAACATCCAAGAGAGCTGCAGTCTGTAGTAATCCTCCAATGCCCCTTGTTCATCAGGCTATTCATCTTGACGAGTTCCATGGAAGCAACTTCATAAGTCAACCATCAATCTGATTGACCTCGAGCTGTAGTGATCAGACCGATGCGAAGCCATATCACAGACGTGCTCAGACATACCAGCCGCCGGCCTATCTTCAGCAATCCATTTTGATCTGTTGATTGTCGTACTTCCTATCCAACCTTTGTCAAGTCGTCATCCCCACCTATCAACATTCTCCTTCCGCCGTGTTTACTCCAAACAAGGACAATAGCTTTGGACACCCTTTCCTTTCTCCGAGTTCATACCTGACATTGAGTGTTTGTCTATCTCTGCCTCTTGAAGCACTTGTCCTTCATTACCCTGCTCCCATGAGCTTCAGTTTCTCTCCAAGCCTGTACCCAGCCTCGCCTCACACGCAGCACCCCTTTCTGAGTTCCCGGGATCTTCACTCGAGAGACCTAGGTAGTGCACATCATCTGCTTTGGGTGAGCTGCTGTCTCCACCTCTTTGTACCCTGATCCGGATCCTGCTGATCTGTGATTTCATAGCCACTTGCCTCGGATCTGGGCATTCGACGAGGGCAGCTGTGCTCATGATACAGTCGACAGCATCAAAACCGCCGGAGGAGCCGACCACCACCCGTCCTTGAGTAAGTGAGCAGAGTTTCCTCTTCTCCCCTTCCGTTTGGCGGCTTGCCTTTTCTCAACATGTGCCCTTCATCACGGCTTCCTCCCCCGGACGACCCAGCATCAACGACATTTTCATGCCCACCCGCCGCGTTTCCTCCCATCTACTCCTTGTCATGGCTGGTATCTCTCCTATATTTGATCTCAAAAGACAGTGGCAGTGCCTCTGGATCATTGGAATCTTGCTGTTCACACATCTGGCGAGGTTCATCTGCTCGACAGTGAAGGTGAGGCTAGAAACGCCCCAAGAGAGCGTCGAAAGGCAGCCATAGAGGATACACATTGACGTCTTCGCTTCCACCTCCACCTCCGTATCTACACCATCTTCCTCTTACTATCGCAAGGCGATATAGGTGCCTAATACTTACCTCTTGCTTGAGCTTACCTATTGAATGGCCATGCTAACAACCGTCATGTACGAAGCTCATCTCGTTTGGCAGGATTAGCCAATATTCCACTGCAATGGCTCCATCTCCGCTCAACACTCCGACCCGAGGAGGCATGTTCAAGACGGTCGGGGCCATGGACCACACCTTCACCCCCCGTCGCCGCATGTATGTCCAGCAGCTCCCACCTGTTCAGGAGTCTTCGATGGAGTCCATTGAAGGACGTGCCCCACTTGCTACCACTGACCCCAGCGACCCCTTCGCTGCGCTCCGGCCCATGTACAAGAACACCAACAACTCGCCGTCTGCCTCATCGGGCGACTTCTCTACTGTCAAGAACGCTTCTCAGTCTAGAGAGCCCACTGGCCTTCAATCCAATATCCCCATAAGCAAGGACGACCAGCGCCAGAAGATGCTTGCAGACTCCACTCAGAGCAATGCTCACAAGCTGGACCCGACTACCGCAGAGTTTCGACCAGCTGCTGCTTTCCAGTCCCCCAACGTGTACGCCCTGCAGGTTTTCCAAAACCAGAACAACGCGACTTTCGCATCGAAGACCTTCCAGCCTCGGGGCATTGGTTCACCAAATAGCTTTCATTCTGTCATCGCTTCTGGACCGAATACTTTTGCTCCCCACACTGGTGTTGTTTCTAACCAAACTTCCAACGGCACACCCAACGAATACACCACTTTTCCAGCCCAGATCGGCGGTTCGCAGGCGCAGCTTCTGATTCCCTTCCCCAAGAATAACGGCGTGACCGTTGTCAACGGAACGACTTCACAAACCGCCCCCAGCGGTACCAGCGGTACCATTGGAGTGACTTACGGTGGCCCAAACGGTAACATGTCCCAGCAGCAGCAGCAGCAGCAGCAACAGACAAACATCGCTGCAATGACTTTTGCTGTCCCCAACGGTAGTGGTGTTCAGCCAAATGTCAACATGAACCATTCTTTGACTCTAGGAGACGGGAACGCGCCTCAGCGTCACGCCAACACCAGCGAGACGACTTTCGCCCCGCCCCATGACAGTGTTGTCCCGAAGTTCAACAACATGAACGGATTGAACAGCACCAACTTTACTACTCGTTACGGCAACGGCGACCAGCAGCACGACAACGGCGCCCAGAACATGCCTATGGCTAACCCCTTAGCCCTGAACGATGCACACAACAATGCGAATGTCATGGCTCCTGTCTCCACCGACAGCATTGGTAGATCTCTCGAGCAAGCGTCCATGTCCGCTTTGCAGGCGCATCTCGATCTCGGAAGGAAGTACCCGCAGGCACAGCTTGGTCCAACGCCCGCCCTCCCGCAAGGACCAACTCGTCCGTCACAGTATTCGAACGAATTCACTTCATTCCAACTCCAGGACAACGCCTTCATGCGGCAGCACGAGACCAGCACTCCTATGGGCGCCGAAGCCGGGACCCATTATGGCCAACCTGCTCCCGTACCTTCGGCCAGCATGTACAGCAGCCCTGGTGGGACTTTCACGCCGTCTCAGTACATGGCCTCTCCCTCTTACCGAGGACGCACCGATCCGCGCAGTTCTCACACCCACACCACTGCCATGACCGAGCCGCCTCCTCGGTTCGCTTTGCAGACTCCTGTACCGGTCCAACAGCAGGTTTACAGCAATGTGATTTCATCGCCCTCTGCTGGAGCTCACCTCTCGCCCGATCGCACCGCAGCCTCGCCTGAGCGCTCATCCTCCAACTTTGCAGTGGATCCTTTCAACGGCCCGCCTCTGCCCGGCGTCATCCAGCCAATCGAGCCCCAGACTGCCATGGTCCTCTACGAGAGCGCTGTGCCGGTGCAGATTCGCAACATGCGATCCGAGCAGCTGAACGAGCTGACTGCGGGACCGACTGGCCGTCCCCGCCGAGAGGTAGCTCTGGACGCGGCGAACTTTCCCTTCATCGAGAGCGCTCGCAACGCGCAGCCTACCATCCAGTGTGGTGTTGTGAAGCTCAAGAATGTGAGTTTGCTACTATCGCTGCCTTTGTTCTGCCAACTTCGAAAGTCTCAAAGATGTGCTGACAAAGACCGACTCATAAGATTCCCTTTGGCACCAAGCGCGCAGAAGTTCTTGCTTTCCTTGGACGCAACTCCAAGGTTCTGAATGACAGCCAGGAACCCGTTCACATCATTATGGAACGCGTTACTAGCAGGACAAATGATGCGTACGTCGAGTTTATGAGCATGCAGGCCGCAGTCAACGCGGTCGAGAAGCACCAGAAGACCGTGGCGACTGGCCGTCTCAGCCGCCTCGGCGACCGCCCAATCGAGGTGGAGCTTTCCAGCCAGTCGGCCCTCATGAAGGACCTTTTCCCTCTTGCCAAGGGCGTCCGTTGGGAGGGATCTGTGCCGGTCATCCTTGAGGACCACCCCTCGGAGCCCTGGAACTGCTTCAAGGGATTTGTCTCTGACGAGGAGATGGTGAGAATACTTTCGATCAGACCGTGATTTGGAAATTGCTGACATATTTCATCAGGCGATGCTTGTGAAGCACGTCGAGGTTCCCCAGCGCGTAAGTGACACCTCATCGTCTGCTTTTCTCTTCAACAACTTAAGAACTGACTGAATGTCTTTTCCGGCAGTCACCCTTTTCTCGCGATTGCCCCCAGCGCCCCTTCGAGTGCATGATCAGCACCCTCCGAAAGCTGCCCTGGTACAAGACTGAGGGCATCACCATCAAGCAGCGACACTCAGTGTACAGCGCATGCATCCAGCTCATCCGCCTTCTCCAGCATGCTCTCAAGGAGAGGAAGAACGAGGACCACCTGACGCCGCAGCTTCTCAAGCGCCTCTGGACCTCCGCGATGCTCTGCCACGGCTTTACTGTCACCATGAAGGACAACATTGCTTACCAGGTCGACCTTGCCGAGGACCGCCTTCGCGAGTTCAACATGCCTCGCTTCGCCAACATGTGGGTGCACGTCTACACCCTGTGCCCCAAGCCCGGTACTCCACTGGACGTTCTCGAGGTACGTACTCTTGCTTTTCACCCGGCCAGGCGACTAGAACCTTGCTAACAGTGGCCTGCACAGTACTACATCGCGATTATTCGCGAGGAGACTCACCGCACTGTCAGCCTCCAGCAGCCCAACATCCAGGCTCAGATCCACAATGAGGGAACCCAGACCAACCTGTACTGGGGCTTCTTCTTCAAGGAGCTCAACCTCCCTCACGGACCGGAGTTCGACAACATGACCTTGTCGCGGATGGCGGAGCTGGAGTTCTGCGCCCTAACCAACATCATCTCGCGCGCCTTTGGCTGAGGTGCCAGCCGAGTGGTGACTGAGTCCCAAAGAGCTTACCCATGCACTTGTCGGTTTTCCATGGATTGAATATCCCTGCCATCGCCCGGGGACTTGTTGATTTCATTCAGGATCGCAGTGGTGATCTTTGATAAAGCCATCCGTCTCATCGCTCTAGCTTGCTTCACTGGTGGCCATGACGGCAGCCAAATTCATGATGCAAGATTTTCCCGGCAAGCCTTCCTCATCTCGTCTGAGGACGAGACCCTGGAGGACTTCTGTCCGATTGAATTGATGAGAGACGCATGGAAGGAGATTCCGGAGTTGTTGGAGGTATCTGCCCCCTTTTTAATGCTTTTTTCTTTCTTTTCGTTTTTCGCCCCCTCGCCGTAGGTTGGCGTTTCTAGACGGTTTGTTCACCCACGATTTGTGGTGGCCTGGTGTGGATACAGTACACATGGACGATTGGACAATGTCGCGAGCGAGCACGCTCCGTCTCAACCGGCCCCTCTCCAGGATTAGATTGATACTTTGGCGTAAGCCGCGACGATGACCGAGGACATGATGGACTCAGATTTGCTAGATCAATACGAAATGGGAGGAGTTTATTGATGACTGCACTGCGTCTAGCGGTGATCTTGGTGGATCATTGTGCTGTGAAAGACGACTTCCGCTTCTCTAACATGGAATCAGGGCAAATGGTAGGTACAGCTACTAGCTTGAGGATAATTTGTCGACAAGAGAAGAGCCTTCAGACTATTCGACAACTGACAGTGAGAGCGTAGAGCAGATCGAAAATATTGAAATTAGACGCCATCAAGGCCTTGCATTGATGGATGAGGTGGGATCATTTCCAGTCCGAGGGTTAGCCATTCACACTCGCTGTAACCAGGCTTAGATAATCAACAGGACCCCTGCCCAAAATTTTGGGCATCACAGTGGACGGCCAATCTTATCGGCGATTTTTCGTCATGGATGAGTTCAGTTCCCTTTCCATCAGTCGATTCTTCTTTTGTCCCCCTCAACCTCGACCCACTACAAGAAAAGCTCCAACCCGGTACGATATGTTCTTCAGGGTGCAATAATACAGACCTCGTTATTGTGGGTGGGATTCCACAGGCTCAACAGCCCTGAGTGGCAATGGCGCAAAACGCTACGCCGGCGGCGACTTACACGATGGCTACCGACAAGCAGGGTAGTCGACGCGAGCAGCGGACACCAGAACGTCTCTCGCCGCTCATACAATCAAGAGAAACCGGTGATGTGATACCAGAGACGCGTACAATCACCTCAAACCAACCTGTCAAGGCCTTGCCGTTTGCAAGATCATGGCACCACATGGCAGCCGGAGCGTAAGAGAACCCAAGCCGGCCTTGAGCCCGCGAACTCCGAGGATGACAGAGCCAGGCCGTGCTGATCATGGTTTACCATCTGCAGAATTGGTGGAATGACCGCAGCCGCCCTTACCGCGCCTCTCGACGTCCTCAAGACCCGCCTCCAATCAGATTTCTACCAAGCCCAACTTCGCGCCGCAAGGCAAGCCCACGCGAACATGAACCCGATGCGCGCGGGAATGTACCATCTCACCGAGACAATCCAGATCCTCGCGTCGGTACCTAAACAAGAAGGCTGGCGCGCGCTCTTCAAGGGCCTGGGGCCGAACCTCGTTGGCGTGATCCCGGCCAGGTCGATCAACTTCTACGTATACGGGAACGGCAAGCGGCTTATATCCGAGTACATGAATCACGGGCAGGAGGCGTCGTGGGTGCACCTGAGCGCGGCCGTCGTGGCGGGCGTGGCGACCGGGACGGCGACGAACCCGATCTGGCTGATCAAGACGCGGCTACAGTTGGACAAGAATGTCGCGGAACAGGCAGGTGGTGTGGCTAAGAGGCAGTACAGAAACAGCCTCGACTGCATACGGCAGGTATTCCGGACAGAGGGCTTTCGCGGCTTCTTCAAGGGCTTGAGCGCGAGCTACCTGGGCGTCACCGAATCAACGGTGCAGTGGGTTCTGTACGAGCGGCTGAAGAAGTCGCTTAGGCACCGCGAGGAAAGGCTAGTGGCGAGCGGGCGCGAGTGGAATTGGTGGGATCACTTTGTGGACTACACAGGCAAGGCGGGTGCGGCGGGCGGCGCAAAACTGTTCGCCGCCGTGCTCGCTTATCCGCACGAGGTTTGTCATGCCACTGCTCAGCACCCGAGAGAGAGGATGAAGAAGTGATCGTGCTGACATGACGAGCAGGTCGCCAGAACGCGGTTACGACAAGCGCCGATGGCGAACGGGCGGCCGAAATACACGGGCCTGATCCAGTGCTTCAAGCTCGTGTGGGTGGAAGAGGGCCTTGTGGGCCTGTACGGCGGGCTGACGCCGCATCTCATGCGGACGGTGCCAAGCGCTGCAATCATGTTTGGCATGTACGAGGTCATCCTCCGCTTCCTGGAAACTCCGTCATGACCACCGCAAAATACAACCCACAAGACGTGGCAGCACTCCACGTATATCACAGCCAAGACGAGGGGATCGTGACAGGAGGGCACGATGTAAGATCTACGAAGGCATGATGGATGTACGATGAGATGCACACACACCCTTTCCACGGACAGGCCGATACGCTACTCAGTTTCTTCACCTCTTTTGGGTTCTTCAAGGCCGGACTTGCCCTGTCTATCTACCCAATCTCTTCGTGTCAGTTCTTATTGCATATATCCGGAGCCTGGCTGTACTGAATCCTAGACGGGGCCCATAGACTAGGAAGATTCTGGCTCATTGAACGTGTTTGGCGTTGGAGGGTGTACAAAATATAGGATATATAAATTCACAAATTCACAAATACCCAACATCGAGTCGACCCTCCTGGGATCAGAAGCATTGGTTGGTGTACATGAAAATTGTCGATATGGTTGAGCCTCTCGTCCTATATGTAAACATCAACCCCAATGAGCGACCACAGGCCGGCGGCCCGCCGGGTGTCAGAAATGAGATCTGCTACGAGCAGCCGAGCGAGCCGTACCGGTTCCTCAACAGTGGGCAGATTGACATGGAGACCCTGGCGGCTGCATGTCATGTATCATAACACGCCGGCAATGCAGAGATCGACCGTCAGAATCTGGGCCTTGCATTTCTGGTGTGACCTCGTATCCTGATGCGCTGTCCATATGCTGCACAAACTCGCACACGCGGCATTCTGGCGCAGCGTAGACGCGGAGGAATCACGTCTGAAAGCCTGAGCTGATGCTGTGACACCGCACGTAGCGAGCGTAAGGAGTGGCATCGTCATTCGACATACTCGCTTTGCCAGCTTCAACTGTGCACAGTATGATCACCGTTCGTGACTAGCGGGACTGTCTGAGCGTTCAAGGCAGGTTCGCTAGACCTATGCACGCTATTCTTGTGCGGTCCCGGACCCAGACGCCTGGGCTCACCTCAGGTGCTTCTTTGTAACCCGGGAGGTCAAGTCCTTCAGGGGTACAGCACAGTTCAAGACAACTCAAGGGATAGGACGTCATCCCATCTCTCTGCAGGTGGATGGGGCCGGGCCTTGCAGGTGGCGTGCCTTGACATCTCTGGGCAAGCCAGCCCTAGCTGGTGTCTGCTATAAGACGATTGACTGCCTTGGATGGGCGATGTGATATTGGAATCGTCACTGATCGCCACCAGCATGCTGTCGTGTTCAACGCGCCGGTTGGGTGGCCCGATGTGGGGTCGTCGTACTGTCTGTGTGCCTATGTAATAAAGGTAAGGTAAGGTAAAGGGGGGGCCTCCCGGCAGTCAGAAGAACGAGTTTATGCAACTCTGATGTTGTGGCTTGGCCGGCACCAAAGGACCGAGGAGGACGAGAGGTGGGACGGGACATTGCCGCTGCTGCTCATCAGCCAGATTGCCCAATTCCATGCAGATCCGTCCGGTCTTTGGAAGATTTGCCCTTTTCAGGTCTTGCTGCTTGCTCTTCGCTCTATTCGCTTGCGATACAACACACACACACACACACACACACACACAAGTAATTCTTCCTCTGTTCTGCTTCCTGTGTTCTTTTTTTTTTGTGCCCTCGTCAACCCAAGGAGACACTCGGCTCTAGCCCCCAAGCTTTCGTTTCGTAAAGCTTCTGTCCCGCGAGGAAACAAATCCGCTTGGCTTTATTTATATCCCCCCTGCTCGCATATTACCCGCTCGACTTGGCTCCACGACTCGTCACTCCTCGTCACTTGTGGTCTGCTTCTTTGCGATCACTCACCTCCCACCACTGCGCCGCCGCCTTGCTCGTCTCACTGCCTCTTGCGGCCAGTGCCACCGACCTGAACATCTCCCACGACTTCTCCACCACGCGTGGCAGCGATATCGAAGGCACAGGGGCCCACGAAATGCCACTTTGGTGACACCACGTCCGCGACTCGGCCCACACTCTGCGGACAGACCGGCATTCTGGCAGAAGCGACGTTCACCTCACGCGAAGAAGTCCAAGCTCACGCCCAAGATGGATGCCCGTTCCCCAGCGTAAGTTGACCAGATTCATTTGCGACTGGCCGGTGTTTCGCTCCCTCCATGCATCTCTCCAAGCGCCGAAGTCTAATGTCTCGCGTCATCGTGCAGAACCCCAAACACGCCCTATGGCCAAGCCAGCCAGTACAAGGTCAACGTCAACCGGCAGAAGACGAGGAAATGGGTTGAGGCAAAGGCACAGAATTACGACGGCGACGACTGGGGCGCAGAAGACGACCTTGACGAATATGATGCCCAGGATACTGGTAGTGCAGGTGGGCGCCAAGATTATTTCAACCAACCCCCGCAGCCTCAGAGGCCGGGCAGGTTGACGGCCGGATTGCGCGCAATCTCCAACAGCGGGCCACCCACGCCGGGCTCCGGATCCGCGGGCTCGTCGCCCAGCCTGAGACCGAGCGAGCGTATAGCCTTGGAGAAGCAGGCCGCCGGAAACAGGAGCGCCAGCGGGCCGCCAGCTCTCCATATCCAGACGCCGATCACGACACAGACACAACCGCCACCACAGGTCGCGGGGCCACCCGGAGGACCGGCGGATGTTGCGGCCTCCCCGTTCCCGCCTCGGAAGAGCAGTATGACGAGACAGGATAGACCCAATCTGACGAATCCCGACGCACGACCGCCTCGGACGAGCTCGAGACCCGAGTCCCCAGCGAACGCAACGAGATCGCCGGCCTCGGCGACGGGCCCTCCGAAATTCATCCGGCCGTCCGACATCTACAAGCGCATGGAGGAGGAGAAGGAAAAAGAACGTAGGTCACTGGAATCGGTGGGAAGGCCAAGTCTGGATAGCCTCGGTGGTCGCAGTGGTGACGAAAGCGACACGACAAATGCCCGGCGGCGCCCGAGTTTCGGCAGGAACGATGAAGGAGATGCCAACCGCAGCCTGCGGCCCTTGGACACCGTCGCAGAGAGGAAGAGCGAGTATGGATTTGATGGGCTGATGATCAACCCAGCAGAACCAGCTCCACCGAAGCCAGAGATGCCAACCCAGTTCGAACCCAGGAATGCGAGTGTCCCCGAGCCAAAGTCCCAACCTGAGCCTTCGATCTCTTCCCAGCCCCAGCCGCCGATGCTGCACCATCCCCAGGCCACACTTGACCCAGGAACCACAGCCGAGCCGGTGAAGCGCTATTCTACGAGCCCCAAGCTGCCGCTCCTTTCACGAATGAGTGGGTTTGGGGGTGACTTCTTTTCTGGAGGCCTGGGCTTTGCGACCGACTCACCCAAGTCGTCAGAGCCGCCCACCGATAGCACGCCGACACGTACAGACGCCTCAGGTGGAGACGATATCACACACGCAGCGCGAACAGTAGACGACGGCCATTCGAGCGCCCCGCAGTCCTCCGAACCTCGCCAGGCGAAGCCTTTCCGCCCTTCCTTTCCTGGAGCCTGGGTCAGTGAGACGGCCACCACACCTGGAGAGATGGCAACCCCTGGTAGCAACATAGCTGCCGCTTCAGGCGATGTCCCTTCCATTAGTGAGAGCCCAGAAGATGCCCATCTAAAACCAGCACCTCTGCGAACACCATCTCCAGGCAGTGCAAGTGCATTTAGCGCCCACAACGAGCAACAGCCTACCAGGTCCGGAAGTACGTCGCCCGCTAATCACCAATATCTCGAAGCTACAGCAGAGCGGCCCACCCCTCAAGGCGGCCCCACGCGCGATTTCACTTTGGACCAAGACAGCCAGGACAAGGCACGGGCTCGCCGAGATATGACCCCGATTGCACCCCTACAGCCTCGAAAAGGCTCATTCGTGGAGGAGTCCTCGGAGCAACCCCGCGATCACATCACCAGAGTCGACACGGTGAGCACGGCAGACAACGCGTCGCCACTTAAGGAGAGCGATGTCCTTCGTGACGAGATCATGCGGAGCCTTAGTCCGGTTCGTCCGTCGGATGGGCATATGGAAGCACCTCGAGATGAAAGCGCGCTCCGCGAGAGTGCCTACCTGAATGATGTCTACGGTGACTATTGGTCAGGTGAGGACAAACCACCTGAGGTTCCTCTGAAACAACAGGATTCCCGTGAACCCGAGCCTACGCCAGCAGCAAAGGACGAGGAGGCGGATGCCACGCCTAAACCTCCCGCACACCCAGCATTCGAGCCCGTGAAGACGGACACTGCTCCACCAGCCATTCCAGCTGCTGAGCCAGAGCCTTCTATGCCAGCCCTGAGGCGAGAGCGCTTCTCTTGGGAGGCAGCCTCTAATTCCGGGGGCAACTCTGCGCAGCCATCGCCAACAAAGCAGGCAACCACGGAGTCTCCGGAGACCTTGACAAGTCCAGTGACTGCAGCACGACAAGAAGACCCCTCAAGCCCCCACGGCGATGGTCGCACCTCACCTCTTCTATCACTGCCTACCCTAAACTTCGCTGACAGCGACATGTCCCCCCAAGTGGTATCAGCAGTAAGCACGCATCCTCCAGGCCAGGGCCTCACCGCCAGCGACACACAATCGCCGCAGTCTAACACCAGCGGCCAGGACGTCCTCTCCCCGGAAGCCGACGAGGGCGCAAACAGAAATCTCTACCCCACCGAGGACAAGATGCTGGTCCAGTCGCCCATGTCGCCACTGTCCCCAATGGAGCCGATCCCCATCCCGATGCCCGACGACGAGGAGGCACAGCGTGCTACTTCGCCACCCCCGGCTGCAGAGCCCGAAGGCGTGCCCCTGCCACGGAGCCCGTCGCCCACACAGGCGGGCGGCGCGGGGGAGAAGCGGCAGAGCCAGATCGCGTACAACAACATGTCGCTGAAGCAGATCCTGCAGCTCCCCTCGCCGGCGGACCGGGTGCAGAAGATGCAGGAGACGCGCGACCACTTCGCGGCACTGGAGGCGGGCCTGGCGGCATGGCTGGCGGACATGGCGGCGCAGCCGGCGCACGAGAACGCGATGGCGTCGTACGGCTACGCGCTGTCGGGCGAGGACGCCGAGCTGTGGGGCACCAAGGGCGGGGCGGCGCGGATCCCGCTCAACGCGCCTGCCGAGGCGGGAGAGGATGGGGCCGGGGGAGGCGGGGCAGCTGGTGCGCCGCACGTCGGCCGCACGGCCAGCACCAGCATCAATATGGGCAACCTCGTCCACCACTCCGGCCAGGCTGGGGCCAAGGGCAAGGAGCTGCTGCAGAGCGCGGGCAAGATGGGTAAGGGCTTGCTCAGCAAGGGAAAGAATAAGCTGAGGGAGAGGGCTGAGTCGAAGAGGGCTTGAGAAGCGTGAAGATCTTTACGGACTTGACGGACTTGATGAGCTCCAGAGGGGTGGGGATGGCATGTCCTTTATGCTTATTGTTGGATGAATTCCGTGGCGAGGAGGCATAGCGCGTCACTTTGTGCTGCTTTTTTTTCTTCTTTCGTCTTCTACACGTTTTTATTACTATTATCTATGTACATGTCGGGATAACTGCTTCCCTGTGTCATTGCCTGCCTGGGGGAGATGGGGTGGTTGGTTGGTTGGTTTGTCTAATCTTTGGCATATACCGGCTGGTCAGGTACTGGCGGGGAAAGGGCGGCGTCTACGAATGGAACACATTGAGGCACAGAGGTAAATTGAGGAATGAAGATTTTTGGATCAGTCCGCATGAAGAGGTGGTGAAGGTGGTGAAGGTGGTGAATATCTTGATTGTGACGAGTAATGTCTACGCCGGAAGCTGTTTATGCTGAGCGGCTCGAGTACCGTTATGCATCCCGGCATTTAATTGAGTACTTACGTTGAGCAGGATTTTCAGTTTGTTTTCACTCTGCATCGAGAATTACCTCTTCCTTCTGCATGTTGCATTGCTAACTCTTTGGATTGCACTTATTTCATAGCTTTTTTGATGTACTTCACTTCATTTAAGGGGAGCAGACTGGACCGAGAACAACCATTCCCTATCTCGTAGCACATCATGTCCTAGCCCTGCCCGTCTTCAGGATGGCTTCATCGTGGGTAGATGCGTTGGAGGAAGACTAGGAGTCGGTTAAAGGCCAATGTCTCGGCCCGTGTGTCTCTGTCTCTGCCCATCTAGGCCTGTCTTTCCCCGCCTCGTCATGAACTGTCTCCACTGTTTTCTGTTCCCATTTTTGAGCACACCGGATTTCAAAAGTACCCGTATGTCGACATGATTCATGTGGGTTGTCAAAGGGTCCTCCCGCCACGTCCCGGTCCCTGCGTCTCCCTCGGCCACAGACCATCGGCCACACAGATAGGTCAGGGTCTGAGCGTGTGGGCAAGGATGGCGTTGGGGTACCGTCCCTGTTGTACAGCCCTACGGGTGGGAGGGCAGGAAGCAAAGAAATGTAGACCAGACAAGAAGAAATAAGATGGGAAAAAAAAAATCCACACTGAAGGTAATGGAAACTGGAACAACAGCAACGGTTGAACATCTGAGGCTCATCCGAGGCTGGTCGTTTCTCAATTCCCGCGGCGCCTATCTCACCAAGTAGGCTACCCGCGCCTCAGCCGCACCGGGAGACGAACCGCCCAATCCCACCACTCAAATCCTGCGGCACAGCAGAGGCAAAAAGAGGAGGAGGAGCAGTAGAGTCAAGATTAGGCCCCCGGTTTTCCTCGCGGCGCAGCAGCTGTGTACAACGGATCTTGCTCTCCCTCAGAGTAGCTCGTCCCACAGTCGAAATGGGGGCCCGTTTATTTGCCCTGAGGCTTGGCTGTCCCTGTTTTTTTTGAAAATCCGTGATACCTTGGGTGATACCTTGCACGGCCTGGTGCGATGCAGGGTTTAGGTTAGAGTTGATTGCTGCTGCCTGCAGCTTGAGACCGGATGAGAGGTGCCCTTGCAGGTGAGTTTCTTGTCGGCAGTGATGATGGCCTGGCTGGCTGGCTGGCTGGCTGCTCGATGAGTACCTAGGAGAGTCTGACGAGCGATTTACTTTGGCCGTGTGTTTGGGATAGAAGGGGCGGGAAACCCTTTCCATCTCGACAATGCATTGTTTTCGGATAGATATTAATCTAACCACTTAACTCTATCATCGTCTGATCACCCGTATCCTGTCTTGTACCAGACTGCTGGTATCTACCTAGTCACTTAGTCTACCTTGAGGGTCTGTTCCAATTCCAGACGACCACCTATTTGAACCATAATAGTCAGCCAGCAACCAGCCAAACTTTGATATCTTCACTCGATCTAATCCACATCGAGGCGTTCAGAAGAGAGAAGGTCCAGGCCAGGCCAGGCCATCTGTTGTCTGTCCCTCTACTGTGGCTGCAGCGCCAGTCTTACCGCAGCCGCCCGAAGATCAGATCCTCCTGGGCCTGCGGTGGGGTCTCGAACTGGTGGGAGAAGCGTGTGAAGTGAAGCTGATGTTGAGACCTCTACGACACTGCCATGTGGCTGTCAGCGTTCTTTGGCCCCATGCATTGAATCCTGCAGTCGATGCAGTCGAATCATTGCCATCCTCAATCAACGGTTGCAAAGCACAGCACACACGAGGCTGCCGGTTGCCCCAGCTGCAAAAGCTGCAAGGTTGTGCGGGTTCCTCTCACTTCATTTCAGCTGGCCCCATCTAGCGAATCCTTCCGATCTTCCCAGTTCGCGCCCAGCCTGCTCTGGTTGGTGAGAGCCCGTGATAGAACAGGCACACAGTCCAATCCAGTTCTCCAGTCTCCAGTCGTGCCAGTCTCCAGTCCCCTCACCCAGGCGTGCCAGGCATTCGAACCCCCGGGTGCCCACACACACCATTACACCCGTTACCACGCTGCCACCCCAGCCTGGACCACCACCGTTACACCGGCTGCAGGCTGTTGGCTTTATGTTGCAATCTCCTCCCAGTCTTCCTCTCTCACATCTCCCTTGCCTGCCTGTCCTTTCCCTTCTTGTCGTGTCCTGCGTGTCCTGTCCCTGGTTCTGTCAGCACCGGGTCCCGTGATTCCACCCAATGGTGGCCGTTGATTCCAGTCTCCCTCCCCTCTGCTCGCCTCCATTTCAGCCGCCCTCGACCGAGACTGAACCCTTGAGAAATTGAGAGAGAGAGAGAGAGAAGACGACAATGTCCGTCTTCGAATCACCTTCTGCGCCCACGCCACAGCGCCAGCCTTCTTTTGTCGGCCTACCTCCCATCAGCCCGGGCCCCGAGTTTGGTTCGGCCTTGGGCATCTCTGCCGCCGACCTAGACGACGCTCATCGCGCTGTTTCTCCACCAGGCCACATCCAGCGCCCGTCTCCACACCCTCACTACATCAACAACGGCGCCGGCGGTAATCGCATCGCCAACGCCATCTTCAACGCCAGCGCAAACACAAACACGAATAGCGGCATCAACGGCGGCGGCAACATTGCCCGTTCTGGCCCTGTTCCTGGCGCGTCACCGCTTCACTCTCCCACCATGAACTACCAGCTCCAGTCATCATCGCCTCACCCGCACGGCACTCAGTTCATGCAGGGTCCCTATGTGATGATGCAGTCCCCTCACGCCCAGCACCCAGCCGGCCAGCAGTTCCCACCTGCCGCTCATCAGTTCAACGGCAATGGCAACGGCAACGGCAATGCCAATATGATGCACCACCAGCCTGGTCCTTCGCAGCCCGGCTATCCTGGACAGCAAGGAGCATTTGGCAACCCCCAGGCCATGAAAGGTCCTGTCAGCTACCAGCAGTTTCAGTCTTCTTCACCACCACCTGGCATGAACTCGCCCAGCTTGATGTCCAACGGCCAGTTCAACCTGCCGCCCGGCTGGAAAATTGAGCAGTCCCAACTGCAGCAGCCTCTCACCTCTCCCAGGCACCGCCACTCACCAAGCATCTCATCCCTGAAGCAGAACCAGAACCAGAGCTATGAGATCGACAAGGAAACTGGTGCTCTATCCACCAGGTCTGTCTCTCCTCCTACTCACTCACCTGTTGATCCGCGCCGGCCTGGTCAGCCTGCCCTGGTCTCATCCGCAGGCCCGTCCTCTCAGAACGGTGAATTCCGGCCACCGAATGCGCCATTCATGCAGCTGACACAGGGCGCTGCTCTGGCTCGGAGCTCTACTAATATGACCCAAAATTCACAATTTCAAGATGAGCCCGAGGGCAAGCGCAATTCAAACGTCTTCTCTAGTATACGCAGCAGGCTTGCTGGGAACGCAAACGACCAGCGCGACAGCACGGGTGGCAGACCACAGGCCAACGGCATCACGGGGGACGATGTGTCTGATGCAAGCATCCCGGTTGATGACCAGGGAAGAAGAGGCGCCTCTAACTTCTTCGGCCTTCGTAGCAACGGACAAGCTAATAATGAAGGAGCGCCTTTTTCAAGTCAAGGCCTTGGTGGTGATTCTTTCAGCCCACCCAAGGAGAAACGGCCTTTCTTCAGCCGCCCCAGCGGCCTGGGCATGGGCTCTTCCAACCAAGAAGTCTCAAGGCCCGCAACCGCCGAGAGTGTGATGGGTCCACCAGTCGTCGGGTTCGGTCCTGGACAACCTAAAAAGAGGTTCTCTAAGCTCACCGGCATGCTTAATCGCGACAGGGCGGAAAGCCAGCCGTCCCAATCACAAGGCTACGGCGCAATGCAGGGTCAAAGACCGTCCTTTCAGGGGCAACGGCCTCCACCTGGAGGTCCCATGGGCTTTTCAGATCAGATGAGTCCCCCCGGCGGACTCGGCGATGATAGCCAGATGACCGGGTATGGGCGCCCGAGGAGTTCAACGGCAGGGTCGCGGCCCAGCATTTCAGATCATGGACGGACCCCATCAGGACAAGGCTACGGGTCTCCTCCCTCCATGGGCGCGATAGCTGAGGAGGAAAGGGGCAGGAAGCCCTCGGGCGGCAATTTGTTGTCGAATATCTTCGGAAAGCGGGCAGAATCCAAGAACAGGGAGCAAGCTCAGCGGCCACCACGATCTCCCCCGGGGCTTGATCAGCCCCAGGGCCTTAACCCTCAGGGACAGATGCAGGTGGTGCAGAGGCCTGGGCAGTCTGGTTTCTTCTTGCCGAATCAGAACCAACCGTTGAGTATGCAGGGCCAGCCCGTAATACCGCCGCAGGGCCAATATGCTAGACTGGCCCACCAGGCGCAGCAATTGCAGCAATTGCAGCAACAACAGTATCTGGGCCAAAACATGCCAAACGGCCAGAATTCAGCACAGCTTGGTGCAAACCAACAGCGGCAGCCATCGCCTGGCATTTCGCCCGTTACGCAATCCTCCGCAAGCCCTCATCTGACCACACAAGTTCCCGGGGGAAGTGTTGCTCAGAGGCAACAACCGACACAGCAGGGCGGTATATTGCCTGCTTCGCAGAGAGGAGAGGGCCAGCAGCAACCTCTGGGTGTCGTACAGGTTGCGACGGCAGTGCCGATTCGCCAGGTCGGCAATTCACCAAATCCCAACTCTGGGCAATTTCAAGGAGCCAATTCGCCAGGCGGCCAGAGTGATCCAAGTCGCCAACGTTCTGCATCAGTAGTTAACCAGATTGACGTCGGTGGTGCTCGAAAGCCGAGTGTGGATTTGCAGGGAACTCGGGGCCGTGCGGCATCTCAGTCACTCGCGCAACAACACCCGGTCCATATTGCTTCCCTTCACGCACCGAGCAGGAAGCCAGGCAACTCATCGTCGCCTCGGAACAGTGCTCAATTTCAGTCACAAGACGCGCCGTATCGTGGTGCTCAAGATCATGAAGACGGGAACCCAGTTTCGAATGGCCAGCTGAATGCACCTTTTCCACCACAGACGAGGAGAGTATCCCAGGGTGTCATGCCAGGTCAACAGTCACAGGGACTGGACCATGTTTCTATGCAATCATCTCCATCTGCATCTCCTGCACCCAACCCGAACCAGCAAATTTCACCTCCGGGTGTACCACCGAAGAACTCGCCAGCACCACCGAATCCGGGCCAAGGCTTTGGCTCAACGCAGACACAGTCTTGGCAAAATCCAGGTGGTCAAGGTCAATCAGTCCCGATCACACAGCAATCTTCGGTCTACAGGCCCTCTGGCCCTCAAATCGCTGCCGTAGTACAGAGCTTCTCGCAGCAACAGCCTCAGTCGCCGTGGAGCATTGGTCGACAGAATGGTTCCGGTCAATTTGGTCCATCAGGGCAGCAGTTTCCTCCAGGAAATTCGCCACAGGGTATGATGATGTCGCCGCCGCCACAAGAGCAGAGGGCAGAGAAGGAGGGCACTTTCTCCAAGTTGCTCAAGAGTAGCAAGACCTTCGTGCACCAAATTTCCGATTCGCAGTCATTAAGTGACAAGCCCAAGCCCGAGAAGGAAAGCAAGGGAATGAAGAGCATGATGGGAGTCTTCAAAAGACCTAAGGAGTCCAAGCAGTCTGAATCCGGAAAACCGCCACCTGGTGGGCCCCAATGGGCTGTTTCGTCGGGTCAGGTTCCTCCCAGTATGCAGCAGTATGGCTCCAACCAGAGTCCACAAGGACCGCCGACACCTCAAAGACTGCCGCAGATGCAAATGCCTCCGAAGGCGCAACAGGTCATGGGGATTGGAGAGGGCGAACAAAAGATCCCCGTGGAGCCGACGGACCAGGCGCCTCAGGCCCAGCAGGCTCACGCTACAGGTCCGCCCTCACCTGAGCTGCCGCGGCCCCAGCAACAGAGGATTAACTCTCAACCGTATCCAGGCTACCAAAATGAGAGGCCTTCGCCACAAAAGGCGAGCCCGCCTCTGGCACAGCAGCAGCCACGTCCTCAGCCGTCGAGCGGGCGGCCATCGATCAGTGGGCCGGAAATATCTCAAGCACCCTATGAAATGCCGCATCAACAGCAGCAGCAGCAGCAGCAGCAACAACAACAACAACAACAACAACGGCGACCCTCTCAGCCATCAATAGGACAAACACAACCGCAGATGCCAGCAGGAATGGTCGGCGACATGAGAGCGCACAAACTGAAGCAGCAGATTGCCCAACGAGGCCCGGAACCCCAGTACGCTCCTGTGCCTATTCCCCAAGGATACGCCACTGTTCATGGAGAAGGAATGGCTATTTCAAAACCAGATGTGACGAGGACAGGATATGGGCAGCCGCAACCGAGCATGCCCTACCAGGGTCCTCCTCAGCAATGGGCATACCCCGGCATGGCGCCGAGCCAGATACCTGCGGGCGCCCCTCCTCACATGGTACAACAAGGGTGGCCGCAATACCCTCCTTACCAAGGAACACCGCCTCCCATGGTCATGGCTCAACACCCACCACCTCCACAGCAATACATGCAAGGACAGCACACCACGCCGTCTCCGCCATTGCAAGGACAACAGCCTCCACCACATATGCCGGCGCAACAGCAGATATCACAGCCCCCTATGCAGTCCCAATATATGGCTGGTGCTCCCGGGCATCCACAGAATGTAGCGCAGCAGGCTGTCAGTCCATCACAGCAGGCTAACTTTGCACCTACTCAGCAAGCAGCACCCGTCTCTGCTAATGCAGCACAGACCATGGCAGATGGTAGACAACAACGTGCCGTTCCTCAAATCCAGCAGCAACTGTCACCAGTGCGTGATGCGAGTCCCGTTGTCTCAGCCCAAACGAACAACGCTGGCCAGCCTCAAATCCACCAACCAGAAGCTGTGAGGTCGGAGCCTACTCTGCCACCGTTCCAGACTGTGCCACGAAGTGCATTCGCTGTTGTCAAGCCACAAGTGGGACAGGATCAACTGCTGCCAAACCAGGGCTCCAATCTTATACCCCAGCGCCAGACTAGCGGAGCCAGCGAAGTCTCATCGTTGACATCTGTCCCTACTACGAACCATGGCGGCTCGAGTACGCAAAGCAGTGAGACCATCCATCAGGTGCAACACCAACCAGAGAATGCCAGCCCCGAGAGAAACACCATTAGTCCCGAGCCTATGTACGAGAGGCCGCCGGTGACTCTGACGGACGATCCACCTCCAAAAAGAGAGTCGCCTGTCTCAGCCGAGCAAGAAGACATATACGGTGCCACGCCGAGGCAGTCTGCCCACACGTCTCCGGTGCAGCCCATGGAGCAGCAGCAGCAGCAGCAGCATAACGCTTTGGTTCACGCCATCGAACGATCGCCGGCGCAGGAGCCCTCTGGCGAGCCCGAGGCCAAGTTCGCGGGACCCCTGCCGAACAGGAGCCCAGAGTCCAAGCCCGCGGCCAAGGCCGAGCCATCCCCCGCGCAGCAGCGCTTTGTCGTCGACATTCCACCGGTGATCATCGAGCCGGCAACCGCAACCACCCCGTCAGCAGCGACGCCGGTCCCCGGCTCGTCCACGCCGAAGACCACCTCACCAGAGGAGATCGAGCCGCCGTCGCCGACGGACTCGGAGCTAGGCAAGAAGCGCGACAGCGGCAAGAGGCTAGGCGGGGACAGCGGAGGCGGAGACGGCGGCGACAGCAACACCAACGGGACAAGCAACATCGGCGACAAGCCCGTGCAGTCGTCGCAGGAGATCTTCGAAGAGCACAAGCGCAAGCAGCTGGTGCGCGACATGGAGGAGAAGATCGCGCTGAACCCGACCGAGCCCGACGAGATGATGATGCTGGGCGGCAAGAAGAAGGACGACGCGCCGCTCATGAGCGCCACCAGCTACCCCGGGCAGGAGTGGAACCCTTACGGGGATGCTTGGATCGATGATGATTTGTGAGAGAATTAGAAAAGAGAGAAGCTCTCGTGTCTCTTCCTGGATATCACTGCTTGGGTTGAAGCTAGAAAAGCGTTGGATGTCTTTTTTTTATATCTGTTTTCATGTTTCTGTGTCTATTTCGATCTCAAACCTTGGGAGATTGATTCTTGTCGAGTAATTCATCCCTTATATGATAGAACTCCCCGCTTGATGTATTAGACATTAAGCTTGTGATACCTCTTGACGGCGCAATTTCCTGCCTGTCTGCTGGTTCTGTATGATTTGGGTCATAATATATAAACACTATTATAGGATGCTAAATCTGTTAAATGCGCATCTGTAAACTTGATCTGGCGCTGCTGTTGATCGCGATTACCCTTAGAGACACCAATTTACTCGATAGGAACGCCATGTGTATCCCACCCAAACCGTCGGACCACATGGTACTGCTTCATAGACCAATATCGGGGGATAATGTCCTTGATCGTAGACGTGAGGAGATGTCCGTAGTGTGGGAGGCCTGTAAAAATGAGTTGTCATCCGGAGAACGTGGGAATGTAAAACATCGTACCAGTTGCTGCGTGGGAAAGTTAGCAATGAATCTTCGTAATTATATGTGTAGCTCAGGATGGACCATGGGGAAGACGGGTAGGGTGAAATACCAAATGGTGGGCCATCGTAGAACGTAAAGCGCTCACAGCTCTCCGTGAGCCGTAGCTGGGTCTGAAAAGCATCGATCTCTCGCCATCGGGCGAGGACGTCTTCCTCGGTCTTCGGGAAATTGATACTCATATTCAGTAGTCACTCTGAGTGTTGGCTGGTTCACGTACTCGAATACGATGTGCAGTCGGGGATTCTGCTGTTAATTTGGGTGTGTTTCGCTTGCTTGGTAACAGGAATTTCTTATTCATGTAGCCGAATTTCAGGCTACAATCCATATCTTTTTTATCCTGTTTTTGAGCTTGGCCAAACCGAAGGCTGCAATCCTCTGTGGCCTACTTATAGGCGTTGGCCGCGCAGACCAATCAGCCCACTACAAACGCTGACGCTACTACTCCCACACTGAGAGCATTTGAAGCTGTGCAGGTGCCGAATGACTAAGACAGCTCCTAGTATGAGCACGACCTGCGTGTCATGCAGAAGCCGTGACTTGAAGCGTATTGCTCCAAACTTGGGCGGTACGGCTGCGCCACAGACCGATCCCAAGCCTCGGCGGCCAGCCAAGAATTCAGCACCTGTGTTTGCTCGGCCCGGCAAGGCTTGTCGGACAGGAGGGAGCGCTTTCTATGGAGAGGATGTCCCTGCGGGATCCCGCCGGCTAAATTGGGGGATAAATGCACTTCTCCAACCCGTCTCCCATTTGGTGTGCCCCTTTGGCCCACTCTGCTCCTGTACGAGCGGCTGTACGGGTGAATTGAGTCGCGATGGGTTGATATAAAGCTTCATAATCCTCATTTTAAGATGAGGGTATTGCTCAACGATCTCTTCGATTAATTGACTTGTTGGAAATTTGGTAACAAGTTTCTCACTACCAATTGGCATCTAAATCTTGCATTGCACGGGTGTCGATACCTATAAAGGGAATACTGGCGCTCACCACCCACCAGTCCGTCACCAGACTGATCTCAACTGAGATATCAAGGAACAGCACCAACTCTCCATTCTGGAAGGTAACCAGCAACCCACCCACCCAAGATGGCGCCCCTAATCAACCACCTCTACACGGCCGATCCGTCAGCCCACGTCTTCAACGGCAAGGTCTACATCTACCCCTCGCACGACCGCGAGACAGACATCAAGTTCAACGACAACGGCGACCAGTACGACATGGCAGACTACCACGTCTTCAGCCTGGACAGCCTTGACCCGGCGTCGGCCGTGACGGACCACGGCGCCGTGCTGACTCTCGCCGACGTGCCATGGGCGTCCAAGCAGCTCTGGGCCCCGGACGCGGCTCGCAACCCCTCCACGGGGAAGTACCACCTGTTCTTCCCGGCGCGCGACAAGGAAGGCATCTTCCGCATCGGCGTGGCGACAGGCGACGCGCCCGAGGGGCCCTTCAAGGCAGAGGAGAGCTACATCGCGGGGTCGTACTCGATCGACCCGGCCGTGCTGGTCGACGACGACGACGCGGCCTACCTGTACTTCGGCGGGCTGTGGGGCGGCCAGCTGCAGTGCTACCAGGGCAGCGTCGACGGCACGGCCTTCGATGCGTCCTGGTCCGGGCCCAAGGAGCCCTCCGGCCCCGGGGCCGTGGCGCTCGGCCCGCGCGTCGCGCGCCTCACCAAGGACATGAAGGCGCTGGACGGCGGGGTGCACGAGATCGCGATCCTGGACCCGGGGTCCGGGGAGCGCATCGCGGCTGACGACCACGACCGGCGGTTCTTCGAGGCCGCGTGGTGCCACAAGCGCAAGGGCAAGTACTACTTCTCGTACTCGACCGGCGACTCGCACTTCCTGTGCTACGCGGTGGGCGACTCGCCGCTGGGCCCCTTTGTGTACGGCGGCCGGATGCTGGAGCCCGTGCTTGGTTGGACTACGCACCACTCGGTGGTTGAATTTCCCGAGGGGAGCGACCGTTGGTGGTTGTTTCACCATGACTGTGAGCTGAGCAACGGGGTTGATCATTTGCGGAGTGTGAAGGTTAAGGAGGTCTTCTATGATGGGGATCAGATTGTGCAGGAGAAGCCGGGGGCGTAGATGTGCAGGTGATGGTGACGGTCTGCGTTGATGGAGACTAAATTAGTGTCACTTCTTGATCACATCCCCTGAGATCAAGTGGTCTCATGAGAGTAGACAAAATTGAAAAGAAGTTCCATCTGTGGTCAGGTTGCAAGCTGCCCTGTGAGTGTTGTTGGCTTTGAGATCAAACTGTGTGGCGGATGGTAATCATTGGAGAATTACTCGGCGTATAGTGAACGGACTAAGGTCCACGAATGGAACTCGATGTAAGAAGTCCAGTCCAGATATCATTTAAGCGGCGATTACCATGATGGAAGTCAGATGCGAAAGCACAAGCTGGCACCAAATACGGCACGACAATGAACAGCAGCGCAGACTTCCACAGATTGGACGAGGGAGGGGGCTTGGGCCCTTAGTGATGACTTGATACGACTTGTAGAAAATGGATCATGTACCAAGGCTGTCCGTCCACTCACCAGACTCAATAATCCTGCACTCCAGTCTGCCCAACCAACACCCTCTCTCTGGGGCCCTTCCTCCTGCCGAGCTCACCATCGCCACTACCATCCCCAACCACCGCGTCCTCCCCAGCACTCCCATCGCTCCCATCACTGGCCCACTCTGGCTCCTCCCCATCAAACCACTCCTCCTCCCGGTCGCGAAACTCAAGCTCATCGAAACTCTCATCCCCGTCCACAGCAGCATAATCAAATTCCTCGTCCCCGCCGCGCACAAACCGCTCCCGCAGGAACTCCTCCCACGCGGCGCGGCCCTCCTCCTTCGTCGCGGGCTTCGAGTCCGTCAGGTCCGCGTCGATGGCGAAGTTTGTGGCGGCGGCAGCCTTATCGCCCGTGGTAGGTAATGCCCCACGGGATGAGGACGAGGATGAGGACGCAAGTTGGCGTTGTGGCCTGTCGCCCGCGAGCGACGATGCGACCCTGTCCAGGCGGTCTTCGCCGCGCATCAGGGACGACTCGAGGACCTTGCCCCAGCCCCTGGAGCGCATCTCTGCCTCGCGCTCGGCGGGCGTCTGGAACTTGCGGACCAGGGTGTCGTAGAGGTCTGGGTCTGTGTTGCGTCAGTTGGTTTTCCCCATGTCTCCCTATATTTCAGGGGTGTGTGGGAATGGCTTTGGGTCGTGAGGGATGCCACATGCGAAGATGGGTGTGCCTTCTTGTCTGCCCTGGTGGCGAGAGTCGGGTAGGGGGAAAATCATTGGGGGGACATCAGAGGTATGAAGTGAGTCATCCTCATATTGCCCATTCATAGAAACTCGTATCCAATACGTAAAAAGCGACCACAGCCTACGGCTCTGTGATATAACTCCGCTGAAAAGGAGACCCGGAGGACAGGTGGAAATCGAGAGCGCTGGAATCACGTGGACTCACCAGCAAACTCATTGTCCGCAGACGAAAGATAGTCTGGGTTCTTCTCCAGATACTGGCGCCGCCTGTTCTGTACCCGTATCTTGGCAGCCTGTGATGGGGACCTGGGAGGCCGTGGCCGCGGCCTGGAGAAGAGGTCGGGGCTTGCTGCAGGCCGTGGCAGCGAGTCTGCGTCTGCCTGTGGTGTCATGTTGGGACAAGGGTTGGAGACGCTGAATCCACTTTTCTCCCCCGGTATATTGCGTTCGTGGCCAAAGAAAGTTGACAATGCGCGGGTGTGTGTGGCTTCTGCCGATGTGGATGTGGATGTTGGTGGTTGTGGTCAAGCCTTGCCTTGCGTTGCCTTGGAGTGGCGAATTTTCTGTCTTGCTGAGTGCAAATGCGAATGATAGCGCCGGTATGGTTCGACAGGCTAGATATCTCTTATTTGGACTAAGTTGTTGGCTTCTTGAGGCCTGTCATGAGAAGTGGGCGTATGGTAACAGGAGCGAGCGGATCGCAACTACAGCCTTCAGGACTGGGTGAGGTCATCTTGAACGGGTGTGTGCACGCATGCTCAGGGCCCATTGCGTATTTTACAGCGCGTATGATTCCGGCCGGTGGCTTGATGGAGTCCCCTGGCCCGTTGAGATTTCAACCTCATAGCGGGCCGGCCCGTTATAACGGCCCTGTGGACCACGGAGTTCCAGTGTAGGATCCAGAGTACCTAGGTACTTTCGTACTTTACCCCCACTCTACAACATGTTGGCTAATGGCTGTGTAAACCACAACCAACAAACTGTGGGATGCCTCTAGACATCCTTGGGAAGGAGCAGGCCTCGAGTGAATCAAACATCGCAACTTCTGCATCTGTGTCGAGCTTCAGTGGGCAAGTGGAGATGAGGTACCTTGGTGGGTTCATTTACGCGTCTCTCCGCAGGACAGCAGTCCGACTCAAATTACACCAACATCCTTTCATTGACTGTCATCTAAGTCATGACATCCTGCTGCACGAACATGATATTCTAGCATCTGCCTATCTTTCATCGACCGCCGAGGATCCCGATCGAATCTTCGTGGGTACCAACCGAGACCTCCAGGACCCGCTTCTCAAGGCTGTTCGACCAAGGCCCTCGTAACACCAGCCAGTCTCTCATTTTACACTTGAGCATTCCAGCCTGGGCGGTAGGCCTCAAGCACGGACAACATCCCCCTGCCCCCGCTCACACTGCCACTGCCACATGGGCTCTTGATGCCTCTCCCCCATGCTTTGCTTGCCACAAAGTTGTCGAATATTGGTCCTGCTCTGGCATTTGGGGTTGGAAATTCAGCCTACCGGAGTCATCAATCCTCGTCGTGATCGTTTAAACCCTTGACAGACCCACCTCGGTGAAGACAGTATTGGCGTTGTCACCAACAAGTGGACGCTACCGTCCCGGCTTCCCTCAAGGGGCCGTTCATGAGCTGTGGCTGCTGTCTCACCCTGTCTCTCTCTGCTCATACCTGACCACCTCCAGCCTGCAACCATGGCGCATATAAAGCCAGAGGGCCCCCATCCAGAGGGCGGGGCATATCAAGTCTCAACCGCCAACGCTTCTTCTGTTCGAAAGGTTGATTGGGGCGTTGACTGGCGTGACAATCACTTGTTTGCTTTCTTATCTGCAACGAGAAACCACGAACTGACCCACGCCAACTGCATCAAGACGGAACAATCCACCACAAGAACTGTCTTGCAGCAGACTCAGAAGTTACCTTCCGGTTTTAATTTCAACCTTCCGGTTCCTCCAGTGAGCGGACAGGAGGAGCCCAGCAGCAAAAGCGAGTCAGAAGCCTCGTTCCACACAGCAAGGTCCGGACAAGGAGTGGATAAGACCCCGGAGATCGTACCCGGGCCATATATGATCCCATCAGACATAATGAAGCAACAGACCTTGGAACGCCGCCGCCAGCTACTCAGCGGCGGTGGCATGGACGTCGACTGCCTCGACGAGATCAAAACCGCCCCGATCTTCACCGAAACCGCCCGGCGCCAAGCCGAAAGACACGCCTCGAAATCCAATGCTAAAGGCCCAGTATTCCCGCAGTACGGCCTCCTCGCCGGCGACGCGGGCGATAGCAAATCGGAAGAGCTTTTCTACTACAACGTGGCGGCGCCCTCGAGCACATTCATCTGCGGCAGCCAGGGGTCAGGCAAGAGCCACACGCTGTCGTGCTTGCTGGAGAACAGCCTATTCACCTCAGCGGCGAACGAATTGCCGCATCCACTGACGGGAATCGTGTTCCACTATGACACCTTCATCAACGACGTTCAGGGCAGCCCGTGCGAGGCGGCATATCTATCGACGAACCCGGCTGTGAGCGTGCGTGTGCTGTGCGCGCCGACCAACGTGGCAACCATCAGCCGGACATATGCGGGGCTCCCAGGCGTGACCATCGAGCCGCTTAGCATTAGAGAGCAGGACCTCACGACCAAGCGCATGATGGACCTGATGGCAGTGAAGAAGGGCGACACCATGCCGCTGTACATGCACGTGGTCAACCGTGTGTTGCGTGACCTGCGCCTGCGCCAACAGCAGACAGGCGAGTCGTTCGACTACCGGGCTTTCAAGGCGCTGCTCGCCCGCGAGGACCTGACCGATTCGCAGCGATTGCCGCTCACACAGCGGCTCGAGACTCTCGAGTCGTTTATGGCGTCATCGGCTGAGGCCTTGCCGACGCTTGGGAAGAAGAAGGAGAAGAAGGCCGCCAAAGTGTTCAGGCCCGTGGGCAACGACTGGGCCCCACGTGCTGGCCAGCTCACCGTCGTGGATCTCAGCTGCCCTACAGTCAGTTACCCTACCTACCTTTCTACCACATTCAATGCTGCCCCACACGAAAAAGATTGAAGGGAAAAGAGACCTCGCTGACTTAGCTTTGATGGCGTCCAGGTAACGCCAGAAGGAGCGTGTGCGCTCTTCAACATCTGCCTGTCGCTCTTCCTGGAGCAGGACGCCCGACGCGTGGGACGCGTCGTGGCGTTGGATGAGGCACACAAATACATGAATGAGAGCGGCGAGGCGTCGGCGCTGACGGAGCAACTGCTGGCCACAATCCGGCTGCAGCGTCACTTGGGCGCGCGTGTCATCATTTCCACCCAGGAGCCCACCGTGTCGCCCAAGCTGCTGGACCTGTGCAGCGTCACCGTGGTGCACCGCTTCACGTCACCCGAGTGGCTGCGCGCACTGCGGCGGCATCTGGCGGGTGCGGAGGAAGCAGCGGGGATGCTGGCGCGGGCGGCTGTTGCTGCCGGTGGTGGCAGTCGGAGTGGTGCCTCGTCCGACTCGGGGGTTGATGATGTGCTGGATGGGCTTATCGAAGGGGCCGGCACATCGAGCGCCGGACCATCAATGAGCCAGAGGCAGGCGGCGTCGAGCCTGTTTGCGCAGATTGTGGAGCTGCGCCCGGGACAGGCGCTGGTATTCTCGCCGAACGCCGTCGTGGGCGTTGATGGTGAGGGCCAGGCGAACAAAGTAGGCAGTGGTGTGCTTAAAGTGTGTGTGCGGAAGAGAGTGACGGAGGATGGAGGGAGGAGTGTCATGGCTAGGTGAGAGACTTTGGTTTTCTTTTTCTGTGCTTGACGGTTGAGGCTGGGTCTTGTTGGAGAATGGTTGTCATCTTCTACTATGGGTCCTGTCTTCCATTCCGAGTAGGCGTTTAGGATCTTGCTCATGTGGCCTGTACTGATTATGAGCGAGCTGTTCACACGAGATAGCAAGTAGTTATAAGAGCGTTGTTGAACGATAGAGGATGAAATTAGCCCACCCATGAGTGAGAGAGTGATACCCAAATGCTTGCCCTGTGTATGCATTTGTCTACTGTTCCCTGCACATTCCGAGACTGCAACTGCAACCATGGATTTTTGTGCACACCACGTGCTACTGTTGCTTCTTCCATGGAACAAATCATCTCACACGAGATGGGGTCATCTCGGTGCTGGTGTTCGAGGGCGTTCGATGGAAGACTGGGGGGTTTTTGTGGAGGTGAGGTGAGGTAGGGTGCAAGGCAGGGTGCAGGGTAGTAGGAGGTGTCGGGTTGGGTGAGGATCTCGATCTTGGCAGCGGGACCACTTGGGTACGGAGGCACTGGGAGGATGGCCTGTGTGTGGGCGGGAAAAGTGGAAATGAGCAGCAATGCGGGCGGCCAACGTCCCCACTGGAGAACGGAATAGCACCGGCAAATTCGCCAATTACGGATGCCAGTAAATAATAAACGGGTGGACTCGTCGTATAAGCTGCTGCTGCTGCTTTCTCTGCCTGCTTCTCTATCTCTCTGTCCCTGGTCTGCCAGCAGCTTGCCTCGGCAAAGAACTGGGCATGGGCAAAGATGGCAATCTCAGGTCTCAGGTGAGCGAGGTTGAGGCAAGTCCTTTCTCCAACAAGAGAGATGCACTACAACCCCGTGCTTGCCGTGAATATGTCTGCATGTACATGTACACACACTTAGATAGCGTCACGGCACGGCACGCATGTATTAGAGTACCTTCACCTAGTTCACCCAGACAGACCAGACAGACAGACAGACAGACAGACTCAGGCAGGCCTAGCCCAGCCCAGGCGCGTGTGTGAAAGTGCACACGCATCCCCATGTCCCATGCCAGTACCATGCCATCTCCATGCACCCATCGACTGCCAGCCATACAATCCAGTCCATACGATCCAATCCAGACCGTACCATCCAGACAGACCTTCTCTTCCTTGCCCAGCCATACCATGCAGTAGACTAGCCGCTGCCACCTGGCTGGCATAGAAGAAAGAAGCTCAAACGGGCAGCCGCCTCGCGTATTACTACACGACATGTCAAAAATCTTATTAGCCTAACCCGCTTGGTTGTCTGAGTGCCCTCCCTTTTTATCCCTCTCCATCTCCCTCCTTGGGGCCTTGCAACCCGTCTCCGGTATTTACTTTTACTCTGGTTGTCATATCACCAGGTGGTCAGGCAGACAGACAGACAGACAGACAGACAATCGGTAGGTCCGTCGGTCTGTCGGTCAGGCCATTCTCCGAGCAGTCCAGAGGTTCCCCTTTCGCTCTGGCACATGCGACCGCCGGCTGCTGCGACAGCTCTCTACAGCGACTACCTGCTGTCTAGACACCTGCAGCTCCTGCTTTTGCCACTGCCCCTGCCATACTGCGTTCGGCTCCTCGGCCTCTCCAGTTCGGTCTCGGCGCTCAGCTTGTGCCCCATGTCGTTTCTCAAGGGGGCAAGAAAGCAGCAGCGATAGCAGCAGCAGCAGCAGCAGCAGTACAGGACCGGATAGTGGACAGGACAGGACAGACGCGAACACAGACAGAGACAGTCTGACAGGCGGGCAGACAGACAGCGACACAGACACAGACTGAGACACAAGCACATACACACATACACACGCACACACACACATACAGACTCAGGCACACACCCACGGACACGCAGTGGGTGAGGCCTCTCAATCTGCACCTGCGACTCGACTCGGGTGGCAATTGGTCTGGCATGGCTGAACTGGCTGCAAAGATCCGCGCCAGGTTCAAACGCCGGCCGTCTGCCATCGGCTCGCTGCTTAGCAGCAGGTCTACCGGCAGCCACACATCCTCCTCGCACCGCAGCCCCAATGCAGATCACCACCCCCATAAGCACCTGACTGACCCCGACGCCGACCATGACCCGGACTCCAAGTCGCGTGCGGGGAGCTCACGCGTCTCCGTCCTCTTCGACCTAGACGGCGACGACGACGCTCATCGTCGTCCCCGGTCCCAGCCGCAGCCCGGTCGAGATCAATGCGCGCCAGACATGGTGGGACACCCGGGGCTAGGCGAGGGTGAGGGTGAGGGCGAGAGCAAGGGCGAGGAGGGCCTGGCTGGCGACGACTCTCACCCGCCGCCCGACCACCAGCACCACCAGCACCAATCCGAGTCCGGTAACGACAGTCCAATTTCCCCAGCCCAGCACGAATTCCCAACCGGCCATCAGACTCAAAATACCCAAAATGCCTCTTCCCTCTCCTCCTCCCCCGAGACACTAAAGCCAACAGCTCCGGCTCCAGCTCAACCTCCAGCTCAATCCCAAGCGGAAGCGTCTGCGGGTAGTAGTAGTGTCTTGGCCAGCTCCCCTGAGCCACCTGCGCCTGCGCCTGCGGTCGAATCTGAACCTGAATCTGCTGCACCTGCACCCGAACCCGAGCCTGCACCTGCAACTGCGGCCAGCAGCGAGGGCCACCTAACAGCAATAGCAACCGCAACAGCCAGCGACATGCCGGGCAACGATCGGCGAAAACTCTCGTGCATCAGCGAACATCCCTCCCCAGACCACCAGGAACAGGTTACAAAATCAAATTCCATCACCGCCCATCCACCTCAGCCCCCAATCACGAGACCCGCTGCCTTGACCGATGCAACTTCAGTTCCTGCCCCGAAACCAAACGATGCTGGCGACAAACCGGCCGCCGCTGCTGCTGCTCCTCCTCCGCCTCGAACTCCCAAATTAGCTCCCGCAGCGACCCAGCGGCCCTTCCACATCCCACTCCCCACTACCACCGTCGTTCCTCCCTCGGCCGCAAACCTCTCGCCCAACGCCGCGTACAGCCCAACCCCCAGCTCTCCTCTCGCCCGCAACTCCTCTGTTAGCTCGAGACCTGCTCCCATCCGGCGACAGTCCCTCCTTTCCAACAGGCAGTCTACCCTCATCCAGACTCTGCTACGCGGGTCTCAAGGCGACGACGCCGCCAGCATCAGCAACGAGCAGCTGCTCCCCATCAGCGGCAATATGGTCATGCGCAAGATCTGGGTCAAGAGGCCGGGCGCCTCTGCCACACTGGTCACAATCAACGAAGATGATCTGGTCGACGATGTGCGAGATATGATCCTGCGCAAATACGCCAACTCTCTCGGCCGCCAATTCGATGCGCCAGATCTCACCCTCCGCATCAGACCAAACGGAAACCAGCAGGAGCGGATGCTAGGACCCGAGGAGCCAATGTCGCGAACTCTCGATGCTTACTTTCCCAGTGGACAGACTGTAGACGACGCCCTCATCATCGACGTGCCCCTACGACGCACTCCCAGGGCATCCCCTCGAGGCGGCCCCCCTCATGCGCCTCACATGCAATACTACGTCGAAGAGGCAAGACCATCGGAGGCAGGAAACGACTACTTTGGACCTGGTGCTATATCAACTCTGCCTGTCACTGTGACTGCGCCATCTAACGGCCCAGCCCCCCAGCATGCGATCTCAATCCTGCAGACCGGGCATGCCCCGCAGATACCATCACCAGGCGGCACTCGAGCAAGAACATATAGGGAAAGGCCAGAGCGGCCAAGATTAGGACGTCAACACACTTCCTCGCCCACGCTGATAAACATGGCATCTGGAACAACCCACCAGGGATCTATCGCCGCGGCCGCTGGAGCCCCTCATGGTATGCAACACATAATACACTCCAGACCAGCTCCCCGATCAAGAACTCATTCCAATGCCTCAGACCAGTCACAAGCCGCCCCGGCGCCACCGGCCATCCCCACACCACCCGCTCCTGAAGGGACGGCGGCCGCCTCGCAGCGGTCGGCTACACCACCACCGCGCGTGTCGTCGCCGAGACCCAAGATCTCCAAGAAGAAGAAACCCACAGAGCACCCATCCTTGCCCAAGGGCATGCTGAACGGTAGCGTCCCGCCCATCAACGTCCTCATCGTGGAAGACAATATTATCAACCTCAAGCTGCTCGAGGCTTTTGTCAAGCGCCTCAAGGTGCGGTGGTCGACGGCCATGAACGGCCGCGACGCTGTCAACAAGTGGCGCGGCGGAGGTTTCCACTTGGTGTTGATGGACATCCAGCTGCCCGTCATGAGCGGCCTGGACGCGACCCGAGAGATCAGGCGGCTGGAGAGGGTCAACTCGATTGGCGTCTTCAGCTCGGCTGCCAGCGCGCCCCCGGAGGTTAAGGGCGAACCGGATGAGAAGGACAAGCTCGAGAACATGGACCTGTTCAAGTCGCCCGTCATCATCGTCGCACTGACTGCCAGCTCGCTGCAGAGCGACCGTCACGAGGCGCTGGCGGCGGGCTGTAATGATTTCTTGACAAAGGTGCGTCCCTCTCCCTCCCTCCACGTCTATGCAGCAGCCACTACTTTGAACCTCTTTGAACTTGGGCATATGCTAACATTGAATCAACACAGCCCGTCAACTTTGTCTGGCTCGAGCGCAAGGTCATGGAGTGGGGCTGCATGCAGGCGCTCATCGACTTTGACGGCTGGCGCAAGTGGAAGGATTTCTCGGCCAAGCTGGAAGAGGACAAGAGGTCTTCCTCGGCTGCCGCGGCGCAGAAGGCGAAGATCAGGAGGAACCGATCCAGCATGAGCCATCAGGCCGTCGCCGCGGGTGCCTAGGGGGGCCGGACAGCCTCACACAAGTAAATGCACATGCACATACGCATATGTGCACAATAGATGGAATCATGGGCGGGGCTCAGGACCCTATAGAGATCCCTCGGAGAGACCGGGGAAAGAAGCTGGACGGTGGATAGTATGTATAGAAAGGGGAGGGGTTTGCGATCACAAAACGAACGGCCCGCATTGTAATGATCTTGATCTGGATGGTTCTTGGAGCACAGCGCAAATAAGGGCAAGGGCCCGGGGAGAGGGAAACGGGGGTATGCATCTTCCTTTGTAATAGCCGTATGCTCTTTTTTTCTACTTCTTTCTCTCACGCGAACACGATTTATTTGAGACGACTGGAAGGTTTCGTTTCTTGGCCCCTACTCACTTCTCGACTTGTTCTTTACTCAAGCGTTTTCTGATTTGGGACCTGGTCTGTGTGAGCCACAAGATTTGTGTAGAGGTGGCTCGGGCGTTGGGCTTTCGTTTGGTGATTTATTGTGACGGCGTGTGTTGATCTCTTTACTGTGTGGTATTGGTGAATCCATGCTGTGGAAGGAGGACGGGTATATTGTTGTTGGCCTTACCGTAACTCGGCTTGATGAAGTCCATGAGAGGAATTAATGGTTGGAGGAGGCGATACTAATGAACTAGCCTGGAGGACCGTGGTCACGAGAGCGTGATGAAAGGGCTCAGAGATGAAGATGTGACTCGGAAATAGTCAAGTGGTAGTGTAGTTCCTCTGAGCATGGGTTTACCAGGCCGCACTCCTGTGGTCCTCTTGGTGACCATGCTGGTCTATTAACAGGATACTTCTATGCAAGATGTTGCTCTTTTCGTACCAATCGTATTGTTGTTTCTCAATTCTCCTCCCTTTTTACCAGGAAATACTATCCGATCAGCCTAGTTTCGGAGAAGCTGACTTTGTTTTCTCCTATCATGTGTATGTCGCTCGGAGGACTAGTAGCCTTGCTGCCCTAAGGCTGAGTCAGATTGCTATCGAGGTTGATGTACGTCCCTGCAAGCCTGAGACTAAGATCTTGCCTTGGGTAAACATGTTGAAATTGGGTAATAGATTGAAAAGATGAACTACATGATTCGTGGGGGAAAACCTGCCATGTCCGCCTTGTGTTGCTATGTGGACTCCTCAGGCCCTTTTCCATTTCTACATCGGCGGCGAATCAAGAAGGCAAATTCGATTTCACGCCGAGAGCACCAATTCTGACCATCATCTTGAGAGATTTTCTTCCGAATGTATCTCTTGTTCCACACCTGAGCCTCTACCGTTTGTCGAATCGCTCGAAGCCGTCGCAATTCTGATGATAGGGTTCTCAGCAACTGAGAAAATGCGGAAATAGCGTTGTGTGTCTTTAACTCGCGGGCTACCCTTCGTCCTAAATGATGTTACCGGCAGCAGAATCAGGTTATTTTCATGTCCCGCTGCTGTGAGCCGGCGAGTTACCTCTTTCTTGAGCTGGGTAGGACACACTATGATTGAGGTCGTTGGAACAATACCGTCACATCTTGGAGCGTTGCCAGGGCCACGTGAGGTCCTGTACGCTGATTCGCAGGCGGAATCATGAAGCGAGCAGGGGCACATCAGAGTCGACATAGATGGGAGAATTGAGAAGTGGCATCATCAGGTCCAGTCGAAATTCAAAAAATTTGGTATGTATGGAGCAAATAAGGGCAGAATTGTCGCATTGGTCGACTTCACATACACTATTGGAACAACACCGCCATACTCTCAAAAATGACAACACGTCGTTGCAGAGCCCCCTGTGGCTTCATCCCTATATAGATTTGTTCTACGAGAGACTATCCTATAGCTAATTATTCTGAAGGAAATTATCCCCCAGAAGGTTATATTACAGCAGGTTATCCCATAGGAGGTTGTTCTATAGCAGGGTATCCGAGCAGCTTATCTCATAGAATGTTTTCTTATATTCCCCCTGTTTCCTTTGAACTAATTCGGAGATACTGTGGCTGCGAAGCGGACACCCGAGCTTAGGCTCGTTGAAGACTGCCGGAGGTCTTGCTTGGTCTCGATGTCATCGCCAGAGACCTACCCCAGGCGATGAATGATGAAAACCTTGAAGAAACCCTAAAGGAGATACCGGAATCCTTGCATAGCACCTCATTCAACCAGACTTCGCAAAACATCCCAATGCGTGCGCGCCAGGACGGCCGGACACTCGAGCGTTGCTGCTGCTGCGCCGCAGGACCCGGAGCCAATAGCATGCTCCCACCACCACCAGCCCAAGCATATCAGGTTCCGTCCCGAAAGCCTTATAGGTTTGCTGCTGAGCCCTCATGCAGCAAGCTCACGTCGCGTAACCCAGCCGGGACTAGGCATGAACGTGGCTACATGGCCCCAGCTAGCTACCGCAGTCCATCAACAAACACAGAACAAAGTCAACTTAAGAAACTTCGAGTTGGCACATCAGGGCACAGGGCTCTCGAGGTGATTTACGCGGGAGACACTGGAGTTTCCAAGTACAATCAGTGATGGATATAGGGGCACTGAGTGTCATTTCCTTCTGCGCCTGTACCGAAAGCTGCCGTTCAAACACGACATTGAAACCAATGACTCCAATCAGGGAAGAATGGACTTTTCACTATCGGTTCTTTCAAATTATGATGAATTACTTATCGAATTTGTCAGGGTATCAATGGCTAAGAGTGCCAAAGTCTGATCTGGTCTCGAGCCATACATGGCTGCGGCCGTGGGCAACTTATGTTGATCGTTAGTTGGAAGCGTAGGTATACAGTCGCAAATGAAAGCTACCAATTGACAATGAAAGCAGAGTTGAGACCGAAGCCGATCCCTTCACATCGTAAAACACTCAAACCTCGATACCGCTATACTTCCAAATAATCATGGTAGAAACTATCATTGCTCTAAGTTGTGCCCACAATTTCAATCACTGCACTGTCATACTCATTGAGGCCAGGCGCGATAGCCGAGCGTCCTGGAAGATAGACGGTACCGTTAAAGTAATACCCTGACGGCGTGCCAGCATCACGAGGCGAATCGCAGTAATTGAGTCCCCCCCAACCTGTAAAAAGCTGTCATCCCGGCCTATCGTCTCTGCCGGCACCTTGAGGACCGACGCCCATAGCTGCTGCATCTGCATTTCTTCCGCTGTCTCGGGTGGTTGTTTCTTCTCACACTCCACTAGCGAATACCTCGCTATGCTCTCTCTATCCAGCTCTGCCGTCTTTTGCTTCAGTTTCTTCCGGTCTAGCTTTGTTGTTGTGATGAATGGCATATACCGGCACGGGATGAATATCGTTGGTACCATATAGCCAGGCAGCTTCCCTCTCAACGCTCTGACCAGGTCCCGCACTTGCTTTTCCATCTGGTCTGTTAGGGGTAGAAATAGGTTGTCTGTGCCGTTGACTCCGTTGACTCCGTTGACTGTATTGGTTTCATTCAAGCCGTTGCCATGCATCGCAGCATGCCTCCTTTTTTTGCCCGCTAGGCTGGTCTCTCGGTTGAAGCAGAGGTAAGCAACAAGACTCACTCCTCCAGCCTCTGTCCGTGAAACGTCCACAGCTACTTGCTCAATCCCATCCAGTGCCGTTTGGATGTTATGTTCTACCTCTCCTAATTCCACTCGTTGACCCCGGATCTTTACCTGTAAATCCTTTCGGCCGACGAACTCTATCGTCCCGTCTGGGTTGTAGAATGCCAGGTCTCCAGTCTTGTAGATACGGCCATATTTTGCTTCTGTGCGTCGCGGCATCCATGCCGGTACTGCTTTTATAGCTGCCTCTGTTTTCTTTCGATCTGCTAAATACTCGCGCAAGACGGTTGGGCTCTGGACCACTATTTCTCCCACACACCCAATCGGCGTGAGACGCTCATGGTCTCCCGGCTCGACGATCCAGCAGGATCCGCCCAAAGGCCGTCCTATAGTTTGCGGCGAGTCGTTCACGGATTTGTACTCATGACAGGCGCTGATGACACACGTCTCTGCCGGGCCCCAGGCATTTATCAACCGCGTTTTGTTGCCAACCCATTTCCTTATGGTATCCTGACCTGCCGCTTCGCCTCCGACCACTAGGGCTTGTAAGTTTTGAACTTTGTTCGAGTCGATCGTTCTAGCAAACGTGGGTGTTAAGTCGGCCCAGGTAACTGCCCTTGTGTTGATAAACTCCTCCAGATTTGTTAGGCGGGCCGTTTCAGACGGCACACAGATGCAGGCTCCAGAGATGAGTAGACATATTGATTCAAACACGAATACGTCAAAGGCGTAAGATGCGAACTGTAACATGCGCACGTCTGGTGTCAGGCCTAGCCTGGCTGCAATAGCGACCATGCTAGTGCACACCGATCCGTGTTCCATGACTAGTCCTTTAGGCGTCCCTGTGCTGCCAGACGTAAACAGCACGTAGGCGGCATTCTGTGCCGTCACAGGCGGCAGTTGAATATGCGACCCAGTCCTTGCTTCATCGTCGGCCAAGGTCTTATCTAGGGCTGCTGTCACCTTGACAACCGCTGGCCCTACACACCTCTCAGCATTTGTCGCTGATGTGAGAGTAAGCCTAGCCCCGGTCTGTCGTATTATCTCTTGTTGCCTTTGGATCGGATGTGATGGGTCTAGTGGCACCCAGACACCGCCAGCCTTATTGATAGCTAGAATTGCGACATAGAACCAGAGTGACTTCTCAAAACACACATGCACCAGGTCTTCTATCACCACACCTTGCTCCTTGATAAGGTAGCGTGCCAAGCGATTTGCCGCAGCGTCCAACTTGTCATATGTGAGTTCACCGTCCCACGCGCAGATAGCGGGCGCCTCGGGTTGTTTTCGCACTTGTTTCGTAATCATGTAATGAACGCAGTCGTCGATAGCCTCAGGTCCCTCCTGATTCCAGGCCGTGGCCAGCTGTAGGTCCCATGGGCCGGCCAGGGAAACGTCACGCAGCAGCGTCTCCCCGGGCGCGAGCAGCTGCTGGACGACGTGATCAACGTGGTGGTACAGCGCCGTGACCTGCGCCTCTACCATCCATGCCGTATCGTACGTGGCGGCGAATTCGACGTCTTTCTCGCGCAAGAACGCGTGCACAACCAGCGGGTAGCCAAAGTACTCGTACGCGGACGACATACCCGTCCTCGCTACGGGGCTCATGATGGAATCCACCGTGTGGAACCCATCGAGGATCTCGGCCGGGTGAATGACCAGCACGTTGGCGAAGTCGCACGCCTCTCGCGCATTCTCGCTGAGCCTAGTCATATTTTGCAGTCCGAATTGTTCATGTGGAGTCATGCCGGACGCATGCGCTTGCACCCGGAGTAAGAAGTCGGCCACCTTTTGCTTAGAGTCGAGGCGGAACCGGACTGGGACGGTGGCCACCAGCGGGCCAGACACGCTGTCCAGGCCCGGGACAGGCGCTTGGCGACCCGAGATCGAAGCTCCGAAGCATATATCGTCCGTATCACAGTACCGCGCAAGTACAATTGCCCAGGCCGCCCTCAAGACTGTAGCCTTAGTAACCGATGTCGCGGACGGGGGGAGGGCAATGAGATTCGTCACAGTTCGGAGCACAGAGCTCCCGGTAGTGTTGGGCACACCAGGCTTGCGAGACGGAAAGGCCGCCTTACTGGCCTCATGGAGCTGCGCCGTCCAGTACCTCTCGCTCGCCTCGCGGTCAAGACCCCCGACGTATTGCATGAAGCGCGAGAATGGCTCCAACGTGGGGGCCGTGGCATCTTGGTACAAGCACTTCAGCTGTTGCATAATAAGACCGACACTCCAGCCGTCAAACACGGCATGGTGTCCGATCAAGATGAAGTACCTCTGACCGTCGGCTCCCTCCGTCAGCGCATACCGCCAGAGTCGCGAACCCGTTGACATCTCCGTCTTGTGGGTTTCCCCGACGGCGAGGTCCACGACGGAGTCGATTCCCCCGCCTTCCGGTGACTCCCATGCCTCCCATGCCACGTCATCTTTGAGAACAATCTGGAATGAGCCACCATCTGCCAGGATGATTCGCGTCCGTAGGCCATCACAGAGAGCTACGGTCCGCTCCCAGGCATCTTTGAATCGTGTGACGTTCACATGTGGGGACAATTTATACACCCACGTGGTCAAGTACGAGCCGGGCTGCTTGACGGCGAGCGCCATGAGACCTTCCTGGAGTGGCGTGCATGGGTAGGCATCCTCGATAGCCTGGTTCTCAGACAGGCCGCAATGCCTCGACGCCTGGTCCAGAAAATCGGCGGCGCGGCCATCTGGTAGCAGGCTGAATGGCGGCGGCGGCGCACTGATGGCAGCAGCCGAGCCTACTGTGGCGGCCAAGCGCCACAGCCGAGCATCCTCGAAGATAGACGTCATCGTCAAGTCAATACCGTGGCAGCTTCGGGCCAGTGATACCAGACGGATGGCGCTGATCGAGTCTCCGCCGATCTGTAGGAAATTATCGTTCCTACCGATTGATTCTGCCGGTACCTTGAGGACCGAAGCCCACAGCTGTTGCATCTGGGTTTCTGACGCTGTTTTCGGTGCTTGCTTTTCGGAGTCCACAAGCGAGTATCTGGCCATACTGTCTCTGTCCAGTGCCGCTGTCCTTCCCCGTAGCGTTTTTCTGTCCAGCTTCGTCGAATAGGGCATATACCGACATGGCACATACATATTCGGCACCATATAGCTGGGCAGCTTCACCCTTAGCGCTTTTGTTAAATCCAGTACCAGTCTTTCCACCTCCTCTGTCATTGGTAGGAAAAGGTCGTCCATACTGTCTCGCCCATCCCTGCTCGCTCGCTTGGTGTCCCAGCTGAAGCAGAGGTAGGCTACAAGATTCGTTCCAGCCTCTGTCCGTAAGACATCCACAGCCACCTGCTTGATCCCCTCAGGCTCTAACTTAGTCCGTATATTGAATTCCACTTCTTCTAGCTCAACACGTTGGCCCCGGATTTTCACCTGCGTGTCTTTCCGGCCGACAAACTCTATAGTTCCATCTGGGTTGTAAAATCCTAAATCGCCCGTTTTGAAGAACCGATCCCATTCTGTCTCTGGAATTCGACGCGGCATCCAAGCCGGCACTGGCGTTATGATAGACTCCTCTGTCTTCCTTCGGTTCGATAGATACTCGCGCAGGATTGTTGGGCCTTGAACGACGAGCTCGCCTACGCAGCCGATCGGCGTCAAGCGGTTATGATTTTCTGGGTCGACAATCCAACTGCAGGATCCGTTCATCGGCCTTCCCACAGTCATTGGCGATTCGTTGGCCGACTTCCACTCATGCAGCGTGGCAATGCAGCATATTTCCGCCGGGCCCCAGGCATTGAATAGGCGTACGTGGCCAAGCCAAGTGTTCAACATATCTTGACCAGGTGATTCTGATGCTGTGATCAACAGTCTTAGACTGGGAACATCTGTCGGCTTTATGGTACGAATGAAGGACGGCGTGAGTAATGCTGAGTTTGCTTGTGTATCGCGAATGAAGTCGGGAATGCCGGTCCACCGCATTTCATCCGAGGGCACGCACACACATCCGCCGAACAGTAGAGTAGAAATGATTTCTCCGATACATGAATCGAAGACGTAGGAGGCAAACTGCAAAAAACGCGTTTCTGTTGTCAAGCCAAGACTCATCCCGAGGGAGACCTGGCTAGTACAAACTGACCCGTGCTCTATTACCAGCCCCTTAGGGGTTCCGGTACTACCAGATGTGAATAGAACATACGCTGCGTTTCGAGAGGTCACCTCGCATGCTGTCGGCAGCTGCGATGGCAAGTCTGCCCTGCCTTCATCATTGGCCAAGGCTTTATCCAAGGCCGCGTTGACCTCGATGACGGCCAGCCCCAGGCTCTTGCATATATCCACATTTGCAGTCGACGTCAACGCCAGCTTTGCTTTGGTCTGGTGTACGAGCTCTTGATGTCTTTGGGTTGGATGTAAGGGGTCCAGCGGGACCCAGGCCCCGCCGGCTTTATTAATAGCGAGAATAGAAACAAAAAACCAGACAGATTTTTCAAAGCATACATGTACCAGGACTTCAGCTGACACTTCACCGGCAAGACGGCGAGCTAAACGCTCCGCTGCGGTGTTGAGTTCGCCGTATGTGAGCTTCCCGTCCCACGCACAAATGGCCGGCGCGTCTGGCCGCTGTCGCGCCTGCCTCTCAACTATATAATGCAGACAGGTATTAACAGCCTCGGGAGTATCAGCGTTGGTGGCTATCGCCCGTTGCAGGTCCCATTCGCCCGCCAGGGACACATCGCGGAGCAGCGTGCCGGTCTCGCCCAGCGAGAGCAGCTGCTGAAGAACGCGATCAAAGTGGTGGGACAGCGCGGTGACTTGGGCATCCGCCAGCAAGCCTGAGTCGTAGGTGACGGAGAGCTCGACGGCATCCATGTCATGCAAGAGCGCGTGCACAACCAGCGAGTAGCCTGCCATCGCGGCAGGGTAGGCCATGATGGGATCCGCCGCGCGGACAACCAGCAGGCTTGAGAAGTTGCATGCCGCCTGCGCATCCTCGCCAAGGAGTTCCGTCATATTCTGCAGCCCGAACTGCTGCTCGTGAGGAATCATGCCTGACGCGTGCGCCTGCACATTGCACAGGAAATCCGCGACCGTCTGCTTGGGGTCGAGGTACAGCCGGACCGGGACAACCAGCGGACCGTCGGAAATGGTGCCCTCCGGGCTTGACACGGAGGCACCAAAGCAGATGTCGTCTGTGTCACAATACCGCCCAAGTACGATCGCCCACGCCGCCCGTAGTATGATGACCTTGTTGACCGACGACGACGAGGCCGACGGTGGGAGGGCGATGCTTTTCGCTAGCGATCGAATGACGGGGGCGGGCTTCGGAGGTGGGAAGCTGGCATGCTTGGCACCACGGAGCTGCGCATTCCAATAAATACCGCTCGCCTCGTGGTCGAGACTGTCTAATTGAGTTGGCATTTCGCAGTCTGCTCCGGAGACCATTTCCTTCAGAAACTATATTCTAGAGAAGTGATTTCAAGAATATTTGCAAAGTGTTGGAGTACGTCTCTCAGGCAGTATCGTTACCTGTATAGTACACGACATATTTTATAGACGTTTTTAACGTAGACTGGGGGTGGCTGTAAGGCTGGATTACTATCTGTCGGATTATTACTGTCTGTTATGAGGTAAGTGATGATGTAAAGCTAGTCGCGCAATATACCGTACGTTAACTTTACCGCTTACATAATCATATGTCCTTACGGTTCTATCCTCTAGAAGGCACATTTTGTCGCACATTTTGTCGCATGGTTTGTCACGCGTAAGAGCGCCGAGATAGGTCTGTCGCCCTTGATGCCAGTGGCTCGAGCATAACGGCGCGGAGCCACGGTAGCCATAAGTTAAGACTTACATGTACTCGTAGCGTTACAGGGATTCAACAAACGGAACTAGACATCGATATTAAGGAAGACAAAGTCACGGCCCCTCAGCCAGGGCACGTATATGTATAGCTGATGAATTCAAATTTGATGTTGCATTGATATGTGGGACCAGAATATGAGTTTCGCTCGTACCTCTAATTTGCTGTATGAATTCGTTATTATTAGCCACAAAGAAGCTGCTTCCAATGCCCGCCGCGTAAGTACTGACTGTATCGAACTACGTATGAATTTCGATTTGGTCCCCACCCCGTCTTTAGATGTCTTCCATACTCACCCGCGTTTCTTTCAAGAGATCAAAGTAAACACCTATCCAAAGCCCTACTCTCCTCTCATCTTGACAACGGGCGTCAATTTGAGATTCAGCTGGGGCTTATCCCACATCGCATAGGACTTCTGGTCCGCCAGCCACCTCTGACTGCTCCGATCAAGCTCGATGTCGAAGTTGTAAAGGACCCGAGCCAGTATGAGACGCGCTTCGGCAAAGGCAAGACTGGTTTTCATCAAGTCAGCAAATGACTTCTTTTTCTTCTCTTTTTTTTCTCAAACAAAACAATCATATTCCAATACATGCCATGCCATGTTCATGTGTCAGACTATAGTAGGGTGTGTCAGAACTTACTTGCGGCCAATGCAGTTGCGGGGGCCCGCGCTGAACGGCTGCATCGCATCCAGCTGATCCCCTCGCTCCTTGTTGCCGCCCTCTAACCAGCGCTCCGGAATGTACTCGAAAGGCTGACTCCAGTAGTCGCTACGGTGGTTGATAGCCCATTGCCAGACGGCGACGGTGGTCTGAATGGATTGATTTTGTTAGAACGGATGGATGATTGCATCTATCTCACTGAGGAGGAAAGGAAAGGAGAGGGAAAGAAAGTAGTGACTCACACCCTCGGGCACATACTGGCCAGCGACAGACGCACCGCCCTTGGGCACTGTCCTAGGCAGGCCAGTGGTGACGGGCGGGTAGCGTCGGAGGCCCTCGTTGAGGCAGGCAAGCATGTACGAGAGGCGACCGACAGAGACAAGATTGATCTCTTCCTCGGAGGCGAAGCTGGAGCGGACTTCTTCCACCAACTTCTTCAGCTTGTCCGGGTTGGAGACGAGGAGGAAGGTGGAACCGGTGATGAAAGTGGCCGTGGTCAGGGAGCCGGCGACCATGAGCAGGGTGGAGTTGGCAGTCAGCTGTTTGAAGCTGAGGTTAAGATTGTCCTTCTCCTTCAGCAGGCCCTCGATCAGGTCCGGGCGCTCATGGCCGAGCTCCATCCGCTGCGCCAGCTTCTCGGACATTATGTCCTGGTGCTTCTTGCCCGCGAGAAGGCCCGTGTCAAACAGAAACTGCATCGGCCCCTGGCCGACGAGAGATATGAGCGCGCGCATGGCGGCATTCTGCCAGATGGACGTGGTGATGAGCCGGATCCAGGGGTGGACGCAGTTGCCCCCAAGACAGCCAAAGGGGGAGCCGAAACCGAGGTCGCCGATAACGTCAAATGTTGTGTGCCAGAACCAGTCCCGCATGGGAACCACTGCTGTCGTGCCGTGGCATTGCTCGTGGAGCCGCTGGATGAGTAGGTTGACGTAATTGGTGATGATGGGCTCGTGCGTGCGCATGGCCTTGTCGGAGAAGCCGTGGGCGAGCTGACGTCGCAGGGCTGCGTGCCTCTCGCGCGTCTCACTGAGAAGGTCGACCGGTATCTGATTGAAGATGCGGTAGAACCAGCTGGGCTTGGAAAACTCATCCCCGTTCGAGCGATGGCCATATATGTCCTTCCATGCTTGCACGTCGATATACGCGAGCTCATCGGGGGCGATCCTCACCACAGGACCGTACTTCTCCTGCAACGTCCTGATATGGAAGGATTGGTCTCCTTTCACAAGATGCCTCGCGCGTGGGATACGGGAAATGCGGTTCAATATAGGTCCGGGAAAGTTGCGCAGCGGGTGGAGGAAAAGATTGTAGAATGATATGCTTATTGCATAGCCGACACCCTAGTCCTTTCGATTAGTCTAACTCGTAGAAAAGGAATGTCTCCAGGCTTTTAGCATGACACAAATCATCACTTACCAATATGACACTGAGTAATACCATGCCCATCGGGCTGCCTATAGATAAAGACATCATCTTCCAAAAGTTGAACAGGCGAAAGCAAAGACAGGAGCATTTCACTGCTGTCAATTAAATACTTCAGTATATCAAATCAGTCAAATGATTGCGTAGACAAGGTAATGTAGAGATCTATGTGAGCAGGATTACTATCCGTACGATGTCTAAATTACTATCCAGCCAGTGTTTGAATTACTATCCGGGCTGTTTCTCTGCTATTCACCAAGTCATGTAGATACACATGTAGCATTCATCTTATCTGCATGGGTAACATCCTTTATGCACACGTACATACAGCGTATTGAGAACACGTGCTTTGATTTCAACGAAAAGCACCCAGTCCCCCGTCCCTTCTCGTCCCTCTACGCCCCTCTCCCATGGTCTCAGACGTGAATATAGGCGCCCTGCCAGGTGTCTTTTCCCTCCACTCCTGGCACCACTGCTGCTTGAATGGCAGCCAGGGAAACCTTTTAATATAGCAGAGAAATGCCTCACGGAGGCATGGATGGCAGATCTGTACGACGACGCGAGGTTTGCCGGTAATAGAATCATTTACTGTGAACAAGCTTAAGCTCGGGTGTCCGCTTCGCAGCCACAGTGTCTTTAGAACAAATACGTAAAGGAAAATGGGAGAGCTATAATATGACTAGCCATTAGGATGACCAGCCATCAGGATGTTCAGCTATACATTAATCTCTCTGGCGTAGTGTGCGGAGACTCAAGAAAACCTGTATGCCTGTAGCCATCTCCTCTTTTGCCCACCAGTTCATAGAGAATCGACCGGAAATCCATGGAGATTGAGAGACACGACAAGGTCTCGAGTGACTTCAGCAGAAACCAAGCTGGGCCCAACTAGCACCTTGGAAACCGTCCGCTCTGCCGGGGTCATCGAGCTTGACACAAACTAACCATTGGCGCGGAGATGGCGAGGCAGGAATGGGGTTTCGCTAAAAAAAAAAAAAGGAACCCAAATCCCACGATATTTAGAGACTGAATACTGAGCTCTACAAGGCGTACGCCTTCATAAAAACAATAAACAACATCAAACCAGGTCTGCTCGACATAGTCAAGTTTTTATGGGTGCCTTCTCGTGGCATCATCGCTCCGAGCTCGTCAGGTCAAGAGACGACCCCGATCCGAGGCACGCAGGCGTCACTGCGGAGGTTCCCGTCGAAGGCCTCCAACGGATCCTTCCTGTAATGTGTTCTCCCGGTCCTGTATACGCCATATACGTCCATAATAACGTAACTGTTCCAACGCTCTTGCGTACAAGACTGGCTGCATCCATGGACCAAGGAATAGAGGGTGGAGATTGTCCAACTCGATCGAGATCGTGTGGAAATTGCTCAATCAGGCAATGTATGAGAGAGATCCAGGCTCAACGACCTTGACACATCGGCTACCAGCCACGAACTATTGATTCCGAACGCAGCAACGTGGGACGATTTGGAAGGACGTGTTAGGAAAGTCGGTAGAATCCTTCGATCGTCGCCTTCAGGCAGTGATCGGTGCAAGTGGGTGGTGTACCAAGTGTTTAATCGCGTGATGTGAGTCGCATTCCAAACCCTGTCTTTAGGGTACTAGTTACTTAGTTCTTGTATTGATATACGTGATAGATGGATGTATAATGACATATGAATACATCGCTATGAGAGACGCTTTTATACAAATAAGGCACTAAAGCAATGACGCGACTTTTGTTTTCACAGGGTTAAAAACGTACATATACGAGAATGTACGTGACTAGACACTGACGAGGTAAGAAGTAGAACCTCCTCAAGGGGACGCCCTTCCCAGATGGCGAACCTAGGATGTGATCCCTGACTTCCTCTTCTGAAACTCCTGACCGGTCCAGAATCGTGCTCTCCTGATGATCCACTACCCCCCTTGGTGGCGTGCTGCATGGAAGTATGGTTAGGATTGCTGAGAAGCTGACTGGCCCACTTTCAAACGCTCCTTGCATGGAGAATTTGAAACATATCGGGAGCTGGGCAGGGCCGAGGCTCCGCGGGAAGACTAATGCTAGTGCTAACATGGAAAAGGATTCACTCCGCTTGGTTGAAGCGTCTGTACACCACATACACATACACCCCTGCGGCTCCCCACTCCGTATACGAGAAGAGGTGCGGATGGCATACATAGCCGCCGACGAGCTTCGCGTCTCTGTCATACCATGTCATCTCCTCACCGTGACCAGGTTAAGAGGTAGGCGAAAGTTCCGTTCAGCTTCGGGCGGAAAAGGAAAACCTTACGTCCGACGTATGATTGTATACCTACACAGGCATCCTAAACGTTAAATCGAGTACACGTTTTCCTATTGGCGATTTTGGACCCACTAGGTCACGATTTGCCCACTTTGCGAACAAAAGCGACGTCGGGCGGACAAGTCACAAATTAAGGTTTGGCATTCCTGCGAACATGTATGCCTTACTGCTTGCCGGATCTTGAAGCGAGCTGTGTCAGAATGCCTGGTAGTTTGGCTCGCAAGCCGGCGGCAGAAGCCTTTAAGAGGCTTCACGACATTACATAATGACGGTCGGTGGCCAAATGAATGGTGTTCGTGTGTAACTTTAATGGTACCGGATGGTGGTATTGGGGACAAAAAGTAGCAGCAAGACAAATGTTAACCACGAAGCCTCCACATATTGTATGCAGCGTCCTGCCGACCAAAGCTATGAAGTCGGGCGGCCCACTTCCGGCCCCTAATCCGGCCCAGCTCCCCGCCATTTTGTGTGGAGACATTCCCCCTGTACTAGGCTTAATTCGAGTATGACCTAGCATGAGGTATACATACAGCTACTGTACACGTTTATTCTCACAAACGCAGTTATAGTGAGATATCCTGCAGATTCGGGCTGCCCGGGGCGGGGGATTACGCTGCCCAGCTTCCTTCTCACCTCTCAACGATACAACCGGCATGGAGTCGTCGAGACAAACTTGCTCCACGCGCGCATGTGCCACTCTTCTAAAGTTTGCATTCCCATGCATTCCCACTTCAAGGACTGAATCGTGGCAATTACTTCGGAGTAAACTGCCTTTTCTAAGAAGCTAACAGATCTGCTACCAAGCGCTGCTCGCATGAACAATGAAGGAATCGCGGGGAAGGGATGAGGAAAAACGGAGGTAAATTGCATGCGGCGGTGGTACGCAACCGCTGATCGCATCTAATTCCCATAAAAATCAGTCTCTACCATAGTGGTAGCCCTTGCCGCCGTCATATTCTGCCACAATCTCCCAAAACAGCCATCCGTGTCCTCCGCCGATGATGGACTTGCCGTGTTCGTGTAGTGATTCTGGCAAACGCATCTTTCGGACCATGGCCAGTTTTGCGGGCCACAAGAGCGTGCCATTGGATGAGATTCTCCAGCTTCACCAAAACATCCATCTTCTCGGCCCCGGCGTACGGGAATGCCTAGTCTGTTGTACCAACGACGACGTGATGGCGGCGCTGCTGGATGGGTTGGCTACCCTCTGCATACTCTATGAAGCCGCACGCGTCAAGTACTCGGAAGCAAGTGCGTCAGGGGACGTGAACTGTTCCACCCGTGTCGCGATACATCCGGCCGCCCACCCCTTCCCAGGCGATTCGACCGCACCAGCTGAAAAGACAGGCGAGGGGAACGAGCATCATGTACACCCCACACCCAAATCAGTACCCAATGCTATACCGCCAGTGGTTCTTGGGAGGGTTGAACTCACGGATACCGAAGCACATTTAGTTGCTGCCACACTCATCAAGCAAGGGCTCTCCCAAATCCGCTCACACCTCCGAGATCTACAACAACACATGACAAAGTGTCTAATGGCCGACAAGATGACACGCAGCAGTTACGATATATACAAAAGAAGGGTGGGTGAAATATCAAGGAGTATCTACTCGTCGCTGGCTGTACCAACAATTCCTGTTGGTTGGCTGGAGGAGTAAGCTTGCAGGATGTCCTGTAGACAGCTCTAGCTACTAGCAGCGCTGTGGGACTACCACGCAAGGCGCCGGGTTATTATGGTGCATGATGGAGTGTTATTGGTACCTACCTTAAGCAAGATGTATACACCTATATACTGTATATAAAAAAGAGGTTTGGCCCTGGGCCATCTTTGCCAAGTTTTCTTTCAGAACCTATCCCCATCTAAAGCTGCGTGCCATATTGTTGCCGCGCCCCACCTTCTATCTCTTCCCAGACAACATTGCAATACAGAAACAAATTTCGATGTCGCCCGTGACAGACCGGATACGGAACTGTTGCGACCAGTGCGCCCATTCCAAGATCAGGTGCGATAGCAAACGGCCAATCTGCCTTAACTGCCGTCGCCGCGACCGCTCCTGCACATATAGCTATGTTCGGCAATCTGGTCGCCCACGTCGTGTTAGATCGACCCACGGTGATGGAGTCGATAATCAAGAACCCGTTGGAAGAACTAGTGACAATGGCAGATCCACCGGAGCCGGCCAGGATCGTCCTTCATCGACTACTGCGGCATTATCCTCATCGCCTGTTATGAGAGTAGCCCCAGCCCTTCCCGGCGAGTCCAACCGTGATCAATCACAGACGATACTTGATGGAGAAGTTTCGCACTATGTTGATCATGATCACCACACCGACGTTCCTGGAGCTGGCTTGGCACTGGATGATACGATTGTGGATTTTCTGGACTCGCTGGCCAATCCGCATTTGCAGCATCCCCTATCAGCAGATCACTTGGCTTCGGCGCCGGACATACCCATGGATATCAACAATGCAATTTACAACCAGACACATGAGGATGTTTTCATGAGCATCGAGCAGTCCCTGACGATGACTGACCTGAGCACTCCATTATCATCCCCGCCCGCTGACAGCTCTCAACTTGAACAAGGGCTGTCGGGCCTCCTCGACGATTCCAGGATAAGCAGAATTGTGGATGGTATGATAAACTCCCCATTACAGGAGAGATGTCTCGCATGCGCCACAGATTTACGCGACCAGTGTTTACATGCTACCGCCCATGGCGGCTCGGCCGACGACAAGCTGTGTCGATGTCCTACGATGCTGAACAAGTTATATCTTGTTGTCATGGACCCTAAGCTATCTCAGCCCACCAGACTGCTGCCCTTGGACTTGATCCTCTTTCTGGAACAGGCTCTGCAGAATACTGTTGAGATGATGAAGCAATGCACGGTCTGTGGCAGCTCAATTCTCTCCTCGGCAAATGGAATTACACTGTGCATGGCCGCGAATTGGATAGTCAACAGCATCCAGATAGCGCTGGAGAGCGAACTTGACACGTTTACAAGTAGGATGTCGTCGCATTCATTATGGGGCTGCCCTGAGCGCCACACCATAGAGGTGGGCGCGGCGAGGGAGCACCATCATGGCAATGCTACAAAGGCTGCTGCTGTGCCGCCGTCCCTGGACCCTCGCAACTCCTTGAGGATTGGGATATGGAGCGCATCGAGCGAGGCATGGGCTTTATGCGTATCTGCCATTCTAGCAAAACGAATCAAGAGAATACAACAAATGCTCTCTGCGGTAGGCGGAAATAGGATGGAGGTCGCGGAGATGGCCAACAACACGACAACAGTCAGGGCAAAATACGAGATGGCAAAAGACATACGCACCAAGACGGATTTACTATTGGGCATGGTTAGAACCTGGGTGTATGAATGCCACCGGCGATATTGATCCCCCTTTGTGCAACGGTCCATCGAGGCTGAGAGCCCTCATCGTCAAGAGGTCTGGAAATAAAGGGATAAAAGTATATCGAGTTGTACCAATTAAGCTTCGCTGGGGGTTGTTACGGGGGTGTGTACAGACCTCCAAGAGTGCTTGCCGCCCAGTGTTACGAACATGACTTCTGTGGGCCCGAAATCGCGGCAGAACAGGAAGGAAAGCCACACCACCCCCTCAAGGAAGTATTTTCTAGTTACTCTAGAGACGGTCGTTACCTCAGTAATTAATCTAAACATTTATCTTGCCCATAGGTGAGGCAAACGCCTTGACGGACTACTTCAGTCTTCAGTAATTCTCCGTACTTTTTTCCAAGCTCAGTACGTGTTGTCCTATAGTTCTGTGCGAATAGCAGACCCTGTTAATATAAGCCCAACACCAGCTCTTGTCTGTACGGGTTTGCTTTAGTAACAACATTTGTCACACCTGGTTCGCCACCTGTGCAATCTACTCCCTTGTCGAGTGTTGTTGTAATTCAAACTCTCATTCGCCAACCTCTCGCCGGAGGACAAAAGGGGAAATGATGGACTTTGTAGTGTGTACTTGGGTCCTGGAACAGTCCAGACTGGGAGGAGCATTGCAACGTTGTACTATACATTCCGTCAATCCGGATGCTCAGGGTCACTGGGTTACAAGCTCTCGGAGGCGGCGGCTGAGGAAGCTTGGTTTACGAGGACACAAAGGTGGCCAGCAAATAGGCTCGAGATGTGAAGCCGATGCCTGCCTCGGTACATTATGAGAACCTGCAATATGGGACCCACCCCGTGCGCAATGCGCAACGGATAGCCTTTCCCCGCGTCGTATTCTCCTTGTTTTGGACATGGTGCCCTGTAATGGTGGCCGCTGGTCCTGACTCAGCTTACCGCAGTGAGTGGAGAATAAGGTAGATGTGAGGCGCCACTGTAATGTAGTAGCTCTCGGTGAGGCATGGAGAAACGGGGGGAGGGCGCTTAAACTGGATATCAGACTGCGGCACAACCGAAAAGAAGCGTCAAAAAAGGTGCTTTGAAGGCTGGGCGTCGCTGCGTACCTAGGTAGAGCTGTGCCACTGCCAGGGCCTGCAGGTGAGCATTCGTCGACGCGCGGTGCCGAGACAATCTCACGAGGACTAGGACTAGATTACTGCTGGGCATCATCACATCAGCATTCGAAGTGGCGGGGATGCAGTATTCTTGCTTGTAATTATTCCTACTTGTGACGAACCAATTTATGCGGTTTCATGGGCTCTGATGCAGGCGTACATTGTTGGCGTTGTCTTTATGGGCCGTCAGACACAAGCCATGATGGTGACCGTCACGTCATCTGCCTAGCCGACTCACAATGTCGACCTGTCGAACGCAGCGCCTTCGCTTCCCCCCCCCCCCCCCCAATACACTATCCACACCTTTGTCTGGATCCTCGGTCCTCTTCTAGGTATATGAGCAAGCCAAGAAGCACGCACTGATCCGAATGGGAAAGAAGATTTCAAGTTTGCTTGCTCTAGTTACCCAAAGTGTTGGCACAAATTACGAGGAAGCTGTCAAGGAATAATGTACGATCTGATGTGGTAGAAATGTCTCCTAGATCGTATTAGATTCTGGGGCTGAAAGGCGGTGAGAGAGTCCTTTGAGTTTCTAGTGGACATGCTCTGCGTAGTACACGCTGCCGTTAGCAAGGGCGTTGGTGGGAGTGTTGCTGATGGGCTACAAGAAGGCATCGGTAAAATTGTTTGTCGTGCATGATGGTCACGGTATGGGCGATGTACATATGTACATGTATATATGTCTCAGCCTAGAACGCTATTAGGTTCTCAGGGGTAGTAAGTACAATTACCGTGCTGTACGTATATGTATTTCCACGGGTAGGAGCGGAGGCCAAGCCCGAGCCCGAGAGTTTGTTGGCATCCGGCTGAGAAGGTGGGGAAAAGATCCTTGGAGTCTTGGACTAAAAGGGTAGGTGTCACAGATATTGAAAATGACAAGGGAGATGATCAAAACAATGAAAGCCATTAGGTCGCTGCTGGAGCAGTGCAGCGAGAGACCTGAATAGCCGACGGGCCTGGCCCCAACACCTTGGAGAGGAATGTCAAGGTCGGAGTAACCTCGTTCCGGGCCTCCAATCACCCCCAACCTGACTTGACCCGTGAACCCATTTGTTTGTTTGCCTCGTTAGGTGAATTTACAACACCGTACCCGTGGACGAAGAACGACAACAATTACATCCAACAAAGATGACAAGAGAATCAGAATCACACTCAAAGTCGGCAGATGATCGATCTTCGTCGTCTCCGACTTTGCTTCGGGAGAAAACACAACCAAGTCAAGCAGAAGCGGCAGAAGGGGGACCAGAGACAGCCATGATTGCACCCAAAACGGGAGGTCAAGACCCCGAGAAAGCCGTGAATACCTACGACAGCGTTCCAGAAGAAAATCTGGGGACGACCGCTCCGAAAACCACTGCAGTTTCACCAGAAATCGCTGCGAATCCTACTTCGAGGGGCAACTTCGACGAGGAAGATAAGGAGTATATCAGCGGATACAAGCTCTACGTCGCCCTCTTTGGCATTATCTCTGTTTTCTTCCTGGTTCTTTTAGATTTCAGCATTACCGCTACGGTAAGTACGGGAAGCCTAGAGAATCACTTCGCGCCTGGGGTCCTTCATCGTTCCGCCGATGACGACCATGATGGACCTATGCTGGCCGAACAGCTGACGACCGTATCTCCTCGATTTCGTGGTTCAGGCTATCCCGTACATTACGAGTGATTTTCACAGGTTGCAAGAGTGCGTATTTGCAAGAACAGTTCCTTTCCCTACTTCCCCATATCGAATCCTTGTCGAGAGCCAAAAGTCTTTCAGGCGACTCTGCCCAACACCAGATCATCGACTCGATGATCCTCGAACAGTATGGTCACCAAGTCTCTGCTTGCTAACATTATGATTGAACAGTATCGGATGGTACGGAAGTGCCTATGTACTGTCGAGGTAGCTATCTTTCTCAGTGACCCAAAGTGCAACAACAATGTTTAGCAGAACTGAGACTGATTTAATCTTGATACAAGCGCGGCTTTACAACCTCTTACCGGAAAACTCTACACCTACCTCAGCGCGAAGAAGACGTTCTTATTCTTCTCCATAATCTTCGAGATTGGCTCTCTGCTTTGCGCTGTCTCGACCTCCTCGTTGTTCTTCATCTTTGGTCGCACCGTCGCCGGACTGGGAAGCTCGGGCTTGGAAAATGGCGCCTTGACCCTCATCGCAGGAGCGGTGCCTCTGAACAAGAGGCCCTGTAAGTCGCAGACGGCATAGCTCAACCTCCCACCATCACCTTTGGAATCATCGTTCCTGCCTGGCGACTTCAAACTAATTATTTGTTGTCTCATGTAGTCTACTATGGAGTAGTATTTGCAGGTCAGCAAACATGATCGAGTTTAACAAAATATCGCAAGCTGACGATAGACTCAAGTCTGTCAGACGGGTATAGTTGTCGGGCCGCTGATCGGTGGCGCCTTGACGCAATACGTGAGCTGGCGATGGTGTGAGTAGCTACTTTCACCCTAGCATTTCTGCGCACTTTCCACTTCTCAGCTCACAATTTGCAGGTTTCTACATCAACCTCCCCATCGGCGCGGTATCCGGCCTGTTTCTGTTGTTCACGCACATCCCAGACGAGACGCTCAAACCACCCTTCTCGTTCGCCCTCCTCCGCAGCATCGTTCCAGAGCTTGATCTAACAGGCTTTGCGCTGTTCGCCCCGACCACCATCATGTTCCTTCTCGCGCTGGAATGGGGATCCTCTGAGTACGGGTGGAGCTCGCCCACCGTCATAGGCTTATTCGCCGGCTCTGGCGCGACCTTGATCTTGTTCTTACTCTGGGAATGGCGCGTAGGCGAGAGGGCCCTCATACCCTTTCACCAACTGAAGCGACGGATCATATGGGCAAGTATCATACAGAACACAACCCTGTTCGTCAACAACTTCGTCGGGGTTAACTACGTCCCCATCTACTTCCAAGCTGTCAGGGGCGTCGGTCCCTCGCTAAGCGGTGTTTACACACTGCCCTCAATCCTGATGCAGTTGCTGTCCCTAATCATCACTGGAGCGCTTGGTAAGTCGAGCCCACCTCTTTTCTGAGCTTTGCATGGCATATGGCGCCATCTTTGATCCCACGGTCGATGAAGGAGGGAGAACTTCGAAGCTGACTCAGGATCCATATTAGTTCGAAGGCTCGGTTATTACATCCCGTTCAGCATTCTTGCAGGAGCAACAACTGCCGTTGCTTGCGGTCTAATATCGACTTGGAATCCGCATACTTCCACAGCAGCTTGGATCGGACATCAGATATTATTCGGTTTGCGTGGGATGGGACTACAGATGGTAAGTCTTTCCCCCCAAATTCGCCAACCATCCATCTCGGAGTGGGCGCCGGCTGCATCAACTCTTGCTGATTGGAGCAAAATCAATATGTTATAGGCTGTGATTTCGATACAGAATGCCGTCACGCCAGCCCAGAGCCCGACCGTGATCGCCTTCAGTGTATTCATGGAGAACCTGGTGGCGTCCATCTTCACCATTGTGGGCAACGCCATCTTTACGCAGACCCTGACACGGCGAGTCTCGGTCCTGGCACCATCAGTGAGCCCCAAGGCGGCGCTCGCAGTGGGTGGAGGCGCGGAGGCCGTGCGGGCCCTGCTGCCCCCCGGGAGTCCGGAGCTCTCCGGGTTGCTGCTCGCATTCTCGGACAGCGTCAACGCCGTCTTCTACCTGTTGGCGGCGCTCGCCGGCGTATCTTTCATTGCGGCGTGGGGGATGGGCTGGGTGGATACACGAAAGAAGGCACCGCCGGAGACTGAGACATAGGCCATAGTAAGGAAATTTGGTCGTCATGTACTCTCTCAACAAGGATGGCCAATCATTGATGATTAGATCAACTTTGAATAGAGTGCAAGAATCTACATGAAGAACTCATAGCAGTTTTACAGGTACTTTTAAGACTGCCATTTCCTCTGTGATATGCGGTCAACTTTCACATACACTATTGGAACGACACCGCCAATTCTCAAAAGTCGCAAGGCGTCATTGCCGAACCCCCTGTAGCTTACTGAATTCCCCGTAAAAAGGGTCATCCAGCATGAGAGGCTATCTCGAGGGAGGCTATCCCAAGGAAGGTTATCCCAAAAGAATCCAGTCATAGCAGCATTGGCGAAAGCAATTGAACGGCAATAAGATGGTATTTGTCGAGATGTAAGTCTTTACAGAGCCCGTGACTACGTGAGCAGTGACTGGTAGACCATTCGAGGCCGTGTCGAATTTGAATGCTTCAATTTCTACCGTGGGGTCGGAGTCTGATTCCAATGCCATTTCGGGCCTGAAAAGGGCTCAAATGAAGTTCTTAATTCGAGGAGAAAGCCGAAATGTTCTCTGTTTCATCTTCTCAGAGCCCTCTGTCTCGCGGCGGCACTTAATTTGGAGACTTATGGGCCACCCATGTGGATCATCGAGGTTGGCATAGTGACGATCATCTGTTGTCCACTCCACAGGAATACCCGGTTGTGTTACCAAAAAAACATAGAAGTATCCCGCGGATGGAGGGAAAACACGGAAATACGGGTTGGCTGGTGGAATGCCAATGATAAGGGCTTCCCGAACGTATGACCATCTGCTACATATGTATGCAAAAGTATCTTACGGACATGAAGTCTAACCTCAATGCTATTTCCACCCATTAGATACTTTATGAGAGTGCCAGAGTATTTGCATTACCAATGCTGGCAATGCATTGTCAATAAGATCATCTCTCGATGAACGATTTCACATCTGCGACAACGTTAGCTTGCGTTTCAGCCGAATGCCAAATATTCTTCTTACCACTGAGCCATTTCATGTACTCTCTCTGCTCCTTGAAGTCAATGTACTCGGGCACCCATTGCGCTAGCGTAGTGTTGATCCCCCTTTCTCGCAAATAATTTTCCATCAAACGCTGTAGATCCTCGTCCAGGTTTCCATATACAGGACCAGTGTATGCGGTCATGCACGTGTAGTCATGCTTTACTGTCTTGACATTAGCCCGTTCCTTCTTCGAGTAGTAGTATATTCTTGAGATCTGTATATCCCCATCGTCGGCAAAAACATCAAAAGCAAGAGTGTCATCCACACCCTCTTTCTCGATGATGATGTTGATGGGTACGGGATAGCTCTTGGCTCCTTCGTTGTCCATGAGGTCTTTGCCGTCTGCTGGGGCAACACCGTGTTCGGGCGCCTTTTTACCCCCTTGTTTGGTTGCATTATTGGTCTGTGTGCCGCTTGCTTGGGAGTCATGAAGAACATCAATGTCGTGCATAGGTAGATCTTGGAAATAGTCATCAGGGACGGTCACGAGGTCGTTGAGAGCCGAGATGGAAAAAGCTGCATTGATTCTAAGAGCCACTTAGTGATGTCCTGGATTGCTTCTGAGGGATTACTTACGTCTCGTGACCAAAATTGCGAGTCAATCTCACTTCCTGTTCTCCTTTTACGTCTTTCAACTGTAGCGCAATGAGCATATGAGAAGGGGCCCTGACTGATTTTCAAGACAAACCTGGAAGGGGCTGGTGTCTAAAAACTCTTTCAGATGGGCAGGCAAGACACCTGAACCGGAGCTGTTCTCTCTTTCCGACTGAAGCTCCTGAAACAGCCTTGCGACTAGCTCCCCATCAACTTTGTACTGTCAGAATGGGATCCGTGCTTTAAAAAAGTGGCCGAACAACGTACTATTGCCCTCATTTCCAGCCTGGAGCTTGCGAGGGGCCGTAGAAGACTGCATACTCTGGTTCACGTATGCTATGCTAGACTCCCTGTCTGGTTTTCTTGAAACGACAACGACTTGTGGAGAGCTATGAAAGCGCAACCCTGGTTGATTTCGAGGAAAAGGAACAGGTGGGTCAATTCAATTAACTAGGCAAGGTCTGGTTCAAGCTCCCCAAGAAAGCATACGGCGATGAACAAATGCAGTAAGACGTGCAGGGGCAAAGCTGCTAAATAGGAAAAAATGGAAGAGAATTTCCCGACCACCCCCTGTGCACTGGATTATCCACCCGATCATTCCCTGTACACACTATGTGTACATGTACTATACACATCGAAGCTATGCTCACCTAGTGCCCTTTTTGAGCGAGGCGTTTTCAGACGTAGTGAGGTGTGAGATGTGACTTGTGAGACAAGAGCTGACCAATTGAAGCCAGCAAAGGACGTTACATTGTGTAACGATGAGTATGAAAAGTGCCAACAGTCCAATTGCTTGTGCTGGAGCAGACACGAGCTTGATGGTGTCGGAGTGATCGGGAGGATTATTTAGTGAACGGGTGAGGATCGGGAGAATGTTTTAGTTGTAGTGAGCGGGGCGAGCCTGGCGTTGATCGGGAGGTTTATTTATTGTTAGTGTGCGGAGGGTGATCGGGAGAATCCCTCCTAGATGTATTATGAGTCGTAGATTCCCTTCAAATACAAGCCGAGAATAAAATCACCGTCAACTCCCGGCATCTAAATGTTTGTCAATCGCAATGAACATTCAGAACAACTAGCATCAATGGCACGTTTAGCAAACTCGCTGATTCGGGCTGCAAGAGTTGAACACCCATACCTCCCACTTCTCTTACAGGCATGTCGCGATTTGTCGGCAGCTCGGGATGAGTTACGACAGCTCCGCGAGTACTTGGCCGACCAGCGTAGGATCTCTCAAGTGCAAGTCCGAGGAAGGAAACGGCGAGTCCAGTCCAAGGATCAGCTGAAACCTCGAAGGCGCCGCTTAGCAGCTCGCAGCTCGGTTAGACCTCAGCGTCTTCTCGATCTTTGCCGACAACGAGCTCTAGGCAAACCTCTACCATATATTCGAGGCAGCCAACCCTTTGGAAGTCTAGAGATCCTATGCGAGAAACGGGTTCTCATACCAAGGCAAACAACGGCAAATTACACACTCAGAATTGCGGAGCTGTTAACGCGCCGTTTGGAACATGTGAAGGCTCAGTTACCAGATGACAAGAGCACTTTCTCCGTCCTCGACCTTTGCACGGGCTCAGGATGCATTCCGCTCCTGCTCCATGCCCTTCTAGCGCCGCATTTTCCACACTTGAGAATCATAGGGATGGAACTTTCTGAACACGCCCTGAAGCTTGCGAAGAAGAATCTGGCCTGGAATTTGCGTTTGGGAAATCTTGGAGCTCGAGCGGCGAATGAAGTCACATTTATGAAGCACAACATACTGGACAAGTTCCCGGCCGAGCTTGGAGAGTTTGACCTGGTGATATCCAACCCTCCGTACGCCACACCCCAAGAGTATCACTCCTCAGCGATATCCAAGTCCGTGCGATGCTATGAGCCGGTCGAAGCTCTAGTACCCGACGAGAATCCGGATCCAGATAGTGTGTCAGGACACACCTATTTCACTGCGATCGATTCGATTGCCCGCAGCACTCGTGCCAAAGCAGTTATTTGTGAGATGGGGCTCGAAGAGCAGTTTGCACATGTATGCAGCGAACTCAGTGTTTCACCGTATTGGTGCAAAGTGGAAGTCTGGCGTGATCAGGTCTATTCAGGTCTTCTTGGGGGAGAGCCACAAAGACAGCGAGTTATACTCGACGACGCCCGTGGCCTGAAAGTGGAGTCCGACGCACTAGGTATCGGCCTTTACCGCGTGGCTGTTGGCATCAATGAAGATTGGAAATGGCTCAACGAATTGCCAGATTCTATCCGGGGATAATGGAATGACCCGGACGGACATGTTGATTGAAATAGTAAACGTGTCTGCCGTTTGGCATTAGGTCTCCGTATATCGACAGGAACGCATGGAACTCTTTTGATGCAGCATGTTTCCATAGGCGGTCACTACTTAGTGCTTATGGCAGATGCTGGCACCTACCTGTTCCTCCAGCGAAGTATCCGAGTCTAGGTCCTTTGATGTCTGTGACGTGGTTCTCTGTGACTTGTCAGAAAACTGGCGATGGCCTCCAACTGATGCGAAAATTCCAGCGCAGGACCGGTTGTGGATAGCCCAATGGTGCTGCAAGTACAATGAGGAGAAACTGGTGAAACTTGCTATTTTTTGTTTCTCTTCGCTGAAGGGGGGGAAACGCTTACAACGCATACCCGGTGTCACCTGACTACATCTGCTCACGAAAACAACTGATCATGCGTCCTCAGAAAGCCATACTAAAAGATCATTTGATAATCTAGAGAATTTGTTTGGAGGGCTGCACATTTAAACGAAGGGGGTATCTGAGATGATGGCGGTTGCCCTGCCTTAACTACGGTGACAGGGACGATATCCGTTCTGCCATCTCGTGTACTTCCAGAAAAAATACATCCCGTACAGTGATTGCAAGACCGTATTTTCGAGCTTCTAGTACTACCTTCATAGCTGAAATCGAATCTCCGCCAATGTCAAAGAACCGATCGTTTGGCCCGATCGTTCTGGGCTCAATACGAAGAGCATCTCCCCAAATCTGGCGTACTTGGCCCTCGTGCTCCGATAGCATCTTGTCTTCCGAGATAGGCATGCCTTGTCTCATACTCCTTTGTATTTGTTTCTCAAGTGCTCTGCGATCGATTTTGCAGTTATTGTTGAGCGGCATTCTGTCCAGGACCTTGATCACACGAGGAACCATATAAGAGGAGAGCCTCGTCCGAAGTAGCTCAAGTAGTTCGTTTTCAGCCTTGTCGTTCATGTTTTGTTGCATTGGCTGGCTGCAAAACATGTCAAGAGAGGTTGTTCGGTCAACTTCTGGCGGAAATTGAAACATAACTCTTGTTTTGTCGTCAGTCGGAGGATCATGGTAGAAGACGGCAGTCAAGGCTCCACGCTGTAATGACTGCAGCGTCCAACTAACTTCCACTCGGCGACCTGCATGCCTTGCTAAGTCCACCAAATCATGAACAGACAGTGAACTCTTGTGTTCAGCAATACGGTCGTGTGACATCCAGCCCCTTGGATTGGTGGCTTCCTCACCTCCACCTTCAAGCAGCTGGAGAAAGCGTTGTCCACGCACCGACCTGCTGTACGGAATATTGGTGACAGGTATAATTGCGCTTTCTGAAGCCATTCTCAAAAGGGTCAATAGTGATTGACGATCAAACCCTTGTTCTTCGAAGTCGACCCATTCGACCGGGTTAACCTGTCGAATGTGAAGCTGCGTGTCTTCGGAACGGACATGAATAACAGCGGTGTAACGTAAAGGTCCTAATCTATTCCCGGCGTCAGTCTCGTTGGGTATTATCTCGACGTGGGAAATCTCTCCCGGGAACCTGTCGAGTAGGCTGGTAAAAAACGCTGGGTTGACGAGGAGCATAGAACCATCTAGCTTGATCTCGGCTATGCTTCGGATATTGTCGTGGCTAATAGTTTCGCCGAAAAGTCGGATTGCCCCTTCAACAAGCGACTCTCGATATAGGACGTTCGAGTGTACATGTCCGAACACGATTGTCTTGACACCTTCTAGCTTCAGAGCTTCCCTGACAACGTTGAGAAGATAGGCCTGGCTTGGAAAGAAGTGAATGATGGAGTTCAGAACAACAAGACCTGAAGATATCGCGAGGCATTGTGGTCCTAGGTCTGATGGAGCTGCCTTGAATACTGTGGCAGTCTTTTCCACGGCAGGCGTTGAATCGATGATTTTTTTGATGAAATTGACTGCGCCCTCGTGTGGTGTATGGTCTGTGGTATTAGTGGATGCCGCTGTGGGCAGGCTAAAGAGGACAAACTCAGAGCGAGTCCATCTCTCAGGAAGGCGGCTAGCATCCCAATTATTGGCCATTGGATCGATCATACCAGCCAGCCATCCAGTTACTTGCTTCGCATCTCTTTCGCTGACGTCATACATGCTCTCCCAGCTCGTGAAGGTTCTTCTAGGTGTTTCGCAATGGCCGCAATGGATAGATGTTGATTCGCCTGTGAGTCGTCTTTCCCACTGTTCCAGCGGAAACGACGCCTGAAATGCAGCTCCATTGTCGTGAACAGTGATGAATGCAGTAATCCACTCACTCTCATTATCTTCGTCTCTATGCACCACCGCAATAGCATCATCCACGCCGGCGTGTCCGCGCAGGACATGTTCTATTTCACCAAGCTCGATCCGCTGGCCCCGTATCTTGATTTGAGTATCCTTGCGGCCGGCAAAGATCAAGCTGCCATCCTCGCGATACCGTACCAAATCCCCAGTTTTGTAGAGACGTCCATGTCTTCCTGGCCGACCGACTGCACCGGCAAGTAGCCAGACGGGATCCGCGATGAATGATGCCGCTGTTCGTTCTGAATCGTGAAGATATCCGAGACCAACAAGCGGCCCCTCGAGAAGTAGCTCGCCCACAGCGCCAAGCGGGACTAGTGATTGGTGATTCTCCGGATCCACGAGCCAAGTTACAAGACCAGCTCCTTTTCCCAAGTGCACTGCGTCCTCGGGCGTCTTGGCGTCGTAGTTGATTGTGCTCGTCGGTGTACATTCGCATGGCCCATAGAAGCTCATAACTCTTACTGAATCCCACCATCGGCTCACATCTCGTACTTGTAAGGCCTCGCCCCCAAGAATAACAGTCTCCAGAGAAGGTACCAGATGTGGTGATAGGAGTGCCGCAACGGAAGGAGTTAAATCAACTGTATTCGCATTCAAGGATACGATGCTCTGAATCAAATTATCGCGTCGATCGTTTTCACTGGGGACACAGATACAGCCACCAGCCACCAGAGTTGTAAAAAAGATTCCGATAGAGGCATCGAAGCTATACGAGGAAAAGTCGTAAAACCTCGTCGTGGCTGTGAATCCCATCCGTTGATGCTGATGATGGAGAGCCGAAGCGAGATTTCGATGCGATATGAGTGCTCCCTTTGGCTCCCCAGTGCTTCCTGAAGTGAAAGCAATATAAACGACAGAAGAAGAGTCTGGAATCAACATGGATGAATCTATCTGATTGTGGGAACTGTCGAACAATTGTGAGGATAGAATGATCGACTTTGGAGTCAGCCGTGAGCTCAAATCGCTCTGTGTGAGTGAAGAGACAATTAGATTTGCCCCCACCTGCTTGACTATGCTCCGAAGACGGTGTTCTGGCTGGTGAGGGTCAATCAACACGAAGCCTGCACCAGCTTTGAGCACGCCGAGCATAGCGACCGCTGTCCACATGGATTTTTCGAAGCATAACGGTACGATCGAAGCAGTATCAGGGCCAATTCCTAGACCAACCAGCCGACTGGCCAAATTCGTGGCAAGCCGGCCGAGCTCAGCATATGTCAGTGCACCATCCCAGGCACTAATTGCGGGTGCATCCGGCTGTGCGTCTATGCGCTCTTGAATGATGACATGGACACATTGATCCACACGTGCTGGCACCAGCTCATTCCACTGCCAGATCTGGGCCAGGTCACTAGGACTGGCCATTTTCGTAAACCCGCTGAAATAGTCGCTACAACGGTATAGCTGGTCAAACAAAAGGTTGAAACGGGCTCCTTTCTGAAGCCGGACAGAGGACAAAAAGGATAGCTGCAATACTTCTTATAGCAAATAAGCGAGCAGGGGGGAATCGTAGAAAGCACAATGTCTACTGATTCTAGCTATTTCTGAAAAGGCGTCCGGTGCTCCTTAGTAATATAGACGAAAGGAAGAAAAAACCGCTCCACAATAGCTGTCCAATTATCCCACACTTTTTTTTAGCGACCCGAATGGAATATGAGAATCCCATGGCGCATCGGGATATTAATCTGCCTAACTCGAGGACATAACCGCCCGGCCAATTTTGACGAGCATTAATAAGTCAGTGACAAACGACACCTCATGGACACAACATGGCTGATGTCCTACATGCGATCGAAAACGGTTTGCTGTGTACTTCGAGGGAGACAATTTTAAGCCAAAATGACCTAGAAGAGTCTCGAAGTAGGTATTCTACCGCCATAGGTGATGCGTCGAATATCAACGCAAAAAGGTTAACCATTTTCTGAACAAAAATAAATTTGTCCGAAAGGAATTTCTTGAGCTTTCACCAAGACTATTGTAACGGTATATGCGTTTTCCTCCTTGGCCTCCTTTTCTGGTTGGGCGCGATTTCTGAGTACCAATTCTGATAGCCAGTGAGTGCAAGACGACTATATCATCAGGCTGAAAGGATTTCCATAAGTCTAGATAACGCCTCCTTGCTCACGGAGAGAACAGTGTACAAGACAGAGCTTGAAAGCGTTGACTTTTTCCCTTTGTCGTATTTACAAAACCACCCGATCTCCAATAAACGGGCAATTCTCCAACACCCGTCCCCACAAGATCGGCAAGTTTCACTCCACCCAATGAGTATCGCCTTCGCAAGCTTTATAGTTTGCAGGGCATGCAAGGGAGCAATCAAACCATGAGTCAGAGGACAAGGTCGCCATTGCGAGGTACCCGTCCGCTGAATCGCCTGCTTACAACAGTGTATTCTTTCCGGGAAATATACTGCAAACATCGTGACTGTTATTGAAAATACTTCAGAATACCTTCAAGGACAATTTTGAGAGCTAGAGAACTGGAGTTCAGAATTGCGGCCATGAGATCTGCTCCCCCTCCCAAGTCAGAATCCTGCCGCCTCCTACTCCTGTGCGCCAGATCTAACAAGATCGACGGTAGCGCAATGGAATGACCCACCAATGCTGTTGACATGTGCAAAAGGGATCATGATTGGCTCCATGCCCAGCGTTTTGAGCCATGCTGCGAATTCCTTATCGTTCGCCTCAACTAGCACACGCTTCTCATCCAGACTAAGAGCATTCAGGAACAGCCAGGGACTGCACATGTACATCGGTGGGCTCGGGGGTTGACGGGGCTTCGGCACTATTGGGCAAGCGAGCAGCTCCCAGTCGCGGAACACCTCATGTTGCCTCAGTTCATGCTCGGTTACGCGCTCCGGGTGATATACCATAAGACCTTTGCGTAAGGGTAGGAGAGTGGCATCAATATGCATGGCATGCTCGTCCGTTGTCTTCAGAATCTCGACTTTGTAACCCTCTGGGACCACGGCCCGTAGATATTCCACTCCTCTGCGATTCGTAACATGGCTCAGCTGGCCGATAACGACCTTGCCGAAGCGCATAAAGTCTGCCGCGTCAAAGGCGGGCCTTGAGTTATTGATGGACCAGTGGGAGGCGGAACCATTGCCTCTGGTCGTGCTCTTGCCTAGCTTGCCGTGATATAGGGTGTCATCGCCAGTAATCAATGGTGCTCGACAAATGGTAGCGCCTAAGTCGCTGCTTCCCAACTCAGACAGAATGTCAGAGTAAGCCAAGGTGATTTCATGGCGACGACAACGCCAGGCAAATGGCGCCTCGATTAGTGCAGTTCCCACTGTCATCAGACCGTCTCGGGGCATAGCGCCAGTGTAGCCTTGCACTTTGAGCCAATTGACCTTGTTGGGACGGTACACGCGGACTCCTTCCCTTTGCAAGATGTGTGCCAAGTTGTCAAGCTCCGCCTGTGCCCTAGCGAGGATATCAGGGGGAAAAGGGCTCGAGGGCTTAAAGTACGGCAGGTGCTCTGGGGGCATGGTTGCTGCCATCATATGATCCGGCTCGGATGGGAAAGCAGAGTTTTCTGCCCTACCGACAATGACAGATCGAAGCGGCGACCATTCATCTTCGGCTGAGATCAGAGGAGGCTCAGGTGTAGACATATTGAGATTCCAACAATGTTTTCGTGTAGATAAGCAGTGATATGGCTGGGTGATGATGAGGACCCGAACCGAAAGACGGCGAAAGAAATCAACATGTAGATTTTATATTTACTGGCCTTCTTTGAGCGAATGATGCGACTCCCTCCTTCACAGCGATCTTGTAGCAAGTCCGAAGTCGCAATGGAATCCCCCGAAGACAAATTTTAGCCCTTGTAAATTAACCGATAAAAACGTATGTTCCGGGTAGAAGAAAGAGAATCTACCGACATGAATGGGTGGCATATAACGAGATCTGTCCCATGGATATTTACCGCATACACGTGGCCCCTGTCGACGACCTACAAATCGACAAAGTCTTCAAAGGCGTGTGACGAAGTCATTTTTGACAGACGAAGAGGCCCCTCATACTGAAACCCCAAACAAAGTTGATCAGCGTGCTGTTCATCTTCTCTGTTACTGCTGACCACACAATGGACGGAGCCCTAGTTGCGGTGTTGATTGGCGTCACCGTCGCCGGCACAGTTTGGAGATATATCATATATCCGCTGTTCTTATCCCCTCTAGCTTCTGTTCCAGCAGCTAGTCCGATTGCGCGCTTCTCAACGCTCTGGATTGAATGGCATAGGCTTCGTGGGACGGACTTTCAAGTCATCTCGGCGGCGTTTGCGGCCAAAGGACCGTATGTGCTGGTCTCACCGCGGGAGCTTGCCATCAATGACATGGATGCTGTCAACTGTGTATGGGGCACCGGGTCAACCGACTTTGACAAACATCCGTCTTATGACTACTGGGCCACTCAGGGGTGTGTGGAACTTTCTTTTAAGACTTTTTCAATTTTTGCTCTACTGCCCTGAGACGTTGGATGCCGGATCATTGCTAATGAAGTAGGTCTTTGAACACATTCACCTCAGTGCTCGGCCCTGAGCACCGCCGCCGCCATAAACGCATTCGAGGCGTGCATAATCGAGCATTCATCGGCTCGTCACCTCATATTCGAGAGAATATGCGAAATCTCATGGTGAACCGCGTGATTCCTGTGCTCGACAACATAGCCGCATCTCCAGAAGGCGCCGAGAACGTGCTTCCGATTGCCCAGTCTATGATTCTTGACTGCACTTCGGCATTTGCGTTTGGTGTCCCACTTTCGCTCGAATTTGTTCTTAATCCAAAGGCGCTGAGGGAATGGTTGGATCTGTTTGCGATTGCATTTCCGACTGACCAAGCTTCGTTCTGGCTTCGAGAGCATCCGCGTCTCACAAAATATCTATGTATGCTTGGGGTGCCCCTTGTATCAAAAGATATGGCTTCGGCGCGTCGCCAATTTGAAGCTTGGGCATTACCAAAGGTTGACGGGGCCGAAGAGATTTTGAAAAGGAGGGACCAAGGGCAGGCGATAGAAGCGGGACAACTGCCAGTCTTATACGATGCTGTACGGACTGATCTGGCAAAATCCCAGACGGGAGCAGAGAAAGTTGGCTTCTTAATGACTGAAGCTCAACGTCGAGAACTCGCGAGTGAGTGTCTCGACCATATCGGTAAGCAATCCTAACGAGACTACACTGCGTATGGGGACTAAGAACATCCACCGCCGCATAGCCTTCACCGCCGAAGCATTTGGCACAGTCTTCACGTACATGGTGTATGAGCTCTCACACCATCCAGAAATTCAGTCAGAGCTCAGAGAGGAATTGCGCTCAATTACAAACCCGCTTCTAGACACTGAGAACCCAACTGACATACCTCATTCGCAAACTCTGGAGCGGATGCCGTTGCTCGGCGCCGTCATCAAGGAATGCTTACGCCTTCGCAACACGTCACCTAACGCAGATCCCAGGGTGAGCCCCTCGAATTGCTCTTGCCGCATCGGCGCTCTTGAGAGTGTACCACCTGGTACGCGTGTATGCAGCTTTGGCTGGTGTCTTCACCGCAACCCAAACGTATTTGCAGACCCCCTCACCTGGGATCCCAAGCGGTGGCTTGAGGAAGGCCGCGGCGACGCTGCAGCAATGAAAAAATGGTTTTTCGCTTTTGGGGCCGGCAGTCGACAATGTATTGGTCAGCACATCGCCGTGGAATGTAAGCTATTGTCCCGCGTTAAAGAATGTGGCAGACTGCTGACTATGCTGTGATGAATGCAGTGTTCCGCGTATCGCTCGCAACGGTGTACACCCGATATGCCACTTCGATCGTCGATGAGACTGGCTATCCCGGTCGTAATAAACCAATGAGCCCGGCTGTCAACGAGAAGCTGGTGGTGAAATTTGAGAAGATGCCATTGAAGTGAGCAGCGAGGTCAAAATCATGCTAAATCGCGGGATGGAGCTGGTTGGAGCGAGTTGGGCACTTTGGACGCATTCTTCAAGCACCACACCTTTTACATCCACCTAGCTATAATTATCACTAATAAAATTTAGCTATTTAAAGCCAGTGTACAGGTCCGTTTCGGGGGGTTTTGTATGTAGAGGACACCATGTCTTCTTCAAAGACCCCGGATTCCTAGGTGGGGGGAAGGTTAGAATATCGCCCACAACAGTGGGCATGATGAGGAAAAGCCTCCCACCCTAGGTATCGGCCGTCGACTGGTAGATATAAACGAACATACAAATACGTCATATGCAGTATACGAAGCACATAAAATATGGCATCACACGACGTCCAACTACTTAAATAGTGGTATGTATTAAGATTATTGAACTTTTGAAACTGTTCCATCTCGTTCCCTGCCCCTCACTTTTACTCTCTGTCTGCTGAGATGAAGAGAAATACCAAAAGAAATCCAAAGGAAGAATATTTCAGTGAAGAACAGCCAATGATGGGCAAATCCATAATGCACATCGAAAAGAACGCGGGGAATAGGCTCCAAGTGCAAATCTATCATATATCGAAATTAAATCTATCATGTATCGAAATTAATTTCCCTCTTCCTATTACGAAAGCTCAAATGCGAAGAAAAGAAATCCACTTCCTTTCTTTTTCAAGTCATACGCTAGGACATTCTATATCTCTCTCTGCCCTGTTCTTTGGAGTCCAACTTGGGTCATAGGTAGTCGCATGTTTCCTTCGGCGGCTTCAGAACGCCTAAGGCAAGGCGGAAAAGATAGTAGAACAAACCAAATCGAGTAGTCTTAGCTCGTTTGTGTTCCTATTTCCCAATTGATCTGCTCCATCACTGCGGTATCAAGTACGTTCCTGCCGCTACACACTTCGAGTTGTAGTAGCCGTTGCCGCGACCCGAAGCCTGGCCAACGCGTCTTCAGACAAGTCCTCAAAGTATGGGTGGTTGATGGCAGCCTTGGCAGAGATGCGACCAGCGGGATCGTATAGGAGCATCAACTCTAGCAGGTCAAGACCTATGTCATCGAGGTTGTTGCAAAGAACAGTAGAATAATCTCGTACCCACTTGGGGAAACTGGACTTGAAGTCTGGATACGACGTGACGCCGGGCCAGACATCTTCTGAGGGGGTTCCTAGGGTACTATAACAGGAGACATGGTCAGGTTAGTAGGAATGTGTCACATATTTGATGCTAAAAATAGACAACGTACCGGAAAATCTTGAAAATCTCGTCGATCTCTGAATCACCAGGGAACAGAGGCTTACGCGTGCACATCTCAGCAAATATACAACCAACTGACCACATATCGATACCAGTCGAGTACTGCCTACCGCCAAGTAGAATCTCGGGCGCGCGATACCATAGTGTCACAACTTCGTGGGTATATGTCCGCAGCGGTACGCCAAAAGCACGCCCAAGGCCGAAATCTGCTAACTTCAGGCTGCCGTCACGATCGATCAACAGGTTCTGAGGCTTCAGATCGCGGTGAAGCACACGGTGACTATGGCAATAACGAACACCGGAGCAGAGTTGCCACATGAACTTCTTAACCATAGCATCTCCTAGTCCCAGGTGGCCCAATGACTCGCTCGAGCCCTCGGGAAGGGCCTTCCCCTTTCCACCATCGCTGACAGGAAGAGCGTCCATGTACTTCTTGAGGTCGAGGTCGAGGAATTCGCACACCAGGTAGAGACTGTGGCTTTGTGCATGCACAATATTGAAGAGGCGCATGATATTGGGGTGCTTCATCTCCTTGAGCAACGAGATTTCGCGGATGGCCGTGCTGGGCACGCCCTCATCTTCGGCCTCGAGGCGGATCTTTTTCAGCGCGACTATGCGACCGCCGTTGGCGAGATCGCGAGCTTTGTATACGACACCATAGGTGCCTGTGATGCAGGAAGCATGGCCGTTAGCTTGGTGTTCCCTCTGGAGGAGGAGTGTGCGTGTCAGGTTTGAATGCAGCAGCTACTGCTGCTGGGGAACCCACCCTCTCCGAGCTTTTCTAGCTTCTGGAAGTTATCCATGACTGATAAAACCTGGCCAAGCTATATGCAGCACTCATACAGCCAAACGGTGTGTTCACGTTTCACTATAGCAGACTAAACAACCAGCCGACTTGTGCTGTTTGCTTTCGTGGATGCTACTCATCGGGTTGTTCAAAATTGACCGTCCTACGTGGGGTCTCGGGTGGTTTTAGACCAAGCCAGCTTGTGCCTGTTAGGTACGCGCCGTCGCGGTTGGCATGCAGGCTTGCATGCAGTTCGCTAGGCGCGTAAGCCGGAGCCCACACCTGCTGCAGGCTACCGTATTACCACGGGGCATTTATCCTTGTCGCACTAAACAAGGAAAGAAAGTAAGCAATGTGTGTTATTTTCCCTGCGCACCGGAGTCACACCCCGCAGCGCAGCTCGCGGCAAGGATTCAAGCGGTGATTTTTCATCTACAGCGAGCAGCCACGTATAATCCTGTCGACTGTTACCACAAGCCATCATGATGGAGTAGACTGGCTTAGGTGGGCCATGACTGACGCTGCCTTGAACAATGGCCCCCTAAACAGCAGCCAATGCCGGGCTTGTCTAGTGCCGACACGAATCTCATCTACTCTTTTCCCATGCCCTTGGTAAATATTTTTCAAGCTTCGATCATTGCGTACTTGTGCTGGAATTCAATGTTCAGTAGCAAGTTGGGCGGCGGTTCACTGTGGTGAGGCGGGGTAACGGATGGTTTCCTACCCGCGCCGGGGGATATCTAACGTTTGTGTAGAGCCCGTAGAGCGCCGGCGGTGTGTATACACATAAACAAACCTTGTAAATCTGCATTAAATAGCAACGCGCAAATTCTCCACCTACGGCAGGTGCATGTCTATGTAAATTGCGGATCCGTAATGCTGGTATATTGAAGATTCCAACAGGCGCAAGAAGCTGTGTCAGGTATCATACAACGCCAGAACCCATTGATTCGACGTGCTTCTCTACCTTCGACGACATGCGTCGCAGCCGTGGTGCTGTCACTAACTCGGACGGCGATCCACCACCGTATTCACTGCCACATATCAACGAAATCAGTGGTCATGATGACTGGACCACCGCCAAAGACCGCACGATGAAAAAGCGCATACAGAACCGTGTTGCGCAAAGAACTTACCGTAATTGTTGGCCCTCTCAAGCATACAGGCTAGTGCTAACGAGCCACAGGCCGGCGCGTGAAAGACCGGATGGCCGACCTTCAGGCGAAGCTTGACAATTGCGAAAGAAAGCTTCGATCAAGGGAGAACGATTACCACGACGGCGGTGAAGGGAGCCCAGGGTCACCTATGCAGAGGCCAGACTCTTTGCGCTCGACCTCACCTGTCGAGTGGCCGGCCGAAGCACGCTCTCCTCCTGCGGACGGTACCTCATCTTCAATCGGTGGTACAGCGACTACGAAAAGCGTCGAACCAGAGGTCTTCGAGTTTTCCAATCCTATATTATCAGAGAAAGGCGACAGAAGCAATGGCACAGAGAATGACGGTGAGGCAGTCTTCTCATCGCCAGCTACTAGATACGCTAAAGACAAAGAGGCCTCTCGACCGGTATGTTGTGGAACAGATGGTACGTTGTCGAAGCGCAGTAGATTCAACGCGAGCTGATGGAATGGCAGCCCAAGACACTTTATCTAAAGTGACCAGCAGCCAATCTGATTGCTTTGCACTTGGAAATGACAGTAGCCTTGCGTCCTACTTGAGCTCCGAAGATTTCAGTTCCTGGGAGTCTAGCATTCTTACTAGTCCATTGCAAGAGGTTCCGTGGACAGACGGCATACGGCCGGATGAGCAGAGAGGTGGCCAGTCGAGCAATCTGATGCTACATGACGCGTGCACTCCAACATCTATTTCATGTGATGAAGCGCCGCGTCTCCCCAGCAACTCAGCGGGCATGGATGTGGACGAACGCTTCAGGGGTATTCTATCGTACCTAGAAACGATGGGTTTCGAAAATTTCGACGATGTCGTTCGTACATACTATGGTCAACATTTTGGAGAAGAATCGTTTCTCTGTAACGAGCAACGCTTAAGCCGCAACAGGAGGCTGCCCGGCGTAATTGCTAGTGTCTTCGGTGCCGCAACGAAATGGAGTACCTGGGAGCGCAGGGGATTTTATGAGGAAATATTGAAAGCCACAGAGTCAATGTTGATATCAGAGAGCTTGGAAGCTCAGGATGATCTTCAAATGAAGGCTGCCCGCGTTATGGAGGCTCCGAGGAGTACTCTACCCCGTACAGCTTCAGCAGTCTCACCCTTGAAAAAGAGCGTTACAAGCAAGGTCAGTCTCCTCAGATCAGAAAGAACTTTTGCATGAATCAATTACAAGCGATCTACCTCGTCCCGAAAGTTCAGAAAAACTGACAAGAACGCAGTTGCCTAATCTCTGGGCATTAATGATGACGCTGGCGGCGTCCACCAACCCTGTAAGGAACAAAGACCACTCTGGTAAAGCACTTGCAACCCTTCTTCTCCTTCAGTGCGCCGGCCGCATGGAGAAAACTAAGGTCCTTGAATTGGTAGGCCTCTGTTTATGAGAGCGTAGGAAGTGTACACTTGATGTCGTCCAATGGACGGGGTTCATTGGTTGCTCGCAGCGGGCCATCCGGATGAGAGATGGTAAAGGCCCTCCAAGACACATTGATTTAGAGGGCATCTCGGCGGTGCAAAGTGTATTTGATCACCGCTCAAGAACATGTTGAACTCAATTCCTCGCTTTCAGCAAGACGCATCTTCCTCTCGACTACTTAATCTCGTCCCACTGCAATCCGCATCCAATTGTATTACCTTCGTAGAAATGCTTGAAACTCGTCGTCTTTCGTCCAGTCTGTCCACGGATATCCGATGTCTCTCAGAGAATTTTCGAGATCCGAGACTTCCGCGTCAGGACATTGAATGCCGGCCAAAACCTTACCCACATCGCTCCCTCCGTTGCGGTAATGAAACAAGCTGATGTTGAATTTTAGCCGTAATGCATTCAGAAACTTCTCTAACGCCCCAGGGCGTTCGGGAAAATTGAACCAATACAGTCTCTCATCTGCGACATCTGAGGGGCCCCCAACCAGATATCGATAATGCGATTTGGCCACCTCGTGGCCTGACAAGTCTTTGATCTCCATGTCCGCTGCCGTGATGCGGTTCATAAGGGACTGTAACTGCTGTGCGCGTTCCGAAGCCGCACCATCGAGTGATATACCGATTAACACACTGGCCATTTCTGATTCCGCAAACCCCGCAAAGCGGTAAGAGAATTCGGTCACGGCATGGGGCATGATGTAGCTCATAAGCTCTGCAAAAGAACCGGGTCTCTTGGGGATATTGACCCGAAGGAGAGCCTCTCTTCCCTCCCCCAGAGTCGCGCGTTCGGCAACAAAGCGTAGCCTGTCGAAGTTCATATTGGCCCCGCTGGTTATGGCGATGACGGCGCGGTTTCCATCGCCAGTGGGATTGGGATGCGCTGCTAGCCATTTCTTCAGGCCAGCCAGGGCCAGCGCACCTGCTGGTTCGACGATGGAGCGAGTGTCTTCGAAGATATCTTTGATGGCCGCACATGTCTCGTCCGTATTCACTTGGACCACCTCGTCGACTACCTCTTGGCAAATGCGGAATGTCTCTTTCCCGACTGTTTTCACAGCGGCACCATCAGCGAACGGTCCCACCTCCTCTAACACCACACGTTTGCCTTCTTGTAATGATCGTACCATAGCGTTGGCGTCCTCGGTCTCGACCCCTATGATCTTAACATGAGGCGCCATTCGCTTTATGAAAATACCGATACCAGCAATAAGTCCACCCCCACCAATACAGCAGAAAATAGCTTCAATCCTGCTCAGATTAGCCTGCTGCAATAACTCCATACCGATAGTCCCCTGGCCAGCGATAACATAGGGATCATCGAAGGGTGGGATATTAATGAGGCCATGCTGTTTCTCTAGTCTCGAACATTCCTCCTTGGCGGCGTCGAAATCTTGACCGTGTAATATGATGCAGCTGCCCAGCCTCGATACATTCTTATGTTTTATACTTGGCGTATTGGCAGGCATAACAATCGTGGCGGGAATTTGGAGCAATCTTGCGGAATAAGCGACCCCCTGTGCATGGTTTCCGGCACTGCAGGCGATTACGCCTTTCCAGCTATCCCTCCTATCGAGATGGGCCATCTTATTGTAAGCGCCGCGCAGCTTGAAGCTAAAAACGGGCTGCTCGTCTTCTCTCTTGAGTAGCACATTACACCCAAGTCGAATTGACAGGTTGATGGCAGGCGTCAAGGAAGTCTTGGAACAGGCTTCGTAAACGCGACTGGTCATGATAAGGCGGGTGTACTGAGGATCCTGTCAGCCACGAGTCAAGGTCTGAGGACGGAACCTTGGAACGAATTGAAAATTGGTTGGGGATTGTGCTCTGGGGGATTACAAACATCAGGATGCCCATTAGGCAGCACATACTCATCGGGCACGATCTGTCGAATGCGATGGCAATGATCCTCCGGTGGCAGCGACGGACTCGCGCTGTATTCATTTAGGGACAGACCCGAATGAGACGGTTTCCGAGGAACATGGCCGTTTGCGCCATTCTTCGCAGTACCATTGGCCATGGATGTGTCACTTGGTGTCGATGATATCCGCATTGTCCCAAGAAGTTTGATTTTTCATATCCTAGAGCTAAGTTGCATACATGCGTCAATATATATATAGTTGATGTCGAAAGGTTGTACATTTGGCAGTGATGGTAAAATTAGTCTTAGTCTTTCGACCTAGGTCTGACTAAATGTATTAGTCAGTCGAGTAAATGACTAAGTGGTTCGAGTGAGTAAAAGAAGTACAACAAAACCAACTCCAATAGGTAAATGATATTTATACAGAATGAGAATGGAACCGTGGAACCATATGTAGAAGAGCCACACGTCACGGAGGTCACTTTGTTTTCAAGATCGTCAGGTATCTGACAGGATGTCACTGTTCTGCTGTAATTGCTGCAACGAAATGAGATCCCGGGATATAGACGTGTCATTAGGTGACGATGTGTCCTTCCGACTCCTTGCACACTTTTCGGTGGCTTCCCGAAGTCGAGATGATCCGGCGACTTTGTAACGAGCAGCGCCGCTGAGCTCATTTTGGCCGGGCTCGCCGTACGCTTCGCCAGGAAGCGGTACGGCCACCGCCCCTGATCCGCGTGCAAACTCGGATTTCACGTCCGGTGCAAATCCATCGACATCCAGTCGCCTGTCTTCAGCTTGAATGCGTTCGACAGCGTCATATTGCGCTTGACCCAGCGGCGTCTGGAGACTGTGAAGGTAGAGAAAGATAGCAAGCGCGCGCGAGAGAGAGAGGAGGGGCAAAGGTACTTGTTGGCTTCGAACCCAGAAGCCAGAATGTCTGGTCGATCAGGGGAGGGGTGTTGAGAGCAATACGGCTCGTAAAGTGAAGAGAGACGGAATTCTTACTGGCAGAGATTATATTACGACGCTATCTAGAAGCTTCATCTTGTAGAGAAAGAGCTTCTTCTAGCCGCCCATCCACAGATAGTGGACCATCTTCTCGCGCAGCGGGTGAACTACTGCGCTTGGCGGGCGATTCCAAGCATGAACTGCTCGGACAGGTCGGCAGTGTTGCCGAGGGTGAATATAGCCATGCTTAGCTGGACGACGGCCGGATGCCAAGCCGCAGAACGATATGATGTACCGAGATTAGCTAGCCAACTCGATGAGAAGAGGATATACGAGATAGTTTACCCTTACACGATCACGCTGGGTCTGAGCATTACTATCCCCTTCAGCCAGGTCAAAGAGGGGCCCCGTTCGGTGAGCACACATTATCTATTGTGAACAACACAATTAGGTCTGATGGGAATGATTCTAGGGCACATTGAACATGTGTGACTTCTCTCCTATAGAAAGCGCAAGAGAAAATACTATTCGTTTCATCAACTATTTATTAAGACACATCAAATTCTTTTAGGTAGATTCAGGACTCCCCTTCACACACTCCTTTTTGGTCCTCATCAGCCGTTGCCTGAAATAACATTTGACAAACATGCGGCGTGCTTGATTTCGTATCATCGCTCTACAGGCGGAGTCTTTCTGGCTGTCTTTGTCATTTAAACAGTAGCCAAAACCTCTTTCAGTGAGCTCGTAAGACTTTCCATCTATGCAAGTAATGAGCTGTGTCCAATATCAAGCACACTGCAAAGTATTCGTACCTTGGAAATGTCATTGATATCAAAAATATTATAGTGATCAGCATCAACCTCAACGACAGCTTTTATAAAGCCAGGATGCCCGTTTTCCCATCCAAGAAGCTTCTCGTGTCGGTGAAGGTCCACCAAACAGACATTTGATGAATTGTATTGATCATCAACATATCTTCTACAGCGAACAAGAAGGGCGGGTGGTGGACCAGTTGACTTCAGCCCCGAGTCTCCGTTCTCGAGATTGCTGTTCTGTTCAACGCATTTCACTTGCCTGTCCTCGGACTTTTCATGTGTTGATAGATTCGCCAAGTGGCGATTGTTCTCAGATCCTTCTCGTTCCCATGTAGGTAGATTCCAATTCTCCAACATGATATCAGACCGGACCATCGATTTTAGAGCCAAATCTGGCAGATCATTCAGTGGAGCAGGTTGTAGGTCAGGCTCAGTGGTGTTTGACAGTGTTGGATCTATGTGGCTCGGCGAGAAAACGTAAGGGGAATCAATCAATAGCAAAGCAGTGATTGCAATGGAGGTTGTCCCAGCTGCTAACATACGAGCCATGGCAATTGCGACAAAACCACCGAAAGACCAGCCTGCAAGTTATGTTTTGTAAGCTCATGCTTTTAGGACAGGCCAGATAACGTTTGTCCTTTCTATGGACCTTATGTAGGTATAAGAGTGAGGGCCTACCTCCCAAGACAACAGGGCCTGAAATTCCCACAGCTTCAATTAGCTGAACGTAATGACTTGCCATTTCATCTAGGCCACCTTCCCAGGCGGAGGCTTCCCAATAATTTGGATCGTGGATTGCCCACACATCACGATCCAGGTCGCCAAGCGCGAAGTAGTTGAAGGTTGTACCACTACTATCGTGTATCAGAATCAGCGGCGGCAGCCTAGGCTTGCATTTTTCGCCTTCATTCAACGGTGCAAATTGAATTTGAATTGGGTTGGGCGCGTCTGGGTACATCGTAGCCCGATGTGATACCTGTAATGGAGCTTGGCTTGATTGATTGGGGGTATTTGTCTCAACAAGTATCGAATTGGTTTCGAGGGCCTAATGATCTCCTCTTTTCTTTTCTCCCACTTTCTTGTCACGTCTGATGTGGCCTGGTGCTGGTGGCGGCAGAATGTCCAAGGGCGTTCCTTAGCAGGACCACGAAATATTGGTCACGTTACGGGTTAGTAACATTGCTTAGATCATACTCACTCCGCGTGCGCCGGTCACATATTACCACATACCGATAACGTCAGCTATCTGAATTGACATGGGGTAAGACCACACGTAGAATTGCTTGTTCGGCTGCTCAATACGATGGCGCAAGCAGGGCAGGGCTGATGAGTCAATGCGAAGATCAATAATTTACATGTCTTAACGCCCGACCGGCGCTCAGAGATCACCGGTTTTGCTAAATTGAACCACGTCCGGGTTCCTTTGTCCTTGAGAGAAAATAGATGTTTGGTATTCCAAAAAGATATTCATTTGGTACAATGCCCAGGCCGAGCGCATCGGACCGGCTGTGTTCCAGCTCTATGTTGAGGATGGTGAGTACTGTATTGCCCAGGACTAGGCTAAACTGGAGTTTCACAAGGCCGGACATGTCATATGCTACCGCCAGATCTGGGCGCAAGCGATCCCTCAGAGTCAACTCGAACAGATCCGACTCGGACCGTATTGTGTCTGTATGCGCCATCCCGCTGAGGTGTTCCCGGCATTTACAGTACAAAGCGGTGGGGTAGGAAAGGACCGTGTAGCTTTATAGCTTCCAACCTCTCCGTCGGTTTGACTAATCTACTCTTTCATTAATGGAAGAAACCGAGAGGATTGGCTTTATGTCGGATACAGCAGGCGTTCAGGTGATCCAGCACACCTGGGCACGAAACAAATCATCGAGGAGTCTATGACACTAAGTTGGTCCAATCTTGGCATTGAAAAGGTCGCAGAATATAAACAAGGAAGCCCCGATGCCTTGGGGAGGAGAAATGAATTAGGGCCCGAGACATGATAACTCTAAGGCTATGGGTGAAGCTCGAGCAAACTTCAGGCAATGGTCACATAATCTCTTCCGTCACGTTGCACATAGCTTGGTGAAGTCGTGTGGGCAGTCAAAGCTCACGTAATATATCTACTGTGTGATTGTCTCGAACTTTGTTGACGACGAAGGCGAGCTATCTGATCTGATCGGGCTGGCCTGGCTCGTTCGCAAACACGGGCAAAGTTGTACAAACTGCATGTGTAGCCTGAGTCTATACTACAACGTCTTACTAAGCCAACGATACGAACCTTGTTCATGGTGCCGAGTCTCTTGAACGGCTTGAAATGACTATACTGGCCCATCGAACAGTAAACAGGGAATGGTGGAGTCTTTGGTCCTGTCATTTGAATCGAATGGATTTAAAATGAGATTGATTCACAGCCTTGCCTTCCAAATTGCCTGGTTCTCGTCCTCCACTTCATCAATTTTGTACCTTGCGACATCTCGCTGCAGCAATAAAGAGAAAGAAGCAGTGTAAATATGTCCAGGTCGTCAATCATTCCTGCCACCGGCCACATATGGAATTACCTTCTGCCACAAAAGCGAATACCTTCCCTACTTAGAGTATAGTCGGTAGTTTTATAGAAGTTAATTATCTTATACAGCCTCTCATCTGATCTAAGAACCGCAGATAAACAACAACAGACACAATTACGACGATTTCCCGCCGTATGCCGACAGTAACTTGGGCAAATTGCTGTGTCTTGCAACAGATATTCTTCTTTGCTGCAGTCCTGACCGTGACAAGGGCTGTGCTGCTTTGGTGACTGGTCGGCTTACGTTAGTTTCTCAGATAACTGCCCGTGTAAATGCCCGAAATTTTAAAGCGGCCGGCCGCCCAGTAATACCGATCACCATACGTAATAAGCCTCCCCACCGCCTTACCTAATATTGGAAAATAGAATGATATTAATATACGCCGAATGTATTTGCACATGGTCTCCTTTTGCGAATATCGTTAGGTAATACACCAAGTCTCGTCCAAGGTCCTTAAATCACTGCTGCCCTCCGCTGTACAGTATCTACTATCCTGCTTGCACAAGAGATGTTTTCGCTCACTTTCTCCAGGCGTGGTGGTTCGATTCAGTCACTGTGCTCGACGAAGCGTCGACTTAGTTCCGCTGCTGCCGCCATAGCCGTCCCAAGCCGACACATCCTTCACCATGCATCCGAGAACAAGGTTGCGGGTGCGGCCACACCGGTAGACATGCCTGCGAGCCAGACGTCTCCTCGACCGCATTCGCGAGGGCAATCTGCAACCCGCACACGAATGGAGTCCGTAAGGCGTCAGCTTCGAGACAGCGCGAAGAGTCCATCTTTCTACGAGGCTGTTGCTCAAATCATGAAGATCAGGGAGCAATATATCAAAGAGCGGTCCGTTTTCGTGAGAGGGCAAGACATGCTACCAATATTGCTCGGCCTTGGAGCCAGCCACGAAGATATTATGACCCTTCCTTCCACAAGCGATAATTTGGAATCCGATCCATCCATCCCTTTTCGCACATCGGTCAACTCTCGCTTCTGCTTCGACTGGGACACAAAGTCTATGCGTCGAATTGAGAACCAGCCCTTCATGCTATCCGAAGATGAGGATTTTGAGCGTTTCGACTCCGGTAAGATCCGGAATTTTGACGAGGTTAAAGCCGACCTCGGTCTGAACAGCGCCTTTCTGGCGGTGCTCATTTTCAAAGCCATGATGGTCAATGGCATCGATGTTGCCAGGCGGACGAACCTCAACTATGACGTGAATAAATGGGTGTGTATCGCATTCAGTGTTCGGACTCATACCACGCCGGATCTTCTCGGTGAACCGGCTCTGGAGGGCGTGCATTCCGACGGAGCTGATCACACCTTGGTCACCTTCCTAGGTTCCAAAAATATGGCCTCTAATAGCGCAGCCACCTTCCTACACAGTATGGACGAGGTTACGGGCATTTCGTTGCGAGAGTCGTCCCCGCTCAAAATTGTTGGGCGCAACAGGCACAGTGCGTTCCTGGATACCATGATGATAGTCGATCACGAGCGTAAACATAGTCTGACGGCAGTATATGCCGAGGACAAGACAGCGCTCGCGACTCGTGATGTGCTGATCTTCTTCACGCGGAGGCCGTATCTCAAGACGCACCCGGCGGCATCTCTGGACTCACTTAAGCCTCATGCGACCCTGGGCGTGGAAGTTCCATTGTTGGACCTGAGCTGATCTTAACTTCTTACGTTGTTTTGCTGACTTTGTCAAAATGCATGTGTTTCGCAACGGAATTTGCCAAGAACTTGGGGGGTGTGAGGAGAGGTACATGCATGTTCAAAGCAGGGACGAGTTCGGTTTCTTCAAGTCACTACTAGTTACGTCTGATTCTACTCGACTTTCATTGGAAAAGACATTTTCAGTTGCGGTGACATGATAATAAGCACCACATCATCCTCCGTTTGGAACAGTCTATGGCTTCTGCACGCGTTTCGTCGCATCGGATCTACTACTATTTCAAATCAAAGTGGGACATGTATACATAATTCATAACTTATCATTAGGATACCATAAAGAAAACAAGAATGTAATTGTACCTGTCGATTTCGCATTAGCGTTAGTAGATTGTGAGAAAGCCGTGACAAGGCCATTTCTGTGGGCTGGGAAGTCAATCCCAACCTTTGTGATCTTCTATGACCACCTTTATCAGATAACTTGTCTGTTGTTATTGATTTTGTCACTATTCTAGCCAAGATGCGGGTTCAGGTATTCCACGCTATGGATACAGCTGCTAGTGGCAGTTAGTCGTGTGCTACACATGCAGGGTTGGCCACCACCACAAGTATAGTTATATGCTGTACATATGTAAGCAGGGCAAAATACAGGGGAAATATGCGAGAACATTGAAGGCAAACAACTCCAAAGACCCCACCTCCCGACGGATAATAATATGACAGACGATAACCTGACAGACAGTAATATGACAGACAGTCATATAACAGACAGTAATATAGCAGACAGTAACCTCACGTAGATGTTCGCCAAGCGGATCTAACCAGTTGAGCCTGCCACGCACACGAGGTATAAACCTGCCGATTGCTATGTCCTCGTCGTTTGGGTCGCCATGAAAATTGATTGAATCATTTGTGTTTGATTCAGCTCAACACAAACCAGCTTCTGGATGCGCCTAGCGTGATCGGACTTCCTATCAAGAACCTTGGGTCCGACTGTTTGTTATAGTATCCCTGGAGGAGCAATGTTATGTGAGAAAGTGCAGAGAGCCCTCTGTTCTCCTCTTACATTTGATATGGGAGGCAGGCAAATGTTTTATGAAGATTGCATCGAGGTTGTGGGAAATGCAGGAATTCATGTGCTCAGGTCTCCTACAAGACATGGCACACCAAGGGTTCCCACAGGCCTGGTGGAGGGTGGAGGCTAAGCCGCGCCTTGATTGTATGACTCTATTCAAGCAGTTAGGGCACCTTTTCTGCTGTGCTACTCATTATGTGAAACAAATGAGGAGTAAAAGGTTTCTCGAAGCCAAGAAGAGCAAGAATGATGATCTGATAGTCTGTGTCAGATGCTGACGGCCACTACATCACCGGCTGCACCCTAAACTCCGACAAGATCACCTGCCACAATAATTTCCAACACGATATTGTCAAACATGGAAAGCGCACTTGAAAGATATGTCTTGGCCTAGGGTACTTAGGTTGTGTTATCATGAAGCTGAAGTTATGCTGTGGGGGCCGTTCCAAACCGTCTTGCTATTTCAGATGCTCAGAACTTCCTTTCACAGGGCTTCCGAGCTAGCAACTTACACACGGACCGAATACACTCTTTGAACGGCCCGTACTACTTTTTTTGGGACAGCCAGGGGGTGCCTCACTTAAGACTGACAGCAGTGAAGTCTGTTTCTGGAATACCTTGATAGTCTCACTAGGCATCTACACTACCTGTACGCCTGAGGGAAGCATCGCTGCTGGAGGTGCTGTGGTCAGTAAGTTTAGAGGGAACAGTCTCTTGGTCATAGTCATCGCTATCACAAACCGCATTCCCTGTTTCCCTGTTTCCTTTTTCCTATTTCCGATTTCGTAGTCCAGACGGAAAACATATATGGATGAGGCGGATATATACTGTTTACTTAGGAAGACACTAACGGCTCTTCTCCCGCGAGCATATTAGACTACATTTAAGAATTGTATACTATGAGATCGGCTCGCAGTCTAGTAGATCCTAGCCGTCAAGTTTCGTCAAACGTATAACCACGAAACCTCTTATGAGCATAGGATCAGATATCTGCTTCACGATCACAATATCCCTGGCATAAATGAAAGGAAAATTGGAAGGGGGGGGGGGAAAGTCTACTCAGCTACAGAATAATCTTTCATAGGAGAAACCTATCTCGGAATAAACTTCCTTGGGATACCCTTATATATGGGGAATTCAATAAACTACAACGGTCCCCATCGTAACGTACCGCGATTTTTGAGAATGTGGCGGCATTGTTGCAGTAATATATGTGGAGTTTTCAAAAACGCCCCGCTCGGCATGCGCATGTTTCTCTGAGTGTCAACTAGATGCTGTCCTAAATTGACAACTACTAATAGAACTCATAGAAGGCCGCGGACTTGTAAGCTGTTGAATGATTTGAAAACGAATTATAATTAATAAATTGTGTATTTGAAATCAACAGTGCCCACAGAAAACCACTTTGCTTCAATTACCACCGGTACCATTGATCAAAACGCCATGTCTAATGTCGAATCGTGCTGATAGCATCAAGTACACGTTGGCTTTTATTTGGGAAACTGCGCTGTCGATCGCTTCTCATTCGAAGTATCTTTACCTTCATCAGCCTCCTTCATCTCCTCGACTGTAATCTCCGGGTCCCTCAAGACCTGGGTCTCAACCCAATCGTAGAATCGTCGATACGTCTCCTCCCAGGTGAGAGAATAATCCGGGACGAAGCCAGCGACCTCAGCTGGCGTCACGAGGCTCATGACACCATATATGCGGTCACGCCGGTCGGTCACCTGCCTGTGGCGAATGGAGTGCACCACGTCGAGGAGCGACGGGACCTCGACGGTGCCATTCCGCCTAGCCTCCGCGGCAAGGCTCTGCTCCAGCAGCTCGCGCATGGGCGGGAAGTCAACGCGGCGCAGCTCTTCCGACTGCTGCCACGACGGCGACAGCTCCGCCATCTTGATGCGTGCCAGGAACTTCCGCGTCTGTGCCCTGCTGGACCACTCGATGTGCATGCGGCCCACGTGCATCTTGATGTGCGTCGCGAGGGCGGCCTCCTGGACGACCCAGAGCCGCTCGAAGTATTGCCTGCCCAGGATATCCTGGAGCGCCGCGACGACCTGACGGCTGGGCAGGTGGTCCCACGGCGCGGCGTCGCTGCCGTTGCGCGTGTCACTAGTGGCCAAGAAGGATAGGATCTCCAGGCCGAGCTGCGAGTGTTTCCCAGGCATGCCAAGCCAGATTATGATGGAGGTGGAGCGTGCATAAATCTCGGCCATGAGCATGACCTGTGGTCCTTTCTCACTGTTATCATCCTGGTTGATGCAGAGGGCATCGATCCACAGCCTTCTCGGGCTGGTCTTGTGGCGAAGATTGTACAGAATGTCTTCGAGGTTAGGCAAGAGCCTAAGACATTGGCCGTGACCAAGGTCGACTCTGCCGTGATTCTTGAACCCCTGACCCCAAACATACGAGAGTGCCTCGAAGTCGGCAGCAGAGTCATCCAGGGAAACATCAGAGAGGGTGCCGCAAAGCGGCTCGCTCCCTGCGCCCGGATGTAGCTCGAGCACGCGAATGTGTCGCTCTCCTGGAAGAGGACTATAGTGATATTGATCCAAATCGGGATCCTACGGATCGCGATTATTGTTAACATCGTTCGCACTTGGATTGAGGCTAGCATTAAGCTGAAGCTCACAGTGTCTTCTCTCGGCTTGTTCACAGTGTCCTTCGTTCGCCGAAACCAGAATCCCACTGACAAGCGGTAGCCAAGCACTCTGAACGGAAGCGAGAGGGAAGGTGTTTTCTGTTGCCGGACGTATGTAATTCCGCTGGCCATTGTCTTGAGGTGCTTTTGAGGATTCAAAGACATGAAAAAGATTTTGAAGCGGTGGGTAGGGTTCAGCTCGATCAGCATATGTACTCGTAACGTGTTTTATCAGCGCTAATGCATGCAGGCTTAGTATTTCCTCACGAATTGGCCAAGACGGTATGAGCAACCCTTTTCATAGGCTTTCGCAAAGCCAAGGAGCCCGTATGCCTTGAGAATCTCCTGAGGTTCAGCGCAGGTCGGCTGCATGTAGGCATTTTGGCTTACATGCACTCGCCCAGACGTCTCAGCCCAAACTCACCATACTAATTATAACTCGCCTCTACGCAATTGGACTCTGTGGTTGTCGCACAGCATGAACTTCTCGAGCACTTCTACATTACCTTGCTTGAAGAAGACGGCCGCGGAAGTCCAGATATGCCATCTAGCGGTAAATTCCATTGCGTGCGTGGGTGGTCCCCCAAAAAAGTCACTCTGAAAGTGAAGGCCGCAACCTTCGAAGCCCTCTCCTTTGAATCTACAATTCTTTCTCCAACCCAAACTAATCATTGGGAACATTATTAAATACAACCATCAATTTGCCAGAAGTCATTTGGCCCCATATAAGCTGCTAGTAATTCAAAACAGACCTTTAATAATAAAGTTGTTCATAGATCTTGAATCGATTAGGCTAGGAAATGGTTCAATAGGAAAATACCTTTTTCTCTGGATGTTTGATTCTGGCTGTTGTGTGATATCGACGACTATAAGACAAGCTTCACCCTGCAACTGACTGTTGGCCAGTGCGAGCAAGGATAGCAGGAAAGGGAGGCATTGAGATGCTTCTCGGCCAATTCACCATGCCTCGTGCCGGAAGCATTTTGAAGTCTTTTCGCGCTACCAGGATCACTTGCGTAGCATCCTGGTTGATGACAATGTCAACGTTTCCCCGGAATATTCAACAACTTGCTGTTGTGGCGATCAGGGCTGGCATGACCGTTGGCAGCTGGCGTAGATTGGCCTCAAAGGGGACACCGTGCTCGGCGGCACTTACCATTTATGCCTCCAGTGAGTCTTCACGTCCATATCTGCCCGTTTTGTCGTTGACAAGCCAAGGTGCCATCAATTCACTTCGTGGTGGCAATTCGCCCCTAACCACACGGGCCTACTCATTCACTGACAGAATTCTGTGATTAAGCCTCCCGGGACCGATATCAAACAAGTCGCGTTGCGAGGGCGAGGGCGAGAACGAGAACGTGGCCGTCCGTGCCTCGGGTTCCTGAACATCACGATAAACTCCGAAAGACCTGCCCACTCGGGTTCGTCTCCAGCTCGAGCGCGATATCATCGGATATCTGGTTGTAACACTAGACTCACGCAGCACCTGCAGCACTACTCTAACAGGAAAGCTTATTCGACCTTCTAGTGCAATATTCCAAATGGTGCAGCGAAAGAGTTCGCAGTGTTGAGGGAACGGTGCGCGCGGGACAATCCCTGCGCGCGCCCAAGACGTTGTTATTGTCTGAAACACATTGCGAAGTGGATGTGTGAAGCCAAAGTGGCAGCAGGAAGGCTAGAACTGGTCTGGCCAGGAACTTTGACAGGAGCTTAAGAACTCAAGAAAGTCAAGAAAAACTTCGCGAAGAATGGACGGTTCGAGTAATTGAGGAGTGCACACTGTCAGAAGCAACAGCGAGGGGGCGTCCGATAGATTGAGGTGCGCGCCTGTGCTGAACCTCGGACGGGAACAGATCTACGACGGGGTTGCGACTATGCGGAGACGACAGACCAGACAGAGGAGAGACGGATTGAGAAATGTGGATTGGCCAAGCGAGGCTGCATTGAGCCCACAGACGACGGAAACGAAGCCTTTCGTCTGAACGTCGTTTCCTGGGGGTGCGGCATATGGGACGGGGAGAATTAAGATGTCGACGCGATACACTTTTGAGCCATGAAACACTTCTTGTCGTAATGCAGCACTGTTGTAATACAGTGTGCCTTACGAATTGGCAAGGCGCTCACTGCTGTCCGACTAGCGCGTTGTCGGCGCTGCTCTGGAAGGTCCAGTCAGGACGCAGGTAGAAAGAAGCCGGCATGTGGCGTTGAAATTTTAGGTTTTCGGAGCGACGGTATTGTGATGTGTGGCGAGACAGCACATCCTGATGATTGTATGATTGTCAGTATGGGGTCGGATGTGATAGATCTTGGTTTTGGGGCGTCTCGGCAGTGGTTCGTCCCCAGTCGGAAGATCCCAGCACCAAGGGGGAGCCTTGCGAAACAAAGGTGGCAGCTCCCGCGGGTCCAAGGTTCGTGTTCTTTTCGCATTTCTGAGCTCGGGACTTGGCAGGCTCTCGAGGCCTGTCGCGACGTCTGATGCGTTTGAAGGAGGCTACCGGGGTGAGGGAGAGTCCCCAGTGGCAGCACCCTTCAATCTAAAAAGATTGGAAAACAACCGACAGCTGGGAGTGGACGCACAGCAGATTGTCTGGGAGTCTAGATGCAAGGGGCCGTGAGCCTTGTTGTCTGGGGGTGAGTTGTCGCTGCGTTGCATTGGTTGCTGACTGATGTGTCGCGAGCGGATGTGACCCGAGAGCCGAGGGAAGCAGGCTGTCGTGGGAGCACGACAGGCCTCTCATGCGACGCAACAAGTCGAGCCGGGAGGGCCAACAGGGCCAGCCAATGGGAGTCTACTGGTGCCAAGACGGCTGTTTAGATGCATTGAGCCGTGGGAATCTGTTGTGTGATGGGATTACAGGATGGTCTGGTGGTCAAGGTCAAACCCATCAAAACACCTGGATGAGCAAATATTTGCGAATGGATGCTTGGACGAGAGCTCTCGTCAGGTTGTGTCGGCGAACCCACTTGGCAGTCCTCAGCGTCAACAGACAGTCAAATGATATTCTTGATCAGGTGAGGGGGATTCAGCACCACATGCATACGTCTGCAGCTGGGTGGGCATGTGCAGTTGCCGTCGGGTTTGGGAGGCCATCAGGCTACAGGCAGCAGGTTACCTGGGCTCTGTTCCACCACGGCGAGGATTGATTGATTGAGTGATTGATTGCTTGATTGACTGATTGATGACTGACTGAGGATTCATCAAGGATTCATCAAGGTTCATCAAGGTCAGCCTAGCGCGTTGCCCGCTGTCGTACTCGTGCTACTGTACATAGATACTTCGGTCGCTCTCCAGGCCCTAGTCCACAGCAGGCTAAGTCGTTATCGAGTTTAGCACTTGGGCTAGCCCGTGCTCGCGTGGCTTGACCAGCGCTGTTCCCTGCTGCGCCGTCGTGGGCAAGAACAAAGCCTGCCGTGCCGCGTGCATGCCTACATGCCTGCCAGCCTGCCCGCTTGGGGCCGAAATTAGCAGGAGCGAATTTCTGTTGGTCCAAGTTGCTGGCCCATGATGACGTTTGTCCCCGCCCCGTTTCCGGCCCGGGCGCTAAAAAGACGGATGCGACTGCCACTGACGGATTAGGTGAAGATGAATGAGTGAGAGAGCGAGCTGAGCGAGTTAGGTGAGTGAGTTAGTCAACGACCTGATAACCTGCTTGTTTGAGGAGATCAACACGCTGAGTATCACACCGTGCAGTCAGTGCAGACTGCATGCATCGCTTCCTGTTGCTCTTGCTCATGAATAATTTGTGCAACTCTGATATACAAGCACTGGGGGCGGTCCGTGGGGTGGTCTGACTTGCGAATCTCTTGTGCTGCGGCGAGGCGAGGTGAGGTGAACCTTGTCGGCCGTCGCTTCACTGTACACCACTTGGCTGCCCAGGCGCGCAGACCGGGCAGGTACTTTGCAAGAGGTACGTACCTCGAAATCTTCCATCTATGGTAAGCACCGGGGCCCCGGGGTGTCGTACTCTTGCACTCTGCATGCCTGCACGTCTGCCCCCCCTCTGGCCAATTATAGTGGCACTTTCCCGTTTTAGCGTCTGATTTCGGTTGTCACCTGCGGCTTGGGTCGTCCCTGCTGATTGTGCAAGACTGGGGGCTCCACCTCTCACGCCTTCCTGATCCGCCGGGCATCCGATCAATTGTTCAGTTGGCGTTTGCTGCCAGTGCTGCCAGTGCTCTGTGCTCTGTGCCCTGTGCCCCGGTGCCCGCTTGCTAGGCCCGCAGCTGCAGCTGCTAATTGGCGCTATCCGCTTTCTGTTCTCTCCTCTCACCTGAACCTGGACCTGGACCTGCACTAAACTCGCCTCGCCTCCTCCCGAACACACCTTCCTTCCCACCCAAAGCGCCTCTCGTCCATTCTTTGCAATATATCGCTTTCTCGTAAAGCTACTTCGTCATTCCCCTCAACTTTCCTTCCTTCCTTCCCACTTGCCCACACACACACACTCATACACATACACACATTCCCTTTCCCCTTCCTTCTATCTATCTCTATCTCTGTCTATCTCGACAATCCTCCCAACTCATACTCTCTATTCAATTTTCCCGCACTACCCGCACATTCCAGCCTCTAATCCCTCACCTAGGCCAATTCCTACCAGTACACCCGGATGGCTACCTTTTAATATTAATCTGTCTCTGAAAGCCATTCCTTCGGCTCAGAGGTCTCACCTCACCTGCGCTCTCCTCGAATCGTCCCGACTCGACCCGTCACGACGCGCTTTACTTGCTTGCCCAGCTCAGCTCAGCTCATCCCAGCAGCTCATTTACCGGCCCGTTGAGCTGTACCAAGCTGCTCGGCACATCGCCGTTCCTCACCTTTTTTTTTTATTAGCCCTCGCATCGTTGGACCTCCGAGACATTCACTTGTCTCTCCCTGCTGTCGATCTGGAGCACAACACTCCCTATCTCCTTCCTCGACAGCATCAAACCCTTTTCTAGTCTCTTGTCTTGCAGGGCCATCACTGGTCCTGCCCTTAATCCGCCAAACTGGATTCGTATGTACCGCACCTTCCCTTCTATACCGTCCCTTGTTCTCGAGGGACACTCCCGCTTTTGGTACCACAGCATTGTGCTTTACATGGCCGCATTCCTCGCCCGCCCCGTCTCGACTTCATAGCTGTCTGGTTGCTGTTGCATCTACAATGGGGGACTTCGTTCTCGTGTGCCGCGTCCCCTATACTGGATCCACTCCACTTCACCTTAATCCCGCCTCAGCGACAACCTCAACTTCACATGGAGGTCAAAACTCAAACGTCTAACTTGATATGGCGCAGATTTATGACCGTGGCCGCAGGATGGTCTTCATACCACCATAGCCCCAGTGCGAGCCCGGCACCACAACAACGACGACTAGGTCACCTACGCTCTCAGTCAAACTCCACCTCTCCTACCGTGAGCTCGCTCCCCACCTCCGCGAAGCCGAGGTCCAACACCCAGACTTCCAACATGGCCGCCGATATCTCGTCGCTGGCAAGGCCCGTGACTCCCCAGACACAACCCAAGAGAATCTACGCCGGCATACAAGAAAGCGACTTCGATTTGTCTACAATCCCCGATCCCCGTAGCAGAGCAATGACACCATCCAACGCCGATGACGCCTCGAACGCCCACCCCGAATTGAACGACGAGGTCGCACACTTGAGCTCCAAGCTCATCCACGCCATCAACCACCAGACGACGCTCGACGACAACCTCTCGCAGACCCGGGCCGAGCTTGAGAGAGCACGGGAGCAGATCCAGTCCATGGAGCTCCAGCTTGCAAAACAAAGAGAAATGTTGGTTGGCGATATTTGGATACGGCGCAAGTCGGCAGAGGCAGAGAAGACTAACCTGCTGTCTAGAATTGCTGACGAAAAGAGATTGCGCGTGGAGGCCGAGAACGAGAAAAAGAGAATCGAGCAAGAGTTGGAGAACCTGACGACTGAGCTGTTTGAGGAAGCCAACAAGATGGTCATCTCGGCCAAAGAGGACGCACGCAAGGAGCAGGAGATTTTACAGCGCAAGAACAGCGCTCTCAAGGCCCAACTCGCCGACACCGAGGGTCTGCTGCAGTCCCAACAAGAGCAGCTGATCGAGTTGAAGCACGTCATGGAACAAATGAGCGACCAGGATAACGACACCGCAACGACGACACCGTCTTCCCCAGGTTACAGCAAATTCGACTCGAGAGAGGACGACACGCCCACATCAGATCTTGGCTCGCAGTCCGGCCTCCCAGACCTCGTGTCTCCATCCTACCCGACAAGTTTTACCCATCTATTGCAACCGGTCCTTCGCAGCGATATCGGCGCTTACGACGATTTCGTAGGCCTTTGCAAAGCATCGAGAACACCCGCGAGCCGACCACCATCGGGTAACCATACGACCCTTGGCCTCGGCCTTCTCGGACCAGCTTCCAGTGTGACCTCAATAGGCATCCCCTCCAGCGCGTCCACGGCCTCTCTGTCCTCAATGGGATCGCCGGCAGCTTCGTCCACACTGTCCATACAGACGCCAAACACCCCAGGATCAACTGTCAGCGGTATGTCTACCACATCCATGGTCCCGATTCCACCATTGAAGGACTGCAAATTCTACAAGCGGGTCCTCGCTGAAGATATCGAGCCGACGCTTCGTCTCGACATCGCTCCTGGCTTGTCTTGGCTTGCACGTCGTTCGGTCATCTCAGCCATGTCGGAGGGCTCATTGGTGGTTGAGCCCGTTCCAACCACTGGTACATACGCCATGCTCTCCAAGCCGCAGTTCTACCCATGCTCGCTCTGCGGAGAGAACCGCAAGGATGAGGAGTATCTTCGAAGACACCGCTTCCGTACCAGCGAGACCAGCTCCTCGCAGCGCTACCCTCTGTGCCGATACTGCCTCAGTCGTGTACGAGCTACCTGTGATTTCCTCGGTTTCCTGAGGATTGTCAAAGATGGTCATTGGCGTACCGACGATGAGGACTCGGAGAAAGCTGCGTGGGAGGAGAGTGTGAGACTCCGAGAGAACATGTTCTGGTCTCGCATAGGAGGTGGTGTCCGCCCCATCCTCCAGGGTTTCCACGGGCACTCCAACAGCATGACTGAGAAAAGCCCTCGTCCGAGCCACGAAGAGTCTGCCCATCCAGAACAAAAGCCTCTAGCTGTGATCGAAGAGCCGAAGCCATTGGATGAGGCGAAAGAGTTAAGCCCCGAGGAGGACGAAAATGCTGAAGACTTTGCGACTCCCCTTGAGACCACTCTCAAACCCACTCTAGAGGATCCGTCGCACACTCCTGAGGACAACAGTGACACATCAGACGACAAGTCAGTAATCGTTCACGAAGTCACATCTGAAGTCGAACTGCCTGTCGAAGAGGAGAAGAAACACGACGTGGAAGAGATTCCTAAGCCGCCTCGAACCCCTGAACCGACGGATATGAACCGTTTATCCTCGCAGTCGCTCACACCGACTTCCTCTTAAAACATTGATCAGACAGCGTCTAGCTTCGCGGCTCTCACATCAACGTTGAATCCAACAATCGACAGGGATTCTAGTTTTCACTTTTTGAATGTATATTTTTAATATTGACATTGTGCTGGAGCGAGGGAGGCATGATGATTGGTACTCAGACCTCCTGAGATGGGCTTTTTCTCGTTTTGGCGTTTTGGGGCTGATTCAGCGGAGCCATCTTCGGGCCCTCATTCATGATTGTTTAAGCACATGGGAGGCGAACAAATGGAAGATTGGCAGGACAGGAATGCATTTGGGCTGTGGCTCGGGATAAACGGGACTGCGATGACCGGAGATAGAGCGATCTGGAGGCTGATCACCGAAGCCTGGGGTCATCATTCGAGAGGGAAAAATTTACGGACGGGCTGGCCTGGACGGAAAGAGGAGAGAACCACTACGGACGGCGGTCTCACGGGCCTCGGCGCCGGCGGTGATAGACAAACCTTCTCGTTTGCGTCACAAACAAAATTAGTACATTTTAATGATACCAGAAGAACACAGAACCGCGTAGGCGTTTTGCCTTTCCCGAATGACGGCGTTGATCTGAACTATTTTTGCAGACATATAATTATCGAGAGCGGTGGACCCACAGTGATTTTCCCCCTGCAAGTGATCAACTTTTTTTCTGTGTTGACGCGAGAATTAAACGAAAAGAACAAACAAAATTGTTCTGGAAAGGGGTCGTGTTGAATTGACTGGGGGGGATTTACGAAACGGGTTCGCTCAGGGGCAAAGAGGGTCAAGAAGGGGGAGGGGCCCAAGGGAGGGGCGATCCAGTATCCACCGCCGCCCACGGGGTGGGTATTTCTGCAGGGCGAGGCGAGGCGAGTGTTGAGGTTGAGGTTGAGGTGTTTTGTTACAGATCCTGTTCTCTTCCTGAGACGGGCTCTCACGACGACCCTTGCTCGGTCTGCCGGTCGGCTCGCTTGAAGTCTGGGGGCGCATGGGCCATGGGGAGGGAGTGCTTCGGTGAGACGAACAGGGCATTTTCACGATGGTAAGGGTTGGTGTTTTGGTTTGTGGTTTCGATACTATGGTGGGTACGGTCGGTGAGTGTTGGGACATGATGATTGTACTGTGATTGCCTGGGGTATCATTCTTTCTAGTGTACACTATCTATCGTCGAATTGTAGCTCTGTTGGTACATTCTTCATATTCCCATCGTACAAGGTGACAACTCCAGAGCATTTCCAATCACCGTTCCTCTCTTCGATTTTGAGTGGATCTCGCCTGCCACTCTCAATACGCGTATGCCACCAAATTCGTAAATGCGTAGAAAACGTCGTAATGTGCTCGTGATCAGGCAGTGAATGCCTTCGTTGCTGCCTCCATTGAACTGTAGTGATACTGTATCGCCAAAGCTTCTCCGCCGTGTCCTCGCGCGAGTTGAGGTCGCGTTTGCTCGTGTCCTAGGGAGGCCACCCAGGTTCGCAAGGTCCTTTGTTGAGCATGCCGCAGCCTGAGGCGACAAAAAAGGGTCACCTCTGGCCAGAAGATGCGGCCGACTCCATCGAAAATACGAGAACAGGATATCGCCACAAGATCTCAGAGTTGGGCTAAAAAGACAAAAAGACCCTCCCAGAGGCGAACCCCCAGGAGTCAGAAAACCCCTCCCCTCGCCCCGGCCGAGGCCGGATTGGGATCATCAGAATTTTGCTGGTGGCAGCCGGCGGGATTTGAACTCGGGGTCATCGCGGGGGCTTCCATGCCCCCCGCTCTCCCGAATCGGCCACCCCGCCGGTTGTTGAGTTGTGGTAGGAAAAGATGCCTGATATGTTGGAGGCTGAGATCAGGTGAAGTGTGTGTCTGCAGGTGTGCACACTAGGTAGCCAGCCGCGCACGCGCAGTCGTGTGCCTGCATCCCCTCCTCTCTTCGATGACCTCCTTTTGACGAGTCCCTTTTGAGATTTCTAGCCTTTCTTGATTTGTGCTGTTCCGGTGCGCCCGCTCAATCGACGATGGCCTGCCTCGAACTGGTGATGGTAGCCGCCGGCAGATTTCCTCACATACCAAGTCTAAATGATCCACCGCAGGCCTGAAAATGATATGAAGGCCGCCTGATCGGAGATATATTCGGCGGGCAAGCCCCCAGCCACCGAAATCTGGCGAGGGCCATCCTTTCAGTGCCTCGGCTGATCTCCCTCCGTGACAGCAGCATCACCCCTCATCCTCGCCTGTAGTCTGTCCAGCTTCCTTTCCAGAGTCGCCTTGTTCCTGAGAAGCTCGGCGCGCCGGTCGTCTATCATGGCTATGCGTTCCGCGACGGGCATCTCCTGGACCTTCTCCCTCTGTCTGACGGCGTCCTTGTCGCCTTTGAGGCTGGCGCCAGTGACGGCGCCAACCACTGTGATGAGGGCGACTGCACCGGTCAGGACCACGCGGCGGATATTCTGGCGGGCGGGCGTGTTGCGATCTGCTTGGCTTCCTGAGGTGGATGCGTGTCGTATGCCCCTGGCCGCGGACGACGGGAGGGTGCGCCCCAACCTCAACATGATTGCTGGCTGGCTGTCGCCTTCCTCGTGACGATGAGACTCAAAGTAACTTCCTTGCTCTTGCTGATCCTAGTTTCTTTCCTTGTGCCTCAGCACCAGAAGTCTCTCCAGACAGATTCTGCTTCTGCTTCCCGCTGCGACTTCCTCCTGGTGTTCTGACGCGGGCCCCGGCTGCTCCCTGTCTCTGATATTGTTGACAAAGAAGACGCGTCTGAGACAACGCTAGTGATGGAGCCGCTGCGCCTGTGCCTGCGAAAGTGTGCGGCAGGCTGCGAATGCCAGGGAAATTGGGGAGTGGGAGAGGTTGTTGGTGAAGATGACGGGGTGCAGGCTGGTGATTCTAGTGCATCGGGCGACGTTGACAGCTGCGTTGTGACACGTCGTCGCATCGAGATTTGCTGGCAGTCTGCAGGTCGATGATCTGCATGTGCGGCTCCATCCTCTCCTTGTGGGGCCAGCAGATCCAATTCGATTTCGATTTCGAATTCTGGGCTCGATGCTGGGGAGTCGGGCCCGGCGCCCGGCTGGCTCGGCTGGCGCGGGGCGAACGAGAAGGCCCTTAGTAAGCGGTGCGGAACTGCGGGAGTGGGCATGGTCATGGTCAATCCCTGGCTTTCCTTGATTTGACTGATGGCTGGAAGTGTCGGTCGGAGAAGTGGGTGACGATGATGGATGATGATGATAATAATGATGATGATGATCAGCCAAGAGAAGGAAGGAAGGGAAAAAAGGTAGAAGGAATGAGTGCAGGTAAGAAAATCACAACAGAATAGATAAATCGAGGCACAGACAACTACTCGCGCGCCCGTTGGACCTTTGCCTAGTTCAGCTCGTTGAAACCATCAGCATCCTCCAGCTCCCATCATTATTCCCCCATCGGAGTTTTGGTTCGTCTCACATTGGCTCGCTGAGTGTCAGAACCACGGAGTTGCTGAAACACCACCATTCCTCCCACCCACCCACTCACCACTCACAGCATTCCCAGCGCGCTCCCTCGCGGCTCTTGACGCCATCGCCCGCCCTTTTCACGGCATTTGCTCCGATCTAGAGTTTTTTGACAGTTTATGCGCCGCCGCCTGCTGCACCGCACCCCCACCCGGACAACATGTCAACCCCTCGCGTCTTCATCGCCCGACATGGCGAGACGGAGTGGTCCCTGAGTGGGAAGCACACCGGCGTAACCGACATTCCTCTCACTGCCGATGGTGAGAAGAGAGTCAGGGCCACCGGCAGGGCACTTGTCGGCAATGACAGACTCATCGTGCCCAACAAGCTCACTCACATGTCGGTAGTCCCAAACATCACCTTCTTATCGTGAAGTCGCTGCAAAGCCAACGCAGCCTGATGCATGCATAACCCATACTGATACCCCATAGTTTCGTCTCACCGCGGAAGCGAGCCCAGCGGACTTTCGAGCTGCTCAACCTCGGCTTCAAGGACCTCCCCTGGCACGCCCACGGCCCCGCGGGCGACGCACCCGGCCTGGCCTGCAACGCGCGCATAGAAATCACCGAGGACATCCGCGAGTGGGACTATGGCGACTATGAGGGCATCACGAGCGCCGAGATCCGCAAGCTGAGGAAGGACCAGGGGCTGAGCGAGAGCTGGGACATCTGGAGGGACGGCTGCCCCGGCGGGGAGTCGCCCGAGGACGTCACGGAGCGCATGGACAGGCTGATCGCCACCATCCGCACCCAGTACCAGGAGCCGTTCATGCAGAAGGAGCACCCGGGTAAGGACATTCACTCCTCCAATGACGGCACCGGCGACGTCCTCGTCGTCGGTCACGGGCACATCCTGCGCGCGTTCGCCATGCGGTGGGTCGGCAAGACGCTCCAGGAGGGCCCGACCTTCCTTATGGAGGCCGGTGGTGTGGGTACTCTCAGCTACGAACACCACAGCGTTGACGAGCCGGCTATCTTGCTCGGCGGCGCCTTCGTGGTGAGCAACGCCAAGGAGTCTATTGCCGAGGCCCTGAAGAACTAGGTGTCCGGGCCCGAGCCCGAGCATGCTGAGGAGTACGTCAACGCTTTCTTAGAGCAGGTGGCGGAAATAGAGTTCGTGAAGGAGCAGGCCGCACCCAATGCCTCCCACAAGCAGAAATCTATCGACCAGTCGAGATCCCAGCCCGACACCAGTGATACAGACTCGGAAGGAGGTGGTGCCAGCCTCTCCAACGGCGATGCGCCAAACCTCGTAGATTCCCAGCAAGTGACGCCCTTGGTGCAAGCCGTAACCACGCCTAGCGATGTAACCCACGATCAGGAACCCCAAGTTGACCAAGCAGTGCAGGCCACCGCCCCGTCATCGGAGACCGCAATTGAGGCCCGGTTGGCGGAGCTGGAACGGCGTTTAAAAGAGGTAGTGGAAGAGGCCAACGCCGCATACAGACTTGCAACGGCCGCGAAGAAGAACGAGCCGGACCCAAACTCACGCATCGACAACTTGAAGGATAGGCGTGACATAAGGAGCCGGTGGGTGGTGCGTGATCAGAATCACATCCTGGGGGAGAGCGGTTCCAATTCAGATCCCGACGAGGTGTTGCTGCCCGCGTGGCCGGACGACGCCGGAGGAAAAAAAGGCGACGCCGTCACGCCTGATGAGGGTGAGGGGAAGGGGAAGGCTCCAGAGGCGCCCGAACACACCTATGGCGTTGGAAGGACTGTCCGCGCCTCAGGTATGCCAGGCTTGTCGTTCGTGGACGAGGATGAGAAGCCGGATGGGAAAACTCCTAGTGACAAGAATGAGTACTCTAACTGCAATCCTCAGTAATATAGGGATGTGGCTTGGACTCGGCGCGCGAACGCGGACACATAGCGGATTGTTTCTCTTTGGGATTTTAGCAGTAAAGCTTCAGCACAGGTTAAGACAGGTTTACAGCATGTTTTGATATCGGTCTTGATCACACCAGCGAGTAAAAGGTACAAAATAAAGTCAGATTATCCGTAACACCTGCGCTCAAATGGCGTTCTTCTGCCCAGATCCCGATTTGAAAAGTAGCGTGCGTGGTTGGCACACGCTCTATGATTATGGTGATGTACATTTGTCTCTCAGGAGCAAACACAGTTCTATCATGGATTTAGTGGAACGTGATCACCAAGAACCTATGCTGTCTGCCCCTCGCCCTCTACCGTCTCCTCCTCCTCAGCATCAAACACGTCCTCGACAATCAGGTTCCCGGACTTGCCAATAGTCTCCCGCAGCGTCTTGTCCCGCGTCGGCTCAAACACCTCCCTCGGCAGCACGCTGGCAAGCCGGAACGCATAAGCATGCTCGTACCCCTCGGGCGCGCCAGTGTCGTCCAGCTCCGACTCGTCCGCGGCTCCGCCCGCCCGCGCCTGCAGCACGCCGTAGCACTCGACGAAGGCGTACAGCTCCTCGACCGTCGTGGCGCCCGCGAAGCGCCGGATCACGCGGCCCGCGCCCGTCTCCTCGGGCATCTTGACCGCCAGCCGCACCACGTCGGCGTCGCTGGCGGGGGGCTCCGGCGCGATCGTCGTGGCCCGCCACCGCCGCCACAGCTGGCGCTTGCGGTCCTTCTCCGCCGCCTGCTCCGCCCGCTCCCTCTCGCGCTGCTCCGCCTCCGCCGCCGCAGCGGCCGCCTCGCGCTTTTGTCGTGCGCGCTCGCGGTCCCGGGCCAGCGAGCGCTCGTACGCCGAGTCCTGCTCCGTCCGCAGGCTTCTTGACGTCTCCTGTGCGACGCGCTCGGCGCGCAGGCCCTCCAGGTCCGGGGCGTACTTGTCCATGGCGGAGCGGAGGCCGGTCAGGTAGGCGGATGGGTTGGTGGCGCCGGCGAGCCTCTTGATGATGCCCATGCGGGTGCTGCCCTCCTTGGGGGTGAGGCTGATGAGGACGGAGAAGGGGAACTTGGTGCAGCTGTACTCCTGCGAGACGATGTAGGCCTCGCTGTCGAGCACGTTGCCGCCCCACAGCACGACGTTGGCGGCCGGGTCGGACAGGAAGGCGGCCACGTCCGGGCTGAGCAGGACGTCGCGCGCGAAGGAGGCCGTGTCGTCGTGCTCGGGCGACATGAGCACCACCAGCAGGAACTTGAGCTCCTTCTTGGCCAGGTCCTGGGCCTGCGCGAACCCGCCCTCGAACCACGGCAGCGCCGGGCTGCCGGCCCCGTACTCCTCCTCGAACTCGCGCCTGAACCGTGCCGCCGAGTCTCGCGGTAGGAGCATCTTGCGGCCATTTGTGTTGCGTAAACCGCGGGTGATGGAGTTGGAAACAGCGCGCGGCCGCAGCGACTGCGGCAGGAAGGACAGGATGTAGTAGATCGGACGGAAAAGGTTGGCGAACAGCTTCCAGCCGAGCTGGAAAGGGGCGAAGATGAGGGAGAACAGCCAGGGGACGTGGTAGGTTGTCGACTGCTGCGGGACTATCCGTGGGGCAGGTTCTGTGCGGTCGCGGCGTGGCGGCCTGCCTATCGGGGTGTAGAAGCTCTCTTGGAGATTCTCATGTCGGCCGGCGGGCCGGGGCACGTCAGCTTGTGCTTGCTGTGCCTGTGCCTCTGCGACGGGGTCGGGGCCTTCGCCGTCGAAGAACTTTGTGATTGCGATCTGTACGTTCCATTGTGACCTCTCCAGTAAAGGAACGGCGTCCTTGGGTTCTTGGTTGGTGAGGGCGGTGTATTGTTGGAGAGCTTCCTGCTGGCCGGCAGAGAGGCTGGCCAAATCGAAGTCGGCCATCTTGTGTGCTGGGATCAAATCAGATATGCCTCCTCTAACTCCAGTCTTCTCCTCTTCAAATAATTCCCGATTCTACCAATCCATCCAGTTTCCAAGCAAGACTTGCTGCCAAATGGTGAGAGCTATTGGTTTGTAGGGGATTTCGCAGAGGACGGGTGGTAGTCGATGTGGCCACGGAGATGGAGATGCTTGGCGGCTGGGGAGGTATCTAGCTCTGTAACTTGAGGATGAACAACCGTAGTCACAAGTTTCAGTGAGTTACTGAAGGTGTGTAGGCTGACAGTCGAGCAGAGGGTCAGCAGGTCAGTTCAGGCCCTGGTGTTTGTTGTCTTTGTCGTGGTGGTGGTTGGAAAGGTGTTGGGAAAGTTAATAGCCGTGTGCTTGACCTGGACTCAGGCGACGTCAGTCAGACAACCAGTCAGCCAGCATCCCGGGCGCAGGGATGATCAAAGTGTCTGTCTCTCGACTCTGGCCGCTTGCAGTAGCCCCACCGTGGTCGAATATGGCCCGAGGTGTCAGTGCTGTCAGTGCTTCACACTACTGGTGATTTGAACTGCTGAAGCTGGATATTGGAGCGAATCAAAATTACTGTGCAGACAACAATAATAATTCTATGCAATACTCAAGACTGAGTTGACCAAAAGACAAGCTTCATGGATAAATAAATCATCATCCCAGCCAGCCGTTGATCTTGGAAGAAGCTCCCCACTGTCCAACCCCTAACCCTTTTACATGGTTGAGTCAGCCTTATCCAGTTATCTTAGTTCCAATGTACCCAGGTACCCGAGCAGTCACTGCACAATCAGGGCCGTCTGAGCCAACCGTACGCCAATGAGACCCCAGAGCTAGGGCCTCTCCACAGCGAAACGGGCGCATTGATGCGCGACGAACCACACACCCCCCCTTTCACCCAAGCCTCCAAGTGCCTCCAAGTGTGCCCTTCAGGTCCTCGACACGACAACCACACCGACCGACGATATCGGGACGAGTCCTCGCCCTCGCCCTCGCCCCTCTCCTGCGCGTTGCCCGTGGCCAGCCTCGCGCAACACCTGCTTGCTTTGCATCAATCCTCCAAGCCGGGTCCATGGGCAGAGAAACCACGCAACGGACAAGGCCATGGGAAACAATCCTCAGATCCAAGTAAGCAAGCTGACGCCCAACAACTCTGTCTCTTAACGGGACCCCCACCATCCAGACTGTCGTGTCTCGCTCCCGATGTCACCGCCAGCCCGCCCACCTTGGGCCACCACGGCACGCTTCGCGACAAGTCCTCGCCCGTCCCAAATTGCTCCAATCGTCAATTTCATCCCACGCCAGTCACCTGATTATTAGGACCACCCTTTACTGATCTGGACCATGTAAGCAGGCGTCGTAGATTCGGTCCAGGAGGTGGTGCTGCCGTTGCCGTTGCCGCCGCCGCCGCTCTCTCACAACATTAACGGGAGCGCGTCCCCCGTCCCAACCGCCACAATGGCCGGCGCTCCCGATCTGCGCCGGCAGGTTGGGTCGCCGAGGCCCAAAGGACGTGGTGAGTCTTGAACTTGCGCCTTACAAGCCCTTCATCATATCTCAGCTTGCTACCCTGCCCCCTCCCCTGCCTTCCAACCCCCGCCTGAGATCTTCCTGGCTCGTCGCATGTCCACGCGCTGATGCGTCTCCTCTCCAGCAGACAGAGACACTCCGTGCAAGAATATCCTGATATATGGCAAATGCCGTTATGAAAATGCAGGCTGCAGCTTCAACCATGACGACCCGAGGAATAGCCACCCAAGCAGCAGCTCCGACAACACCAAGAAGGCCCTCAATGGGGATTCCCCCTCCTTCACACCCTCGAGCCTGACCGCCCAGCCCGCGAAGAAGTCCTCGCTGCCCTCCCAGGCTGCCAGCGCTGCCGTGTTCACCCCAAGAGGCGTCGGCGCTGCCACGCCCTCCAATAACCCCGAGCCCGAGCGTTTGTTCAACCCTGCTGCTATCAAGGAGTTCACTCCACAGAATAACTACGATCTCGCGAGTGCCGCCGCCGCCGCCGTCACTCCAGACGCTGCTATCGCGTCCTATGATCCCTTCTCGACCCCGATCGCTTCCGCCGCCCAGTATAACCCGTATGCTAATGACCACGCGGCGCTGGCCGGGTCCTCGGCGAACGCGTACTACCAGGGACAAACGGGATATGCCACTCCCCTGCAGCCACCGCCCTATCATCTGTATGCCAATATCGGCCCATATCGAGAAGACTTGCTCCCATACCAACGCCAGACGCGGGACTTCTTCATGCCAGATGATCTTAGGGAGGATCTGCAGAGGAAGTCGCACGCGGCTCTACAAGTTATACCTAGTACAATCCAGTTGGAAAACTTTCACTCCCTCGTGCCCCTGGACAAGCTCGATACTCCGCATAGGAAGAATACAAGTATTTTTGGATGGACGAGCTGGTTGTTCAAGGCATTCTCTGCGAAGACAGGCCGGATCTACTGCCTTAGGAGGATTCAGGACTACCGTCTCGGCGACCGAGAAGCCACCCAGGCCATCGAGACCATCAAGAAGTGGAAACAAATCAACAACGCAAACGTCGTCTTCGTTCATGATGCATTCACCACGTCCGCTTTTGGTGACAGGTCGCTCGTTTTTGCTCAGGACTACTTCCCGTTGGCACAGACACTCGCCGAGGTGCATCTCACTGCACAGCCGCAGAAGGATCATCGGTTCCGTGGTCCGCCAACCCCTCCCAAGATACCAGAGTCTGTCATCTGGTCCTATGTCGTCCAGATAGCAAACGCGCTTCGAGCCATACATGCGAGGGATCTGTCTGCCAGATGCTTAGATCCCAGCAAGATCATACTTACCGAAAAGAACAGGATACGACTCACAGCGTGTGCGATCCTCGATGTGGTCCAATACCAGGGCCACCGCTCGACCAAAGAGCACCAACAAGATGATTTCGTCCAGCTCGGGAAACTGATCCTCTGCCTCGGCGCAGGGAAACTCCCCAGCCAACTCGTCGATGTCAATGCCGAGATGGCCACGATAGCGAGGAAATACCCCTCCGGCCCCAAGGGCGAGTCGGCGCTTAGGGATCTAGTCGGCTGGCTCCTGACGCCGGGGGAGAAGCTCGCCGACCAGCTCATAACGGGCATGCCGCACCACGTGATCGAGAACCTGGATAAGAACCTGCAGCACTCGGACACGCTGACGTCGGAGCTGCAGCGGGAGCTGGAGAACGGGCGGCTGGTGCGGTTGCTCATGAAAATGGGCATGGTCAACGAGCGGCAGGAGTTCGACAACGACCCCGGGTGGAGCGAGAACGGCGAGCGCTACACGCTCAAGCTGTTCCGCGACTACGTCTTCCACCGCGTCGACGAGGCGGGGCGACCCGTCTTCGACATGGGCCACATGGTCTCGTGCCTCAACAAGCTCGACGCCGGCGCCGCCGAGCGTGTGCGCCTCACCAGCAGGAGCGGCGAGACCGACTTTATTATCACGTACTCCGAGCTCAAGAAACAGCTCAACGGCGCGTTCGCCGACCTGATGAAGCATAACAGGCGGGCTTAGGAAGGGCTAGACGCGTCGTTTCGGGGGTTGGCTGAATAATTCAGCCAAGAGGAGAGCGAGTTAGTTTCTTCGTGAACTAGCAGCTGATATGGATCTGGAGAGAAAGATATAGAATTTGACCGATGACCAGCTTCACCGTTGGATTTGGAACAATCTGTCCCCACGGCCGCATGAAGTACACATATTGGGATGCATTCCTAACCAGACTACAGGAGGAACTCAGAGAGATACGGAGGAACACATCAGCGATGGTTTTCGTCCTCAAAGTCAGTCATCTGATGTGTCTCTGGGAATACGCGGAATATAGGTGTCTTTACCCTGAGGGCGAAGACAACAGAGTGCGCAAGCAGACGAGGGGGATTTTGAAAGCGTTGAGCAGATTTGAACAGATGGGCATGAGTTACAAACCCTCTGAGCGAGTTCTCACTTACGGCCAGCGTGGAATTGTGTGTGTGTGTACACATGGGTGAAATCTGAAGAGCCAGAAGGGCGAGAGGAGATATAGTGAGTGAGCGTATGGGTTGTGGATGGACAGTCGAATGAGAAACTAGGGATCGTTGTGTTTATAGGAAATTGAAAGTATAGAATCCAATTCTTCATCTGATGTGACTAGAGACTTTGGGTCTCTGTTGATTTTGCTCACCCTGGGTGGTGTCTGTGTGTGGTAAATTAGTGTCACTCGCCCACGGCTAGGCAAGACTACACCTAAATCAATTTGTTCAATATTGTTGAGAAATTCGCGAAAGAGCAATGAGGGCGTGTTGATATTTTATTCAGTATTGTCTATTTCGAAGTCTCCTCGCGAGCCTACGAAGGCAATGCTTTACGCATCGGTTCTGCAAGGTTTGACCAACCGTTTTCGCCTTCAGGAATACTTGAATGGATTAGAATCCGAGCCGATAATCACTCGTTTCTTCTTACTTGTCAGTTTGGATTTTTATTTCAGATATCGATTTATGTGAACGCAAGCATGATGAAATGTCTCAGGACACGCCCGGTATTTGATCTTAAGGGATCTATAAGTTTGTTTCTGGAAGATCTACACCAGGGTTTGAAGTCACCAGGCCAAAGAAGTCATCAGGCCAAAATCTTTTTGTGGATGAGAATATAATTGTAGAGAATCCGTGACGTCCTAAAGATCTAGCCCATATGCCGCACTACCTTTGCGATATGAATCAATCATCAAAGTCTCCTCGACCTTCAGCTCTTTGGCCAAACACGCAGACCTCCCAGATGTAGTGAAGAGGACCCTTAGCTTGCCATTGTCACGACGCAGCTGCCGCAGGAAAAGTTGTAGGGACTCTTCGACACGCTTATCGTCCACCAAGTGCAGCCCGTCAATGAAACAGAATACAGTCGCTGCAGGTACAAGATTAAGCAAGTCCTCAAACATCTGCATGGACTCATCGCACGACTTCAGAGTGCCATCAAGGCGACGAAATCGCGCCTCAGAAAAGTCCACGGGAGCTTCGAACTCGGGCGGAAGTAACTCGATCAGCTGCCGAATCAGCGAGTACACCAGAGACACCGTAGCCTGGGCTTCACGTTCAGCTGCTTCGACGCTGCGCGAAAGCTCACAGAAGTACGAAATGACGTGAAGATGACTTCTGGCTGTGAGCTCTATAAGTTGAGCGGTGAGCATGGGAAGTGGGTTGCGCTCCTCTTCGCAGTCCATGACAGGCCCGTCGATCCAGAGCATCGGTACGGCCTCACCATTGGACCAGTCGGTGACTCTCGAGATAGTCTCCGGCTCGAATGGCATGGGCGCGGAGTCGTTAGCGTGCAGGCGCACTCGGTCGCGTGAGAAATAGTCCTCCAGGTGCCTGGAGTTGAGGGCCACGTCGTCCGAGGATGACACTTCCGTCACTAGACAGGCATAGTCAGCCAAAGCTAGATGGTGTTTTAAAGGGAGGCATACCTTGGTCGAGCTTCTCAAGTTGCAGTCCAGATTGGGTTAAAATGTCCAATTGATCCGGGCTCACAATTTTGAGCGCGTAGTGCGTCGTTTGTTCGTGTCGTGTCCTCTCTTCTAGAAATAACTTCACACTATACCCCAATTGCTTTTGATAGCGCGGTTCTTGTTTCCGAGTTTCTTCTATTTGGGCTTGTCGGCGCTTCATGACCTCCAAATCGTGTTTGATCTCTGCATTTTGTCTTGCGAGGCCATGCAAACCTAGCCGTATGTCACGGTTGGCATTTTCGGTCTCCAGCCTGTGGTATCTCGCTTCAGCTCTGGAGCTTTGCTGAGCTAGATTGCGGATCCTCTCGGCACTTTGACTTATTCGTTTAATGTCGTCCTCAAAACGCTCCACCAAGCTCTCATTGAACGAAGCAATAAATCTGGTCCTTCGTTTCTCCATGATCCATTCCAACACGCTCGAAAGGTACAGAAATATGTGGCCGTAGAACTCAGATATTGCTTCGATCATATTATCTATCTTGAACAGGGATAAGTCGACCTGTATATCTCCGATGGATTGGTTGATTGAGCAGAGATTCTCGGCAAATCCCCTCGCGACATTCTCATGATTGGCGCTGGCCTATGACCGCAGTCAGATTGGTTTATTACTAATTACGCGTTTGAAGATTTCAGACGGCCACGATAATTAGGAGCACTTGAGATACTACTGACTTTGATGATGACTGTCAACACTCCGGTGAAAAGTGAGACGTATTCATTGCCGTCAGGCAGAACCTCGAGTAGAGAACTGTGAGAGTTGATGCCTCGGCATAAACGGTGGAACAATGCCTTAGTCTTGTTCGCGAAGCCTTGATTCTTCTTCGACTCCCACCTCGTAATGATCTTCTGGATCATGTTGACGACACCTTCAATTGTGCATTCGAATTGGGTATCATCCAACCTATCTTCTTTGGAGCTTCTTTGTTCGAAAACAAGTAACTTTCTTGCCAGTCTGGCGTATTCTACGCGGACAAGCTCAGTCAATAAATCCCTAGCACAGTCAGTTTATCTCGTGCATCCTTTGAATACTTGTTCGTCGGTGCTTCATTGAACTTCAGGTATCCTCACTTGTCATCTGCTGAAGCATCTTTCTCAAAGAACCTGCGAAGTGAAGAAGCCTTGTCCGGAAACAGGATCTCTGAATCCACTTCTTGGGCCAGGGCTTGGCCTAGATCGTGAGCTACATGCCCAGGAGGGAGGCGCTGATCAACTTGGGTGCTATAAGCCCTGACAGTGGATTGAATATCATTTGGAGCCATTGTGAAAGGTGGCTTGGGCAATGGTTGAAGTTGCAAGACCTTGCATGGCTGAAGTTCGCTGAGGCGAGACAGAAAGCCTAGCAGCACCAATGGTAATTATCACCGAGAAATTGAACAGGTCAGTGCCCACGTTTGATAAGGCTGCGGGGTGCGGGAGGACGAGCGACTAGGTCATGTCATCAGACTGTTTCGGGTTCAGCTTCATGCAAGTGAACCAAGCGGTGCTGCTGTCTTCATTCGTCTGCTTATCAGAGTTGATCATGGACATCGAGCCTGCAGGTCGAAACAGCCAGTCACGCCTGTGATTTCGATAGATCAGGCTCTCTGCTGTTTGCTATTTCGGATCAGAAGAAAGATCGTCTCGGAACGTAACGTGCGTGTGCGTTGTCATTCCACTGCATGCATCTGTAAAAAGGCAGGTATGTCCGCCAATGGTCACGAACTTGTGGCTTGGCTTGTGTCTGATGGATGCAGGTCTGATAGGGCCCCGCTGTTGCGCGCCAATTGTAGTGTGACATTGAATCTTACCCGCATCGGCCTATCTGACCGGTCACGATTTGAGGCTCTGGGATCTCCTCATTGCGTGAACCTGTATTTTTCCCCAGTGGCTTTCCACTCTATCTTGTCTATCTCAACAGCAATTCAATCTAACTTCGCAAGAGATCGCACCTAATAATTTAAGCTCTGTCTCTTCTGGAGAAAAGTTTCCCAAAGGGCATTCTCTACCCATTGAACCTAACATGGAGGAGCCAGCTGCCTTACCAGCTAGTATAGACACTCAGTCCATTCCCGGAGTCCTCGATTCGGAAGCCAACAACCAGAGAAACCCAGCCAACGATGATCCAAGCAAGGGCGACGAGGCCATCGAGAGCATGAATGCAACTCCGAGTATTTCTAGCGAGCAGCGAGGACTAGATGAAGATGAAGACTTGTCTACAGACTACACGAGCCAGAAGGAACCTCAAGAACCTTGGATACGATACCGAGTAGATTATAACGATCCCATCTCAGACCGGGTGATCTACAGCAGTATTTCTCTTACACCAACAGCTGAGGATTTGAACACAGACACCACCGACGAGCCCACATTTGAGCTAGTGACAACCTACCAAGCCCGGGCCTCAGGTGATCAGGGGCTGTCAAAATGGAGGAGAGACCAAGCCGAAGGCAACGTGCCCCCTCTCCGAGACCTAGGCTCGGCAGCTTCGTACAGCATTGTGATCTACTCTACGGCTTTGATCAATGCAATATCAGTCAGTCGTGGCGTACTATCCATCTCAAAAGTTGACAGCAAATCCTCTAGAGATTGAATGGCCATATCGTGTCCTGGTCCACCACTACGATGAGTTGGTGGCATTTCGAAAACAAGCCATCTTGAAAAGTCCTGAAAACATTTGTGTGCGAGAGAAAGGTGCTGGTGAGCATTTGAAACTGCTACTCCAATTTTTGGACGATGCTGTCATGGGCGGCATCAAAGCTGAGGCCGAGCGCAATGCACGGGGCTTCATAACCTACGAGCACTTATGGTATACGTACAAGCCTGGTTGTGTCTTCTTGACATCCCGTCTCGAGGACGAGGCGTCAAAATGGACTGCGGTTGTGGTTTCAACTGTCTCCGGCGGGCCCTCTCCTGAAGCAAATCGGTCGTGGCGGATCGAAGGGTGGAGCTTAAGCTTTGACGGCACATACCTTGACCGTATACCCAAGTATTCTTATGTCGATGACTTTCCCGGAGAATCGTATTTTCGCTCTGATACTCACTTCATATACGATAGTACAGAGATCGATCACGAGCAGGCTCAGAAACTAATTACTTATGGTGAAAAGTATTGGGATCTTGTCAAGAAGCGCTGCCAGTACTATAAAGGCAAATCCTGCCAATTTCCCTTCAACGAGGTGGGTAGATATTGCCCTCTAAGGTGTCTTTCCGTCATAAATTCTTCGCTTTTGAGTACAGGGCTAGGAAAAAGCTTACACGTTTTAGGTTGATGGGTTAGTCATGACCGATATGATAAGCTCCTATTCGCAATCCAGCCTTCGCCGACCCGAATTTCTCGACCGTTCCGATGCCAAAGCATGGACCTCTGATTGTACATGCGCCGTTTGCAAACGAGGAATTTTGACAGCAAGAGTCAGCAGAAATGATTGGTCGGATTATGGGCTATTGACAGCCAAAAGTGAACTGTATCCGTCAGATTATTTATTATGTCCATTTGAAATCCCTGCCTTCGTATTCAGAACCCGGACTTGGGGTGAGCTTTGCCCTCTACTTCTCGCTCCGGGAATATTGATTAAAATCGCTTAAAATTGCCGAACAGAAACTCTTCACGTCAGGAACTTCGAACCTCCGCGTTTCGAGTCAAGTATGATCGATAATCTTGTCACAAAAGATGAGTATCGCATCAAGACGCTGAAAGCTCTAGCAAAGGGCTTCGTTCGGGAGAATGTTGATGGTGTCAGGATCGAGGGAGATCCCTGGTCAGCGGACTTTGTCAAAGGCAAAGGGAAAGGGCTGATTTTCCTGCTTCACGGAAAACCTGGGGTAGGCAAGACTTATACAGCAGGTAATTCATTTCAGTTTGAGACGTATATCAAAAAGCTCTGCTCCCTAGCTCAGCCCTGGCCAAATCCCGCCCCGCCGCCCCCCCCCCCCCAAAAAGAAACAAAGAGTTAAAGGAGAAAAAAAGCTAACCCGAAGAAAAAGAATGCATCGCAGAGTATACCAAGCGACCGCTGATGGTCTTGACCAGCAGCGACATAGGCACAGACCCGTCTAGGATCGAGCAAAATCTCACCCAGCACTTCAAAATTGCGACAAGCTGGGGCGCTGTCCTATTGATAGACGAAGCGGACGTGTTCATGGAGCGACGTGGGTCTGCTGACTTGGTAAGAAATAGTCTCGTGGCAGGTAAGTCGTTACAAGTCGTCCCGGAACAACTTATTGAATCATTTTGCGGCTTGGGATCGGAGCTAATTATGCATTCCACTACCTCAAAGGCTTTCTGAGGGCCCTAGAGTTCTATGAAGGAATCCTCTTTTTGACTACGAATCGAGTCGGCGCTTTTGATGACGCCTTCGTTTCGCGCGTCCACGTCAAGCTTTACTACCCAGAATTCGGCGACACAGAGCGCCAAAAGGTCTGGAATACGTTTGTGAAGAAGCTGACGAGGGAAAGGGAGAACTATATGCGTGTCACAATAGACGCGAAGGAGTACATCGAGAGCAAGCAGCTACGAGAAATTCCATGGAACGGTAGGGAAATCAGGAACGGTAAGACATGTCGTCAGTGACCCCCAATGATTTAGGATTACTGACGGCTCCATAGCATTTCAGACAGCTGTGTCGCTTGCTGAATACGAAAATAAGAGGGACAGGGAGGGTAACATAATGCTGACAGAAGAGCATTTGAAGTCAGTCGTAGAGCTTTCCAAGGACTTCAAGAACTATCTGGACGAGTTGCATGTTGCTGATGAGTCGAAGCGAGCGCTCGCAAGGAAAGAAAGGCTGGACTCGTATGGCACTTAGTGCACGTCCTATTCCTTTATTTCTTTGAGGTTGTCGTCGAAGCTTTTTTTTCCATTCCAAATTTGATTTCTGCATTATCGTTTCTTTTGCTCACCATTGTCCCTCCTTTGCAAATTCCTTGCTCATGCTTTGGTAGAGGTTGACAAACTTTGTATGGGTGAGCTTATGTATATACAATTCATCCAGTAAAGCCACCGATCTCTCAATATGTGATCATTTGTTTTAGTATGTAAGTGAAATTGATCAAGCATCGCAAAGAGACGTTCATCATATAGTATGAAAGAGTCCTGAGAACCTGGAGGAACGAGGCATGCAATTGAAGTGTCATCATTAAGAGCAGTATCGACTGAATGCGATACTTTCGATTTCAGCAGCTATCATCAAGCTTAGCTACGTGATATTTCAGCTTCAGAAACTCTCAAACATCCCGGATTTCTCGAGCCAATCGCCAATGCTCAAGCAATGCCACAGGGTGCAGTGATTGCTTCGCCCCACTAAGTCACCTACCCCGCGGGCCTACATTCTCCACGTCTTCAAAGCTCGTATACCCGTCACGGCGTGAATACAACATCACTTTGAACACTAAGGACTCTAACTCTGGGACGATGGATCTCACAGTTACCTGCCTTTGCGGGACAACTCGCCAAGAACTCAGGTCTCACCGTCCGCATATGCTGCCCAGCGATACCGAAATGGACCGTCATGGCTCAGGAGTCCTCTTCGTCTCTCACCTGGCTATCGATCGCCCGGAGCAAAGCGAGCTATCTAAATTGTCGAAATACGCCTTCCAAGATGGGACACGATTCTTTTGCGGAACTTGCGGTTGTCATTTGTTCCAGACGATCACTGTCTCTTCGGCGCTGGCCTCGCTAGCCCAAAGCCCGGGAGGTTCGCTTGCACCCGCAGCCCTGGCTGACACGCACGAAATCTTCGTGGTTGCCACTGGAGTAATCACAGAAAGTCCGGATGAGAAAGTACAAATACATATGGGGAGAGCACCCAAGGACGATACTCGCGATGGCGGGCTGGAGCCATGGTTGCCTGTGGCTGAGATGAAGGGGCGGACACAAAAGACAGAAGCAAAACCACCGTCAGAATCCTCCTTCGACTCAGTCTCAGCGGCCTGTGGATGCGGAAATGTGCAACTACTGGTCCAGCGGCCTCAGCGTTTGTTGGGATCAGACGACTTCGGCCGCAAAGGGGCTGAACTTCCATACTCTCCATATCCTGACCTCATGTTCCCTTACAAAACTACTCCAAAAGAAAAGGTGGACAATCCTTCACATGAGAAGTGGTTCCTCCGCAAGACAGGTGAACAGTCCAGATATCTCGCCGGGACATGTGCGTGCAAGTCATGCCGACTGGTCACGGGCTACGAAATACAGACCTGGGCTTTCATACCCAGAGTGGCCATCAGCATCTGCGTTTCGCAAAAGTCCGCAAGTATCAGAACGGAGTTGAACCCCTCTACGAACAATGAAGCACAAGCTACCGACTCTTACATCACCCTCGAGTTCGAAGAGCTGGCCAACCTACCCACCGGCCGAAACCCGCTTCGATCCTATGAGTCGTCCCCAGGGGTTTTCCGCGAGTTCTGCCACGTTTGCGGTGCCACAGTCTTCTGGCATTCGAAAGTGCGCCCTGACTTGATCGATGTAAGCGTTGGCCTGCTCCAGGCAAGCGAGGGTGCGAGGGCCGAGAGTCTGCTTGAGTGGTGGCGGGGGAGGTGCAGCTTTGCTGAGGATGCGGGACTGGACCGGAAGGGTTGGATCAAAGATTGGGCTGAGAGCCTTATTCAGGGATTGGAGCACGGCATGAAGGGAGAGTAAATTTAGTATCGGTCTTGTATGAAAATAATCGTTGGCCAGGTCACAAAAGGCGTGCGGATTGTTGATGGGCTGAGAACCAAATTAGCGAAGAATGAACGGTTTCGTTCATGTCCGAAGGTTTCAGCAAGATACCGAGGACATGAGTATCACAGCGAGGAAATACAGCTGAATAGATCAAATACGTGAGCTCCGAGCATAAATGCAGGAGGAATCCGGTGTCCTTTAGCTCGACATTACATTATATTTATGGCTCCGTAAGTAATGCCCCTCTTGCTCCAAAGGTTCATCAATAAGTTCAGTAAATAGCCTTCTGAGTCCGATTTTGAACCGCGGCCACCAAGATTTGTGTTTTTTTTTGAGAAGAGTGAAACACAACACGGCAGTCAAATAGATCTTTGGACGCATTTTGTGGTTCTGCAGATCAAGAATAGTCTCGGTCTTTGAGAGAATCTTATAGTGACACGAGCTTTGAGGTATTGCACAAGTATTGCCATTGAAGAAGGAAGGAAAGCAGCCCAGCTTGACCGATCATGATCTGGAGGCTTCAAGGGTAAGTGACTGTGCTGCTTTTGCTAGTCACTACCAGTATTTGTCACTTGAATTCTTCAGTCCCAAGTCGAGTGTGGCTGCCCAGCTGAGTGTGACAACCGACTTGAGTGAATCACTGAATTCCGTGATTCACTCATGCGCATGGCTGAGCCAACAACTTGGGACGAAACTTTTCATAAATATGGCTCGATCCAGACTGAGTGAATTTTGCATCTGGTCTCAAGCTACTTAAGAACGGAACCATCGCAGATGAAAACTCACAATGCCATCCAGCAAAAAGTCCGGAAGTTTCCCTAAATTCAACCTCAAACGCAAAAAGACCAAAGAGCAGAGCTCGGCCACAAGCGCAACCAAGAATGCCCATACTCACGACACAGACAACGCAACAGCTCGGGAGAGCGAAGGCGCGAACTGGGACGACATCATAGAGGAACAGAAAAAGAATTAAATTATTCCCGTCCGGTGCCGAGAGCATTCAGTTGGTAGCACCACCTGAAACGTCGTACAGGCCGGCTTCGAGGTATGTAGACCACAACCATGCGCCAAATCTGGTCGAGACCGTATTCTGACAATTTAAACCCGGTTTAGTCTTTTCGAAAAAAGCCTCAATATAGTTGGGATCAGCTGGCGTCATCGCTCGGCACCTCGAAAGAATCCTGCATCGTTCCGGACGATTGGGTTTCGGGCAAACGTGTGGTCTGGATAGGTTGCACACGGATAAGTAAATGCCAGTGGGTCGAGAATATCCTTTTAGCTATAATTCGAAATCCATAGCTACACAACAATGCTTTGAGTGACTCGTTTCATGTGCCTTTTGATCATACAATATGGACAGAAGGGAAGGACGTATGACTGAAGCAACGGCGATCAATGGACGGCAGGTTCCTCGAGCATGACTATGTTGAATATTGACGTGACTATATCCAGATTTGGAGCTACAGATGGCTTTCTATTCGCTCTGAGAGGCTTCATCCAAGCAGATAGCGCAGAAGTCGTGAAGTCCTTCAACCTCTCACTATCCGACAACCGCCAGTCTCAACAGTCCGGTTGTCTGACGCTCCTCACACTGATAGTCATGAGCCTATGTAGTTAACATCCCAACTAAGCGATCTCTCCTTCGCCTAATATCGGCAGGCTATACTCATGCCCAAAACAATACCCGGTTGTGTAGAACAAGAGAAAATAGAAAGCTTGTAGGCAGATGAAAGAGTAGGTCACTACCTGCTCGCATCAACCTGTATCTATGAGTTCAGATGATAACGACTGTAGATAAATAGTCTTTAGGAAATACTGGCCAATATCTGAACCCCCGGGCTCAGTGTGCGTGAAGACGGCCGAAGAGAGCCAAAAGGGTCAGTTGCCTTGGGAGATAAAGACTAGTTGCACGCTCATAAACCTATTATCACGTCAGTTGGCCTATCATGGCAATTAGAGGGAATAGCAGAAGACCATTATTCCCAAAATAATCCACTCACGCCGCAGTCGCCGCGAATACCTCGATCCTCCTCGTCTTGGTCAGGGTGCTGAGCGCAAGGCAGAACACCAGCGAGAAGACACACACCAGGCCGACCCGCAACCCCATGCTTTGGACAGCATACAGCGTGACGACGGACGCGACGGGTACGACGGTGGAAAACATGGCTCCGATGACCCGGTTGGCCCTCGAGTACGTACTCTTGTCCCACTGGTAGACGCGCCCGCCCACGATGGCAAGACTGCCGCCCAAGCCGCTTTCAATATCTTCCTGTCGGATGAGTTTCTGCGTCAAGTAGTTTAGCCATGCGGTCTAGTGGTTGTGGATCACGCGAGTGCTGCAAGAGGACGATGTCTGCCGTACCATCTTACACCCGCGAAAGGCTCTCAGTAGTCTCAGCACAGCGTTGACAACAAACCTCTCGAGCGGATCATTATCCTCATCCGCCGCCTCGAGCAGCACAAGATCGTCGAGGAACCCTTCCTTATACGCCTCGGGCTCGAGGCCCCTCAGCTCACGGGATAGGAACTGCATGCTGTCGTCGCTGAGCGAGTCTCGCCCCACGATCTTGGATAGTATACTTCTCTGATCCGCCGTGGGGCCAGCCATGGAGGCGACCTTGGCGTGTCTCTGGATGGCGTCCTCTCCAGGCACACGTAGATATATCAGTTACTATCGCCACAAGGAATGAGACTGACACTCTGGGTGGGTTTGTGGATTTCTGTGTGTATACTGCTCACGGTATTCATACAACCTTTCCCGCAGCTTCAACCAAATCTTCCACCTCTTGTCACATCCCCTCTGCCCGCTCGTCGCCAGGAGATTCCAGTGGAAGTCCCAGTTGCTCCTCTCGTCGGACCGCGGGAACTGCGCGTCAGCCGCAGCCTCCCGGTCCAGCTCGAACTTGAGCTGGTATAGCTCGGCCTGGAGGTACAGGAGGTTCTGCGTCGACAAGTCCTTGAACCGGCGCATCATCCCGTGGCGTGTCTTGGTCATGAACTCGGCGAGGTGGGCGTAGCCGCGGGTCGGCCTTGACATCGAGGTCGCGGATGGGGTTTCGGTCCTCCCCGTGCTCGCCGGCGTGGGCTGCTTCTCGGGATCGAGTCCTTCTTCCATCTTGAGTTTTGTTGGAATCGGAGTAGACTGTGACAGGCTGGATAGCGACTTTGAATGAGTCAGCATGAGATCTTTAAGATCAGTCGGAACAAATAAGCACATCTTTCGAACATCTTCAAGACACCTCTTGCGCTCTACTTGAGCACGGGGAACTGTTCATCGCCTACGTGTGCATCCACGCCCAAGCAGCACATGACAAAGGCGAGGACACCGCCACTCGAGCTGTACCACCTTCTCAACCCCTCCTCCTGAAAAGCACGTAGCCGTTGGGAACACCAGAAGCCAGGCCATGGTCCATTAGCTCGAGACGTAGGATCGAGTCCCGAAGTTGAATCTGCCCTGTTCTCTGCCAACGCTGTCGTACGGGGCGGATGGGTTGACCCCAGGTCAGGCGTCCTGCCAGGCCTATCAATATCCACATGAAGAGATATTCCTCTGACGACACATCTTAGTCGTCAAGGTGATTCATCTCCGTGGAGGACAATCCACGGTTACAATATGGGCGGCTACACTGGATCGAGCACACTGTTGCCGCTACCGCTCGAAACCATTCGGCAAAGCCTGCATGTCAGTGAATCACAAGTCAACAAAGCACACATCTCTTGCAAAATTGATATCGCACTGGAATCGGTCCATGAAAGGTTTCTAGAAATATGATCCGTGCGTGCCCGCAGGTGCCATCCAGAGCCTGATGATTTTCCGTTCCCTCGCCATGCAGCCCTGTCGGGGTATCTGATTTACAGGAGGTTTGTGAAATGAAGAAGAAAGAATAAGCTGCCATCAAGTAGAACTTCTGTCGATTTCCTGTTCCCTTCAAACACTCGACAACATGTCGTAAAGAACTTCATGATGTCGGTGGAGGATAGGTGGCGGGCCAAGAATGTCTCCATGGTGGAGGCCAATCGTATCAATATTGGCGTTCCCTAACTCTCGTTCGGTCATGTCCATTGATTCGTTGCTCATCTTTGTGATCCAGCATCTTTCCAGGCCCTCGTCAGCGTCCAAGGTTATCTAAAAGAAGGACGATCTGAATCGGAGTTCCAGGTAGCGTCGAAAGTCCCTAGTAGTACAATGGCACCATCCCCGGGTGATGAAAGACAAGATTGCCGATGTGCATGTTTGGGCCACGAGAGCTTCAAAAGCAGCCAAGCTAGGTTATGCATTCGTGATAGCATAGTTACCAGTCGCATTAGAGATATTGCATCCATCGTTGACGAAGAAGGTGCAGTTTGCATTGGTCTGTCGAGCGACGCCACGTCGGCTGTCAAGGAACCATTTCTTGTGGTAGCTCTTCCGATCTCCGGTAACTAGACACGCACCAAAAAGGTACTTGAAAGTGCCAGTGGGTGTATCGCTTGCGCCTCCAGCAGTTGTTGTGTAGATGAAGGACTTGCGGACAGAATCTCAAGCCGTCGCCTTCTGTTGATCCGCTGGGACTGCCTTGTTGCCGTCCATCTTCTGGGCCATGGCGGCCTGTTTCTTCTTCTCAATCTCAGCATATACCTTCGCCTCCAGCGCTTCGAGAGCGCTCGAGCCGTCCGTCTGCTGATCGGCGCCGTTCTTGGCAGAGTCATTTCCGTTAGCAGCGCTCTCGCCGTTGGCACCCCCGGCGGCAGCTTTCTCCTGGGCCTCTCGCTCCTGTTGAAGTAGGCCCTCAAGAGCCGTGCCCTCCGTAGACATCCCCTGCTCCTCCATCATAACGGCGAGACGTTGTGCGCGACCTTCTTTCTTTCGCGGTACAGGTGCTTTAACATTATTAGCAACCCCTTGTTTGGTATCGTTGTCTTGGGAATTGTAACTTACCTCTGCCATTTTCCTGGACATAAAACTGCCTCAGCAGATTGACAGCCTCATCACGGTTCCAACCACCTTCAGCCTCAAAGCCCCTCTCTACGTTTCCACCATGGCCCATAGACATGTTGGAGACGGGTTTGGGCGGCTCAATGTAAGTCATCTTGCCTGGCTGCTTGTTCTCACTCACGGCAGCCGGACCCTCTTGAGATCCGTTGGTCGAGACCGAGGCGGCAGCGGAGGCAGCATGGTGAGCTAGAGGTGGTCGAGAGGGTAATTGGTTGGCAACAGGCCGGTGGATGGGGGTTGCTGGGATACTGACGGCGTGTGCGGGGTCGGAGTTCATGTGAATACAGAACACGCCGCCAGTTCCGCCAAACTTGTCGTTGACGGCGCCGAAAAAGACCTTCTTTATGCCGTACTGGCGGAGCATCGACGCACACATGACACAAGGCTCGACGGTGACGTACAGGATACAATCCTGTATCAACGTTCGGTCGACGATGGGTGCGGGATGAAGCTTTTGGCCATACGGGAAGATGTGACCCTTCTCGGGGTCGACTTCTCCCCACTCTTGCTCTGTGTATAACTTCATAGGTGGAGGCTTGTCGGATTGATGCTGGCTGCCCTGTCTCTTCTTCTTCTTTCCCTTAGACTTCTTAGACTTCTCCTGTTCTGCCTCGGCCTTTGCCTGGGGGGTGAAAGACAAGAGAGCGGTCAGGGCCATCAGCTCCGCGTGCCGGGTACCGTTTCGGGTGACGTTGGTCGCGTTCATTCCCTTGGCGATGACCTTTCCATTATGGACGAGCACACACCCGACAGGTGTCTCATTGGTCCTCAGGGCCAGGCGGGCCTGTGACCAGCGAAAGTCAGCATGATGTTTAGTGGTCAATGGTAGTTGCGTGGGGGCACCTAATCGTGGCAAGATCGGTACGTGGCAGCAGGAAGAAAAATCGGGTGGAAAGGTTGATGGGAAGTATTCGACAAGATGTGGTTGGTATGTGGGACAAGTGATGCGAGCTGGTGCACAGCTCTGAAACGCGGCAACAAGAGTGCGTGAAACATTATGGAGGTGTAACAATGCGGCAACAAGAGTGCGTGAAACATTATGGAGGTGTAACAATGCGGCGCATGTTAAGAGGCGCTTGACGTTTCCTTGGGGAGAGACGTAGTATCAAGCAGACAAAGGACATGGGTGTGGAGAGATGAGATCGAAGACAGGTAGTAGGAGAAAGTTGTTGCAAGACATACCATATCCAGTGCCTGATCCATGAAGCCGTGATGAATTGCTCGCTCGGCAGCGGTGGCAGGGTCCTCAGGTTCCTCCTCGACGGGCTGAACAGCCGGGGCCAGATCGACCTGGTCGTGGAGATTCTCCTCGGCCTCCTCGGCACCGACCACATGATGCTTCAAATTGTCGTCGACGCCGTTGGTGATGTCCTCGAAAGGTGTCTTGGCCGGGACTCCATTCGTGGGCGCGTCCTCGTGCTTGATAGGCCGAGATGGAATCACCGCTACACCGGTTTGGGGCAGGGCGGGCTTGGTAGCTGGTTGCGCATCGCCATTGACGAACTTGGGGCCGTATGCGTGCTGAGGCCTGGTGCTGGTCGAATGTCGCTGCATGCTTTCTGGAGTGTCGTTGCCTTGGAGGTCGCCGTCTTGGCCGCTAGGGTTAGGACGAGGTTGGTGGTCGTGTTCGTCGTTGGCGGGGGCGTCGGTGAGGGTGTTGCCTCTGTCGCGGTTCTGGTTGTTGTGCTGCCGAGGTTTGCGAGTAAAGAAGGTCGAGAACAGGAAGCGAAAGATGGGTTGGAAGATACCGACGACAAAGGCGACGACGGCGTCCAGAAACCTCGAGGCCTTTCCACCTGGGCCATCCGCAGAAGTGAAGTCCCCACTAGCTACCATTTTTGCAGGCTTTTATGCAGAAACCCAGCTGCAAACCAAACGGGCAGCCACTAAGCCGCCGCTGCTGCTGCCGCCGCTGCTGCTGTTCCCAACGCTCTTTCTCTGTTGCCCTCCCTCCTGTCTCGCCTCTCCCTCTCTTTCTCTGTCTTCACTTTCCGATGGTCACAGTACCAGTCAGACGCCAAGTGGACGCTTCCCGAGGCGAGGTCGGCCCCTTTTTGCCTCCTCCTCTGCTCAGAGGCGTCTCTCCCAGAAATTCGATCTTGGCCAAGTTCCAGGCCCTGCTCCTTCCAGGGCGCTCACTCTCACACGCACAAGCACACGCACACGCACAAGAGCCTCTCAGCCTTCTCAAATCTCACAACAAATCTTTCAAAAACAGATGACAGGGAATACGTAGTCTTTCATTGTAATAATAAGACTCGAGAGAAAGGACAGTCGTCTCGTAGATGATGATCATGAGGAATGCTCACAAGTGTGACAACAAAGAGAAGATCCGGTTTGCAGGGTCATTCAGGGTTGAAATTTTGGGGTTATCTTATCGGGGTGGTAAGTATGGATTGGTGCATCCAAGCACATCGAGCACCCCTGTGCTGGAGAAGGCTCTTTTAGTTGCATAAAGATGCCTAGCTTCGAAGGTACGGAGGTACATGGGTACGTGCATAAGCTGGTGGGGCTCCTCCCTCGCCCGCCGTCGAACCAGAGCCCGAACTGCGAGACAAGAGCAAACATCGCCCCTCGATCGCTGCAGCGGACAGACATCTCAGACCTGCGCTTGCTTGTTGATGCTTTGGGGAAACAACATTAAGTTTTCAAGCCTGTGTCATATTGCTTACACGCTCTTCGGTCTTATTCACGAGCCCATTTGAAATAATTTCCAGTTCTCGCGAACTGCGAGACTCTGGGGCAGAGCAAAGACGACATGCAAGTTCCTTTTTTTTTTCTCTTTTGGCAGAAGTATCTTGTTCTACCCGCATGCTGACGATTCGTGAAATGGAGTCTCTTTGCTACGGACAAGAAGACTGGGCAAAGTTGAAAACCATATGCTGATGAGACAAACGACATATAATGCCCTGACTCTAAAATTAATGTTTATTCCGATGGAATAGTGCAGCCTAGTACAGCTTCTATCAAGCTTCTGTCATCGAATCAGCTCTCCAAAAGCAGTCAAATGCCAGATAGCAGCATTCGATCAGACAGTCTTCCTCAACGGCGTTCCATATTACTCTGGCGTAAAGTAGGGCCATTCTGAAGTCGGTAAGTAGTACACAAATGCTAAGAATGATCCGGGTCTCTGTCTACCCCATACTCAAACAAATTCTGCCAAGGCTCGGGAATCCAATCATCAGGGAATGCCAGTTCCACGTCCTGGATATTGTGGCAGTTACACGTAGATGCGGCCCAGAGGAAGCGGGCAACAATGCGGCCGTCCTTAACCAGCCATCCCGCTCCTCCGTGGTGCGTGAGAGCGTACTTGAGGCCAGGCACTCGGTATGCCACAGCGCCTAGAATTTCAGAAGGGAGCTTAGGATTGCGATGAATCAAGCCGACTTGTATCAGAAATCGACCGCGGCAGATGGAGCAGTCGACACAAACCATTGTCCTCTCATCGCTGCTATGAATAACTTTGCCATGGACGTTCACTATAGTACAAGTGACTCGTTAGCGGGCTTTTGGTCCAAATGAGCTCCTCAGAGATGCGAAAGAACGGAAAGAGTATCCAATGACTTACTGAAATCCATCGCGTTCGGCGAGATGTTTCCTTTATGTGCTTCGTTCAGCATCAGCAGCTGAGCAACGTAGTCTGTAGCACTACGCCTTTTCACGCCTGGGTACTCATCGTAGAGAACTTGAAGGTGCACCTGTAGCTGTGATCTCCGGTTCTCCTTGTCAAGGTTCTCCCGCACTTGTTTTATATGGTCCCCGAAGAACCGACAGCAGATGGTTTCTGCGAACACATCCGGATCAGGACCGGTGACGTCGAGGACTCGCCTCGCAAGCTCGTGAAACGTCCCGAAATCTGTGTTCTTCCAGAGTCTTTTAGCCATCGTGACTGTTCCGAGATTCTCCACTTTGAGCTTCGCCATTGACTCCCCGGGACCGGACAGGACGATGCCAGGGAACTGAGGAGGTGATTCTTCCATTCCCAAGCCGAACATTCCATGCTCGTCAAATCCAGTGGCCTTTATTCCAGCAGCGTCCCTTTTGCGTGGCATTATGAACAAGGGGCTGAAGTCTCCAGCCCGCAGGCGCGCTTTCGCTATTATTGACACGGACTTGCGAATGTCCTGGTGCGGTAACTCGGAGAATGGCACCACTGGCCCGGTAAGACCAAGGAGAGCGTGGATAAAGTCGACCGGCACTGTGGCCTGCCTTCTTGAGATGAGGATGAAGCAGTGTGCAAATGGTACAGGAAGCCCGCGAAGACGCCTAATGCGCACTGGCGCGAGTGGTCCCAACATGTGCGGCAGGACGTTTCTTCCGACCCCAGCCAGCCTTACAACGTGGTCCCTGATCGTCCGATGCACCTCATCCTCATAGTGCAAGGCCGGCTCGTCATAGAATGGCAGACCCGTTCGGAACTCATCCAGCAGCTTGTAGTCCTGCAGCATCGGCCGTAGCTGACTGCTCTGCACGCACTCCATGGCTGTCCAGATACGGCGAAACCATCTCGAGTTGCACACTTCAACGACCCCCCGGACACGTTCTTCGCTGGTGGAGCCGCTGCGCATCGCCTGGACCGAAGACGGCGCCAGGTCGGAGAAAAAGGGGACCACAAAGTAGGCGTGGCTGTACAGCTCAGGGATGGCGTGAATGATGTGGCCTTTGCGTCCGTGACACCATTGCGGCACGCTTATGTAGTCATGCCATACTTCCAGGAGACCTTCCTGCCTTTCTTCAGGCTTCAAGGAGTCGACGATGCCTAGGTAGATGCGCGTAGGGACTTCACGCACCAGACGGGCCACAGAAGCAATCTCGTCCTCAGAGAAATTGTCGAGTACGAGTGCTTGCGTGTACTCAAACTGTAGCTTGGACACGTCTGGGTGCCAGACATGGGAGATGGTGACATATCTTGTCTTTGACGAGAGAAGGCACCTAAAATGTCTGTCGAACGTCAAGATTGTTTCGGACAACCAGGGAACCTGGATCGCCGCTGCATGTTGTTTCCCGTTAGCCGTGGCGGTGTGCGGGGGTTCCTTTGGCTGTAGGGCAAAGGTTCTAATTAGCGTATCGTCTTTGGTGACAGGCTCTCCACAATGACAGCATTTGAGGTCTGCTGTTTCCAATTGCGCGGGTTTCCAAAGCTCTTGTAAAGTGTCCATCATGCGGTTCAAGGTGCGAAATGAATTTGAGAAAACCTTGGTTATCGGCAGTCGGTGGATGAGAACTTGATCAGACACTGTTCTGACTGTGGAAGTGGCAGAACACGGCGTCCCGGTGCAATGCTACGAGCTGGCCAGGCTGGCCATGACCTGAGAGTGGGCCCAGAGGATGCAAAGGATGCAACATTGTGGAGATAGGTGAATCTGAAGTACTCTTGTGTGTATATATGTAGAGGATATCAGCGAGGCTAGATTTCAGTATATCACACTTTGCGAACGGTACTTTGAGATTTACGAGGGATGGAAATGCCTGAATTACTTAAGCAGAGGAGCAGTGTTCAGCGCTCGGATTGATTTCCAAGTGGCTCGACTTGAAACCAACTAGGACGGCTTACACACTGGGCAGTCATTTTGGGGTCCGGGGTGGTAGAAGAACTTTCCTCGTCAAGAAGTCAAGAAAACTCGACGGACAGGTAGTTTTTTTTTTGGGTCGAGAGGGAAGTACAGAGATGCTCAAGGGGCGGTACTTGAGGTCAAATCAAGCAATGTCGGGCTCCGGGAGGAGTACAGCACGGGCAGAAGCGGTGCCGGGCAGTCGGCTCCGAGTACTGCGAACGGCGCACCCCGTGCGCCCCCACTTCTCCAGCCCGTTGCTTGTCTTTGCTTGTCTCGACCCCAGGTATTGAAGCTACATGACGTACCCCGTAGAACGAGCAATGTCTCGCCCGAGAATGCTCGGTATAGCATTGAACCGGCCCAATGTCGTATATTAGTGCATTGCGTGCTGCTGATAAGCCGTTAGCCTCGGACTGAGATGGGGGCTGGGCGCTCAAGGTATCCGAAACTGAGCGAGGCAGTTCCCAGGCAAGTAGATAGTCTAATAGGTGGACGGGGAGAGAGGACTGAGGCTCTGCAGTGGATACGACAAATCGCAATCTACTGTTACGGACCGAGGAGCAAGAGGAGTCACGCTTGCATGCATAGCAAATCAAGATATTGATCCATTGGATCCATCAATGGACGGTCAATGCTACAAGCCATCGCGCAGTTGTGGATTGACTCATTGCTCAGGTGGCCGGCAATTGGCCAATTGAAGTTTATCTAGGCCATATAGGGTGCTGTGCGCCCATGCCAATTGGAAAGGCGGTGCTAGAAAGCCCGTCAGCAACCTTGCAGTAGCTCGAGTAGGCAGGTTCCAGAGCTGCGGGCCTGAGAGGATTGACGGGGACCGGGTTCTCACTCATCAAACGATTCTCTCGCCGAAAACCACTACAGACTAGGGTCAGCTTATCCAATGGGAGGTTGGAGGATGGCCCCACCCTGACTGGCAGCTACATGCGAGCTCAGGGGACTCTGCTAGAGAGTTACAACCTGCCTGACCAGAGTGGATAGATCGCTGCAAGATCCGGTCTGGGGTTTGCTCCCCCTCTTCTCTCTAGGGCTCAAGGACTGATACTCGTGAAAGAACTTGAAGTAACACAATTCGATGACTTGAAAATCTCCTAATGTGGTGGAAATCGCTTTCACAAATATATCGCTATCATGTTATTCCTTTTTTGGTTTGGACAATCACACAATTGGCGGGCAGGTCTATATATGTTGCCCATATTGTCGAAATCGGCCATGCCTGCGATACCCCACAGTACTGCACTATCAGAAGTGCGTGGGACCACATGTAGACGCCATGGAGAAGACGCTATCCCTTTTCGGCTCGCCGAATGACTGAACTTCATCGTTGCTGCGCCTTGTCGAGATGGGTTTCCCGAGTTTCAAGGCCTCAAACCATATGAAGTTGACTCCCTCCCGAGACTAGGCATCGACATCTCTTCCCCTTCTTTCTCCTCAACTAATTGACAGACTACACCGGAAGCAAGATTATCACCTTGTCTTTACCAAGACTGAAGAGCTCTGGCAGCAGTCAAGAGACCAGCCCTCAAGAGAGAGAGACTGGCCCCTGCCTCCAATCCTCAGCTCTTCTGCCTAAACCCACAATCTCCGCTATTCCCGGATTGTCAGCAACTTATCGCGAACACCACGCAAGTACTGGCAACACAAGCGTACAGAACAAACACGACACCAAGGCAAGATATCTCAAAAGTCCTGCCAAGGTCAAAGCATTAGATCCAGCCGGTTTCGTAATCCCATGACCGGTTACCCCACTGAAACAACCAACATCTATCAACATCAAAATCTGGACCCCTTTCACCCGTGCTTCAGTGAACACCCTACAGCAATGTCCGACATGACGCGATCTACCTCGGCCGTCGAGGGCTTCAGCGTGTACCAGCCCGCGCTCGGCTCTCCTCTGCAGTTCCTGCCCGCTGTCGGCACCAAGGAGCTCGAGCAGCTTATCGGCGCCTACCTTCCCGGTCCCGGATCTGCCCAGGAGAAGCGAGCCACCATCTCCATGGACTTCTTCGAGCACTATCGTTTGACAGGCGAGAACTTCAAGTACTACGCCGTCCTCACCCCTGCCGCCACCCCTGAGTCCGCCTACAATGTCTCCCCTGTCATGTCCGACCTGAGCTTCCACAGCTCTCCCTCCCAGGCGTCCACTCCCGCAGTGGCCCCAGCAGCGAAGAAGTCCCGTGCTGCCACTCAGAAGCCCGCCAAGGCCACTACTGACTTCTCTCACCTTCCCGGCATGAAGATCCTCACCGCTGACGGCCAGGACGTCACCAACTCCGTTTCCCGGGGCTGCAAGAGCAAGGAGCAGCGCGACCATGCTCACCTCATGCGCATCCTCAAGGCCTGCGACGCATGCAAGAAGAAGAAGATCAAGTGCGATCCTAGCCACAAGAAGCGACCCGCCTCTCAGGTCGAGTCCAAGGCTGAGGCTGCCAAACCGGCTAAGAAGTCAAGGAAGACTTCTTCTCCCTCCCCCAAGGAGCACTCGGCAGCCTTTACACCCGCTCCAGAAGCCTCATTTCAAATAGATAGTCTCGGCCTCAGCAGCACTGATTTCTCAGCTTCTTTTGATGAGCCCTGGGACCAGTTCCTTACCTTCAACGACGAGCCTGTGAACGCCTCCATCCCTGAGGACTTCTACGGCGCCGTCCCACAAGACTTCGACTTCTTCTTTGGCATGGACAACTCCTTCTCGCCATCCATGTCGGGCTCTTCTGTCTCTTCTGCCCAGCCACTGACTCCAGTCAACTCTGGTGTCATCCCACAGGCAAGCGACTTCACATTCAACGAGGACAGCTCCCTGGTCTTCCTTCAGAACGCAGACAACGGCCAGGAGCCAACCCTGCCATACCTCAACCCAGCCGGCCAATTTGGCAGCAACTATGTGGACTTCAACCTCTTCTCTCCTGCGTCTAGCTTCATTGATGAGGAGCCACAGTCACTGAAATCGGCCCCTACTTCACAAGCTCAGTCACCAGCCAGCATTGACGAGCAATCATCATCAAGCACCGGCCTGGCCCGCGTACAGAAGTCGCGCTTTGTACAGTCCCACTCGGCTCTCCACCCTAGCGGATCGGAGCAACGAGTTCCTGGTGGCCGACAACCACCAGGATACTCCAGCGAGCTGGTCGGCTCACTGCCATTCCACGCAGATGACGCTGGACACAACACAGCCCGCTCTGTCAGCTCCGTGACGAGACTTGAGGGTCTTCAAACAATACACAGTCATCAACCACTGGGCAGCCAACAAGTACACGGTGCGGACCTATCCGTCGGCTCTGGCCTCAACAGGCAGTCCTCCACGTCCCTTGCCTCGGCATCGGTCCTTTCACAGGGAGTTGGTTCACGGGTACTCAGCCAGGGCACAACAATTGGCGCTGGCAACGCCCACGTGAGCTCACAGACAGTTAGTCCAAATGTACGGGATCCACCCTCTCCCTTCTCCATGACCGTTATGCTGACCTCTGAAAAGGAACTCCAATACCTGGACCCAGGACGGCGCCGTGCAGACCTAGCCGACACCGTTCAACGACTCCTGGCATCGCCAGCCGTAACTGTCGCGTCAAGTGCAAGCAGCACAGGCAGCCTAAGCCCACAGTCACAGGGCTGTCCAAGCCCGTCCGTCAGCCCAAGCCAGGATGGACTACTCGCCGGCCTGTCATCACTCCGCCGTATGCCACAGGGACTAAGGTCGTCGTCAAGCGGCAACGCCGCGGCCGTACGCAGCCAGGTTCCAGACGTCCGCGTCGACGGCCTGCGCCTATCCGACCCGGGAACGCCACTGGCATGCCAACAACGCGGACTTGGCTCCGTAACTGCCAACGCAGGACTGCCACTCCAAGGCCTGGTACTAAGCCAAGGACTGCCGCAGCCAGCACCTGCATCCAAACCCGCGCGCTCGCCCTCGTCAGGGGACGGCGTCGCACCCCTCTCCTCGCCGGCGCGACAACTGCTGGTGGCAGGCACCTCGTCCTCGCAGGGTCTGTCGTCCCAGCTGGCCGTGTCCGGCCTTGTTTCCATAGTGCTATCACTGTTGATGGTGGTGGTCGTGGTGACGACGTTGCAAAAACAGCATCGAACACAACAACATACACAAGCGCAAAACATTCTCGCCTTCATGCCAAGCATGTCATCCGTCTTCCTCGCCTTACTGTCGACGGTCGCCCCGGTCTCGACCTATCCCTCGCGGAAGAGACCCAGCGGTGTCGTCGGCCATGTCAGGAGCTTCCTCGGCCCTGTCGCCCGGGCGGTGCCCCTGCTGAGCGGCCGTTGCTGACGGGGTGCTCGTCGTCGCCCTTGGGCACGGAAGCACCTGACCGTCTCGGCTGTCTCGTAGCGGTAATGGCTTCGGCTCTGTTTTGCTCTAGCGTTGTGTGTTCCCTTTTTGTTGTTTTGCATATGTTGAGATACCCACCCATCCACTGTTTTCTTCTTCTGATATTTACATTCTGGAAACAATAACTTTCATTCCTCTGTTGCTGAGCGTGTGCGTATGTACGAGTGTCGTCGGGGCTGTTTGGTGAAGCGCAGCGATGCGACGCGATGCCCACGTGCGGTGTGGGGGAATAAAGGCTTGTTGTCGGGGGTCTGGTTGTCTCTCCTGTGGCTTGGTACTTGGTTGCTAGCTCGATGTAGAGCTAGATTTAGCGAGGCGTATGTCTACAGATAGAAAATTAGATCTTCGGTGGCTGAACTCTCGAGTGTCCCTGTCTTGCCTGTGATGCCTTCGTGACAGGTGTAAACAGTGCAGGCTTGACTCTCATCATTACGTTACGCCCGCCCATGGCTGCTTTCCACAGTAGAATCTATAACAACCTGTCAACCCTTCAGTCCGCATTTCGAACGGTCTTGAACATGTCTTCCTAAAACCCAAGATAATAGCGAGCCCTGCCGCATTGGCAGTACATCTCGTCCTATCATCCTTCCAGTAAACAAATATTCAAGTACATTTGAAGGTAGATATGTATACATGGGTTATGCAAACACATCTTCAGCTTTATGCAATAGCAACACTTGGCCGAGGATGACACACATGTACATAAAGATGCCCCAGGAGGAACCAAGCCCCACCCAGCTACCGGTTGGCTCAAGCAATCCGTGGATGATGAGAAGCCTCTAGACCCTGAGAGCATCATAAGTGCCATGTCGGGCAGACATAATACCTTCCAGAAGCTCATGCCTTCAACATATCTGACGGAGGTGACCCGTCAGCCCACCGTTGTATCAGCTCCTCAACGGTCAAGCCGCCCGCAACCCCTACGTATCTATCACCTCTCCGAAAAAAGAATGAATCCCATGAAAATATGAATAATGACACATAAAAGTTGAACCTCCTCGGCCGAGCACATATGTCGCATGGCCTCACAGCTCCGTAATCCACAGGACAAACCACCGCCGGGCTACTCGCCCTTCCAAGACATTAGAGCCCTAGTATCTATGGAGCGCCTCTTTCCTAGAAACGCACCGTGGCAGTGGCAAATAGAGAAAGACATTGAGTACATGGCAGAAAGGTAGTATAGAGATAGCACAAACAAAATCAGTTGGCAGAGCACCAGCCTGAGCTCAAGATACCTGATGCTGAAACCCGCCTGCCTCCACCTATGTCACTCTCTGAGCATGAAGCCCGCAAGCATGTGCAAGTAACGGTCATGCCATAGCCTCAAGAAGTTTTGTCACACACAGTCCTGTTATTTTCTCGAGACCTGTCTTGTCCGCTATACTATACAATACAAATACACAGAATGGGAAGAATAGAGTCCATGGTATATCACATAGAGCCCTCCCATTCTTATCTCCTTCTAGCCCTCCTCCTTGCCTTTCTTCTCATCCAATCTGCATACACTTATCCGTGGCAGACCACCGACAAGGCATCTCTCAATACTCCAGAGAGATTCCACCACCCTCACGACGCCCCCACCCCCAACTTCGTTGGATATATACACACTGAAAGGAAAGGGAAAAAAAGAGAAAACAAGATTGTTGTCGGGTATTTCAATTTTCACAGTACAAAAGGTATCCGTACCAACACGCGGCTCCGATCCGATGCGGTCATTACCATTAAAATATATACAACAAGAAGGGTATTAAGGCTCATCTCAGCAGCTCCTCGACTTGAGAGCTTGCTCACTTGCCGCCATGGCGCCAAAGCATCGCCTCCGGGAGCATCCAAGAATGAATTATTCGCTCTCTCATCGTGCTGGGCTTTTCACAGCCAGTTCGTGTGGGGCGGTGGTGGTGCGACTTCGTTTTCGTACCCCATCCCCTCGTAATCCGGTGGGCCCGATGCAGCCCAAACATCAGATCTCCTGACGTTGTTCTCATGCAAAGAAGGTGTTGGCATCTGCTGCATTCTTACATCGCACGCCTGCACGTCTTCCATGTACATCGACTCTGTGTTGTCTCCCGGAGTCGCCCATACATCTGAACGGCGGACAGGGTGCTGCGGCTGGGGCTGGCATTGCTCGTGGGGCGCAAGTGGTAGTGGCGGTCCTCTTGGAGAAGCCAAGTCGTCGACCATGGTTGAGCATATCGAGTTCCAGTCGTCGTAGGTGCCGAATGGAGGAGGGTTGTGAAGTTGGTGCATGTCGGGCATGTCAGGCATTTCGGCCATGTTTCCGGGCTGCATATGGTCCTGGACCATGTAATCGTTCAGTAGCTCAACCACAGTGTCACGGGGCATGGGCGGGAAGGGTGTCGTAGGCGTCACGTAAGGCGGAGGATCGGAGGCGGTAGAAATCGCGATGCTCGGGGCTGGAGCGTGGGCGAACCGTGTCTGCGTCGGTGGTGGTGAGAGAGAATTGCCGGTAGTGAAGAGCGGCTGCGGAAGTGCGGTCGAGTCGAAGTCGAGCTCGGCACTATGGATACTGGGCTCCGAGGCGGGCAGTTCGTGGACGTCGGACGTCGGATAGTTGGTCGGCCACTGAGTCATCGGCCTCTCCTTCATGGATGGCGGCGGAGGCAACAGCTCTTTTTGAGTCCCGCTGTGGCTCCTCTTCGACGACTTCTCCCTCTTCGGCGCTGGTGGCGGTGGCGGCGGAGCTTGCAGCTTGTCGTCGGTGCTTGCCTTGCCCGGGGACTGATTCGCCGGGGTCAACTCTGCCATCTCGAATGCTATACGGGCGACCTTGGCCGGATCATCCTTCGTCGGGTTGAAGAACTCGAGGAGATCTTGCAGGTTTCCTGCTGTCTCGTTCTCCAAAAACCCTTGCTTCCTTCCTGTCGTCTTGATCTCCCACCCATACCGAGGTTGTTCGTCTTTAGGGATATGGCTGAACCGGGCACCTATGATTTGTTTCCAGGCCGCGTTCACACCGGGTTGGTGCAGCAGTCCGTAGATGACATTCGAGTGATACCAGTGAGCTCTGGTCCTCCCTGCCTCATAATGCAAACCGATGTGGTCGATGTATCGATCCATGGACGGCAGAAAGGCGGCGCAGAAACCGCAAGCCCACGCACGCTTCTTACGGGTATACTTAATTACCTTGTCGGCATGAGGACATGTCTTGCAATTATGACGCGTCTTGTGGTGCTGGTTGAAGGTGTTGGCGCCCCAGAACACGCGATTGCAGTCGGGACATGGGTATTTTTTATAGCGCTCGTGGAACTCATCCTCGTGCCTCTTCCAGTCAAACTTCCGTTTGAACTCGGTATCACAACTAATTCAATGGTAAGCAAGGGGAGGTTGACGATGCTTGAGCCGTGACATATTGCTTCGTGCAAATGCACGTGGGAGGCCAGGTGACGGGATTAGACTCACGATGTGCACCAGTAGGCCCTGGTACTTGCCGAAGCAGGCCTGTTGCCAGGAAGCTCGGTACCAGGAAACTGGGTGATCGTACTCGACCGAGAGGACAATGAGGTCTCGGTCGATAAGTAGCTGTTCCTCGAGCCCGAGTTTGCGGTCGATGTTGACAGCTGATCCGAGCTGCGAGGTCGATCTTCTTCCTCTTGCGGGCGACCTATCAGAAGTTCAGCCTGAGTTTCCCGAGGCAAAACACCGGACGATCCGAGACGTGGGGATTGGGCTGTGATTGGGATGACAGGGGCAACATACTGTTTGTAGAGGTTGACCAGTGGGATTTTTTGGTCTTGGCCTGAGATAGGGAAAGTGTTCTGGTGAGGGGATTCGACTTCAGTTTAGATCGAGGTGAGGCCTGAGAGGGAAGAGACGGTAGAGCCGTCAGCTCATTGCTGGCTTCTTCTTGCTCAAGGAGGGCGCGTAGCAAGGCCTGGCGCGACACCCCGCCATCCGTGAGGGCGCGGACGTGCTGCCTGGCCACCGCCAGGCTGTCCAAGCTATCCCTCGAGGGCTTGTCTTGATTGTCCATTTGCGCTCCAATACCGGACTGCAATTAAGGTTAAATACGGTCGTCGGGGATGGTCGGCGGCCTTTGACGGTCGAAGGGTGCTGTGGTGACCGGAGGGCCTAATTGCTGGAGCAAATAGCCGAGGGATGACGACTGCGCGAGTGGACGCAATGACATGGACCTGTCAAGCTTGGTCGGAAGAAGGAAATGGTGATAAAGAGCTCAAACCTGTGAGACCTAGCCCGATCACCGCTGGGGAAAAGAGACTGGAGGCTGTGTCCTGTCGTGGCTCGTGATAAACAAACTCGCGCGAGCTGCTTTCGGGATTCGAGGCGCACCCGCGAGTCAGGCCAGCTGGAGAGAAGTGAAATTGGACCTGGGCAGACCGGCCTTGTTGTTTGAGGATGTATTACTTTTTGGAAGTCATTGTCGGAGGCATGGTCAAAACCCAAGGAGAAAAAAGTTGAGCTGCGCGGCCGAGCAGGACAGGGGGCCGTTTGGGCAAGCAACGAGGCAGCAGGGTCACCTCTGATCTCATGAGTGTCATTGCAGGTTGCGGAGATGGGGGGGTACCCTGCCAACGTTGTTCCCGAAGCTGAAAGGTGGAAATGTCGAATTTGTGAGGTGGATCGTAGCACCTGAAACGCGCCCAGGAGCATCACCGCTGCCATCAAGCGTTTCGAAACAATGGCGCTCTGCACCAAGCCGACCAATAGGGATCGAGCTGGCTTGTGGCCCGGTGCAGGCAACGGCCAGAGCTCGAGTCTCCCTGTGGAGGTTCAAGGGGGCGCCTCTCGAGTGCGAGACAGGCAGAGAACATGTTGCAGAGCATCGTCAGCTGTCAGCGTCAGCGAGACAAGACGAGACGGGATGCTTTGGCTCGTAGGGCGATTTTCGTCTCATCTTTTAAGCCGTCGGTCAGCCGCGATGTTTCAAGCAGGCTGGCCCTGCCGGCGATCTGTTTGCGCCACTACCCCAGCACGAACCAAAACAAAACCAAGCCTAGAGTGGCCGAGAATTGTGGAGGAAGGACAGGTTCGGGTGATCTGGTGATCGACGAGGCGAACCAGGCCACCGGGAAACGCGTGTTTCCATTGCCCTTGGGCGTGCCGCGGATTAGGTTCCCAGGACCAACGAGCCCGACTCCGACTCCAATTCCAACTTCCAAGAGCCTGAGAAGAACGCATCGTCAAGCCACTGCACAGCCCGGGGTGTCCAGAATGAGGGGATGGGCTGCTCCCAAAATTGCACCTCGCGGAGAATTTTGTCGCAGCGACGGGGTCCTCAAATGATTATCACGCAGCGAAAAGGAGCGACTTGGTCCGACTTGCATGGGGCACCGTCGGCCATGAGGCTCGGTGACGCCGTTTCCCATCTCTTCCGGATCAGCACAGGGCACAACAAACACAAACACAACCGCAACGGCATCCCACTCGGGCGGCTGTAGTGAGTTCAGTTCATGTCCCTGTTGTTGCTGTTGCAGAAGCCCACTCTTTTTGTGCCGCGATGGTGCGATCGATTGATTGCTGGCGTTGGGGGGTTGTGTGTCCCAGTTGGAGTTGCACCAGACAGGCAATCGGTCTGATCCCATCACATCTCGTCACATCGCATCATAGTTCGAGCCACTGCAGGTCTGTCTAATGAAGGGGACTTAGCGGGCTGTGAAGCTCCAACATCCTGGGTGCATAAGGCCCAGCGCTTGTCGTCGAGATAGCTCCCGCGAACGGTTCGTGACTGGCGGCTGCGGGCCGCTGAGCTCGCCCTCGTCCTGTGGCAACTGGAGGTCATCATTGGATGGGATGCATCGATGGTGAGGGCTCAGGCTGTGGTCCGTCCACTGATGGATTGATCGATGTGTGTACACAGTAGTCTAGATACTTCATGATGTGCACAGCGCTGGAGGTGGAGATCGAGACGAGGATAATAATGATGGTGAAGAGAGTTGTGCATCGTTTGTGCCTGCTCGCCCACCTTCCTTCCGCCTTCTTCCACCTTCCACATACCACGGCAACCCACTTTCCCACCTTCCACCCTGCTACCACATTGCACACTGCGCCTTGCACCTTCTACCCCTTCTGCCCCTCTGCCCCTCCAGCCCCTCCTGCCTTGATTCCCGTCCCTCCAGGTGCCTGGTCCAACTCCAAAGTTCAGAAGGGACGATCCCGATCCACCTTTCTCACAGGGGGTCCTTGCCACCCTGACTGCCTGAGTCGGCCGAGAACCACCTTGGACCTGCCCTACGGAGCAGCAGTGCCCACTATCAGCCACTTGCCCACAGAACCACCCCACCTGCCCATCCTGGGGACACCTATTCGGCAGCAAAAGATAAGCTCCTAGGGTTAGGGGAAAAGGGGATCCTCAACCTCCACTCCACCTCCACCTCGCTCTCACTTGTGACCTCCAAGGTCCCTAACTTGGAACACAGCATCATCCATTCCCCATCGGATTTACAACCCAGACGGAAGGACAAAAAAAGAGTCCATGTAATTTCCGAAGGGCCTGACTGCGGAAATATTTTTAGGGGAAACTTCTTCTTTCCGGCCTAGTCGGACCCCATTCAAGGAGTGTCACGTTTCAGACCAGCTAAATGGAAGCTCAACGAAGAGCTTATCGCTACATGTCGAAGCCCGGGTCATCCGATAATCCCCCGTTGCTCTCCAGATTGCCTTTGTGTCTAGGTTGGCTCGAGTGTGGAATATAGACGCCACGTTTCATGTCGGGCCTTTTTCCTTTCGATCCATCCCATGATCCAGCCCAGCCGGTCTGTCAGTCCTCGCTTGGGCCAGGGGTCGGTCTGTCGCTAATGTCGGTACCGCATTTTACAAATGGGCTCATCGGCAACGCCTCGAGACCGAATCGACGAGGCTCGCTTTGTCAATTGTAATTTGATACCTCACATTTAGGAAACAGAACCTCTTGCTGCGCGCCCGCTCTCTAGAGGAGCCCTCTTCAAAGCTGTTCAACACGTGGCGACAGACCCTTGGCCATGACATCTACGTAGGTATTGTTATTATGAGTGCTCAACCTGAAGTAATCGTCTCATTGCGCGTGGTGACTTTTCCACGGGTCAGAGCGAGCATCTCGACTTTGTTTGATCAAGCTAAGCATCGGAGTCGTCGCAGTTGCAACCCTGGTGAAGATTTAAGCCCAGGCTCCCATGCCGGGGAATTAGGAAACTCTACTATCAGTTTATGTGAAGCACCGTGGATCACGTAGCGAGTGGTGGAGCGTAGATAAAAGCGTTGTTGTTCTAGCTAAGTTCGCTTCGGCGGAGGGCGAGCCCTCGGAGCGTAATTTATAGGTGCTCCGGCGGGTGCGCACTCCCCTGTAGTAGCTTCCGGCAGCTCGCACGCACGCCAAATTTGCGACAGTTTAATACAACTTCGAGTGCTTAAGTACTGCCCAAAACTTGCTCACAAGCGGCTGATTATCTCTGTGGGCTGGTACTCAAACGGGAGTGCATATGTTCATGCCTCGCTTATCCTATGCTATGAACCCTAAATTTTGGTATTGCTTTCATCTATGCAAAACACTAATCAATCCCAACGGATATTACCCGGGAAACAGACAATCACACGACCATATAACAATTTCTGACTGTTCACAATGATCTGGCAATTATCCGTGTGTTCATTCCTGCTTTCATGTTCGCAGGTCATGAGAACCGAAAGTTTGTCTTGAATTACACACGTCAATGATCCGTCCGTTGTAATTATCGTGATTATTTCAATAGTCATAAAAGAAATTGGACTTGGAAGAAATTTCCCGCAGTGGCAATCCCACAACGATGTGCCGGTTCGTGTTATTGATCTAACCGAGAAGCCTAAAATAACACAATAGTCCTGACTCATAATGGAGGTAACCGGGTAAATAAATGCGTCCATTCACTGACCCCAAAGAAGACACGTTCGTGTTGAGATGTTCTTGAAGCTATATCCATATTGTGAGGCGAGAAAGAAAAAAATACCAGATGAACAAGGTAATTGCTTAAGTGTAAAGGCTTCACTTTTGGAAAGTGGGGGTGGAATTTATTCGCAAGTCAAAAGCCATATTCGTTCTATGAGGCAGCTTCTGCAAGAGACTTGCCAGATTACAAACGACTCCTGATCTCCGGCCTGTCTCTTTTTCCAGACTGGAATACTGAAAGTGACTCGAGCAACTCCAAACTCTGATGATCCATGATTGCAGCACAGTGACGCTGTGAAATTGCGTCGACCACCTCCTTCGGTTGCATCATGGGTCCAGCAAGAGCCCAGGCAAAGCCATGCATTTGGTATTTGCGGTATTCCTTTTCGTTCAATAGTATGTTAGCTCAGAGGCTCAAGGGGTATGGATAGTCGCGAGACAATAGTCAACTCACATCCCAGACATCTTCAACCTCGAACTTGGGCCCACCAGCCAGATGCAGCTCAAGCAAGTAGAAGCCGAAAAGCTCTCTCTCGTGAGCCCTTCGCTGCTCAATAGTAAGGGCCCCAGTCATAAAGTACGTAACGTCATGCACACCCGAGTTCACATGAACACCCTGCCAGTCCAAGAATCCAGGCTGTCCTTCCGCATCAATGAAAGTATTGCCAATCTGCGTATCACCATGGACCAAACACACCATCCGCCGGTCCGCATTCGCCCACAGCGCCTGCATCCCCCTGACAACCCTCTCGCGGTTGGCCCAGAGGTACTCCGGTATAGGCGGCCGCACGGCCGGGTCGTCGAACCGCAGCGCCCAGTGCTCCGGGCTCATCATGCCGGTGATGACGTCGCGCAGGCCGAACTCGCGCGGCACGCCGGGGAAGTCGCGCTCGCGGGCGCCCCAGGTGCGGGCGTGCAGCTTCGCGAGCTGGACGAGGCCCGCCCGCACGCGCGACACCGGCCACGTGTGCAGCGGGTCGCCGAACGTGTACCCCGCCGCCTTGGCGTCCTCCATCACCACGATGCCCTGGCCCCTTGCGCGCGTGGGCGGGTCGGTGCCGCACCAGTGCGTGGGGATGAGCCGTAGCCCTGGCACAAGCGGGGCGATGTGGTGGTAGAACTGGGCCTCGAGGCGGTAGACCGCGAAGAGGGAGGGGAGCATCTCCAGGAGCTGCGGGTTGAAGCCTCCCTTGACGCAGAGCCGGGTCGGCGGGAGCTTCTTGGAGGAGGCATGGTTCTTGTTGTAGGCTACTTCGATGAGGACGTTGGTTCCCGAGCCATGGATGATTTCATGGATTTTCAAGCCATCGATTCTGACTCCTAGGACCTTGGACAGCCAGCCTGGAGTGATCTCCTCGGCCAAGGTGGGCAGGGGCTCATCGCACTCGAGACTCCGACGCTTGGTGGTGGCAAAGCTACCAACGTTGTGACTGACAACAGACATGTCCAGGCCGAGGGTGGTCTGCTATAGAATGTGATAGGTTGACGCTCAAGCAGGAGAAGCAATCATACGGGTTCCCACTTCGGAGCTTGCCAGGCCACACCGTAGGAATTGTGAGATGGGTATGGGATGGTATGACAGCAATGTTTGACCAGCGGCTTTAGGGAGGTCGATAAAAAGTAAGAAAAACGTAGAAAACTGGACGGTCTTCTCGGCCATCCACATCTTAATACGTTTTGGATCGAGCTGGCATGGCTAGGGGGCCAAGCCTCGCCAACTCAATGTTACGTCGATTGGCGACATCTGGATCGCATGGCTCTAGATCGTCGCTGACCACCAACAACGTCAATGATTCCGGGTCAATCGATGTGGTGGGTGGAGTATGTTACCTCGGTCAGTATAATTCGTTAGTACTACTGGAGGCCACACTGGTCGTTGGCCAAGAATCCTGACAGCAGCCAGAAATAACGGGGAACTCCTGCATATGCGGTGGGAGATCCCGTCGATTCGCAGTTGGTCAGAAGCCTGTCGCGTGGCTGCAGCTATCTTACCCGATGCATAAAATCAACTGCCAAATCAGTTGGCAGGTCGCCTCTCGGTCAACTCCTAGCTTCTAGTGGTCTCAAAGACGGACCCAAGGAAAAAGCAAAGAGAAGTAGGCTACTGTACTCCTAAGGTCTCGTAAAGTGGTTTTATACACTTGTCCTGGTGTAGAAGCTAGAGCCAAGCCGGATAAACAGATTCAATTCAACAGGTAAGACAAAGTCTGAGAACTACATGACTTGTAGAAAGAGAGTCAAAATAATGTGAGAAGTGAATTGAGGAGATGTATTCACCAAGCGCACGTGCAGGCTGTGCTACGGCTCAAAACAGGGGACCAGAACGTTGTGGACTGGGGTTATCTGCACGACCTGCATAACCTCAAATGATTCGGATTCTTCCTGTCGTCTTCCGTCTCCGTCTTCCAATGAGCGGTCCACAACGAGCGGTTCATTGGGGTCCACCCAGATCCCCTGTTGAAGTTGCTTTTTTTAACCAGCATTACATCTAGTGTACCGCGGGACGATACTTGGCACGTAGTGGCACCCAAGTCCTGAAGAATCTTTGAAAGCTTTTGGGGCACAAGTAAATGAGTATTCTTTGATGGTGTGTTGTACGAGCAGGCCTTCCAAACGGCAAAATAGCCGCCTGCCAGAAATCTGGGCTCAAGGGTCACGACAGCCGTTGGAAAACAGTTACGTGGTTGTCAACGCATGGATAGTAGACGATGTCACCTGCATAGATGCTTTTCCTTGAGTTGTCTCGAGCGATCTGCAGATCATACGCAGGACAGACTCTGCGGCGGATTAAGTACGTAGCTGACTGCAAATTGATTCAAAACATGCTTTGTCCCAGTGGGACAGCTCCGTCTCTCCCTTCTCATTCAGCCAGGTTGGTCTCAGGAGTCCTCACCGCCGCGAAGTCAAGTCTCAAAGAACGACTATGTCGAAGGTCGGGATATTGCCTGTTCCCGCGGGTGAGGTTGCGGACTTCGACGGCTTCTCGGAGCTTCAGGTCAGAATTCTGGTCGTCTATATTGTGACCTCTGCTTTGGCAACGATCGGTCTCATTTTGCGTTTTTACACAGGAGCCTGCCTCAATCAAAGACGACTCGGTCTCGATGCTTGTACGTGGGAATTCTCCTCAACTTTATCACACCGGCTACAACGATGTGTCAAACACATCCACTATAATGAAGCTCAAAGCAACAACGACTCTCAACCTCTCAGACAATTGTATACGCGAGTTAGTGCTGACGCACTCGCCCCACAGTTCTCATACTCGCGGCATGGGCGGTCTACCTAGCCTCATTCATCGGCATGCTCAAGGTCTTTCCTTGCGGTTTCGGGAAACATCTCTGGAGCGTCACCCAGGAACAGTTACAATGCTACATGAATGTAAGTCAAGCGAACATGGCCTATCCACGATCGATTTTCATCATATCTCTCCAAAAACTGCATCCCGTTCACTCCATGTAAGCACCAATGCACAGGATCCAAGTCAGGGTTCCCAAGTCTCAGCATCCTCGATAACGAACACAGGCAAATTCTTTCACACGAAAATGTCCATGGACTAGTTACTGACATAACAATGCCAAAAACAGGAACTCCTCTTCCTTGGCGTGACCTACTTCTGGCCCCCAACGCTCGCCAAGCTGTCCCTGATAGTGCTCTACCATCGGCTCAACCCAAACACGGGCTTCCGCGCCGCGCTCTACGCTATCGCCTTCGTAGTTACAACCTGTAAGTACATGACAATTCTCGATCCGGTGGACAGCGCCAATCCCATCCGGTTCCCGTTACTCTGGGATCCAAAGCCCGTAGGATGTAGTCAACTGACATGACTATTCCCCAAAAGACACGATCGTCTTCACCGCCGTCCTCTCTGGGCCCTGCAACCCCCTCAATGTCGGCAGCAGCACTTGCCTGAACAATGTCGCTCTCGCGCAGGCCGTGCTTAATATCTCCACCGATGGTGTTCTGGTCATCATGCCGGTGATCATGCTGTGGGGGCTTAACATGCCTCGAAAGCAGAAGGTTGCCGTCGGGTGCATCCTCACACTCGGTTCAGGGTGCGTGAACCCTTTCACCCTTTCAGCCCCCTTCATTTTCTTTCCTTTCCGGCGTGGATCTATGTCAGGCGCCAGTGACATTTGCTGACCAGAAAATACCCAAACAGAGCCGTGATAGCCTCCTGCGTCCGCATCGCCTACGTCCGCGCCATGATCAACAACCCAGACGTGCTCTACACACAGGGCTCGGCAGCGGTGTGGTCCGCGGTGGAGATCAACATCGGCATCCTGTGCAACTGCCTCGCGATGCTGAAGCCCTTCGTGCGGCGCCACCTGCCCTGGCTCGTCAGCCTCGTGGGGTCCGGGGCGGATGGGTCTTCGGCCTCCGAAGGGGCCAAGGCGAAGGACAGCGGGGTGCGGTGCAGCAGGTTCAGGAGGAGCGGCGCCAAGAGCGGCGGGAGTGGTGCCGCTGGGGCCGTTGGTGCTGGCGCGGGGAACTATCAGCTGCACAGCTTTGGGAGAGACAAGGAGGCGTGTAAGTTTGGCGAGGGTGATGGCCGGTCGACTACTGTTACTTCTCGCAGCGACATTCTGAAGACGCCGGATGAACTGTCGGCCCAGAAGGGCGGGATCCTTGTCACGACAAGCACGCACTTGACTATGGGTAGGGCGAGTGATGGTGATATCAGTAGCGAAGGAATTCTGACTGGCAGTGACGAGGAGGGTATGAGCCAGTATGAGACCTGCAGGAGAAAACAAGGGCAAGGGCCTGGGAAGTTGGTGTGAATTGAGGTGAGACTGACACAGAAAGGTGATGAGGCAGCTGCAGTTGGGTTGAGCAAACGCAGAATGTTCGTTGCGTTAGTCGTAGCCACGAAGGTGCTTGTACATTCGTCCTAGTGTTGCTCACCAGCTATCTACTTCGAGACCCAATTGTCAGACCCATGGAAGCTCCGCTCATTCCCAATGTACGTTGACACTGCAACATATATATCCATCAAAGCTCGTTGCAGCACAGATGATCACAAAATTCAGCGTTGCCAAACTTGTGGGATTGAGAACCGCTACCGTAGCCTCTCACTCAGGCCTGCCACTCTCAAGTAGATCAAAGGCCTCTCTACTCCAAGGTCCGTCACTCTTAGCAGACTGAAACCCAGGGAACGTCATCTTCTTCTTTGGTCTCTCAGGCTCCTTGGGAGGCTGCTCGATTGGCGTCATGGCCAGGTCCGCTGTAGAAATCGGAAGCATCATCATAGGCTGTGTGGGTGGGAGCATGCGTTGCGGCACTTTTCCCGCTGCATCTGATGCGAGCGCTGCTTTGCGGCCCCGAGATGCTGGGTTGGCTATGCGCGCGTTAGAGGCAGTCTTTGGGTGTGCGTCCGTTGACGAAGCTTCAATTGCTCCTGCTTGGAGCGGGAGCTTCACTGCAAGGTTGTTGATGCGCCGTGGAGCTGAGGTTTGCCGACGGAGACCGATAGCCTTTGGCTGCTGGATGGGGCGAGCGGGTGCTGCATCGGAGTCTAGTCTCCCAACTGTCGTTGCAACGGGCAAAGTGGGTTGATCTCCAGTGGCCGAAGCCTGGCGGTTCAGGGCTGGTATGGAGCTGTCTGACGGTGATGAGGTGGCGGAAGCGTGTTCTGAGATACTGTGATCGCCTTCAGCCCCGTTTGATGTGTCCTTCGTCAGAACAACCTGAGCATGAGCAGGCTCAACTATTGATGGCTGCCTTCGAATACCAGGCTTCTGCTGGTCGACAGACGTATCCGGCTGTGGTTTGGCTGTGGTATCAGCAGGCAGATCAGCAGGCATACTCTTCGCTGGATCAGGCTTCTCAATCTGTGCTTCCGTCTTGTCACTTATCGCCTGGCCAGTCAACGACGAGTGTTGCTTTACTGCATGAGATCTCTCTTGCAGAGGACGCCCAGTCGGAGTTGTTAGCTTGGTAGCAGGCACAAGCGACGGCTGAGAAACCGTCGTTGACTTCGTACTGACGCCTGATGTTGTGCTGTTAGACGTGCCGCCCTTCACACCTGGAGAGGATTGCATCCGAATTGTTGAAGGGTGGTTTTGCATAGGCTGATCCAGGCTTGGCAGTGTGCGCTCGGCAGGAACCTCAGCTGTGTTGTCCTGTGGGATCGGGGCCGTAGCGCGTTGCCGTTGTGCTGTCAGCCTCGATTTGATGGCAGCGGGTTGCTCGCGAGATGTCATCTCTTTCGATGACGGAGCAGCTGTGTCAGGAATTTGATCGTTGTCCACTGGTAGAGGGCTACGTGGGTTGACCGCTGATTCATCTGATTTTCCAGAAGCGCGATTTTCTGTCCATTTTGGGTTTCTGGGTCGATCCTGGACATGATGGAGTTCGGAGGGAGCAAGTGTGACATGATCCGGTGTTTCCTCTGCTGGCCACGTCCGCTTTCCCTTAGCGTTCGTTTCGAGAGGTGGTGCAGGAAAGTTGGGACTTGGTGGTGACATCTGGATATTACCACACTCGCTCGCCGCACGATGCAGAGCCTCATCCACTGTAGGATGATTCGAGACCCGTCTCTGGATGGACTCAGTGACCGGCGAAGATAGAATGCTGAACGGCATCCCGATCCCCCTAAGGCCGAGAGGGGCATTCAGCGCTGCGAGATTGAACCCAATAAGCTCTCTGCTCTTGACATTCTTTTTGATCTTCTCTAGACGTGGACGATCCTCTGATACTTTAGAAGTCTTCGCCTTGTGCCGGTTTCTTGGGACTTCTTCCTCGGAGCCATCTTGCTCGCTTGGCAGAGGTGAGGGCTCTTCATATGCCGCGGATCGCGTCTGTCTTTGTCTCATTGATTTGCGACGCCTTGTAGGCTGTCCATCCTCTTCTGACTCGACACTCGTCTGATTGTCTTGACCTCTGGTTTTCCGTGCTATCTTGGGCTGATCATCATCTGATTCGACATTGAAAACCTCCTCTTCAGCATCGCCCTTCCTGTCTGTGGCTTTCCTTGGCTTCAGCTGTTTCTTGGGAGCTACCCCGTTGAGCCTGGGGCCAACTGACTGTTCAACACTAGGCCTAGACTCGGTCTGCTTGGGTATTGAAAGCGGCGGCTCAGCATCGTATTCATCATCATCGTCTGAAGAAACGACTTTCCTTCGGGCATGCCTCTGTTGCTTGATCTTGCCCAGCCTTTTGTTTTTGTCGATGGGCGCGAGAATTCCATCACCAATGCCACGCCCAAGTCCGTTGTTGGCCGCGGGTGATTTAGTCGCAGGACTTGACGCCCGCGGAGATGGCTCTCGTTCCACCGGAGAAGATGGAATTCGATAGGGATCATATCTCGCCTTTGGTGGCGATTCAGGATGATTCGGAAATTGATGGGCACTAGCAAGCTCTTTCCCTACATTGTTTTCGGAGCCAGCATGGGACATATCCTGGACAGTAGTGTTCACCTGGTCTGCAGGAGATGTCGATCGGAAGGGATCATCATCTTCACCAAGTTCAGTCGAGATTTTGCGCTGCAGAGAACCCTCTTCGAGCTCACCTGGTTCTGCCGATTTACCAACAGCGCGAACTTTCCCATTACTGCCCGCTGATTGAGGTGATGGGGATCGGAAAGGGTCGTCGTCATCCATATCCCTCGAGTGACATTTTGAACTCTTTTCTGCCTGCCGACGGGGCTTTTTCGTCTTCGGTGCGTCCGATATCATAAGAAGACCCCGTTTCCTGCTAGACTTGATCCGGAGCTCTGTGACGGGCATTTCCGATTTTCTTGTCAAATCAGGGGCACGCGCAGCTTTCTGATGCGTTGCGGAATCTGTACGCTCAGGGTTCGCATTACTCGGACGATCTCTGGATGCAGATGTTTCCGCTGTCTTGGTCTTCTCGTGGCCCTTCTTTCTCCCAGGTTTGGTTCCACGATCATCTTCCAAATTTTGCCGCTTCTTTGGGCGAATCAGGTCTTTGTGATGCATAGACCCTCGCTCCGCCGCGACCGTTGGAAGCCCAACATCATTTTGATTTTGCAAGGCCGTTGAAATGCGCTTCTCTGCTCTTGGTGGCCGAATAGGCGGGGACGCAATCGGATCCGGATCATCTATCTCGATAACATCTACATCCGCTGGGAGCATTTGTGCTATGGGTTCTGCTTGATGCCGTCGAGACAAGCTGACGTTTTCCTCGGGAGCCTTAGGTCTAGCGCTGCCCTTTGCTCGCCTATCATTCATGCTGTCTTGTTTGCTTAGCAAAGCGGACCGAGGCTTGTCACCAAGCTGATTGAGATGGCGAGACAATATGGGTCGTTCCTGCGTTGATGGTCGGTTCGTCTCTTGCGGATCTTCCCTGGCTTCATTCAACGTTGGACTCGAAGCTGGGTTATTCCGCGACTGGGGCGTCGGTGGTACTGAGCTCACTGGGGCATGGCTCAGAGTCAAGGTTTGTCCAAAGAGAGACTGAGCGTAGCCACTCTGGTTGAGGCGCCGAGACGGTTGCATCCGTTCTCGCCGGACCGGTTGTGGGTTTTCTCGAGAACCTTGCGTATCGGACTCGACTGGTGGGTCTGAGCTTGGTTCAGGCCGGGTTCTACGGATGGCAGTCAGAGAACTTGTAGGCGTGGCACTGAGGGTCAAGGACTGCCCAAATAGTGCTGTTGCATATCCGCTTTTGCTCGGGGGAGGATCGTCGAATCTCCTCCTCTTGGCAGCTCGATCATCTGGGGATTCAGCAGCTTGCTGCCTCTGCTCGAAGGGTGACTCCTTGGGAACCAGAGCCTTTCCATGGTGGCCAGTCGGGGTCCCGATAACATGGTGAAGCGGTCGATGTCGTGGTGGAACACGGTCTGGGGCAATAGCAGCAGGGCGAGGCAGGGACCGCGGCAGCATTGCACTGGGAGCCGCGGACCGGGCTAGCTGCTGTAACTGGCGCTGCTGCTTCTCCTGAAGCCTTTTATCAACAAGCTCAGATAAGTCGGTCTCCCTACGCTCGACAAGTTCTTCAACTTGTACGATGACGCCGCCACGCTCGAGTTGAACTTCCTCGCCCTCGCCAAAGTCGTAGTCACCATGCCAGTGCATGTCTCCGACGGAGTTCCCACGCTCATCATAGACCATGACACGGGCATTGAAGGAGTGGTATTTGAGGCGGCCATCTTGCCATCGCTTCTGCTTGCGGCGGAGGTCATGTGTGAAGAGACACCGGAACTCGAGTACGGTGGCGGTTGAGGGCGCAGAGCTGGACATGTCGACTGCAAACAGGCTGGGCAGGATCACTCGCGCCGACAATTGGAATGTCAATATACAATCCGACCTCTATAAGCCCTCTAAAGGTATCCATGCTCCATGTACCGCGGACGTATTGGTAATGGGCCAGGGTTGTTGTGTTTGAGAGGTGAAGGAAGCGAATAGACGCGTCTGGATGAGGCGAAAGTCGGGACTCAGTCGAGACGCGTCTTACCCAAAGAGAGCCGCGATGTCAGGTGACTACCACATCCTGGAGTGTCTGGGTGGCAGAGGGTCTGACTGTAGTGACGTTTCAGGCTCCATCCCCAACGAGACAATACGAGGGGGTCAAGCTGTCAACTTTACTCCACAGGATGGACTGTGCTCTGTCACGATGATTCTTCATACCAGCACGGATAAGTGGGGCTTTTTCGTTGATCTTCTCAATATCATAAAGTACTCCGATTCAATCATCCCAATTGCTGTCTCGAAACCAACAGCTCACCAAATTGCTGCTTGGGGGGCTGACTGGAAGGTGGTCTGATAGCATTGATAGCTGTCACTCGGCCCCGACCCCTCCCAGATCGTCTGCTTCTTTGCTGCCTTGGCCTAGCTCCCGTCATTCCGTCCCACCCCACCTTGTCAATATCATCCCCAGCTTCGCTTGCTCTGCCTGCAATAATAAATAACATCGGACCATGCCCCAGACATAATTGCCCATGACTGCGGCATCGGCTCTCTTTTGCTGCCACCTCTACTGGGACTCTTTTCGGATGGCTGCCCATTCAATGCCTAATCGGTTTTAATCTCAACTGCGCCTCCTTCTCGTGCAACTCTGATGTCACTAATTTAACGGTGGTCCGAGCTTTTCCCTCATTACGCTGCCTGTTGAGCCCCTTTGCCTGTGGCTCTGCATCGTCTTTGCACCACTCCTCGCGGCAGCTTGTTTGACAGTCTGAGGCTCACGCTGGATATCCTGTCCTCGAACCACCAGTCGCAGAGCATCGACAGCATTCGCAACCTGGCCAAAGATGCAATCCGTGCAGAGGAAGTTTGGCAGGCTGCTCAGCAAGAACCCGGGCGACAATGCCAAAGTATCGGTCTTGCTGAATGACTATGAGGATGCAGATCGCATTCTGGCAAAGGCAAGCACTTCCCCATCTCCATCTACCGAGTTCCCAGATCACCAAAGACTAGGACTAACGCAAGGGGCTCCAGCTTATCGAAAGCGCAAAATCCTGGCAAGAGTCATGGTTCACCCTAGTCAACTCCCAGCTCGAGATTGCCAACGTCTACGCGGGCCTGTATGATCCTATAGTTGGCGCATCTGACGGCCACGGTCGCCAGACCGCCATCACACCAGAGCTCCAGCTCCACAGAACTTTCGCCCTGAAGGACGTCTACTCGGACCTGAGGACAGAGCTCACCGAGGACATCACTTCCATCGAAACCCGCATCATCCAACCTGCCAACAACGCTCGGCAATCCATCAATCCCATACGCAAGACCATAAAGAAGAGGGAGGACAAGCGCTTCGATGTCGAGAAAACCCAGGACAAGGTCCACAAACTTCATCGCAAGGCCACTCGTACGCCCAAGGAAGATGCTCAACTGGCAAAGGCCGAGGACGAGCTGGCAACTCTGTCCGAGGTAAGAGACAATGCTACACAGAACAATCGCTGAATGCAGTCTGACTTGTGTTACCAGGAGTTTGAGATTGCCGACCACCACCTGCGAGAGACCCTACCGCCCATAATCCAGGCTACGTTTAGCCTCGTCCCTCCTCTTTTGGCTGCGCACATTGTCATCCAGAACAGGCTGCTCGGCTTGTACTACACCGTCTTGCATGGATATTGTGAGGAGAATGACTTTCCTTCCCCGGCCCCGCCAATGGACGATGTCATCGCGGATTGGGCCAGGTACTTCGAGCCTGGGAAGCGCGACGTGGAATCGATCTCCATGATTTCTCGGGGCAGGGGCATTAGGGAACCTCTGAACCTATCGAACGATGGCGCTCCGCTTAACCGCCAACTCTCCGCCCCTCCACCGGAAGCCGGTATGCGCCGCGCGTCCTCGGGCCTTATCCCTAGCGTCAATGGAGGCCGACCACGGATAACTTCGTCCAACTCGACGGCGCGGACACCGTCACCACAACCCAGCCCCAACCTTGGCCCAAGGCCAGACGCCAAGAACTCTAATTTCGGCGGGCACCTGAAACCTACAGACTTCACGACAGCAAGTGATCTGGGGCGGGCGGGTGGCCAAGTCTCTCCGTCCCAGCTCCGTCAATCATCTGCAAACGACTATTTTGGCAGCCGTAACCCACCTTCTCCAGCTTCCACGATCGCCTCGAATTTCTCGCAAACCAGCATCGCGGCCAAGAAGAAGCCACCTCCACCGCCCCCACCGAAGCGCATCGGTAGTGGCAAGCCAGAGGAATATGTCATTGCGCAGTACGATTTTGTGGGCCAGGGCGCCGGTGACTTGTCCTTCCGCGAGGGCGACAGAATCAAGATTATCAAGAAGACGCAGACGGACCAGGACTGGTGGACCGGCGAGCTGGCCGGCAGGAGAGGAGATTTCCCTGCTAATTATTGCAAGCGCGCTTAGATGCAGCGAGTTGCGCAAAATTTATAATTACCCACGCGAACGACATTCTCACGAGCGACGACAGATACATCGAATTCAACATATGCGCGGATTATCAGTCAGGGCCGATCCACCAGCGCGGCTGAAAATTGGGGGTGCCAAGAACGCAATGGGTACACACGGATGCTCGGGAACATTACGGACTCGAAATAAGGCTTGGCGCGGAGGCTGAATGGCTCAGGGTCAGCGGCACGGAAAGAGGCGTTCATAACGATCGCCCGTCCTGCGCATAATTAGACTATACGACACTCGAACCCTGTGACGGCCTTCACAGTCCGTGCATAGCTTTAGATGTCACCACGGTTATTATTAACAAGTATTCTATCTTTCGTATCACGCTAGCAGTGCGCGCTCAAGAGTGTGAAGTGCGTTGCCGATTTGATTGCATAGTGTCGGAAGAATGTCCAGGTGGCGACCGTTGCAACTGCCGCGCTCAGTCGAGGTGAGACGGGATTCGACAACGCCAATCGATTACTGCAAAGCGACCGACCTCTCAAGTCCCCTTGATGGATTCCGAGCAATCTCCAATAGGAAAGCATTTGCTTCAATGAGTAAGATATCACGTGGGACTGGTGCGGAGCCTGCTGCCACTGCCTCACCAGCCCCATGATTTTATCACTTATAGCGAATCTTACTGCCTTGCTTAACTACCTCGAAGACTCAAAAACATTGCTTAACTACCTCGAAGACGTCAAAAACATTGCTCTAAAAATTGCAGACAGTGTATCAACCAAAGTTACAACGTTCACATGATCATCATCCAATAGCATATCCTATCAACCCTACCCTCACACAATCTTGCAGGCACCCTTAGATTACCCAATTGCCATGCTCTGCGAAACGTGCTTCCGAATGTTCCAAGCGGTCTTCAGACGGCCATGCGAGTGGGGAGATCATCATCAGACTCTGATCTCATTTCTCGATGCTGCAAAATCCGGCTGTTATATCTGCGAGCCGTTGATGCAGTATCTTCTTAAGGTCGAGGAACGAGCAAACTGTCATTTCGAACATCTCAAATATCGTCTCTACGAACAAGGGGCTTCTACTCGAGTAATCATCGACGTGAAGATCTTCCGTAATGGGAAGCAGAGCACGAACTGCAGAGTCTTTTGGGCTACACCAAGTTCAGGTTTTGCTCCACGTGACAGTATTGATGTCAGGACTAGGCATACGTCCATTCTGGAGGCTGAGGCTGTACTTAAAATCCAGGCATGGATGGGCAGTTGCCTCTCCAGTCATGAAAACCCCAGATATCGGAAAGGTGAGTCGCATACCAGCTGGTATCCAACGCGGCTCCTCGGACTGGGCCCTGATTCATCATTTCGAGTCTTTCAGACTGCAATAGAGCGACCTACTGGCCCGTACGTGGCGTTGAGCTATTGTTGGGGCTCCAATCCAACTTTTTTGCGCCTCACAGCTTGCAACAAGAAGCAGCTCGAAGCCGGCACTTCAATCTCTCGGCTCCCGCTGGCGTTTCGAGAAGTTATATCGATCATCCAAAATTTGGGATTTCGATACCTGTGGATCGACTCTTTATGTATAATTCAATCTGGACTTGGAAGCACCGAGGACTGGCAGACTGAGTCAGCTAGGATGCATCAAGTATACTCTAATAGTATACTTACTCTCTCACTTGCATGCGCGGCAAGCCCAGACGAAAGCATCCTCAACCGATCTTGCGTATACAAGACCGTGACACCAGTCTTTGAAATACAAGCAGACACAAAGGACCCAGCTGCTGAAACTCTGACCGTTGTATCCATCGACTATTTTTCTGAAGGTTTATATGATCAGCCGTTGAGCCATCGCGCATGGGCGTTGCAGGAACGCGTGATGGCCGCGCGTGTTGTCAGCTTCGGTTTGGGTGAGCTTTTCTGGGACTGCGCTCAGCTGCCCAACACATGCGAGTCCATCCCTGGTGGCTTACAAGGAACACAAGTGGAAGCAAAAGATCTGAGTCTTTTTGGCCTGGCCAGAAAGTCCATGCCCGACGGTTCAGATGACAACGCCTTGCTAGAGGCTTGGTGGAGTCTGCTAGGCGAATACACGAATCGGAGGCTGACGTACCCCAAGAACGATAAGCTGGTTGCCCTGTCTGCCATTACACTTGAGTTAGGTAAGGCTATGGATGACGTTTATATCGCCGGCCATTTTTGGAAGACTTTGCCTGCCAGCCTGGATTGGGTACTGCAAGACAATTTAGGCCGCTGGGAATCGAGAGTGCGGAGAGCACGGCCAATATTCGCATCAAAAACAACTAAAACCGAAATCAAAGCACAAAGCATCCCTAGTTGGAGCTGGGCATCAATGGATGGTCCAATTTTTGCCTGGATGTCCTCTTGGAAAGGCATGCCAGGTTACTACGGTAACTATCAGCAACTGGCGGAAGCAGTCTCATACACTCTCGAACTGGCCAGCACGGACAACCCGACTGGCCCTTGTGTCTCTGCGAGCCTCTCGATCAGGGCATACTGCACCGAAGTCCAGTGGAAACGTGAAAACAACCCGGTAATCGTAGCCCGCTCTGAAATGTGGGCTAGTCGCAATATTGACTTTACGTTCGATTTTGACGAACGCGAAATACTACGGCTAGATGGATCCAAATATCTGTTGGCCGCCATAACCGAGCAAGAACGGTTGGAAACATGGTCGGGTTTAGTCCTAGAGAGTGAATTTCAAGCAGGGGAAATACGATACAGAAGAATTGGCCACTTCGTGATTGAAGGAGCCAGTAAGACAGATTCAACTTGGTGGAAGGAACGTATCCCTATATTTGAAGGCGAGAAAAGGCTTATCACGTTGATATAGTCCTCATGGTTACGAGCAACTTTATATAGTGTTGAAGATATTTGGAAATGTATTGGTGGAACCTGTTAGCAACAAGGATATTCTATTCCGTCATTTGATTCTGTTTATAATACTTTTGAAGAGCTCAAGACGAAGCGGTACAGTTCGTGGCAGTTCGAGTTGCGGCGACTGGAGAAACTGAACCGGCTGCTGGCTGAGCACTTGGCTCACCGACCCACAACGGTGGTCCCCCCCCCCCCCAAAGCCCCTCTCTCTATGTCTCATGAGCCTTTCCGTGGACGGAATACCGCCTTGTAGTCAGTCTGTTTCCTCGACCACAAGAGCCAACAGGAACCTGAAAACTTTTTCTCTATCGATTTTAGCCCACTCTGCTTCTAGCTATATATATCTCGAGATACGCAAAAAGCATATTCTCACAAGAATGTATGACAGACTCATATCATATCGGTTGGAAACGTTCCGAATTCTAATCTGAGGGAGAGTCACCTTCGCTCCTATTTCTTCAAGACTCGCGGCTGTTTCCAACTCAACTCTGCGGTCAGAAACCTTTTAATGGCAATTTTCAGGTCCAAAACCTTCTTGTCCCAATTTTCCCTGCTTGGCTCCCCTTGATCGTTCTTTGGTGCATTGGCAATCTCCTTCGTATCTCCATTTGAGGAAAGGTACTGGCCCAGGTGCATGACACGTCCCTTGCCTTTGACCAAAGCATCGACACCGTCCGCTGAAACAAGCGCCTTGCGCAGTTTTACCATGTTGTTATGCTCGCGCCGGGTGAATACGATGATGTAATCATACTCCTTGAACATCTTCCTCCTGATCCCCTTGGATTTCGCCTTTTTGGCCTGCTGATGCAGTTTTTCCTTGAAGCCCCCGGGAATGAAATTGTAGTTCGCATTGTCAAAAAGCGCTGCCACAGCCGTGGAACTGGCCCGCGAGCCCCCCTTGGCCATCTCCAGCTTATAGGAGTCATGTTTGAAGTCGAGTCCGTCGATCAGTTCTGCGCAGTCGCCATGCTGCCGCTCGAAAAACCCGGCAGACTGCACCTTTTTGACACGCCAGTCGCCATTTGCTGATTCGGTCCAGGCGCCCAGTAGTTTTACCAGCATCTCGGATACAACGCTCCGCCCATGGTTGTGCGGGTCGACGAAGATGATCTTGTAATCCTTCCGAGGGAGAGTCACTTCAGGTGTCGGCTGTCTGGCAGGGACGGAAACAGATTGCTGGCCGTCATCATTTGCATAGCCAGTCAGTCCTCCTCTCTGTGCATCTCCGGCCGTCGCCATTGCCAAGTGCACAGTCAGGGCCGCCAATTTTGCCTCGAGCCCGTTCATCTTTTTCATGAGTGTGCCATAGTTCCTCACGAGCTTCTTTTGCTTTTTGGCCCCATGTCGAACACTGAGCAATTGCGATTCCATGCCATCAATCTTTCCTAAGAGTACGTCGTTCTTATCGACCAGCGCGTCATGGTTCGCTTGGTCTTGTCTGATCCCAAGCAGTCCCATGTATTCCTTCAGGTCCCGACGATCCTCTTCAAGATCCTCTGCAAGCCTCCTTAGGTCTGTAGCTCTACCCCCGTACTTCTGGTAAGCATTGCGAAAGAAATTACCGAGCCACCACTCTCGAAACTCAATTCCTGTGGCTCCGATCTTCCTAGACTCCCATCCATCAAGCAAGTCATGTGTCGCCTTGCAGTCCTTCTCGGTGTCCATTATGATGCTTTCGAGTTCGCTCTTTTGTTCCTGTTGCAGTCGGTCAAGACCGTGCTTCGGCATCTTCTCCAAATGTGACTTGAGGCCGCAAAGGAGGACCTCTAGCCTACCGATTCGACGGGTGATTTTACGGAGCTCGTCCGGCCACCCCTGAACTTTGTTTATAATAGCCACGCATCCGTGAACCAAATCCCAACAGGTGACAACGGTGCTGAAAACGTCCATGCTGACACAAGGAGGCAATGAGAGGGTCGACCGGCCTGTAAATGAGAGCCGTGTGCTTGACAAGTCCTTCGTCATGGTTCTCCGGCAACGCTCAGGAGTCATCGCAGAAGTTCTGCTTTTAACACGAATTCAGGCCTTCAGAAACTGCATGGATGCCCAGGTGACTGCATGCAAATCCGGTCGCCTGCAGATGAGCCCAATGCCGAGTCGCCGAAAAAATCACACATGGTACGCACGTTTTCAGCACAACGCATATACGCGAATCCACTCTGGAAGGTTCCGGCTGACCGGCCTCAGTCATAAAACATGATGTATCATTTCCTACAGAGCCGGGCGAGAACGGTACCGGTCTTTGCTCTGTAATAATCTAATATCATCAGTTGCCATTTTATACAAGAAGTTAAAGCTGACTATTGGTTTGAAGAAGAAGTAAAATGAGACCGAAGACAAGACCCCTAGTGCAGCCAGCAGCCAAGATCCCTAGTGATGTCGATAAACCATCTCCGACGTTCGTTTATTACAAACTCCATACCATGCCTTAGACGTTGGCCTTTTCTAGACCTTGTTATAATACAGCCTGATCCAATTGCTCCACCTGCCAACATGCGTTTTTCGTCGGAAAGCCTCATAGAGACACCGTGGATGCCGTGACCGTGGACGCGGTGACGGTGATACCGGCCATTTCCTCCGCATCCATCTCCTTCGACTTGGCCTTCTGCAGCGGCTTCCGGGAGGACCCCTTTGAGCCGCTGATGTTGCTCAGTGTCCGGTACGATCCAGGCGCGCTGGAGGCCCTGTCGGTGGACTTGTGGTAGATGGACGAGGTCACGGTCTTGTAGAACTTGGGAACGAGGCGCGAGAAGAAGAATCGGCTGTCGGGCAGGCAGGCGCACATTATGGCTACCAGCGTCTCGGCGCAGGACCAGTAGGCGAGCGGCATGAGGTTGATGGTCGGGTTCGCCGAGGAGCGTGTGCGCCAGAACGTGACACAACGTACAATACCGACGATGGTGAGCCTGTATAGGTCGATCAGCATGTGGTAAATAGCTATCCTGGGACTGAATGAGGTACGTACGCAAATCCCATTGCGAACATGAGACACACACCGAGCTTCTTGGTCCTCGAGAGTTGAAGCCTGGATGTCTCGTAGATCGGTAGACCGATGATGACGGCGTCCATGACGAGATTGATGATGCCATTGCCCAAGACGAGCTTGTAGATGTCAAGACAGTGGCCGGGTTCCTCGGCCGCCCAGCCGGTCCAGGCTAGATGGATTGGCTTGCACTGGAAGATGATGATGAAGACGAAGAACACCATGATGAAAATGTTGAGCCCAATGACCGGGTACGTGATGCGGCGAAAAACAGGCGACGCGTCAAAGATGCGTATGAAGAAGAAGCACACCGAGAGCTTAGTGGCTGAGATGTGAATGATATACAGCATCTCATTGGCGAAGAAGGCGACCAGAATCCTGGTGATGTTGGCGAAAGGGACCTCCCATGTGTCAAACCCGAGCCCGAGATCGTATATCCGCCATAGATGCACGCCGTAGAGAGCTATGGAGAAAGACTGCGCGTATAGCGTTAGTTTACTGCGTAGCAGGGGGTGGGCAATAGCCTAGGCAGGCCGTAGAACGCACAAAGGCTATTAGCATGAGCCAGTCATCAATGCCCCAGCCGCCGCCATGGCCGAGGAACTTGACTGTGAGCCGCACTATAACCAGGAAGAAAGTGATGGTGAAGAGGACCGTCAAGGAGGCAACGTCGTTCTGTTGAGGCCTGCGCGGGACGCCGCACTGGCGCAAGCCCAGGCGTTTGGCGACCAGGCTCTCCTTGACTGTGCAGGTCGACTTTACGCATGCTGCAACCGACGCCTGGTAGGTGTCATCGAGGCAGAGGCAGGCCGTGTCGGTCGGCGAGCAGGAGGTAACGCCGCTGCCCAGCACAGACATGGTGCAATTCACCTGCAGGGCGGCGAGGCCGGTTAGCTCACGATCCGCACGCTTGTCTCGGGTGGCGCACGGAAGGACGGGGACACGGGTAGACCCGTGAAGATCACTCACTGCACATGGAGGTGGCGTATTCCACGCTGGATCCGTCGCCGAAGCCACTCCGAAGAGCAGGGCTGCGGCAGCCACGGGCAGGAAAGAGGTGAAGCGCATATTGACAACTATTGACGACAACTATTATTGCCAAAGGAGATTGACATTTCAGGCGATGGGTGAGGAGGCCAGCAATGTTGGGGGCCATGAAAGCCAGGTCGGCGGAATATATCTGCTCTCATCACAGCCTCTGGATGCCCCTATCTTCCTCGACCTCGCCATACAGAGTCCGCGACCATCCGTAGGGTAACAAACAATGCAACAAATATCACAAAAATCAGACCACATCTGCTTGCCAAGATTTGTCTGCTGACGGACTGCAGATCGAAGGGCTGGTCATGCAGGAAGGACTTTTTGCACGTTGTGAGTCGCAGCCTCGATGCTCGTTTGCTGGCTACAATGTACAGAGCACTAGTGCTGACAGAGATGGTAACGCCCGCATTCGCGAGAGATATTGGGGGCCAACAGGCTGCCGCTTCAACATACTGTATGTAACTTAAACAAAATGTAATTTTTCCCCATTCGCGCGTCAGCGCCGAATGCGAGCATACCATGTCGATCGATGTAGCATCTAGTGCCACCACCCATGGGGCATGGGGGAGCCTTGCAAGTCCGATTCACCCAATAAGTTACCACCCTACGACACCACTCGCCCAATGTCGCACTCGCCCTTTTGCATTTTTACTCTGCCCCCGCAGGCGATCCAGACCGTTGAGTCCTAGATGCCCCTGCATCCACGTGCGTACCGCCCAATCGGCATCAGATACAAAGGTAGAGGGCGGCCGCCGGTTATGTGGCCAAAGATAGAGTGCGGTGCGTCGGGTGAAAAGGGCTGCATATCGTGCATTAGCCTGGCTTTTCTTGACCTTCCTCCATCTTATAGGGCAGTGGGCAAGCAGTGGGCAAGCAGTGGGCAAGCAGAGGGCTAACTTCGGCAGTTCGGGACCGGGGGAGGAAATAGTGAAGCCGGAAAGGAAGCTAGTACAGTAGACGACGGGAACAAAACCGGGAGTCCCCCACTTGATGTGTAGGCGCGAAATCGAACTCTCAGAGCTTGCTGTCCTCCATGTCGCTGTTAAACGTTGGCGAAAAGGCTGAACGCGGTGGTCACGGTGGTGTTGGTGTAACTTACCTAAACATAGCAGACTCAACTTGCCCAGGTGCTGATGTTCATGGGATTGGTGTGCATACAGAACGAGAACACAGACGCCGTGTTCGTGGTGCTAGGTGGCTTTTTTTGTGGAATTTTGGCTCGTTCTCGTGAAGGGGGAATGGTGGGGTACTGTAGGTATGGGAAGGCGATTCGTTGCCGGACAATTGAAACCTGCATGCTTGTTTTCATGCGCGGATCCGAGCAACCAGGATATGAATCCTACTAACCTTCCTAAAACAGCAATCGATCATAATCACTCGATGGCGAGGTGGAATCCCAAAGAGGTCGGCGTCAACCGGTCAACTAGTCGTAGTTGCGTGTCGGCCCGCTCCAGCTTGTGGTCAAGACCGAGGTGGTCAGACGGGAGCCCTGGAGAGACCTGCTAATCGGACTGTGTCCTCCGCCCTGATGTGACACTGGAAGAAGCCTTACTTATTGTCAAATTGAAATGTTGTTCAAGCTTCCTTGTAATCGTCTTCTCACTGTGGCAGCTGCTATTTTCTCACAGGGGTTCTGGTGTGCTTCTCCTGAACCTTCTGTTCGAACTGCATATATCACTGATTACTCGTAGAACCATCTGATATTAGGGGAGAGTCTTAACTTCAGCCCCAAGAACGTCGCACTGGGCCTGCAGGCTTGATGACTCGGGCATCCCAGTCTGTTCATCCCCTCTGAGCTGATCAACCTGTAAATTGAGATCCGACGCTTTGCCTGGAAGACTAACAACCCCAGTCTACGCCTAGTTATCTTTCCGATGTGTTTCCTGGCGTGTTTTGTGCCTCTTCTCATCCTTATATCCCGTCGACACCCTTCTAGTCCATCAAAATAACGCGCAAGAAGCCCAAGAAGAGCACAGAAAGCAGAATTATTAATATCAAACCATTCAAAAAGCGGCCTGCCCAGACAGTTGTGCCTCTCTCTGTATAATTGCCCCCGCGATCGAAAAGGACCCACCAGTCAACAGCATTTGGGGATGGACAGAATACCAAATCCCGTCCCTATATGGCACATGCCCGGGGTCTGGTTCCAATTTTAGACGCCGTTACACTGTCATTGTCACGGTGACTCGGTGACTCGGTGACCTGCATGACAGTCGCAGCAGCACCACTCACGCATTTCTGACGAGATATAGCACCGGCTACTAAGGCCCACACCTGTCACTGTCACCCAGGCCCACCCAACGTGTCGGCGTGTATGGTTGCTGGGGGGGGGGGGGGCGAGCAAAGCTTTCATCCGCCGACCTTCCGCGTGAGCAATTAGATCGATTCAGTTCGAAGATAACGCACAGTAGGAAGAGACTGGGAAAGTTTTCAACTGCGGCTCTGGCGGCTGGAACTCGTACGACCATGTGCCTACAGTCCATGCTTCTGCGTTAGAAACTCACTAGAGAGGCCTCATCAAGTGCGGCGTTGTGCCATGGTAACACTCTTTTGGAATCATTTCACCGGCCATTCGATAATGTCATGTCAGGCTAGCTAATGCAGACCATGGGGCAGACTTGATGGGCGAAGCACAGGGTTACATGAGAAGGGGCCGTAAGAGCCCAACAATTTATCTCGTTCATTGCCCAATTACACTACCGAAACACCAGCTATGGGCTGTGAGCGCAATTTGTGGAGTGACATGTTTGTATCGATGCGTCTTCAGCGATGTGTTCAGGATTGCCTTGCTCATTTTGTAGAGAACAACGTATTTCTCGGGTGTCAAAACTTTTACCCCATTTACTTCGTGTAAAACGAGGAGTCAATGATAGAGTGGAGTTAAATCTTCAGCGAGAAGACTAATACAACCGTTTACAAAAGTTTTGTCCATTTCTGTCCTGTATGTGCTATTCTGATGTGGTCTGCGTGCTGTCCTGCCTGAGCGGTCCCTCGAAATCACACGCTGCCGAACGCAAATCATCTCCGCACGTTGCTCACCATCACATCTATCCAATGCTTCTTCCGTATGTACTTTTCAGTCGTATTGACATGTCGCGCATCGTCCGAATCAACTCCCACTATCCATCCGTGCCATCAAACCAAGCTTGTGTCGAGCAAGGCTCTCAAATGAGCCCAGCGAGAGCTTGGTGAGTCGACTTCGGCACCATGGTGCTGGCCATCTGCAGATGAGCACTCGTATCAGACGTCGAGATCAGATCGACGTCTCTGGTGAGGTGCTCATACTTTCAATCTGGGGTCAAAAGCTCCCATACCCCCAAAATCGAAAAAAAGACTTCCTTCTGGTAGCGGATCATTTCTTGCGTCCTTGCCGACGCTTGCGGGTCTTTTTCTCCTCAACCTTTTCCTTTTCAGTCTGTCCTTGCCGGGGAGTTTTGCCTGCTAGCATAACTTTGCTCCAGGCGTTTTTGGAACCTGCCTTTGCACAGGACAGGCACCATAAGTGTCCATTACTGGCCACGATAGGACTCAAGACTATCGCCTGACATCCATCGCAACTCCGAAAACGGTTGGGATCGGAGAACTGATATTCCATTTCATATCCAACGTAGAAAAGAGGGTGTATCACACTTTCTGGGGAAGCGGGAAAGACAGTGTCGAACAAAGTAGCTTTCATTTCATCCTCAAGGCCCAGCACACCAACAACTTCGTGTCGCAAATGGGACACCATTTTGAGCCAGAAATCGGTCTCTGCCTCGGAATGTCTGACGCCCCAGGTTGAAAGTCCTCGAATCAACCCAAAGTTGTGGGTCATGAACTTCACAAAGAGCTCACGGAACTGACGAGTGGGACCACTGGTTTTAGACGTGAGAGCAATAGCTTCCATGAGGTCATGGATGAACGCTTTGAAGGATTTGGTGGGGGTGTCTGCAAAGTATAGATCTCCGGCGTCGTCGATGTCGTCGTGAAAACCGAGTGCCCAGGACTTGACGCCAAAGCTGCTGCAGACATCGACAGCAGCCTCGCTGGCAGCATCGATGAGGCCTTGCGTGAGGAAGTAATCGCCGAGGATCGTCAGCTCAACAAGCATGGCCAGGAAGCCGTTTCTGCTTTTCGATATCGCATAATCTCTGTGCCACTTGAGGTCTTGGTGGTAGATGAAACGAAGAAGCCACTCGATCTTCTCAGGCTCGTGATCATCAAGATTCACCTCACGCGTCTGGGATTCCTGCGATATCGTACAAATATCAGCTTAGCAATACTGAATCTTGACATCACACGTCACGAACCTTCCAAGGTCCACTGAATGCTTTGCGGAAGTACTGGCTTCGAGTTGAGAGAATAAGCTGGTGTGTGCTGAACTCTCGGCCGTTGCAAATGACCTTGCAGTCGGCAAATTCGGCCGACTCAAAAAGCCTGAGAGTATTAGATTTGAAGAGACGCACGTGTTGATGAATGCTGGAATTCTGGTAGACCTACTCAATATCCATCGTAGCAGACTTGAAGGTCATGGCAGAGCTGAGAGAACATGAATTGGTGGGTGGAAAGGATGGAGAACAGAAGAGGAATCAGACGCAGGCAATAATAGTCCTGATATCTGTTACCAGTGCTCGAATGTGGTCAATGGTACATCTGATGGCACGGTGATGACTTCAAATATGGTACATGACCAGGCGGCTGCCTAAGAGACTATTGTTGAATGTGGGAAGGATTCTGCGACTGGAAACTGGTGAGAAGGTGAGAGATTACCTGACTTTAATATTACGCTATCAGAACCAGAATACAGCACCCTTGAATGGCTTAGGCAGCAATTAGGACTGGACAGATCCTTGAGTGTCGGATTATTGAGGCACCTTCAGGGTGATGCACGGCCAGATACCTCTCAAAGAAAGGTCATTTTCAGGCAGATCGGACATGATAAGTAATTGAGTCCTGGGCTCTTTGAATCCTTCATTCCAGGGGCACATCAGCAAGCTGCAATTCTCTTAGACTGTGTTATCAGCAAGAGATTTATCAATTAATTAGGTGACTTTGTCCCAATTCTTCAGGCATTGCTGCACTAATGCTTTCTGCAAATAAAGGCTGCAAAAACTTAGCCTGGGGAACTATTCCGTGTGTCTTTTAATCAGCAGGATCGTAATTGCAGGGGAGTGGAACAAGTGACAGCCTGTCTTTAATGACCTTCAGAGACCTAGTGAGATTGATAAAAGGGTGGCAATATGAAAAGTTACCTCGATAGCATGTCATAGATTCTAAGTCTGGATATCCCTGCTCGATAAACAATGGTGTATCAAATCTGTTCTTGACACAAAGACACAGTCAAATGATTAGAAACATCTCCAGCAATCTGCACACATAATGTAGATCGCAGGATTTGTTCAGCAGTGTTTCAGAAACTACTTTATCTCACCAGGTCACTTGTGAGTGTTTCTGCTGTCTAATTTCAGATACAAACTAATCTTCAGCATAGATTTGTATGCCTCCGGGAACGGAATATGCTGCTGGTTTAGAAGACAGTCAAATTGCGTTGACCAACCACCAGAAACCTTTCCAAATCTCTGTCAACAAACGCGTAATCGAAGGTGAAGGTTGTCTTCTCACCCAGATCCTCTGATCCCATTCGCGTAAGACGTAGGAAAAGTTTTTCTGGGAGCAGGACTGAGCTCGTGATATTTACAAGAAGAATCATGATGGAGAGCACAATAAAAGGGAGGGAGTTGAGTCTATAGAGGTGCAGAACTGCTAAACGCCTGAATTTGACCTGGAGGTTTTGTGAGAGGTTCATCGTCCACAGAAGCAAATAGCAGAATGGAGTATACTGACTGAGGCGTTTATCAAGCGCAAGAAAGAATTGTCAGTGAGGAGGATCTGAGACTCACATGTGAGGAGCTGAACCACTGAGTGAACATCACGCAGAAGTCGTGAAGAATGAATCTTTACCTGTCCAAACTCAAAGTGGCGGGATGGTAAGTTAGCTTCGCGGAGAGTTATGGAGCAAGAGAATGCAGCTGGGAAAAGTCTGCAGGATTCAGGCACAATGGACAGGCAGTCTGTAGGTGCCGCAGACGACAGGCAAGCAGAATCGCTGTTTGTAACAGGAAAACTGACTTTTCCATATTCTGCCAGTATGGAAACAATTGTGAAGCAACATTAAGATATGACTCAAGTATTTTCATTAGTCATCAAAGCGAGGACTACTTAAGTACATATTTCAATCTTGGAGGATGTCTTGAAAGTAGGTACTGACCATCTGAGTTGTATTTTCTTATGTTGAGTACACAGTACTATTTGAATAAAACTTCTGCTGAGGAGCAGCTCCGTTGATTTTAAACATAGCTCGAGGAAGTCGTGATAATGTTTATGGACTGAAAGGAACCAATGCTTGAAATAAAGTCTTCAACAACATCAAATGATTACCATGGGGGATCCAGAAGTAATGAGTGGCTTGAGAACTGGGGGCTTGACTCTGTACACAAATGCAGTCAGTCAAGAAAAGGAGCAGAGCCTTTAGTCTGTAAAGTCATCACAGTCTGCGAGTCTTCGGCCCTTGCGAACTTCCTTTTTCTTCTGTAATTGGCTATCCCTCTGATTCGATACACACGAAGTGAAAAGTACAGATCTTTGGAAGCTTTTATCAATGGAGTGTCTCTTCCTACACCAGTGTGCCAATTCTTCGCTTCTAAAGAAAGGTTGAAGAACAGGGCATCAACTGGGCATCAATGATTGAAGGTGACGCTAGCTATAGGGGAGAATTCATGGACAGAGGACGTAGTTGATGTGTGGGCATCTTTGTTGGGACCAATTCAAGGGTGCAACTGCTTCAACGTGTCCTAAGAGTTGTGCGCCACAAATCACAAGATACACACACTCTAGTCACACTCGAGAGCTATAACCACAGCAAGTGAATTTTCTGTCGTTTGCAACTGTCGTGATTCACTGAAAAGTGGAGCCGTATTGCGGCCAAAGTGCCTGCCCGTCGGCCAGGGCCCCCAAGGACTCAAATATAAATTGCAGCTCTTCCCCCAACTTCGACTTCTTCTATTTCCTTGCGTCGACGACCACTCTGATCAATTTTGAAGGATGCATATGTCAAGCCACACCTTCATGCTGCTGCTTGAGGATCAGTAATTACTGTCTTCCATCTACTGTCATTGACAAAACCCCTTCGTCATCTACTTTCTACCTTTCACCCAATAAGGGTTGGGACAACTGTCTTCGAGCAAATTCTTAGAAGTAAACCTCTCACATTAAAATCACCACCTTGCGAGATTTGCCATTCAGAGTCACCAACAGATCATCAACTTCAGCAGCTATCAAAGCAACGATGGCGCCCAAGAAGACCAAGCAAGCACCGAGGCAACGCATCGACTACCGCACTGGATGGAGCATGGAGGATCCCATCGTCATCGACGACGTCGAAGAAGCAAGCAAAGGCAACGTCTTCACAAAGAGCTACACCGCACAGAACAGCGGCCCAGGCTACAGACCATACTTCAGTAGCCTCGCTGGCGGCGCGAAGGTGGCCAATCCTGCCCAGGTATGTCCCATTCCGCTCACCACCTTCTCTTCTTCCTAAAACATTTCTGATCATTCACAGAAGCACGCAAATGACAAGGTAGACGGTGAAAATGCAGCCACAAACCAAAGCCACTCAATCCACCCTGCTCAGGTACATACCGGTCCTTTTAAGGTCCCGCTACTGACAACGGCGTTGCTGACTTTTTACAGAAGCGCAATCGTCAGAGTCTGAGTGAGGAGGATGAAGACTTGGACTTGAACCACATGAGGCCCGCAAAGCGCGCAAGACATGAGCAGCTGACCGGCCGAGTGGTGACTGAGGGCCAGACAAGCCACTCTCGACTCAAGCAAAATCTCGAGGCGACCCTCTTCACGTTGTGGAAAGACACAGACAGGGAGCGGGCGACAGCTAGGGAGATAGAAGTAGCAAAGAAAGAGGCTCAGTTCCAGGTGAAGAAAGACCAAGCTTTGAAGGCTGAGTTGCGCGAGGCGCAGCATCGATCCGACATGGCGGCTACTCTAAAGTCCATGCAACAAGATTACGATCGGCAGCGCCAGGCATCTTTGGAGCTACAGAAAGCAGAGGAGCAGGAGCAACTCGAAGAGCGGCGCAAGCAGACGCAGGATGCCGAGGCGAAGAAAGCTGGACATCGGTTGGCGCTGGAGGACCACCTAAACATGCTTTGGGAAATCCATGACGTACACGTCGCAAGAACTCGCAGTGTGGGAATGGGGCAGTTGTCAGAGGCTGGTATGCGACGTGTGCAGGAGCGTCGGGCGGCCAAGGCACGAGAGGCGGCGAGGAGGGCTTGAGGGTCCGCGTGGAAAATACTCACAAGGTTCATTCAAAGCCTTGAGACATGGGTGAGATGGCTTTGACTGGAATCGGAGGGCAAACAGGATTCCGAATTCAACAGATTGCTTGACAAAGAGCGGTATTTCAAGACGAAGAAATTGTCTGAATTGTCCGCAGCTTTTGTGCTGGGAAATTATATGTGAGTGATAGACGAAGTGTTTCTCAAAGCTATGAGCAGACACAGCAAATGAACAATTCCTCTGTCACCAGGGTGGCCGAGAAAGTAGTGGGTGTGGACAAAACCAAAATGAAGCATTTTGAGAAGATTGGTAAGCAGGCTGCCTAGTATTTACCTCTTTATGCATAGTAGCCGACTCTGGCATTCCAGGTTGAGAATGCTGTAGGACAAGGCTACCAAGCTAGCACGTGGCCCATCCAATTTCTCCACGCACCTCTGGCACAATTTTCTCGTAGTGTTTTTTTCCTCCTCGAAAAGGCCTCAAAGCTCTCATAAAATAAAAGGCATGCAATGGGAGTGGATAGTAGAACAGGCGATCTGGGCCCTAGTGATTGCTGCGTCACCGTGCTTGCTGTGAGAATCGTACAGGCTCAGGACTTCTGATGAAAATGGTGGAGACGACAAGACTTTAAAAATGTTACATCTCTCCTCTACTAATACAATCATCCTCTACAACTCGATACGTGACATGCCCTACTACACCACCATCAACGCCACCACAGCCACCACCACGAGCGAGCCAGTCATCCCAGAGATCGGCCCGCGGACCTTGGTGAGCATGTGGCAGAACTGCGATGTCGCCCACACAGATCACACCTATCTTCCAGTAACTTTTTCACAAAAAGAATCCAGCCTTGTAATTTTTGTTTCTTTCCCCGTCAGCTTGCCGTTATGTCCTTGTATAAAACGCACAAGGGTGGGCCAAGCATTAAACTCCAATCGGCTTTTTGTTGATTGAAATAAAGTATAATAACTCAGTATATTGCTCTAAGGCTCCAACCGACAACTTGAACCCTGGCGCCAATGTAACAAACAAGAGAGATCACATAAGAAAAGGCAGAAAATAAGATCAAAGCAGTCCACCCCGCCTCGCCTCGCAATCGCAACAAGGCACCTCCGATAGGTATACTCGTTAGCGTGCCAAAACTGGCGACCAGCATGGAGCTGCTCAAGAATCGCCCATATTCCCTGGAGTCACACAATTGTCCAATACAGACGGGTAGGAGGCTCACGTTACCACCGCTAGCAAATCCGAGGACGATTGTGAACACCATCAGAATCGCCTTTGAGCCCCTAGCCGGCATCCACAACGCTAGGATACTCACTGCACACAGTCCTACCGTCAAGATCATCATATTGAAACGGCCCCACTTGTCTGCGAGCAGCCCCGGGACTGCCCTCCCCACGACACTCCCGGCGTTAAGCAACGCAGGCAGGATGTAGCTCTCGCTCGGATCAACCCCGTGGTTCTCAGCGTACGACACCACATAGGTCAATGGAATTAGCACCCCGTACTCCATGAAAAAAATGCCACCGCAACAACATGCCAGTCTTGGATCAAGGAAGAGTCGAAAGTCAGGCCACAGTGAGGCGTTATGCTCCGCCGGCGATAGGCGGGTTCGCACAAGGAGGTTGGCCGGCACAGCCAGGGCCACAAGAATGAAACCTAGGACGCGCATGCTCCAAGGGTAGCCCAGCCGTGGCAAAGTGGTTCGAAGGATGAGAGGAAATATTATGCCGCCGATTGAGCCAGCCGTCGCGGCAAGGCCAGTGGCGAGCCCTCGTTTGCGGTTGAAGAAGTGGCCAATGGCCGCATACGCAGGATTGTTGAGCAATGCACCGCCAAGGCCCATGAGGATGGAGAAGGTGCCAAAAATCTGGTAGTACTCTGAAACGATATCAGTCATGCCTAAATATAAACACCGTTTAATTAAATTGCCACAGCCTGGACATCTTACCTGTACAGGAACTAAGAATGAATGGGCTAGCAACCATGAAGCTGCTGCCAACAAAAACAAGACCTCCCGCACCCTGTTGATCGAAGACGGGACCAACTCCGAGGCCCACAAAGTATACCACAAACAGATAAGTTGAGAAAATCCACCCGACCTCGGAGGGCGAATATTCCTTAAGTTGATTGTCAAGGAAATACCACTGAAAAACTGCGGATGTATTGATAACCCCGAACACGGACATAAACAAACAGAATGATCCAAATACGACGCCCCATGCCTCGCGACCTCCTTCAGGATATGTTGTGGAGTAGTGGTCACCCTGGTCTCCTAAGCTGTCGACTCGCCTCGACACAGTGCCAGACTGGATTATTGGCCTCTCAAGTCCAGGTGGAGCTGGGTGTTTCTCTAGACTCATGTTTTCAGTGACTGTGAGGAGATCAAAAAGGATTCATATGAAGAGAGGTTGATAATGTCGCTTCCTGGCATCGCCCAAGCGATAAATTTGTAAAATCTTAAAGCACCTTGCTTCAACATTATTGACAGTCTCTGCGTGATTTTAATATATATGGCGAAGAAGGATTGAACACCACTTAGTCAGCGGCTACCGATGCACACCTGGCAGTAGTAGGGTGAGCTCACAGCCGATGTTTCCGTGGATGTCTATATACAGAAAATCGAGGTCGCCGAAGTCATGGTGGTACAACCTAGAGACCTGCGGCAAAAAGGCAAGATCGCGTAATGCCAAGACGTCATAGACACGTTGGTTCCGTAGCTAGTCTACTATCATCAAGTCGTGTAATTGATCTGGGATCGTTGTGGATGCGTCTTCGATGAAGGATGTGGTGAGTGACCAGAAAGGCGTCGAGTGTGCGTCTACTGTGTTACTCGTGTGACTAGACCATGTTTGCAAGTGTCTGCTTGGTATCAAGATCCACGTTTTCCCTGCCATCGACAGATGTGATGTTAATTGTTGCTCCCAAATCACATTGGCAAACAGTGGCTCCGTCGCTGCGAATATCACACCCGTCTCGTTTGTCGGTGCTTACAGGGAGCGATTTTGCCAAGGATGACAGTCATACTGGGTTCCGAACTAGTCTAGATGGAAGTCACTGTCGCAGCGGGCTGGGGTGGAGAGCAGGTTGAGACTGTTTCCTAGATTGGCTTAGCTTTAACGCATAATGCATTTGTAAGTAAACATAAAGGACCATGGGAGACACGACTCTCTGCCCAGTCAGGCACAACTTCTTGAAAGTCGAAACTCACTACCGACAGACTATCCACCGTACGAGCAACATGGCTGCAACCGAGAAGAATGCCGAGGAGCTGAGAAAAGCTTCGCAGCTCTCCCACGTACCTCGAGGTGAACAATACGACAAGATGATATCGGGCATGCTGCAAGTATTTCATCCCAGCATTTTTACCTAATCGGATTTTGAGAACTCGAATTGGGAATTTACCAAAATTGTTCTGATATGCTAGTTATGATGGAGAACTGAGCTGCTAACGTCTGCAATCACACAGCTACGACTCATTCGTGCCAGAGTTGTGCGATGCTCGCTTCCGTGCCCGAGCATGGGCTCATCAATATAACCACTTCTTTCCCACCGGTGCCGAGGCCAATGCAACTTCCCTGCAGCAGACTCGAGCACAGATGTTGCGCGAGATTCTCGGCCGGGTAGATGGCGACGACGTCGTCATCGAGCCTCCTTTCAATATTGACTATGGCTGCAACATCAGTATAGGCGAGCGATTTTATGCTAACTTTAATCTTGTCATCCTTGACTGTGCCATCGTTACAATTGGAAATCGTGTTATGATGGGTCCCAACGTGTCGATATTCGCGGCCACCCATGAGACTGAAGTCGCAAGTCGGAGAGACAACATCGAGTATGCCAGACCAGTCTCGATCGGTGACGACTGCTGGATAGGGGGTCATGTGGTGGTTCTTCCTGGTGTCACAATTGGCAAAGGGTGTGTGATCGCGGCGGGCTCAATCGTGACGAAGGAGGTACCGGCCTGGAGTGTTGCTAAAGGGGTCCCGGCGCGAGTGTTTAAGTCTGTTGAGCCAATTGAGTGAAGGCGTGAAACGATCATGTCACATCAATAACATGTTTTGGGCGGAGAACATGACAATATTTCACTCTCTTGCATCTAGATAATACATGCAGCGTTGGCGCCGTTACCAGCAATCGTCTCCGACTAATCACTCTGCACCTAGAGTCCCAATACTTATGAAAATGAGGAAGTTGCGATTCATACGGCATCATCTGACTTGATAGCCACCTCTCTCTGCGCCCCCAAGCTTTTCGAACTGATAGCAAAACGAAAACGCAGTTAACAGGACACCAGTGATAGTAAGCTAAGCAAATTAGACCCATCGAGGTGCACATATCGTCCACGTTAAATATCAATCGCAAAGTAAGGAACAACTAATAAGTAGTTGAAAGTGTTGTTTCCTTTTACGCTGTGACTACTTTGAAATCTTCAAAGTGAACAGACAATTTGCCTCCATTGCCACTTGCATCTCCTTTCGGCATACATGCTGCTACACCAATCCAAACTTCACGATCGTCATCCTCTTCAAACACCCAGGTCAATTCCCGAAGCGGGATCCTTTGCCCGCCTGGCGTCGTCACAAAAATCCATAAAGCGCCATGTTTCTTCTCCATGTCGAAGGTTGCTTTACTGACCCCTATAGGCGCCAAGCTCCAATCTGCATATGGGTTTGCAGCAACAACAGACGCAAAGAATGCGTTGTTCTCGTATTCAATACCGGTCTTGATCCATTGCTGAGGAGATGACTCGAATGTCGTCTGGTCCTTGTTCTGGGACCTTCGCACGGTACCTGGCAACAGGAGAACTAGACCACCCTGCGCGTATGGAGTTTTGAAATCTGCTGAAACAGTAACAGATGCCTTGCGGAAAGAATTTAGAGGAAGGGGCGTGGCGTAGATTGGTCCACTGAATTCGTCACGGCCACCGGCAGTTGCAGGGACACGCCAGATATCGGATCCCGCGGGAGACACGAGACTGAAGGAATCTGAGGAAGGGTCCTTTGGTAGTACAGGTTGCTCAGGAATGCCGCAAAAAAGAGTAAAGTCCATGGTGGGCAATATTGTTGTTACACTTGGGATTGTTTTTGGAAGGACGGGAGGTTTACTGGGTCGCACGACTACATATCTGAAGTCCTGGCTAGCTGCTTACACACTTGGTGTGTGAGCTAGAGTAATATGACCCGCAATACAAAACGGTGTGTGGAGACTGGACCCTGTTAGACGCTCAATTACCCCAATTGGAAATAGTTCCAACTGTTTCCATTCAGAGAGAAGTCTCAAGTATCTTGGCCCGCCTGTACCACAGCATCACACAGCATAGCCACGAACCTCGTCTGACCCTCGCCGACAGTGACGTCCGAACACTTCCGCGACAGATCCGCCCGCTGACACCTCATCCTGGAGAACACATCGTAGCTCGCAGTAGTTTAAACGTGGTTTTGCCAGTACCGGCCCGGCTACCGGCGTAGGCTGGCGGCCGAGGTTTAGCCGCGAGACACACCAAGCCTGTTTCCTGCTTCCCCATCTCTGTCAGAATCTCGAAATTCCCGCTAATAACAGAATTTCCCTTTAGGAATTACCTTTTCAGGAAGATCCCTTTTCAGGACAAGCCATGATGGGCCCTTTCAAGACCGATTGTAGTCGTACTCGAGTGTTACTTCTGAGATCTGTTTGAGATGCTTCATTTACTTCATTCTCACAAGCTCTGTTTCTAGGTCGCCGTCTGATATATCAAGACGAATTCACATTCAACAATTCAATTTCAATGTAGAATAGCTGATCGTTCCCAACGAGCCCGCTGCTAGACGATGAGACACAGTCCTAGCTTAGCCATGCCCGAAGCTCTAGTGGAACACGTAGAGTTGACCTAGACTGAAAATGTCCTAATTCGTGTGGAGAAGGCGCAAATCACGGCTGGAATTTTTGAAGTATGCGACGGCCGAAGACCTGCCACATTATTCTCTCCATGCTCACAAGCTGGAGTCATGCTTGTGCAAGTCGCGACTGGAGTTGGCGCCGAGAATGCCGACCTCGTTCATAGCAATGTCGGCCGCTAGCGCGCCTTGTTCCATTGCGCCTTCTATGAAAGCCCTCCATCCACTGGCCCAGTCCGAGTTAGCCATGAGGACATTGCCGTGGCGCTTCTGAAGCTCCGCGAGGTACTTGGTGAGGTAGCCAGCGGAGTACCACGCGGGACCGGCCATGGAGTACGGATCGGAAATCCAGTCATGGAATACGACCTTCTTTATGCTCATAGGATGAAATCGCTGCAGAGCCGCCTCCAGCCTCTCAGGCTCTTTTGTGGGGTCCAAGACGCCTCGGTTATCACCAGCAAACGAGGTGATCCGAGTAGTCTTGTCACCGGCGCAAAATCCGTCTCCGTATACATACAGCAGCTCACCCGGCCAGGTGCATCCTCGGAGACCACGGAGATCGCCCTCGACCTCGGCGTGGACCTTGGTCAGATAGTTAACATGCCCGATCTTGATCGCTTCCTGACGAAGAGGCGACAGGGGAGGGTCAAAATGGATTGTTGGGAGAACGGCTAGGGGTATGGTATTGATAACGCGTCTAGCACGATGAATCTCGCCGCTGCTCGTAGTTAGAGAGACAAAGTTTTGACCATCAACAATGGATTTAATAGGAGTCTTGAACGAGTACTGAAGGCCAAGTCGCACAGCGTCGTCGAAGATATGTCGGGCGAGGGTGGACTGACCCTCACGAATCTTGTATAAAGTCCAAATTTCTTCAAATGTATCAGGGCTAAAGCCTTGGAGAGCCTGAGCGCGGAGCATCTCCAGTAGACCGACATTCTCGGCAGTACCAGCCGCAATGTGGGGGATGAGAGACTCCATCAGGGCTAGCTCATCCTCGGTCAGTTGGTCCTTGACCTGATTGAGTCGATCGGCGCATGAGAGCTGATCGATAGCCCTAACCTGGTCGAAGGTGACGCGTGAGTTTCCTAGGATGGAGTACGGGAGCGGACAGATATCTCGTCCATCGTTACCGTCAACGTCAATGAAGATCCTCCAAGCCCTAGCAGTCATTTCACCGGCCTGCTGAAGGGTCAATTTCTGTGAGCCTGAGCCGGTGTTCAGAGTGAAGTAAGAACAACCACCATCTCGGGTACGAGTCATCTGAACGTCGTCCTTTAGGCCGTAACGCTGCATTTCGGCAAAAAGTCGTCCGTGCGCGTGCGATACCCATGTTCCTCCCATCTCAAAGGTAGTGCCATCGACTTGAGCGCTCCAGGTTCGGCCGCCAACGCGATCGCGAGCCTCTATAAGAAGGGTCTTTGTGCCTACCTGACATGAGCATACTTGAGCACGATTTGTCTCGAAATTCTCCAACCTTACCAGCTTTGACAAGATCACGAGCAGCAATGAGACCGGTATAGCCTGCGCCTATTACTACGGCCTCCCATATGTAATCATCGTTGGTATGGCCAACCCTGCGTTCCGGCTGGATGACACCGTACGTAGGAAGACCGCGAACCAAGCCATGTTTCTTGGTATAGATATAGCCATCGTGAGACATTTTGGCCTGAGGACCGGCCATGGTGCAAGTGATTGTACGAAGCGATGGGGGAGAGGAGCAGATGATTCTGAATTAGGAGGTGCCGAACTGTTTGGTGGAATCATTCGAGCAGGCAGTTGTGTGGATTAAAAGAGACCGTGTGACCTTTTACCCAGCTTTGTGCAACCCTCGAAACATTTTGTGGTCCGTAAACCGCGGAACCAAAAGCCAGCATCTAGGTTAAGAGGAGGGATAGGTCAAGATGGTGGGTGAATTGGAGGAATTGCCAGAAGAGGTCAAAGCTCCCACACGCATGGTCCGGTGCGGGCCAGGCCGCGACCCAAACATGCCTACTTGTCTGGCGTTTGTATTCGCGGCGCACATACCGACAAATCCCCTCCCTTGTGTTTTCCCCTCCTTCCCCCCGAAGTCCGCGGATTTTGCCCGAAGTTCACCCGGAGATACGAAACTAATCTTCTTCTGTGTATACTTTCTTGATTCGTAAGAACGAGCTGTAGTCAGCTGAATATTGGGTATGTTACATAAAGCTGTGGAAGAGAGGAACGCAACGCCAGTGAGCGTGACACTATCTGTCTAACGAGTAAGAACCGCTAAAGTCGGCCCCACCCTGTCTTGTGATTTCAGGTTCGAGAAAGCTACTTAGGTACAGTAAGCAGCCATCTCTAAGCAATCAAACACAACAGCCTTGCATCTACCAAGATATTCTGCCACCTCAGCTTCACCATGCCAAGCTTCATTGTACGCAGCACTTAAGCATAACTCTCCGCCGAACGTGCCAAGGAACAGGCCGAGACCATTCCCGAGCTCCTCGCCCGTAACCCATGGATTACGGACACGAAAAGCTCCAATCCTAGAGGCCACCATTGAATCCACAAGGCCCATACTGGAAAGGGATACGGAAGCGTGCTTCTTTGGTGGAGGGACTGGAAACGGCCTTGGAGTGTTCGGCAAGCTCGGCGTGCCAGCAGCCCACATAGCCGGGCAGAGAGCATAGTGCTCCCTATCGTTGCGCACTTCTTGGTAGAATGCCTTGACTGTCTCCACAATGGACCGGAATTCTTCCTTGCGGCTAGTTTTGTCAGAGCCAGCAAGAAGCCGTGGGTCCATGTCGATCACGAGGCTCTGGCCGGAAACGGAGTGGTACAGGGCTGCTGGGTGCTTAGTTGTGCTGTAAGGCTCCTTACACACGGCACGCTCGTTGCGCAAGATGTAGCTGATGTATCGCACGCGTTTCGCCGTTATAGGTGCTGCTTTCTTTTGCAAGTACAAATCTCGCGCAACCATCGCAGCTGCGGCGTGGAACATATGAGTAGGTGTGGTAGTGACTGCCTTGCACGAGGCCAGCAGGCGAGATGTCTCGTCTCTATCAAATACCAGAGCTGCTCGCTGATGGCGGCCAGGAAGAAGCGCCCCGGCTGTGTACGGGAGTGAAAGGATTTCGATGTCCTGTGAAGTCGATGCCACCAGCGCTAGTTTTTCCGAGGATATTTTCTCTGGCCTCTCCCTTTGGGACGTGGATAGCTCGGGGGGAACAGCAGCTGCAACGCGGTATGGGGGGCTGAGATTTGCTGTCTCTGATCCGTCAAGTGCTGGGACTGTGTAGCAGCAGCCACCATCGTAAGCTCTCGATGCGTGGACAATAAAATTATTTAGTACGAGCAATGTGCCTATTCCATCAACTATGTCGTGTGGAGAGCGCAAAACGATATCGCGACGGATGGATATTGAAGCATCTTTGCTCGTGATAGAAGGAAGCTGAAGGACGAAGAGTGTCGGTAGCTTTGGTGCAGGAGGGTCGGAGTTGGCAAATTCTGCACCTGTTTGGCCGGTCGTAATGGGAACAAGTGTCTCTTCCAGCCACCTCTGCTGCTCAACATCGCTTTTGAGCTGCGAGTACGATTTGGTCCACTCTTGTCTAGAAGTATCATGGGTCACTCTAGCTGCCAGGGTGGGATGGTCGTAGCGCAGCGATAACCACGCCTTTCCGAAAGCTTCATCCACCTCGTGCTCGGCAGCATCAATTTTCGCCTGGGTGCTGCCCGATGGAAGGTCAATCGTGATGGATGCGTGGCCGGTGATGCCAAAGAACATGCGTCCGCTTGCTTCGTAAAGTGCTGCCATTGTTGCGTAGAATTCCTCGATCTCATCAATGCCCCTTGCCCATATTCCTGGACTAGTTTGTGTCCATTCAAGGGACGGAGAAGGCTTCGTATATGTCATTTTCAGCAATCTTGGATGCAACAATAACACACAATTGGGAACTGAAGCTGAGTCAAGTTGTCAGAACGAACGTGGACAATGCACTATAGAGGCGTCGGCATCCTGGCCATCTTAAAAGCTAGTTGTAGGTCTCCCACTATTCCGGGGGAGAGGCTTTCACTATGCGTCTGGACCGTGCAAACACGCTCCAAGGCCTGGGAGAATGTGCCTTGAGTCCGCGCGAGCACTTCATACAACGCAGGTAGTTTCCACGAGGTTTAGCCACCGGCGGTCCGGGCTGCCGGCGCAAAGTGGCAGCCGAGGTTTACCCGCTAGACATGCCCAGGACTCAGGTGGCTATGTACCTACGGAGGCTTCTCTTCCTCACCTGAATTTCCAATGGCGTACAACATCCTCCTTTTTTGGACACCATGATCAAGGCATCCAAAGCCGGTCGAGCTTCGCTGGATTTGTTGAGATAGATCAGACCGCCACCCTCCGACTTGACATCGCCTATGGGAACCTAAGCACTTATGCTGGTGGGCCCGCCCGCCCGCAGGAAGATCTGGTCGTAATGCACCGGCGTCGTCTTGCCGCCGGGCACCGCGTAGCTCAGCAAAGAGCACGGCAGGCATCATGTCTATTGAATCCGCACAACCTGCCGACGAATGGCTCCAGCGCCATCCCGACCTTGTCTTTGAATTCCAGGTAAGTCGGGGACCTGTATCTCAGGATGGCATTTTCGACGAAGCGTCCGGTGCCACTCAGTCCCGCCGCTACACGGACGCCGGGGAGCAGGAACTCTCTCCTTCGTCCTCTCCTGAGAAGATCCCGTCAACCGGATCCGTACCTGGTTCCAACATCTTCGTCCTCTGGTTGACTGTTCTGTGATTGAGTAAGCCAAGTGAGCGCAAGGCGAAACTTTGGAAATTACTGAATCAAACCTGGAAACGTGTCTAATGCAGCACTGAAATCGTCTATTTACAAAGTCATTAAGCAGACCGTCTTCCGTCACTGTTAAACGCATAGAAGATTGGGAGAATGTTTTGGGTTGTATGAGACGCTGTTTACTTGGGTCTAGTATGCTATGTAGAGTCGCTCCATTATCCCATGGGAATGACACCATCCCGACCCACTGCCTTTGAAATTCGCTCAATATTGTGGCTGCCGGATCTTACAGCTGATACCTGAAACCACTCTCTATCTGTGCTTCTGTTGGTCCGCTCTTTCCTACTGGATTTTCGTCATCAAGCTTCTGGTTCTCTCTTCGCAGGTAAAATCGAGTTATAGTTGCGACAACGATTGCTGCAGCTGCAGCTACCAGGTTCACCGTGAACGCAACGAAATAGCGGGGCGCATTGTTGTAAAGATATGGTGTCCAGATGTTCGAGGTGTTGCAGACCGAAATGATCAGAGCGATAGCCGACGCCCGTTTCGCAACTGGCTGGTTCAGTGTCCCTGTAATCCAGGAGAGCAGCACGACAACGGCCGCATAGAAGGACGCTGGCATGAGCATCATGGCTGTGTATCTTGCAGCCGTGCTCAAGGTTGAAACCGCAATGATATTCGCTACCAGTGTGACGACCAGTGGTAGAGAAATATGCCAGTAGCGTTCGCCAACGCGGTCAGAGTGGAAGCCAACGGCTAGCATCGTGATACAGCAGAGGACAAAGGGAGGCGCTATGAGAGCCAGGGTGACAGTTCGATCATAACCGAGCGTTGAGACGACTAGAGGGAAGAAATTGGTGACACCGGCGGAGGTATAAATGGCATAGAGGGTTGCCAGGAAGAGCCACGTCTTCGGATCCTTGAGCGCCAGAGATAAGCCTTTCCTTGCTGTGATCTCGGACCGATCGTCGCTCTGTCCCTGATCTTGTTGCTGATTCCAAAGAACCCATGCTTTCTCGACTTCAGTCAAGTTTTTGAACTCCGTGGGGGAATTCGGCAGAACCAGAGCGAACACCACTGCTAGACCAGTAGTTACTACGCCTTCGACAAGAAAAAGCTAGCAATCGGCGGTGGTTAGCTGGTGCAGCCATGAAGTTTTCGAGATCTCGAGACGCAGACTGTCGGCAGGACTTACCCATCTCCATCCCGCCAGCCCATGTTTTCCATCTAGCTCCAAAATCCCGATGGCAAGAAGCCCACCGAAGGCGTTACCTAGTTGGGAACCAGAGTAGAAAAGAGCGGCGCGGAAAGCGTACTGCTTGCGATTGTAGAAGAGAGAGAGGTAAAACAGACCTCCAGAGAAGAACACGGCTTCTACGAACCCGATGAAGAACCGGGCAATGGCCAGGCCTGCAAAATCCTGAACTACGGTCTGCGCTGCCGATATCACGCCCCATACGCCCATTGCAGTACATATGTAGACTCCAGGCCACTTGACCTTTCCCAGCATCATGTTCGAAGGCACCTGCATTAGGACTAAATCAAACAATTAATATCGTCAGAAACTCATGTAGTGCATAGAGCACTCACTATAGCCTGCGAAAAGAATTGAAATGCAGCTCTGGTACTCGATCGGAGTCAGATCCAGGTCCTCCGAAATATTCGCCAGTTTCGCCGAGGCAATATTATTTCGGTCAAGGTAATTGAGGATGTACATCAACATCAGGCATGGTAGGATGATGATGTCCATTTTCAAGGTTGCTTTGTCCCCGACCTTCTTGTATTCCTCCAGCGTAAGCCGCCGCAAGATTCCAGGCATGGCATTGCTGGGCTGGTTTTCGATGTCGTCCTCTTCCAACACATCCTCCTTGTGGACGTGATTGACGTAATCGTCGTCTTCCTTAAAGCTTGTCATCTTTCTCAGGACACGTAGGGTAACAATGATACGAAGTCAGAAAATCGACACGACAAACGAAAGGCCGAGTCAAGTTGAACAATTCACTCCCTATGTATTTGCCGGATAATCGGTTCCTTCCCTGTTATATGTCATCTCGCATGTAGTCCTCCCATTGCCACTTGCAAGGCATGCATTACCCCGCGGTGTTTCCCCGCCTCGAGTAGAGATACTCTGGGGTCAAATCCAGGGAAAGCTTAGGGCGCTTGCAGATCTTGACTTTACGGGCCCCAAGAACGTATGCACAGTAGCCAAATGTTGCTTGTGGCGGCCGACTTCATACTGCTTGCAATTCTGTCACCCAGATTGAACTTGGCGGTTCAGGTGAACGAGACCATGCCCAGAATCTGCATGACCTGCTGTGGGCATGCAGTTCACCAGTACTGGGGTTGCGTCTACAGCTCGAACATGAAGCGGCCAGTCTGGACCTCGGCTGGCTTTTGGGCACCCTTGAGCACCGACTTTGCAAGGTCGATGAGCATTATGTCGCTCCCTTCCGGACCAGTCAGTCATGAGCCTTTGTTGAACACGTGCAAAGCAAGGACAGGGGTAGCATACCAGGAGCTCCAGCCATCGAAGCCACGATGGGCAGATATTCTGTCCTGTCACTGATCCTTGACTTGAATGGAATTTGCCCAACTACAAGTGTTGTCAGTTATATAATGATCGTATGTCCAACCATCAGTGTGTTCCTTACCGGGAATGACCAGTTGTGGTAGGGCCTGCATGGATGCAATGTAATTTGGACTAAATCCTGGAACAACACCTGGCGCCCTGCGAAATGTAGAGTCAGGGATCCCATTACTGCATGCTGGCAAGGAATACCAGTCTACTTACGCGTTTGGGAGGTCGCGATACTTTGGCTCGCCGCTCCCGCAAGGTAGAATGAGAACGGCGTCTGACCCCCCGCCTTCCACTTGCTGCATTATGTTCTCTCGGAACCACCTGCGATACACTTCTAGCTCACCAACCGCCTGGTTTTTCTGATCAAGAGTGACGGCGACGCCCTGGTCCCTTCAGAGGCTGTCAGCGGAGACTGCATCCAAAAACGCAGCTCATTGCGGACATACCATTTCCAGCGCATGTAAGGTCCCAAATAGACGGGTTTTCCGAACTGCTTCTCGTAGTCCTCGCGAAATTGCGAGAACTCGTTGTAGCCATCGTAATAGAAGGGATAGTATGCCGTCTAAATTGGCTGAGCTCAGTATATATTGGTGAAATGATACGCAAGAGTTTCAGTTACCTTTTCAATGTATGTTTTCAGGTCCTTTCCTTTACTCTCAGGTGGGGGGCACTGCGCCCATCTTTCTGCAAGGCTGATATTCGTCCTTTCTACCCCAAGATGTGCTTCTAGAAGTTTAACGAAGTCATCGATAAGAACTTGCTGGTCTGCGTTTGAGTGGGGGAAGAAGTCGGTGCAGTATAAGATACGCTTGGGAGGCTGTGCTTCATTAGCCTCTAGTCGTCCCTGGTCAAAACACCTTGTCACCTACTTGCACTGCATTATGCTGTAGTGCCGGCGACGAGGAAGCAAGTAAGTTTCGCAGGCCATCGATATCGCGCGATAGCAGCCCCAGGGTGTCCATGATTCTGGAGAGGTAAGTTTCTGGGGCCCGTTTTCAATCACTCGGGGCTGGCTAACCTGCAGGCTGGGTACACGCCTTCCAGCTTGATTGCTCCCCAAGAAGTCCGCAAGCCAAACAGCCCATTCCATGCGGCTGGCCAACGAATACTTCCCGTTGCTATGACAAGATGTCAGCTTCCTTCCTCTGCTACCTCGCCGAGGGTTGCTGCAGAGGAGCTTACTGTCGGTCCCAATGGAAAAGTCGAGGCAGTCATAGGTGGCTAGGCTGGCCCCTCCACCTGTGGTGCTGCCAGATGGGCTTTGATAGCCGTCTGCTCGAGGATTGAAGGGCGCATGGAAGTCAATCCACTGGTCTGTTGCTTCTTCTGACGACGCAAACGCGCACATTTTAGTCTTCCCGACAATGACAGCCCCAAGACTGATTAAGTCTTGGATGACACTGGCAGTTTCACGCTCTGGACCGTAGAGGCTCAACCAAGCCCTGTTGTTCTGAGTGGTCTTGATGCCTGCTACCTTGAAATTATCCTTGACGCTGATTCTCTTCCCAGCAAGAGGCTTGTGCTCTGTTGGAGGCGAGTACAGACGGCTCGGAACTGCCACCTGGCGCCACAATCCATCACCCACCATTGACTGTAGGGGCTGGAAGCTGCAGAGATTATCAGATTAATGAGAAAATCAATACCAACGCTGTTATGGAACTGAACTTACCGAAACGGATCGCCTGGCGTAGGAACGAAGGTAGTGGCGAATGCGTCCTGCGTGTCCGGGTACAGACGCCATGCTTGGGCAAGTACGCTATCAGGTAAAAGAAAGTATGGGCCAGGCTCTAAAGCAACGTTAAACTCGAGTTTGATGATACGGTCTGGCTTCTAAGGCCCATGAGCTGTCTCAACACTGAAGCTCGCCCACTGGATCAGGGACTCGTCCACCGTTTGTCCATTTTGACCCTGAATCATGACGGTGTCTGTCAAGAAGTCGTCTGAGAAGACGTCATCGTGCTGGATGAAGGACTCTATATCTGACTGGATGGACTCGTGCGTTGACTTTTCGTCAATCGAGAGCAGAACAGTAGGCTGAAAGGCAACCGGTGAGGTGCCTGGTCGAGACTCATTGACGACTTTTACCTATGCTATGTTAGCAAAGCTTCAGAGGATTGAAGACTGTGCAAAAGTACCCCAAATTGAGGGCCAACATAATAGTCGGCATTGGTCAGGCCTGCTATGCATGGATTGCAGCGACTGTCGTTTGATGAGCTGTCCATCAGTGAAGACTTCGTAGTAGCCATGAGTTGTTGCTGAGATTGAGATGACCCTGCAACCCCCATGAGAACACTAAGCCTACGATGGATGATTGGCAACCACGGTATCCTTGTCTTGGCTGTAAACATGAAATGGGGAAAGAAATCTAGCACCGATTGCAACAAACGGCGAAGGCTTAAAGGCGAGCAAAGACAGAGAAATCGGGACCAAGGGTAGTCAGTCTGTAGCGTGGAAGTATACGATGTCCAATCTGTCTCCCATACATGAAGTTGGGTGAAGGGGAGTGGAACTACTTCACATGGGGCAATTTCCTGCTAAGCATTCGGGTAGGACCTGGTCGTACTGTTTGTCGCTTGATGCCCGACACGGGGATGATGGAAGTTTGGAAAGCTCGCGGCTTTAAGATAGCACGCATCCACTCTTTCCACAATGGCCTTATTTACAAACACTGTGATCTGAATCTGCGAAATACCTTGTACTTGTGCTGCAAACAACGATTTGTGTAAACCCAGGAATGAGTACCATTCGAGGCTAAACTATGGGAGGAAGAGGGGGCGAAACCCGCTCTGCTATCAAGACTTACAGGCTGTCTGAAGCACGGCTGCAGCACTGGCAAAAACGACAGTGAATCAGGGTACCTACGCTTGATTGTCAAGCATGTGCTAGCCAAGGGCACCAAATACACCGATCGAAACCAGTTGCAATCATGAAGAAGACATCTGATTATTTCATCAATAGAATGCAGCTAGCCTAACCTCGATACTTTCCCTCAAAGGCTCATTCTCAGATGAAAGTGTATTTTGAAATGCACAATGGAAACCCCCTGTAACCAAGTCAGTGAAAGCTTCTTGGCCAGTTGTGAATCTGGAGGCCTGAACGTGCAAGCAGGAAGCTGGATTCGTGTTGGAGGATGCAAACTCACGGCTTTCCAACGAATTTGCAACACTGGTGTTCCGGAATACAGCTATCTCCGGGGGCTTTTGCTCGCCCAGATACCACCACTTGTGTCCAGGATTGTGTCGGAGGTAACAATTCTCGCCCAGTGCATTTGGAAAGATAATGTCGTTTGCAATGATATCATTACCTGTATCGATGGTGCGCCCGCTCTCCGTCGAGGCCGAGTTCTGCAGCTGGCCAGTCAAAGTTGTGTTTCAGCTGAACTACAGTGCTGTATGTGCAGTCTTCGGGCAATAGGCTTCCTGGGTCATAGGTGGCGGAAGTGGAGGCTCATGCCTGATTCAGCAGATGCCCCAACCAGACTCAGTCTACATTGACCTCCGAGTCTAGGCGGACCCACGTGCAGACAAATGACACGAGAAGAGGTGTCAACCACAGATTGCCATACTTATGTCATTAATACATTATCGCCCTAGTTGTTGAGCTGAGTAGTAGTGTCTTTCAACTCTAAAGATTTGCTTGTCTTGCACGCCCTCCTTGATCTTTTCGTAGGAAACTCCAGCTCACTTCTCAAGGCGGGTTTGAATTGGATTGGAATCTAGAAAATGCCTGATTTTCAAGGTCTTGACCTCACTGGCAAGACTGCTATTGTGACGGGTGCATCGCGGTAAGAGCTGCCTCGGGGAATGACAAGCATGATAGCAAAAATGCTGACAGAGTTCCAATCAGGGGCATGGGATCTGCTATCGCCATTCTGCTAGGCAAGCGGGGCGCAAATGTTGTAGTCAATTACGTCTCCGAAAGCAGCCGCAGACGAGCTGAGGAAGTGGTTCATCGAATTGAGTCCAATGAGAATAAGTCAAGGGCAATCGCCTGCCAGGCCGACATCAGCAAGACTCCCGAGCTTCCAAAGCTGGCCGAGGCGGCGCTGTCAATCAGCCAATCTTCCGAGATTGATATTCTGGTGCATAAGTGGGTGATACCATCCTAAGATCTTGATATTATCGCTCGTCTAAAGCATTGGAGCAGTGCAGCATTGGGTCTCGAAGCAAATCTTGTGGATGTGACCGAGGAGTTCTACCTCAATCACTTCAACACGAATGTCAAAGCTGCCATCTTTCTAACCAAAGAAGTTTTGCCGCACATTCCACGAGGCGGGCGGATTGTGTTTGTTTCCTCTGCCGCGGCCAGACTTGGTGTCGCCGGTCAAACCGTCTATGCTGCCACGAAGGCTGCGGACGAAGCATTGGTGCGGGTTTGGGCCAAAGAGCTCGGTCAGTCCCACGGACTGACGGTGAATGCTGTAAACCCAGGGCCGGTCGCCACAGGTAAACACCACGCAAACCAAGACTTTTTTCTACATAGTGTGCTGACTCCTATGTTGCTAAAGATCAGTGGTTCGCGAGTGATGAAGCTTTCCTGAGGGACATGCAACCCCTAATTGATGCTACCCCTGCAGCAGCAAGGGTCGGTGAGGTTGATGATATTGCTCCGCTGGTCGCCTTCCTCTGTTCAGAGGATGCTAGATGGACTACTGGCTCAGTGTTGTCAGCGAATGGAGGATTATACAATTAGCAATTTGTCGGAGATAGCTTGATTGGCATATTGCGCCCACAATAAAGGACAGGTTTTGATGCCATTGGATTTCGCTCTAATAGTGTGCATTGACCATTGAGTACAAGCCAGGAGCACTACCTACGTAGCCCGAAGATTTTCATAAATGCATTTCTTCACATACCATTGTAGCTACTGAGGCTTGAGTGCTAAGCTTCAGATCGAGAAGAGGGCATATACCGTTGTGCATGCTAAAAGAACAGATACGCGTGTTGTTCTGAAAGGCTTGCAGAGCAAGTCTGGTGTATGATATTTAGCCGCTGTCAGGTTGGTGAAAGTTTTGGCCAGGTCGCATTGTTACTTACCCACTCCATCCAAGGAACATTGGCCTTATCATGCGGTTGATGTCTTGCCTCCCACACAGTCTGTAAGAGTTTCTTCATGGCTTGATGACGAAATCCGGTGGATCGTTCAATCGCTTCTATGCACCATCGTGTGTACTGATGTTGATGCGCTGAGGAAGTGTCTGCTCCTGCTAAGAACAAAGGGAACAACAATCGCTTAAAAAACGGAGTGGTTGATGAGATATTTGCGGCAGCGTCGAGAATCGAGGAAACTGAGACCTTGATGCGTTCGTCGTCGCAAGGTATCTCAAAGGTGTCCGGAAAACGTAGTACTCGGAGGATGCAGGCGTGGCGATACGCATTGGCAAGGTGCCTCCACTCGGAGTGACTGGTTGAATATACGACCTGTTCAGGATCCCATTGTCGGAAGAATACTTCCGCATCTCGCAACATGGCCTTGAAATCTGTCACCGTTATCGCCCCTGCTCGGTACAGTTTGCCAGCCTCAAGTACTTCTCCGATGTGGCCGAAGAGATTAGGCGGACAGCCAACCAAACTTTGCAGACTCTCTTGCCCGTGGTCTTGGACACACTTGCGGACGCTACTAGGGTAGGCAAGTTTTTCTGCGCCGCTGAATCCTCGGAGCATGTCCAGCCTATTAAGTCTGTCAGTCGAATAGGGCACGGAGCGGCGAAAAGGGATGTCCCGGACGACCGACCATGTCAAAGTGGTTAAGAAAAATATACGGGCCTTAGACCGAGACGCTGGTTCCGATGTTTCTGCCGATCGTGAGCACAAGAACGTGGCCCCCTTCAAATGAGACCCATGTGATGATATCCCAGACTCGCAGATCTGCCCACTACGTCAGTTTACTTGTTCAATCTCAAAGAGAAGGGCACCCACGTCATGGAAAACTAAAAGCACTACGGTGGCAAAAGCGAAGTCTTCTTCGGATGAGGACAGCCCTTCCCTTTCCTCTTTCTGGAGTAATGACCCAAGCCCACCCAGAGCAGATATTCTATACTGTATCGCAGTAGCGCTTGCTAGAGATCCTTCACCGTGACGTGATGTCTGTAAATGACAGGATGTGAAGCCGAGCAGTGCGTGGAGGACTGTCTTATTTTGGTACGCCAGAGGCAATATGTGGGTGCGGAAGGGATTGTTGGAATCTTCTACCACAACGGACAGAAGTGAACTCAACTCCTGATCAACTTCAGTCAAAAGAGCATTTGGTTAGTATCTACGAGAAACATAAAGTCGAAACTTTAGACTCACAATGGACCAGTAACCTTTGATTCTGTTCCTCTATGAGCACACCGTCCACGTAAGACGAAATACTACTCTGGGGTGAGGAAGTAGCCGGCGAGAAACCTGCTGGTATCCCAAGACTTTCCGATTGCGGTTCCGCGGCAGCCACCTCTTCTTCCTCGACATTGTGTACCACCGTAGCCGGAGTTCCCGGCTGATGGAAGGGTTCTACTGTCGCCGGTGTGGGCGACACAACATTCTCAATAGACGAGGTATCTGCCTGAGAAGAGCGGCGCAGCACTGGACTGCTGTTCAAGTCACAGAACTGGAATCTTGGCGGGTAACCCTCGCACTGCAAGCCTTTTGACTTACATCTGTTGCAAACAGGCCGAGTTCGATCACATTTCCGGCATTTCTTCCGACAAGTTCCGCAAGCAGGATCTGGAAAGGTGCTCGGTCAGCTTACTAAGTCTTGCTTTTTGTTGCCGAAGCGTGGGAGGTATAGCCGGGTACAACTTACCTCTGCGACGTGCTCGCGTACTGCCGGATAGCATGATCTTGCGCGTGCTGGGTCGACTTCCTAATGAGGTGAAAGAGCAAGTCTAGCTTTTGCGGGGCTGAGTGGACGGAAGCTCTTCAACCTTGAACACGTCTCAATTGGCGGGCGCTAGCTTACACTGTCAAAACTACTCATGTCATAACTACTCCGCTTACTCTCAAACACCCCACTTTGATGACCAATCAGCAAAGACAGTTGCGTATTACCAAATGTTGAATATCCTAGTATGTCAAGCAAAATGCTTCCCTTCCACCCGTGAGTCATGAGAATATGATTTGTATTTGCTTTCAACGGATGGCCCGTAGCGATTTACGTAACTCATCTTTGCAGCAGACCATGATTTGTCTCGTAAGACGGGCGGATATGGTACTTAATAACGAGTAACTAAAAGGTTAAAACTGCCTCATGCTTGAACGTCCTGTTCCTGTGTTATGTGTTGCCTTCTCATAGCTCCACATATATCAATAGACTGATGTGTGACAAATTAGAACCTCGGTAGAGGTGACAAGCGTTCACTGCTTACAAAAATAATTCCGCGCACAAAATTCACTTAGACATTATTTGAAACCCTTTTTCCATTTAGATAAGGTCATTCAAGCAGAGTGCACAGAGCTGCTCCACGGTGACTTCTCATGGGCCATATTCAAAGGGATTCGGCTTGGCCGTGTCCCGAGATTTGCCTGCCACGCTCGAGCGGCTACCGTATGAATTACAGCCCAGCCGCCACCCAAACCTCCACGTCTTTTCATTTCTTGCTCCAACGGCCTCTCTGTCCGATACCAAAGGAAAATCAATCGCGAGCGTGCGACTGCCACGGACTTTCAGGTGCCTGAGGAGATAGCTGAATTGCAGAGCAAGGATAAGTAGTTTCGCCAAGCTCAGCTCCGAGAATCGAATTACCGATCTGCCATCAATTCAAACCTCGAGATCTTGTGGGGGACTGCGACCGTGAGTGGAAGGCAGCCGGAGAGCTCGGCAAGACCGAAGACCGTGAGCGACGTGAGATGACCAAGAAATTTGAGCGAGAGGGAGAAGAGAAGAGAGTACGGGACCTTTCAAGCATTGAGACGAACCTCGAGAGCTTGGGTAAAAGCCCACAACTTAAATGAGAGGAGAGCTCCGAATATCAGGCCTGTTCAACTGTCAGAAGCGAGCCAGACACGGATCAGTCGAGCGCGCCGAGCTCAGAGGACGGGAGTAGTAAGGGGGACTCAAAAGAAGTAAAATGTTCATCCAGAAGCGCACTGAGTTCTGGAACTCAGACCAGGTCAACAAATGGGTGATCTTTGGGGAACGTACTGGAGAATGATCGTCGCAAGACTGTCGTAGAGACTTAGTGCGTGCACCCCTAATAAAGGGTTACGAGGACATGGAGAAAGATATGTCAACAGAAGAGATTGAGGTTATTGAGATCGTTTGAGTAGAGGTCAGTTGACCGGGTCATCATGATGCCTAGAAACATAGTGGAATAGGAAAAGCTTCCGCCCATCATAAGGGGATCACATGGCTTAGCACTGCCTGTTCCATCCTATTTTCGTGATGTATCCTATTGATCAATCATGTCATGACTGAATCTTCGGACTTGTATGAACGCTGTGAACAATTGATTGTACACAGGTGCACATTAGTGGACGCTTTTGGGGATTATTCAATGTTGCAGGCTATGAACTTGGTGGTAGCTCCTGGGGACAACACGTATTTGGAGTGTTTGAATCGGCCATCACAGCAGGATCGTTTGCTCACAAGTGATGTCCGCAATGCCAAAATCACGCTCTGTCTAGAAGTGCGAGGGATTGTGTGGCTGGGCCAGTGTTGGCCAGGGTTCAGTCTTGTCAGCTTCAGGGATGAAGCGACGTTCCGAGGCGGGTCCGCCCCCCGTGCTGCACCAAACCTTATTTCGACCTCACTTCTCCACCGTCTGCACACTCACTTACTCACAACACTAAGTGACGGACACACACACAATTATCTTCAAGGTTTAACGCACTTCTTTACATTATATACCAAACAATTGTCCAGACTACTGGTTAAAAGCCTTGAAATATATCGCCAGTATTTGTGCTCATGAGCTTGTTACGGCGCTCGATCAATGCGTAATCGACCGACATCATGGAAGCACACGACGCAGCGGTGGCAGTGGTCGCTGCAAGGGTGAAACATTTTCACAAGGAACAAAAACCATTCCGGAACTACCATGGTTCGAGTCTTAGCACGCGCCCGTCGGATCGGAACAGAGACAACATCGTGGACACCAGCTCGCTCAGCCATGTCCTGGCCATCGACAAAGCCAAGAAGACGGCGTCAGTCGAGCCAAACGTCTCAATGGATGTTCTCGTCGCAGCCACGATGAAGGAAGGACTGGTGCCTCAGGTTGTAATGGAGCTGCCGAGCATCACGGTCGGTGGTGGCTTTTCCGGCTCTTCCGGCGAGAGCAGCTCGTTCCGCTTTGGCCTGTTCGAGGCGACTATCAACGGAATCGAGATCGTTCTGCCTACCGGTGAAGTAGCCAAGGCCTCCAATTCTGAGAAGCAGGATCTCTTTTGGGGTGCTGCATCAGCTTTTGGGACGATTGGTGTAGTTACTCTTCTGGAAGTGCAGCTCATGGACGCCAAGAAGTACGTTGCCATGACCTATTACCTGACGAAGGGATTCGACAACACCCTGGTCAGGATCAAAGAGGAGACAAAAAAGGAGGAAAATGATTACATCGATGGCATCGCTTTCACGCCAGAGTCATCAGTGATATGCTGCGGCCGCATGGTTGATGACCTCCCTTCAGGCCAGAAGCCGCGCCACTTCACACGCAGAGGCGATCCATGGTTCTACCTCCGGGTCAAAGATGCCCATGATCATCTTTTGAAATTCCCAGAAAATTCCTTCATAGACTATATACCACTCGAAGACTATCTTTTCCGCTACGATCGAGGCGGATTCTGGACCGGCCGACAGGCCTTCGAGTACTTTAAAGTTCCCTTCAACCGAATCACCCGCTACGTACTCGATCCGTTCATGTACACGCGCGTCATAAACCAAGCTCAAGCAAAGACAGACTTTTCATATCACTACATGATACAGGACTGCGGCATACCCTTCCAGAAGTGCAACGAGTTCAAGTCTTGGCTGGACGAGAATATTGGTCTTTACCCTCTCTGGCTATGCCCACTCAGGGCCCGTCGAGACTCTCCAGGTTCAAGTCATGGGATTCATGCCGCAATGGGGAAACGGGACTACTCTGACCTGCTGAACTTTGGCGTGTGGGGTCTCATTTCCTGGGACCGCCAAGAAGTACTTGGCAAGAACAAAGCCCTGGAGGCGAAAGTGCGCGAGCTCGACGGGTGGAAAACCCTGTATGCACATACGTATTATAGCGAGGAGGATTTTTGGTCGGTTTATGACCGGGAGTCGTATGACGCCGTGCGGGCCAAGTACGGGGCGAATTACCTGCCCAGCGTGTATGAGAAGGTCAGCGTCAAAGTCGATCTCGAGGCCGAGGAAGCGGCGCTGCGCACCTCGACGAAGGCTAGGCTGAAGGCGAAGGCGAAGTCGACGTGGCCCACGCGTGGGCTGCTGGGTGTCTATCATGCGGTTAGAGGAGGCGATGTGCTGCTGCAGAAGCAGGAGAAACCACAGACGCAGAAGACAGCGTCCTCGGGGCCAGGCAAGGCATAGAGTCACTCTAGATATAGATCTGCATTATTAGGCGCCTAAGCTGAGTTCAAATAAAGCCCGCTTGCCTCCACCTCCCTGACCCACAACTTCCAAGGCCTCTGGGCAGACCACGCAGTCATCCCGGTCGCAGCCTTCGACTCGCTCTCGCTGAGAAACTTCAAACCACCCGGCGTCGACCCACCACTCTTGACCGCAAACGCGCTCTGCATCGTCATCGCAGCCGTTTGTATACTTGCGTTCTTCATGGTATACACACACCGCGACACGACCTCCTCAACCCCGCCCCCAACCACCGTCAGCCCGTGGCCCCTCATGAGCGCCACCACCGCGCCGCCGTCAAAACACGCCGCCAGCGGCTCGCCCAGGTGCGCGTTGCGCACCAGCATGTCGGGCACGTCGTTCTCGTCAACGAACTCCGCCGCGTCATACACCTCGGGTGCCCCTTTGTCCCCCAGCCCCAGGAACCCCGCCATGTGGTAGCAGGGCCGCAGCGGCACGCCGGCGATGGTGTACGGGATCACGCTCTCGGCGTGGCTGTGCACCACGGCGCTGACGTTTGCGTGCCGCCGGTACACCTCGGAGTGGATGTGCCGCTCCGCGAAACCCTGCCCTGCGCTGGGGTCCAGCGGCTCTGCATTCTGCACGTGGTACTCGATCAGATCGGCGACGCTGGAGATGGTGCCTGGGGCCATTGACCGGGACATGATGAAAACTTGCGGGTTGGATGGGTGCCGCACTGATAGGTGGCCATAGGCATCGAGTACGCCCTGGTGGTGCAGGATGTGGCTACCGTCTATGAACTTGCGATGCAACGCAGCCAGGACGGTGCGCTGGGCTTCAGAGGGGTCCATCTCGCTTGGGCTGTCGTATGAACTCCAGAACGGGCGCAGAAATGCAGTTTTAAATTTGATTGATCAACTGGACTCAGGCTGGGCTGACTTGGGATTCCGGAGGAGTGGAGGACGTCATGTCCGGCGCGGGATGGAGGTGCCCGGCATGTGGAGACTTCGGCGCGGGGTCCATGACGGTAGTTGTATTTCTGAGCCCCGAATTTCGCGGTCTTAGCTCGGCTCGGTCGGGAATGGAGTTGTTCGGCTGCACTCCGAACTGACTATATTCCGTAGGGTCTGCTACCGTGACCAGGATGAATCTACTTAAGTGTGCATACGCCGGGCTGGCATGGCATCTAGAATCTGTCATGGCTTTTGTTTCATCCCAGCTGTCAGTAATGAAACGGGTGGAGTGGTCATGACTCCGATGCAACAGCAAACTATCGCTTGGAGATACAATGTACAACAAGGTTCTCGTTTGTGTCTGGGTCACCCGATGACAGTGGCAACGGGAGCAGGGAAAGCTGGCAGTGCCTATAAAGCAAGAAAGACAACATGTCTGATCTCATATAAGTCAAAGCATGCAGGAAAATGTATAGAGTGTCTGGCATATTAAGCATTGATATATGCAAGGAGACCATGAGTCCGCAAGTCTAGTAGAGCTCCATCTAGAGGACTGATCAAACGCCGTAAATGACTTCCCAAAGCCATAGGATCCGCCAACGCCTCAAATCGCTTCAATTACTCATGGCCATGCAGCATCCCAGATAAACAACCAGTGATCAAAGTACAGCTCCTTGGGCCCGACGACAAAGCTCCGCCCGAACCCCTCAGAGCGCACCTTGTACTGTCGCGAGTACAGCCCGTCGGTCTGCAGGTGGCGCCTCTGCGCGAGGAAGATGGAGAAGCTGCTGCGCGAGTTGCCGACAAAGTAGTCGCTCCCGGCCAGCACGATAAAGTCGACGATGGCCTGCTGGTCCCACGTCAGGCTCTCGAGCTCGGCGAGGTCCGCCCCGGCCAGCACGTCCGTCTTGCTGACGACCGTCATGCCCAGCTGCGCCTGCGCGTCGCGCCCGAACCGCGCGATCTGGCCCGCGTCGCCGCACGCCACGTACGCCACCGACGTCAGGTTCTTCTCCGCCGCCTTGCGCAGGTACGCGGAGCGCTGCTCCGCGTACGTCGGCCAGAACTTCTCGGCGTCGATCTCGGACCGCAGGTGCACGCCCAGGAACTTGCCCCTCTCTTTGTCGTCGCCCTTGGCTGCCGAAGAAGACCCGTCCTCCTCGTCCCCGACCGTCCGGGAGAACTCGCGCATGCCCTCCAGCGCCCGCCGCCCTAGCCTCATCAGCCGTGGGTTGAACCGGAGCAGCGTGCCGAACGTATTTGCGAACTCGGCCCCGTCGCGGTGCACAGGCCACGCCCACATGACGGGCAGCGCCGGCCTCCTGTCTTTGTCGATCATGCGGAATAATCGGGGTGCCGTCGATGACGGCGGCGGTAGCAGCGACGGCATTCCTGACGTGCCGTTTGTCTCGCCGCTGCTCATGTACGCGCGGAACCGCTCGCCGAAGCGGTCGACGTGACGGTCCGTCTGGGCCGCGTCACACTTCTGCGGCGTGCTCACTAGCGTCCGCGGGTCCACCTCCGGGATGGGTGACTCGCCGGTGATGGTGGCGGCGGTGGCGTCGAAGTAAGGCACGTCGCGCGTGGAGTTGTAGAGGGTGATGTGCGGGCAGTTATCGCCCATTGCGGTGCGGAAGTGCGCCTCGTCAAACATGTAGCTGAAAGGCGCTTTGAGTGGTGTTATGTAGTCGGTGATGTCCTCCTCGTCACGCAGATGAATCTCGGGTATGACCATCCCCGTCGCGCCCGCCTCAATGCCGTATCTGAGACAGTTGAGGATGAAGTTGCGGATGTTGCCCATGCCGCCCCAGTTCTTGTCGCACACCCATACCACGCCCTCCACAGGTTCGACCTCCTGACATACCCTCTTCAGTGGCCAGCCTATGTACGGGGCATCCAGATCCGAGAGATCCACGCTGTAGTCCGGGTTTCCGTGGACGATTGCGGACGGCTGTGATGACGCCTGCGCCGCGGGTGACTTGCCCTTGGCGGATTCTTTGTTGTTGTAGTTGCTGCTGCTGCCGCTACTACTGCTGCTAGTTGTGGGCAGCGGTGCGGGTTCGCTCATCCAAAACGGCCTTCCTTCATTTGGCATCAGCCATCGGAGTGTCCATATGCTGAGGAGCAGGCCGAGCAGGCCGATGATGGCGCGTCGGCGCAGCAGAAACCCCTTCACCGAGGGCTCCATGCTGCACAGCGACATGACGAAGTTGTCGGCATGTCTACAAGCCGAGTTGACGGCACGCTTATGCATATCCAAATGCTTGTGAGGGCCCGTGAGTTGTTGCCCATGCGGTTTGGCATATCTTCTCTCCAACTGTCGTTTATTTGTGTTTGTAGAGGCAAGAATTAAATCGGAGAGATGACGTTGGAAGATAAAAGTGGAAAAAGGAGCGCGGTTGGTCCGGAAAGAGTGAAGCGCCACCTGCAATACGGGGCCCTGGTTTGGCATTAGGATTCAGCCCATGTCTAATGGCCACCTCACTTTGTCTAGGCGTCTTGGCATGCCACGGCGTGCTAACCCCCGTGTACAGTTGATTCAAATTCGAGACAGCGTTCGACTCGACTGCCGAGTCTCGGTTGAACTCTAACTTTCCTCTTAATCACAATGCGCATGATTCACGCCGTCGGCTATGTAGTTGACTTTCCGACATGGCGTGGCCCTACGTTGACACAACTTCTGCTCAAGTGCACGCTCCGCTCCGCGGCCCTGCCCCAGGTGCACGACGAGAGACACCCGCGCCGCGATACCTAGTACCACACTAGCATCCTATTGAGAAATTGGAAATATGCACAATACAGTAAGACGCCCTATCAGCCACATTTCCCATTTAGCCAACTCTGCACCATGGGATCTGGCGGGCTCATCCTGAACTGTCAGTCTCTTATTTTTAGCCCCTTGTACTTAACATGTACAGTGCCCCTGAACTGTCTCCACCAGGGCAGGTAAGGTTAAATCTTAAATATGTGGATCAAACAATTCACCACCAAGAGGGTGTCTTTACCCTGCTCAGGGTCTTTATAAGAAACATATTCAACGGCATTTTGTCCTACCGTCAACTGTGTTTCAAAACTAAAATCTCTCTTAACGAACTGATGCACGCGTCGATGCTGAGGACTGGCTATGTATGTATCTTCTCAAAATACCGAAAGTCGCCTCATTTCAGCACCACAGACTCTTTTGCCGGCGAGTTCTATGAGTAGTCCCGATGCTCTTGACAAGATTTCAGTGGTCTACAAATGCATCTCCATCGGCCGAAAATTGTGCAGACCGTTGCGTAATATTTTCTGTTCCAGCTATGGTGTGAGGTCGCAGATATTTTTTAAATAAGAGAACTTGTATCAGACAAACATTCTGAATTAGATGTTTCGGCTTGCACATGTATACCTGATGCATTGGAAACTCAGTGATGGTAAAACGACACTGTGCAAAGAGGGAGGAAATCAAGTGTTCAAGTGCTTCTACCAGAGCAAATCGACTCCAACACATTAATATCCTCAAGGCGACACCATTTTGGTCATGGGATTATGAATTACCCAGTCTTGTGGGCGGATGGGCTCCTAAGGGACCCTGGTGTTACGACTAAGTGCAAGTTAAACCAAGCTAGTTGTAAAAGTCGGCAAACAAATTACTTTAGTATCGTAGTCACATTTGTGAAGCCAAAAAATGCTCGCAATACAATTACAAAAGAATGCATCCATACACAATCTTGAAACTGACATTCCGAAGTTTCAACTCCCCGAGAACCGATTCTGCGCACAAAACTCCAGCTTCCACACGAACACTTTGAAGATGACATTGGGAAATACCTTCCGAACAGCGCTCCGGTCCAAGAAGGCCCCAGTACCAATAAACCACCCACCCGGTGTCTGGGGTCGGGTCCCGAGAGCAGAGCTCCCTCGTACGGGTCCCGCGTCCTACGCGAAGTACATCGGCGCTCATCTTGCCGGTAGCATAGCCGTACATCTGTCGGTTGAGTACCTGCGGGAAAGTGAGCCTATACAAGAGATTTTCTCGGAGGGAAAAAGAAAACTAAAGGAAGACGCTAAGAGGGGACTTGAGAGATTTGAAAAATCCGCGCAAGACGCTGTGCGGAGGAATCTAGAAGACAACGCCAAGAAAAGACTCAACAACTTCGAAAAGCTTTTACACATACTGCGCATCTATCGCCGCCGACCATGATCATGATGAAACTATTTGCTTTGGCTCTTGCTTTATTGGGCACAGTCAATGCTGGCATGTATGTCGACTTCAATTCAAGAGGTAAGAATACTTCACATATCCCCTGAGGCACGAAGACTTCATTGCTAACAACTCCAAGAATCTATTAGATCCGCCGCCGCACTCAAGGCTGAAGACGTAATGAGCTTCTATCACGGCCAAGAGCCCGGCCACACCCCCGGCGTCCTCTCCGGCCCAGGCCCAGAGCACAATGACTACATCTGGTGGGAAGCCGGCGCGCTGTGGGGCACGATGATCGACTACTGGAGATATACGGGCGACGCCACCTACAACGACGTGGTACAATCCTCCCTGCTCTTCCAGGCCGGCCCGGACCGTAATTATATGGAGCCCAACGTGTCCGCCTTCATCGGCAACGACGACCAGGGCTTCTGGGGCCTGTCGGTCATGCTCGCTGCCGAGACCAACTTCCAGAATCCGCCGCCGTCCGAGCCGCAGTGGCTCGCCCTCGCGCAGGCCGTCTTCAACACGCAGACCTCCCCGGACCGCCGCGACGGCTCATGCGGCGGCGGGTTGCGCTGGCAGGTGTTTGCGCTCAAGAACGGATACAATTATAAAAATGCAATCTCCAACGGGATTTATTTCAACCTGGCAGCACGCCTCGCCCGGTACACAGGTGATGAATCGTATGCGCAGCACGCCGCCTCGACCTTCAACTGGATGGAGAGCGTGGGGCTCATCGACGATGGCTTCAACGTCTTCGACGGCGCGCACGTCGAGCGTGACTGCCGCGATATCAACCGCGCGCAGTTTAGCTACAACGTCGCGGTCCTCCTCCAGGGCGCGGCCTTTATGTACGATTTCACCGGCGGGGAGGCCGTCTGGGTCCACAGGGTGGACGGCTTGCTCGACAGCCTGCTGCGCACGTTTTACGTGGCTCCCGCGTGGGATGATGAGACCGACGCCGACGCCAGGATTGCCTTCGAACCTGCCTGCGAGGGCGGCGCGTTCAACGTCCCTGCTAGCGGCTGCACAGGCGACATGCTAGCGTACAAGGGCTTCGGGACGCGCTGGATCGCGGCTACAATGCAGTTGTGTCCGTGGACACGCGGCCGCATCTTGCCTGCGCTGAGAGCGTCGGCCGCGGCTGCGGTGCGGCAGTGCCGCGGTGGTGAGAACGGGCGCATGTGTGGCATGCGATGGTCGTCTGGGAGGTATGACGGGACGTTCGGTGTGGGCCAGGAGATGGATGTGCTGTCGGCGCTGATGGTGTTACTTATTGAAGACCCAGCTGATTCATATGACCAAGGTGAAGACTTGGATGGGGTGACATATGGAATTCAGCAGCCGGCTTATGTCCCTCTGACGCATGACACGGGCGGCACAAGTGAAGGTGACCCAGATGCTGGAAGGAGTTCGAAGAATAGTGGGAAGGAATTGGCACCGATCACGGATACAGACACAAGCCTCGCGGCGGCCCTGACCAGCATAATCGTCGTCTCCATGTTCGGCGTATTCCTCTTCATGTGCACCGAGGCGTTCGAAGGGCGCCGCATGGACAAGAGCCAGAGTCGTGGTGTCATTGCACGCCGGCCTCGCGTGGAGGTCATTTCCGTGCAAGCGCCACTCAAATGGACGGATCTCGAAGCAAGGAAACCGAGCAGCCGCGAGAACCAGATCAGATCCAGGTCTTTGAATGGACGTGTCCCAGTCCGGCCCGCTAAGATCCACGTGGCTCATCATCGCTACAAGCGGGCCACAGTCTACAGAGAGGATGACGACTCTGTATTTGGCGATGACGAGGCTTCTGTCGTTGATGGCCGGTTGACAGGGTCGAGGAGGAGTCGATGAGGAGCGAAGAAAAGTATGAGCAGGACGGATCGGAGGTTGCATGGGCAGTCGGTTGAGTCTCACGACGGGTTGCAGCGGCGAGAAGCGCAGATTCTGATGCGGAATAAGCCTTCGTAAAAGACACGCCATTCGTATACTATGCTTCTGCCGTATGTGTCTGGAGTGGACATGGAAGCGGAAGGAAGGACTGGTTGTGGTGCCTCCCCTTCAGCACCCTAAACCCTCGAAGATGGAGTTACGCCGATTTTCTGTTGTAAGTAGTTACGCGAAGTGTGTTCGATGTCATCAAGCACCGTTGTCCATCGGGTGGCGAGGATTGAGGAAGACGGTGACATGCTTTTGATACCCTTTCTTAGACCCAGCTGGGCAGAAAACTCGATAATTGCACCGACCGAATAATGCAGATGCAAATGCAGAGATCTATGGAGGCATGAAATAGCAAAAAATCAAAAACCAACCCTGTTCGCCTGACTGCCATGTTGCCGCCCAGATACCTCATCGCCACGCTATGCAATTATTCTACAGCCTTAATGTCTGCCGATGGGCCCGCAACAACGCTGAATTGTCCACCCGTCCCGCACCATGTCAGCCTGGCGCCCTTGAGCGCCTTGGCCTTGACTTCCTCCGCCACCTCCGTGTCGTCGTCGTTGCCGTTGCCAAGCTGCAGCTGGCCGTTGAAGCCGGACGCGTAGGCCTTGCCCTCCTTGTTGACGAAGACGGTGTGACCTCGAGAGCAGGCTACGTAGGCCGCCTCTCCAATATCAGGCACCGCCACGGGGGTAAGGAGGATACGGGGTCGATCGTGCTCGTCTCGCCGAACCAGCTTTGGGTTTTGGAGTTGGGCCTCTGTTAGTTTGACTCCGAGGTGTCCGCCGTCGATTCGGCCCCAGACCAGGCAACGCCCGTCCGCGGTAACAGCAGTGGAGTGCTGCTCGCCGCCATCCATGTGCAGCACGCCTTGCTTGGACACTGATCGGATCTGCAGGGGGTATGGCAGAATGGCGTTGTCGCTTCCGGCATCTTTGGCGTAACCTGCCTGACCGTAGCTGTTGAGGCCCCAGGCGAAGAGCCTGTCCAGCTTGTCGACCGCGAAGGAGTGGTACGGCCCGCTGGCGATAAGCTTGATTGGGTGCCGACTCAAGTCGAGCTTTCCGGGGTAGTAGTTGTCGAGATGTTTGTTCTGAACGTGAGTGCGACGGCCGACCTGCTTTTGCTCGTTCACGCCCCAGGACCAGACGTTGCCCTTGACGTCGAGTGCGAGAGCGTGATTAGAACCGCAAACGACTTTCGTGATGTTCTGCAGGCCTGGAATCAGGATCGGTTTTTGTTGCACCTTTATGGTCTCTCCCTTGTAGTAGAGAAAGGTCTCGTGGGCCTCGCTGTCCTGTTGATCGCAGGTGTGTCAGAATACAAGGTCAAAAACAGCCAATGGTGAGCAATTGGTGGGTTTGCAACTTACCAAGAAGGTCCCCCAGCCGTACACGAGCCCAGTGTTGGTCACAGCGAAACTAGAGCTGTCACCGGCCGCGACAGAGGTGAACTTGGTACCCTTTGGGAAGGAGTTCTCAGGGATGTGCGTAGGAGTGGACTCGAGGGGGTTGACGTCTTCGTCGTCCGAGTCGCTGTCGGAACCAGCCTTTTCGGCATCCATGTCGCGCAGGCCTCCATCCCAGTTGGTGTCCCTGCCGAGGGCGCCCTTGTCATTGCAGCCCCACGAGACGATCTTGTTGTCCTCGGTCAGGGCTAATGTGTGCATGCCACCGCAGTCGACCTGGACGACGCGATACGCGTCCTTCTCCCTCCCATCGAGCTTCGGGATGACGGTGGCGCGCTTGGCTTCCTTCTTCTTGGGGCCCAGGCCGAGCTCGCCACTCATGTCTCCGGTACCGAACGCGAAGACGGTCAGGATTTCAGTCGGCGCATTGTTGATGACGGGGAGGTCTGAGGTGTCGGGTGGAGCGGAGGTAAAGCTCTTGAGGGTGTCGACAGGTTCCGCCGAGAAGGACGAGGTGAAGGACGCGACCGCAGCAGGTTCTGCCTTAGCCTTGGTGGTCTTTGGACGCTTCAACTCAACCTGGCCGTCGGCGTCGGAGCTCCTTCGCCTCTTGGTCAGCACTTTCGGCGCCTTTGGCTCCTCCTCGATTGCCTTGCGCTTCTTGGACGTGTTGGGTTTTGTGGATGTCCCATTGACGACAGGCTCAACCTTGGGCGCAGCGCGCGCGCGTGTGGACTTTGGCGGCATTGTGGAAGAATCTGCAGTGTGATGATCTCACTGTTGTGGTTGGCTGATGGTTGATGGCGCAAAGCGTGTGTGTGGTGTGAGGAAAACCTGGTCTAGCAGAGAGCTTTCGAGGGCAGACCGTTGCAGGGAAAACCGGGCCCCTGGAAAAAAATGGAGCTCCAGCAGCTCGGTCCTGGTGGTCTGCAGGTGTTGACTTGAGTGTGCTTGGAGAGCTTGGCTGTTGGCCGGGTGAGGGTAAGGGTAAGGTCGCGCCGCCTTCACTTAGGCCTGCCTACCTTACAGAGCGAGTCGCGCTTGTGATCTACTTAGGTATCGAGTTTGGCTGCCTGGGCCTGGAGTTGAACACGCTCAGTCTCCCAATTCAATCAAATCCGAGCACGAATGGGATCAGAAGGACAAACACATTGGTTCTCGAGGGCATCGAGTCACCTTAAAAAGTAGTAGCCAAGCCAAGTGGACGCATGCGTGGTTTGCTGGGGTCCTGGATTGCGAGGCAAGACATTAGTCGAGACACAAACTCATTGTCTTTTCTCTATGCAGCTGTTCAGCCTTTGTCCGCCCCAATCCGCCTCACTCCCTTTTCCCAGGCACACATCGAGTCTTTGTCTCGACTGCTCATCCTCGCTACAGCTCCCACGATTCTCGAGAGTCCACACTCCTGCTTCGCCGGTTGCGCTGATTACGCGTCGATTCGTCCCCACCATGGGCCAGCCCAATCTTGCTCTCGTCATCGTCTTCCACCAGCGTTGACATCGTTCGGCCCAGCTCTTTATGCATGTAGATGCCACGAGCCCCAATATCGCCGTCGTCCGACGTTGTTTGAGTTGACAACATTGATTTGGTGGATTGTCTTCGCCCCTGGTAGACGTCATTGATCGCACTCTCGGACAATGATGGTACGGAAGATGCTCTGCCCTCCTGGCTTGTAGCAAAGGACAGGCCGCTCGACGAAGTCAACCAAGAAGTCACAATCAACTTTTCCTGAGACTCTTCGTTTTCTAGGAAACCCGAGAACTCTTCCTCCATCTTCCTACGGTTCCATATGTTGTACCAGATCAGACACCCGACGCCGAGTGCCAGAAAGGCGCCGTATCCAGATGCGCTGATAATGATTGCCTTGATAAGGTCGTTCATTTTCGTGGTGACTGTCGGGAAGGCAGATGGCTGCGTATGAGTATCCTGTGTTTCTTGTGTTCAGTGACCTCATGACGGAGGGATTTTATCGTCCTCGCGACGTCAAGTATTCTGTTGAAGAATCTGGTGCTTTTGATTAGCGTAGAGAAAGTGCTGCTGCTTCGCCGAGTACTGCGCGTCGCTTCGGATTGAGCTTCGATACATTTTGGCCATCTCCCTGCCACAATAAGGGCTTTTTTATACACCGAAAAATCATTGACAGGTCACTGTTACTCGATGGCTCACCATGAAGCCTGACTGGAGGTCGCAGCACAGAGAGGCATGTATCTGTTGATAGAACGGCGGTCAATGAGTAACGGCTCAGCTTCTTGTCCGATATTCTCTCGAGGTGACTGATGGTCCCATTCTGCTAGGTCCGGTCTTGCACCTGTGAGAAAACGACAAAACACCCATTCAGCTGTGTCTGCTCACGTGCCAGGTGTGGGACGGGCACCCAGGTGCAAAATGCATGAAACATGCCCGCGAATGATATTGGAATTCGCATAGGACTACCTCTTTGGACAAAGCGACTGCTGATCCCTGGAGTCGAAACATACGATAGGCAACGCCGAGAAGGATTCTGAGATATTTTTGTACTAGCCTCTCGACCCATCGGATACACACAAAAGCGCAGCATCCTGCATAAGGATGAACCGTTAGCCGCGCTAGCCATAAGCTTGTGCCTGACAAGAGATCGCCATCGAGTCTTGGAATGAGCTTGATTCTCCGAAGTTTGCTCGGCGTGTCCGTACTTGGCGACCTGGCAAACGAATCTTGGCGAAAAGGGTCGGTTACCATCGTTTAGGAGAGCTACGATGTTTACAGCAGCCGTTCCCTATTAAGTTCAGTTTCTCGCAGCTGAACAGAGATTTCTTCCACTGTCCCCGAAATCTATGCAAGTTACCTGCCTTTTCCGAGCGAGCGGGCTAGTAATTATCGTGTTGCGGTTATGCGTCGCCAGTTTGTAAAACTTGCAAACTCTCCTGGACAATGCCTACCAGGGCCTTGATGCCTACAAGGGCCCTGATGCCTACGTCGACATTTCAGAACTAGCCAGAACCCAAATCCAAAAATGGAATGAAGCTCCAGGATCTCTCTACTCGTTCATTGAGCCAACAAGTCATTCCCGAGGTTCTAGAATATCGATGCTCGTCGAAGACAACGACAGTGGCATGACAAGCAGACGACTAGGTCTACCATGGCAATCCGTGGTGATCAAGTTTGATGTGAACAAGTGTGGTAAGAGATCCGCCACCCGCCGAGATAAGGGAGTGGATTGGTCCTGTTGTGGCTCCCGCCATAATAGCGGTGGATTTTCGGACGAATTTGAGACTTACGCGATTCAGGGGCTAGAGATAACGGAAAGGAACTAGGGCCCGCGATGACGAGACATGCGGATAAACCCGCACTGTCGAAGAGAGATATGCTTCGAAAATGGTCACGAGAGCGTTTTGTTATTATCAAGTGATGGTTCATTTGAAAGGGAAACGAGGCAGTTCGGTGATCATGGAGCCTTGAAGTCCCAGGCTCTCGGATCTTACGTACAGACAATTGATGCAATTGGTATCTCCACGATTCAACACTGCTGCCCCAGAATTACCCGTGCCCCGGCATTACCACGGCGAGATCTATGGCAGTCCAGATAAGGACATATCCCCAGACTTCGACCAGTGTCCCAAGTCAGGACGACCCGCTGCCAAGCTACTGTCCCTGCACTACAGACTCGTGGCAAATTCCAGCCCAAGATACCGTTCGAGGGACCATAAGCCTCCCCATTCGACAAACCTAGCTTAGAGTAAAGAGCTTGACAAACATGGACCCTCCCGGTTCCTGGCCCCTTCCGCAGTTGGGTTCCGAGGTGGGCGGAACTGAGATAGGCCACACGAAGTGTTACCCAGGTGTGCCGACACGAAAACTTCCGCACGCTGGCTACCCCAGACACGGTGGTATATATCGGCATTGACGACGCGGTCCCGTGAGACAATGGACTCAACGGTGTCCCATCCCGCACCCCTTTCTTTCTTTTCTTCCATTTACAACAGCCCGGGACAGTGCTTGATTCTTTAGCCTCCCACACAAGACAATCACCATGTACGGCATCAGTAGGAGCGAGACCGATGGGTCTGGTAACGACAGCACGAAGAAGGAGAAGGAAGTCGTCAATGTCCTCGAGCCTGTCGCTTCCACTCGCATTGCGGGCATTTACGAAGACCCAAATGCGTTGGCACAGCCTGAAGATACCCACGTTGGAGAGTTCGGCACAAAGCGTGACCTGGTTAGTCACTTCGTTTTCTCGGTTTTCAATTGAGGGCCTCTCATATTGGGTCATTATTTCTCAACGCACGCTGACTTCTCTCTAGAAAGCACGTCATGTGTCTATGATTGCTCTTGCCGGTACAATTGGAACTGGTCTCTTCCTGGGTTCTGGATCAGCATTGGCCAATGGCGGCCCTGTCGGCTTCTTCCTTGGTTATACGATCGTCGGGTGTCTGGTCGGTATGATGATGTATTGCTTGGGTGAAATGTAAGTCAATTAACAATGCAGGCAACTATCACTGTAAAACCTAACAATCATCTTTCACAGGACCGTCTTCGCTCCTAACATCGGTGGATTCATCGAAATGGGCAACAAGTACCTGTCCCCTGAAATGGGATTCGCCATGGGTATCAACTACATCCTCCTGACAGGATTCACCGTACCAACCGAAATTACCGCAATTGGCCTCATGATCGGGTTTTGGGATGAGACGTCATCACATCTAGGCATATACATCGCTGTATTCCTGGTCGTCTGCGTCGCCACTAACTTCCTTGGCGTGAAGTGGTACGGAGAGGTTGAGTTCTTCTTCGCCTGTCTGAAGATCGCTCTTCTGGTCGCGCTTATAATATTTGGCATCGTCGCAAACACCGGAGGTATCAACGGTGTTTACACAGGTGGCAAGTACTGGCGCGAGGAGCCTTGGAACGACGACTTCGGTGGAATCACTCCTGTTAACACGGCGCGGTTCCTCGGATTCTGGAAGGTGCTCACGCAGGCAGCCTTTGCTTACGGCGGTGTCGAGTCTATCGGTGTCATCGCTGGAGAGGCCCACAACCCCCGAAAGACTATGAAGTCGGCTACTAAGACCGTCTTCTACCGCATTGTCGGTCTGTACGTCACCGCCGTCATCATTATCGGCCTCAATGTCTCCCAGAACTCGCCCGAACTCCTCAGCGCCGTCAGCCACGGAGGTCACACCGCTGCCTCGTCGCCCTTCGTCGTCATTTGCCAACAGACCGGTGTCAAGGTCATGCCCTCCGTCATCAATGCTATCGTCATGACAAGCGCCCTGTCCTCCGGTAACGAGAACGCCTACGGTCTCTCCCGCACATTGATGGCCCTGGCCCGCCAGCGCTCGATGCCTTCCGTCTTCCTCAAGACCAGCCGCGTCGGAACACCCTACGTCGGCGTCATAGTCGCTTTCTGCTTCGGCCTCCTGGCCTTCCTGTCCGTCAGCAACGGCTCCAGCCAGGCCTTTACCTGGCTGTCCAACCTGTCCGCGCTGTCTTCACTGATCGCCTGGACCTGCATCTGCTGCTGCTATGTGCGCTTCAAGGGCGCGCTGGACGCCCAGGGCATCGACCGCCGCAACCTGTCGCTCCGCGGATGGTGCCAGCCCTACATGGCCTACATCTGCATCTTCTTCTTCATCCTCATCATCTTCTTCAACGGCTTCGGCGCCTTCCTCGGGGGCTTCAGCGTCGCGGACTTCTTCGCCAGCTACATCACCATCCCCGTCTTCGCCATCGCCTGGCTCGGCTTCCGCCTCTACAGCGCCAAGATCGGCAACCCCTCCGGCCTGACGCCGCTCGACCAGATCGATCTCAGCAGGGGGCCTGCTGCGGCGCTGAAGGACACGAAGTATGACCTCGGCGCGCCGCGTTCGATGATGATGGCATGAAGCAATTAGGTGCTTCATTTGGGCTAGTGGGCGTTATGGGCCGATCTCTCAGCGAGTGTAGGTATAAAAAAAGTGCATTTACATAGATGTTAAATCTAAAAACGCTAGATCAATTGCTTGAAGTTGTTCGTTCGTTGAACAAATATCTCCCAACATTGTGCGTGAAGGTGTCCAAGATAGATTAAGCTGGCAAGTTTGTATTTATCAATTGGGAAACGCGAGTCCTGTGCCCGATTTGTACAAGATAGACCTGCAAAGCAATAGTTGTTTTATACAGAGCCGCTCTTTGACTTCTCCATGGCTGACACCGCCGCAGAAATCGAGTCACATCGATCTTTGACGAAAGTAGAAAGCACTTAGAAAGTCTGCATTCCTGCTTCCTTTGACATGTGATCAGAAGTGACTCGTGATTGGAAGCAAATTCCAAATACCATCCGTACGTGGCAGCTCTATGGTGCTAGTCAGCCATTGCTTTCTCGATGAAATTAAGGCTACGCCGGCTGTGACATACCCGAATTGCGTGGCATCTATTTACTGAACTAGTTTATCTGTCTCTAGGCATCAATCTTGGCCAAGATAGAGTCTTAGACATGATCGACAGCATGAGTATCAGGGTTTCTGTTGCAAGGCTTATTCCACTGACTTGTTCCGCGGCTAAGTATACATAGAAAGCTCTCAGCTCTTACTCCAAACTCTCAATTCGTACAGTCGGGCGAGGGGAGAGGTACCAACCAACCTGGTGTGGTGAGCCCAATCACAGCCCGGGAAACCCGACCTGAAAAGATGTTGGCCGTGTCATACGACCTATGGATTGACCGATCCAAGTAGGGAGGTACTCATACATGTGTAGGCTGCGCCGCACCCCCTCGGAGTCTTGCCTGCTCCTGCCGACACCATCTCTGCTGGTCAAAAAGACAACAACGCCTCCGAGCAACGCGACTGGGTCGGTCAGAGTTTGATCAAATACACACCTACCTTGCCCGTCTCCATCCCCATCCCCGATTTTCGGCTCTGAACCATGGGCGAGCACTTTGAGTTGCGCCATGTGCCCACGCTCTTTACGGCCACGGTGATGACATTTGGTGGCATGTGGTCCTACTTCGACCCGCGGGCCGCCATGCTCGAGTTTGGCCTCCCGGATCGCATCGCCGCCACGCCAGCCGCGGGCGCCGTCATGCACATCAACAACGCCCGCACAACCGTTCTCGGCATGTGCCTGTACACCCTCTACTTTCGCCGCCAGCTGGCCGCCTGCGACATCATTCTCGCCATTTTGGGCGCCTACGCTGGGCTGGTTGATAGCTACGTCGTATGGAGGGAGGGGAATCCTCGCAAGGCGGCCTTTCGCCTGGCAAGCTCATGGCTACTTTCCGCGGTGGGACTTGCTGGATGGACAGCAGGTCGTTGAAGCGCATCACCAACATGCATATACACACACTGCATGTAGATTAACTGGTACTTGCAATTTGAGCATGGCGGGAACCTGAAGACACAGCACCCATTGGAATAAACCTGCTCTGAAGTGAGATGCGGGACTTATAATGGCACGAGGCTTGGGGTCACGGAAGGTTCGGGTGGCACCTGCAACAATTGCGCCAGCTAGTGTTCTTACTCGATCAAGGTTGGATGGTGCCATTCCCTGGAGGAATGCTACTGCACCAAGGTCTTATGTTGGGATCCGGCACACTTTTGTCTGTTGGAGAGGACACAGTCGTTGTTTTGTTGGTAAGATCTCTCTGCTTCCGTAGGAGCCCGGCAGAAAGAGCAAGCTAGTATGCCTTCATAGTCAACAAGCTTATTTGTCGACGAACCCTCCTTACGAAGGCGAAGGTGTTCTCATTAGCTACAGCTAGACCACTCGATTACTCTTAATGCTACGGGTGCTATCCAAGCAAGCCAGCCCACAAAAGAAGGTGAACATGAGCACACGCAATGCCTCAATGTCTGGAGGTATGAAGGTATGGACCTCTCATGTTCTGAGTTTGTCTCTTTCTACTTTTGACTCTGCCAATGGACCTGCTATTAGCTCATTGACGCGTCAATAAAGTGAATAGAGGAGTCTGTAATTGGTCCCTGCAGGAATGATGATAGCGAGCTTAAGTGCAGGTTACGTAGTACACTGTTTCATCGCCGGAACCTCGCCGTCCTTTTTGCGCCTCAGCCAAGGCGGAAGACGTTACTTGCGGGCAGCTCCGGCCCGAGTGCGCCGGCCGCCAATGACATCGTTTCTGCCATCCATATATCAGATCAAACCCGCTGCGCCCACTGGCACGCAGTCAAGAATCCGGAAACGGGAAGAAATGTGCTGATAGGCCGTAGCAATGACGGATCTGTTCTCGGCTGATACAGGTGATGTTTCCTGCGACGGTAGCGCGATCCCCTGGTACTGTGCATGACGGGATGAAGGCCGCCGATCTCTTGGCAGCACACGGGTATTTCATTCAATAAGATGCGGGGCCTTTGCCGCAGCCAACGCGCGCGACGGTAGTCGTTCGCTCCTGAAAATAAAATCAGCAAAATAATTCTCAGTCGCGATGATGATTACATCCTACAGACTCGTCGCTCTAGCCCTTGCGGCATGCCCTGGCCTGGCCATTCCGCCTCCAGAATTTGGATTCGTGGATAGCGCCAACCATACCGAGCTCAGCGTGGCTTTCACATTCGATGGGAACACAACAGTGGTCCAGGAAGGCCAACTCTTTGGAGGAAACAGTAAGCTCAACAGCCACATCCCTGCTTTCCGTGGGCTCATCTCACTGACGTAACTCTATAGTCACTAGCCAACAGCCAGCGCTGGCTGTGAACCCAGCCGCCTATCAGTCTGTCGCTGACTATAATGGCGACTATGTTATTCTCATGATAGACCCAGATGCACCGTCGCCAGACAGTCCTACCAGCCGGTTCATCTTACACTGGCTGGCCGCCAATGTGACGCAAGGCACGACGGCCGAGGCGCCTTTGACCGGTCAACGGGCCCTCACGAACAGCACACCGGCCTTCGTTCCGTACCGCGCTCCCACACCCCCTCTGAACTCCAGCGCACACCGATACATCATCTACGCGTTCGCGCAGCCGGACAATTTCGCCATCCCGGAATCTTTCAGCGGCTTCAGCGCGCAGAATCGGTCTCTGTTCAGCCTCGACCGCTTCATCTCGGAGGCTGGCCTCGGCCGGCCAATGGCTGGCGAGTTTTGGTACGTGAGTCGGGAGCCCGAGGTCCCTGGCACATTTGTTGCCCTCGCTGGAGGGGCCTACCCTGGGGGCAATGGCGCCGCCATCTTCTCGGCCGGGTCTGGCAGTGCGACGGCTACGGCGACATCATCTGCATCAAGTACCTCGAGTACAGGGGGTGCAGCCAGCACGGGGACGTCAGCTGCGAATGTGGCAAGAGCTTCTTACTTGGGTCTATACACTTGCCTTATCGGTGGAGCTGGGCTTCTGGGCTTGACTCTACTGCTTTAGTGCCATTCGGATTTCAACGTGTTACGGGAAAACTTTCTATTCGGAGATGGAGTTGCGGTATCAGCTTTGCGCATCACCTGGGTGACCACAAGTAACTAAGACTAAATGCTTGGTGCGAAAATGATGCCATCTTGGGCAAAGTGCCAGAAGCTCCTTTCAAGGAGAGCATAAACTGTTGAGGTTGGAAACCTTGTGAGAGCCGTGAGGGTAGCGGAGAGGGTAGCGGGGGAAAATGGAGTTCTACGTCTGAATAAGACGCATACTAGCGCTCTGCTATCATAGCCGATCAATAGGAATCAAGAGGTCTACAATGCAAATGACTCGGAAAAGAATTTACCCCTGTCATCAAGGCATTATTGCCTACTTGTCACGAGAATGTATATGGTGACAAGGCAGCTGTCCTCAATACACCTCATTACTGCAATTGAAATGAAGTCAGCGCTAGAGCTGTACGTGTTGGTTGAGGTTGGGAGCTGAGCGCCAAATGAAACCGAAATGTTGCATTTGGCCCACAGGAAATCCGGAGATCGGGTGGCATCATTCTCAGCCACGCCCCAACGTGCAGCTTCAAGCGGGTCTTCCGAGGGAAAATGTGATAAGGAGAGAAAAGAGGTGGATAAAGAGACAAGGTAAAAAAGAAAGACGAAAGGCTTTAAGTAGCAGGATACTGATCTAAACCATCCTTCACAGCGTCAAATCCTGTTTCTCGCCTGTCGCTGTCACTTTCACCGTGCCCCAGACTTCCCCATCATCAACCAACATTTGAGCTCGGGCCCCTTTTCAAAGACCAGAACCAGATATTCTCACTGTTTTGCCTCAAGTTCCGAATGCCTGTACACAATGCACAAGTCAATGATAGCGCTGCCCGCGCGGAGGCGAAAATGTTGGTCGAAACAATTTGCAAAGATCATGGGAATATAGAAGATGAGACCTGGGAAGAGCTGGGAGCATACAATCCTAGCCTTAGGGCAAGACTGCAGTTCGCTTTTCTCAGAAAGGATGAGATGCTTGCGCACTCCGTAATGACGTGAGTCTTGTCCAGCACTCACCACCACTGTGTCAATGTGTACCAATCTATTCACATTTCAACTCATCTCCTGGATAGGCTGGCCAAGAATCTTTATACTAGCAATGCACGTTTCGTCTTCGAACTACTTCAAAACACTGATGATAATCGGTACACTCGAGCTCGGGGACAAGGCGACCAGCCATATGTTTCATTTCAGGTCTACGACGATCGTATTATTATTGAGTGTAACGAAGACGGATTCAAAGAAGAGAATGTGCGGGCAATCTGCGATGTTGGAAAAAGCTCCAAGGCTGGCGCTCAGGGCTACATTGGGGCCAAAGGCATAGGGTTCAAGTCCGTGTTCATGGCAGCCTGGAGGGTCCATATCCAATCCGGTGACTTTTCCTTTTACTTCAAGCATCGCAATGGAGACCCAGGCCTTGGAATGATTTCTCCATTCTGGCAGGACCATGTGGACGATCTGCCCCAACACTTGACAAGGATGACATTGCTTCTACACGACACAGGGGATCCAGCCACCATATTGTCGCAACGCCAGGCAATACGACAGCAGTTCAACGACTTGCAGGAGAGTGTGCTCCTGTTCATGCGCAACATCAGGAAAATAAGCATCTCTTTCATGGGAAACGATGGCAGAGTCCAGGCATCAACCGTGTTCTCGGCCACGAAGACAGATGATAGGCGCATGACATTGACCAAATTGGTCACCAATGGGACAGAGGTCGCATGTACATCCCAGATCTACCATGTCACCAGGCAGTCTGTGGATGGTTTGCCTAAGCATGAAGACCGTACATACTCAGAGCAAGAAGATCGGACAAGCGCCTACGCCAGAGCCGAAGTTATTCTAGCTTTCCCCATATCAGACTCTTCGGTGCCTATTATCAAGCCCCAAGATGTCTTCGCATTTCTGCCGATGCGGCACATGGGTTTCTCAGTAAGACTAATAAGTCTCTTTCGACGAAAATTCATTAACTTCGACCTAGTTCTTAATCCAAAGTGACTTTGTCACTCAGGCCAACAGGCAGGACATCGTGGCAACATCGCCACGTAACCAGGGTATCATCGAACACATTAGCAATGTGTTCATTCAGTCGGTTTTGGAATTCTGCGAGCACCCCCGCCTTCGATACACCTGGATGAGATTTCTACCTAACAGGAGCCAATACCCGTACGACAGCTTTTGGTCGAATCTGGTCAATCTGATCGAAAGGAAGCTGAGGAACGTCTCAGTTCTATTGCCACGAAGCGAGACCAGGTGGAGTAAGATCAACGACCTCAGAGAACTTGATTCCTGCTATTGTGATCGCAGCGGGGACCCTTTGTTCAGAGACGTCTCCCCGGAGAAATGGTTATCTCGACTATACCATGGAGATGATATCATAATCCTCAGAGGCTGGGGAATGCCCAGAATCAACGCACAGGAAATCATAACCATGATCGAGAACGACTTGAATCTACCGGACTCTCGAATGAAATCTGATCAGACGGATAACGACTGGCATACGAGGGCTGCGAATATGCTCTTGAAAATATCCACAGGCCAAGGAAGCACTTTATCAATTCTGCGCGCTCTAAATTTGATCCCGTGTAGAGGTGAACCAACATATTGGATTGCTCCAGTATCTGTCGCCAATGGGAACACGGTTTGCTTTGCCGAGACTGAGGATGGCATCCTAATTCCAAACGACTTAGGCTTGCACATAGTCACGTCAAATGCCTCGAAAACCCCAGCACGTATAGCGTTGTTCAAGCTGCTTGGTGTAAAGGTGGCCAATGCGAACGAAATGAGGTCTAAGATTTATCTTCGACATCAAGCCTATCTGACGGGTCATGCCAAGACTCCGCTTCGCACATACGTTGAGCAAGTGGAATTCTTATATCTGACAGACCATACTAATTCCCAGCCCACGAAGAAAGAGCCAGAATTCGCCCTGGTAGATGAATCTCTACACTTGTGGCGGTCGTCAAGCCTCGAGCCCTTGTATCTTCCCGACGAAAGTCTTTATGGGCCAAGTGAGCTGCTCAGAGCCACAGACGCTGGGGAGGAGCCCGGCGCTGGGGCTCCTGGGATGGACGTCAGATTCTTGAATGAATCTTTCACAGAAGATCCTCCAGAAAAGCCTAGACTTGACTCGCAAGCGTGGTCAGATTGGTTGAAAACCCGGGCAGGAGTGCGAGACTCGCTCAGATTAACCAAAGGATCACCCTACGACCTCTCTCCTGAGTGCTACTACGTTGCAAGGCATCGGCCGGAGAGATTTCTCGGCTTTCTCCGCTTTGAATGGCTTAATGGAGCCACCCGCTTTAGCAGACAAGACTCGGCCATTGTGCGCGACAAGTTGAAATGGATCAAGGTTCTCTGCCACGGTGGTCACATGACGCCCCTTTTGAAAACGCATCTTCCACTTCGTGATCTGCGTGACGAATGTGCCAGATTCCTGGCAAGCAGTCATACATTCCCATTTGTCAAGATCGAAGATGATATTTCGAGAGAGACATATCAAGCTTTGCATTGGGACTTCCTCGTCGACTGGGCTGGCGTTGGCGTTGAAAAAGACCTAGACTTCTACTTAGCTATTTTGAGCCAGATGTGCGGGTCAACCCCGGATGATCATACCGGTGCTCGTGTAGCCGATTTGTACAGCATGATCAACGCGAAGCATGTCGAATCTGGGCCTTCCCGAGAAACCCAAGGCCAACGAATCAAGTCAGTTCAAGATTTTGTCTATAATCGAATGTCCGCGGGGCTGCTGCCATCGACTAACTTTTATCAGGAAGTTCTTCGAAGAGAATAAAGCGATTTACATACCTGCTTACCGCGATACCCTAGCTACGTGGACCTCTCTCGAACGGTGTTTGTGGCAAGGGCTACCATATATGACTACTCACGACGCCCTTCAACTCAAATATGATGGCCTCTGCGCTCAGAATGTCGAAAAGCGCAACATTGAAAGCCTGTTCTGCGACTTGCTGAGCATCCGGGATTGTGGGTGGATCGACTTGATCAAAGAGCTCGAGAATATGAAGGAAGAGGAGGATCCGAAGTTGGAACAGGTCACTGAGCTGTATGAGTATCTAAAGACCTTAACAGAGAAAATGGAAGATAATGAGCTTGAAGAACTCAGGTAAGCCAAGTTTTGACCAAACTGTCAATTTTATCACTTGTACAAGATTCTCACCAAGTATTCTCATAGGGACGAGTTCAGCAATGAAGCTCTTATCTACAGACCACTTGGGCATGTTACCGGTCAGAAATGGCATTGCGTCCAGGGCTGTCTCTGGTCAAGCAGAGCGAAAATAAGCGGAAAAGTCACATTGAGCGAGCATTACGAAGACCTTGAAAGCTTTTTCGTCAATTTCCTCAAGGTAGAAACTCTCAACTTGGAGATAGTCTACAGGGAATTGATCCGTCTGGGCGGCTCCCCAAACGCCTCTGCCGCCGATACCAGAGATCAGATCATGGCTCTGAATGCCTTCCTCGTGGATATTGACCCCGCGGAACACCCCAATGCGACTAAGTTAATCGAGGCGAAGATCCTTCCCATTCGAAAACCGAATCAAACAGTCAGTCTGGCTTCTGCGAAAACCGAATTCGCTATTGTTGATAGGACTCACCTCAGAGACATCTTTGCGGCTCAGGTCAAAACATTAGACTTTTCTTTTGATGAGGTTCGTCGGCTTGGTCCGTTTATAAAATTCCTCAGGCAGGACAGAAAGCGCTTGTCAGAGATGGTGAGAGAGATCACGACAGTGGGCGAAGGCGACAAACAGCCCTTGCAGTGTCGTCGACGTCAGATTGGTCCCAAGGCCCATGCTCTTTACCGGTATGTTCCTCATCCTGACACAACTGCCGAATCTTGATACGAAATGCCTTTCATGAATTTAGTAATCTAATTTCGAATATGGTAGAGTCGCATTCCACTTTGACAGTCCAAGACTCAAGACAGACGGTAATGATCTTTACAACATGTTGCGCAATGCCCATGTCTACACGACAGAAGGGATCTCCTCCGAACTGCACCTTTCTCAAGACGGAAAAGACCACTGCCATGTCAAAGAGCGCAGCGACCTTCATCTCAGGGAACATGGGTCTCAACTTGAAATATTTGTTTCAAAAAAGCAGAAGAAGCAAGACTTTTGCTATTCTTCGATTCTCAACAAGCATCTTTTTCTCTGGCTGATGACTGACCCTATCACCCAGATCTCAGAGACGCTTGATTCAAGGGGATTACTCACCGTGAATAAGATTCTTAACTCACGGCGATCCAATCTTGCACAGGTTCTACAGGAAGACGGAATTGCAACCGGTGACATTGAGGAACTAGATCAGCATGAGGAGTCCGATGATGACTCAGACGAAGAAGGACCCGAAGAAAACGAGACACCGAGTGTGTCAACAACTCTATCGATTCAACAGACTACTCATTATCGCTCGGAATACAATCCTGATTACAACAGGGCCGTTTTTAGCGACTCTGTGCTCGATGAAGGGGCAGTCAGGTGAGAGATTTTGAGCTGTTGTGAAGACCGCTCGTCATTAACCGTTAGGTGTCAAATAGCCCGCAAACCTCAAGTGACAGTGACACAGAGCATCAAACTCCAACCAGCCCTATCGAGTGGAGGAGTCCACGAGAGTCTGAGAACGGAGAAGCAGATCGGCCCCGATATGAGAACCTTCTCAGGCGTGTCGTCACAGCCGCAAGAAGGTCGCATTTTCCTGCGAGGGGCTCATTCGACATGTCCGACATGTCCTCTGCTCTGACGGTCTTCTATGGCGCAGCGGACGGCTATGACGGCATCTTTGAATCGCACCGCTTCCATTCGACCTCGCAACTTGAGCGGGACAGGAAGATAGGGGCAGCGGGGGAGCTATATGTGAGTCTCGACTACCTCATGCCAACGAAGTGCCAAAGTTCTCTTTTGAGACGCAAAGAGGTTCTTATTAATTTACTTTCGCGTTCTTAGGTCTTCGAATTGCTCAAAACCCTTGATCTTCCTAACTTCTCGATACATCAGTGGCAAAGTACCATCCGCCACTATGCCGCTGCTCATCCAGACTACGTCGACATCAGGCAGTGGTCTGGAAGAGAAACCTCTGATCTGACGTATCACGATGTTCAAGGTGATTTTACACGGCTTCTGATTGATTCCGGCTACCTAGATGAGGAATTGTGGAGGCACAGGCGGCCGATGTACTTCCTTGAGGTAAAAACCACGACAGGGCCGTGTAACACACCGTTCTTCGTAAGCAAAGGGCAGTATGAACGGGTATGTCTTTCTCTACGCATGTTTCACCTTGAAATGCAGTCTTCGGTTCTCTCTCCGACACGGTTTTATTCTATCGCAAATACTAATCTGTCATTGCAGATCCGCAACCACAAGGATACTACGGATACGGTTTATATCATCATCAGAGTTTTCCAAGTCGGCAGTGACGATGTTCGTGCCAGGGTGTATTTAAATCCAGCGAGATTGGCGGACGATGGGCAGCTCTTGTTTACAGCTGAGAAGTGGTCTGTTGTATCGTCTTAAACTGCTTCAAGCTCTATTTCCTTGACGAGGCTCGCGCGGCGCGAATTGGCATGCAGAACTTGACGTAGTTAGAAGCATTAGAATCTTGATGATATCATTCCAAACCGATGAATTTTTGAGTTTCGCCATGAGTCTTACGTATTGTCCGCATTTATGACATAATTTAGACGCGAAAGACTTCGTCCAAAAAAACGCTATCAATGGTAGTGGTCAACCGAAAATAAATCCAAGCTAGATGTAAATGCTACAAGAAGATGAGCTGACAATGCATGCCCTTGGCGTTATGATCAGGGACCCAAGTCGTCTTAGATGTATTTTCAGCACGATATGAAAAGAGATGACCACTCAAATCCTCAAGATGCAAGCTGCCATATAGTCTTTGCATCAACGTTTATGGAGACCTTACCCAGCCCATCAAGATTGCCCTTGGGGGGCTCAAGGGGCTTGCCAGATACGACACTTTTCGTCAACAGACCTTTGCCAACGATACGAACCATATTGGGCTCCTTGTCGTCTCTTCTTAGAACGAATATTTCTCGAAGCTCTTTCAAATAACAAAGTATGTCACCGCGTCGGGCTCGGTTTGAGATGATTCCCAGCTTTGAATTGTCGAAAGTGGTCCAACTCGCATCTGCATCTTGTGGATACAGCTTGAAAATTCGGGCTGGTGAAGAAGATCCAGAGACGAATGCATCCTCGTCAACTTGACTATTATGTGCCGAGGACTGGGGTGCAGACCTTGCTAGGTTACCAATGAGACTGGGGTGCTGTGCAGAGCCAAGCACGTCAGCAGCACCACTGGCAAGCATAGTCTCGATAGCATCGTCATCGGTATCGAGCAATGAGCGCCTGAGCCTATCGCCCTCATCGAACTGATCGGTGTTCCACTTGTTCAAAGCGTCAAGATTCGAGAATATCTCACTCGTGGAAGGGCCGATGGCCTCAACCCACCCTATCAAGAATGCCCCAAGTGGATACGTGCTTGCTGAGTGATCTGTGGCCTTCGACTTGGGGATCGTGTCCAGTGTCGAAGGATCCGGGGCACGCGATGTGGGATGGTCGAAGAGCAGAGTCCTCACCATCCGTGCGAATGAAATGATCTGATCTGTCGGTACAAGGCCACGCCGGGCCGCGAAATCCAACGTGTCAACCCAGGTGCTCAAGTCACTTTGATCGTAGTGCACGGGGAAGCCACCAGAATCGAGTGCGAGGCCCAGGAGGCCGTAGATTTTATCTTTTGGCAACGCACACTGCGCTCGCTGGTGTTGCTCCAGAAGGTCCTTCAGCTTGCGGCTCTGACGATTCTTGTTCATATCGTTGAACTTTTTGGGGCCGTGGTCTCCCCTCTCGAAACGGCACACGAAACAAACGAATTCAGCCCAATTAAATGTGATCTTGCCGAAGCAGACCCTGATCCGTCTCGCTTTGCCAATTTCCTGTATGATCCAGACCCTGTCCCAATAACGGTCAGCGCGCAGCATACCCGCCATGGCCTTCTCAGAATCTTTGAAGACGTAACCGCGACCACCACTTGCGACCATATTAAAGTCTTTGCTGAGTAGATCATCGCCAAGCCCGCCGTGTCTCCGCTGAAGCTCACGGCGAATCAAGTCCTCGGTGTCCGGACCTTGAAACTTCTCATAGCCCCTCCCCAACCACACCAGAACTTGCTGGGCGCGCTCGTAGATGTGAGGCATGAAGGGCAGCTGTCGATCCTTCTCTGCAGTTCCCTGCTGGTCAATGCATATTGCATCGATCCAGATCGGCAGCCATTCCTTAGGGTCAGGGCGTCTTCTCAGAAAGTGGAGAGCATCAAAGAGATTCTCGGTGACTTCAAATTCGGCACCGTTGACGCAGATTTTCTTCCTGACGGAGGAGTCACCCCACATGTAGGACAAGGCATCGAATTTCGGTCGGTCTCCGAATTTGACAGTGACGAGGCTGCAGTCCAGGAGTCCGTCCGTCCGCAAACGGGGCTTGACTTGAAGTAACCGGGTGCTGTCTGCAGTCTCATCGAGCTGATTGTACCGAAAGACAGGCTCCAATTGATCTTTTACTTGGGGCCCTTCTTCGTGAAGCAACTTGGGGTAGGGCTCTTCAGCCCACTGTCTCCACGACCGTGATGTTGTAGTAGTGTTTTCGGCTGCTGGTTCGGGCATGCCCGCTCCAGCTGTCTTGCGCTCGGCCGCAGTTGTGCTGAGTCCAGCTAATTGGCCTAGCTTTCCAGCAAATTTCTTCATGTTGGCGCCACTGGCAGTTGTTAGCTGTGTAAGTGAGCGTGGGTTTTCTTCGTGGCTCTCGTCGATGCTGGGATAGACCCCGCACCACGACTGCATAATGCAAACGCGATAATGTGCTGTGCGTCGCGCGTAGTGGTCCGTGCACTAGCTGACGAGATACTTCAAGTCTCAGGATGTCAGGCTTACTTCTGCACTCACTTCCGGGTCGAATGGTGATAAGTTAGACGAATAGCCTAACAAGCCATTCATCTCAACTGAGGTGCTCAGACGCCAACTGAGGTGATCTGACAAGCTGCTTCCTGTCCTTCGAACCTCCGGGCCCTAAGACGTTGGTGCGGTCCACCTAGGCACAGCCCTACAGTAGTTTGCCGCGCAGATAGACTGCTTATCAAGAGGCTATCGTGGAACTATAGAAAGTGGGCTCATCCAGAGTCGGTCTCGATCGTCACTCATCTGACCAAGACGATTTGGGATGATCTTTTGGTCGAAATCCTTGTGGAAAGTAGAGTACCTCTTGCCTGTCTTTCGTCACCTGCGTGCGAAATAATGTTGATGATGCTCTGAATTCGGCGGCGAGTTAAGAGTGATTTTGACCCCTTGTATGATCAATGATTCAGGCCACATCTTCGATGCGAAAGTATCAAGGGAATGATGGAAATTTGACTCCTAAACACGATCATGAATGATCACGATACGAAGCAACAAATCCACAATACTGGTCATCCACATGTGGCTCTCTTGAAGTCGTCCATAAAATAAAAAAATAAGCGCCCGGGCTGAACTTGGAATGCAATCTTGCAACCCAGCCAGGCTCATCTAGAATGTTGGCTCAGGGCCCTGTTAGCCGCTCTATTACGTCTAGTCGTCTCTGCTCCGCCCGTTTGATGCTGACTGCACGAGTTACAGTACTTCGTTGAAAACATAAGTATGCTTCTATTACTGTGTCACATTTATATGCCAAGAACAGAAGGTGTTGTTTGTAGGATTCGCGCCTAATCGCTTCCCCTCTCTGATTGTAGTAGCAGGCTACTATCTGGCCCTTAAATACAACCTATCGCTGCGGCGCAGCGTTTCACGGCATTCACCATTGTACCCTGTAGGCGGCTCTATGCTAAAATGCACATCGTGTCTCTGGGTGACCCCGCACATCCCCGGGGACTATCCCCTGGGGCCGTTCCTAATGTCCGATTACTGTTGTCACCTCGGGAATTGTTGGCTGATTGACTGTTGGTAGCTAGTGCTGACCAGGTCGCATATCACGGAACGGCGAGCCCTCTTGCTACCTTTGTCACTTACGCCTTGAGCAGCAGTTGCCTGCGAAGTATCCTCCTGTTCAAAGTCCCACCAGGGGAATTCCTCCAGAAACAAACAATCTCTTCTCAAGCACCCTTTCCCACCCCTACAATGACTGAATTTCCTGTCAGTGAAGGCGAGTTCGCATGGGAGGTGCCCAATGCCGGAAAGACATGCAAAACATGGTTCAAAATCCTGGGTGACCTTGATTCAACAAGTGGCCCAGTCCTCATAGCACTCCATGGTGGCCCTGGTGCCGGTCATGAGTATCTGGTGCCCTTGGCGGACCTCTACAAGCCCTACGGGATCCCCACCATCCTCTATGACCAGATTGGTTGCGGTCGCTCGACACATCTCCGCGAGAAGATGGGGGATGCCGACTTCTGGTCCTTTGAGCTCTTTATCAAGGAGCTTGACACCCTGATCGACCACCTAAACCTGAGGCGAAGGGGCTTCTTCCTCCTGGGCCAGAGCTGGGGTGGTGTTCTGGCCGCTACTTATGCCATGAGTCGACCCGAGGGGATGTCACCCGTAGGGCTAAAGAAGCTGGTTATAGCGAGCGGCCCCTCTAGTATCCCGCTGTATGGTAAGAAAGTCCTTATGGCTGAACGGGCCTTTCAGGTCTCGGAGACGATATAACCAGAGGTGCTCATACGGGGCTTCTGGCCTACTTGCGCTGTGAAGTACAAATTTGTGATTGATGCAGTATGAATGCTGACAGAATTTGGCACAGAAAAGGGACTTGAAGGTCTACTAGCTAAATTGCCTGCCGACGTCCGTAAGACACTCGAGGAGTGTGACAGACGAGGTGATCACGAGAGCGAGGAGTTCCAGAAAGCAGCAAAAGTCTTCAATAGCCACTATGTCTGTGGCTTAGATCCTTTGCCTGAAGAAATCATGGCAGGATTCAAGAATATGAGTGAGGATCCTACCGTCTACATGACCATGTGAGTTCGTCCAAGATCGAGTCTCTCAAGGCGCACGCGATCCATATATGTCTAACGCGGATCAACGGACAGCCAAGGGCCGGCAGAGTTTGTCGTAGTTGGTTCCATCAAGGGTTGGGAAGGCTGGACGCGGGCTCACCATATTGGAGTCGAGACACTCCTAGTCAACGGCAAGACGGACGAGGTCACCAACCTCAGCATGTACCCGTGGTTCAAGAGCATTCCGAAGGTCAGGTGGGTGACTCTTGAAGGAAGCCACATGTCACACTGGGAGGATAGGGAGCGCTACATGCAAGAGGTGGGTGATTTCCTCGTGAGCACAGAGCCTGGTGACAGGAAGGAGCTGTGAGGGAACGCGAAACCCTGAATGACAAGGTGTATGGAAAACGAAAAATGGAGTGCGCGAAATTTGTGGATAGCTTGGAGTGGGGTTCTCTCTGCCGATCTATGTAGTCCAACTGCGCGTATAATAGCAAGGGTATTCCAACAGTGATTGCCGAGCTTGTAACACCAAGAGCCAAGCGTGAAAGCCAGTAGATGTGACACCGGCGGGCATCCTTATCAATTCTTCACCGAGGGATACCTTGAAGAAGCTCGTCAAGGCTTCCGGAGGTAACCACCGTGGTCTTCTCGCATAATTCGGGAGGGCAGTTTTCCTCGTAAGCCTGTCATGTTCCTCATCAGCACCCTGAAGCATCTAGTTGTTGATTGTTCTTACGTATAGCGTTCCAGGCCTTCCGGTGCAGTCGTCTTTCAAAGGCACATGCCTGATGACAGACTCAGCGAGCGAGGTGGGGCTCCAGTTAAAGACCAAGGGAGTCAGTGCCGCGGCCTCACGATACTGATTGACATTCTCTATGCGTTTCCGTCAGTTCCCGTGGAACCATATTCTCTTGGGGGATCCTCGAACCATACCTTCAAACAAGTTAACGAGCTCCAACATAGTCGAGTTCCTAATACCCCATCCCACACCTGTTACGTCCCAGTTTCTGCCCTCCATACGGTCCGCAATATTCGACGCAGGCTGGTCTGGTCCTTGGAACAGAACTAGGTTTAAACGTTTAGCTAACATCTTTTTATTATTCTTCCGTCCGGCCTACTATAAACGTTAAAGCCAGCTTTAACAAGTTTTGCGGTATCGTTGCGCAACGAAATATCAGTTTGAACTGGATCAAAACCTCGAGAAATGACCAGCGGGTGGTACGCTGCAAGTCCACTGTTTGGTTGATTTTAGAAAAGTGAACGACCGATGCCATCTTCCAAGAGCTCACGTGTAAAAGACGTTCACCTCGCCACAGGTGGCATTGGTCGGAAAGGATATCTTCTGTTCTGGGATCGGGTCGGTGGTATTTGGTACAATTGAAGCACAGCCGGCAGCAAGGCAGACGGCTTGGTTGAACAGAACCATGATTGGAATTCGTTGAGAGCTAGTCTTCGTAAGGGCAATTACAGAACATGGGAATATTTGACATAGAAATGAACTATTGACAAGCAGTCTTGTCTAAGGATCGTGTATATCGTGATAAGAAATTAGAAAAGCATTTTTTCGTTGATCGATTTCCCTATTCTGGATTATATCTGGTACATACCTCACCAATGACTGTTCACTCTCATACGCCAAAGATGCGGACATAATTCAATCCGCGCCCCGGGATCAGCATGTTCAAATCCGTTAGTATTTGCAGATCAGTATGTTCAACCCGTTAGTATCTGGGGATACCCACGTCAGGCGCACTTTTCGGACATTTCGGACGGTCAAAATTCGCGAGTCGCGACACTGCCTCATTTTTGGCTTCTTGGGTCAAGTCTGAGCAAACCCGCCAAACGCGTGAAATTACTACTTCAGGCAGGCAAGCAACGTACTTGCTACTCAGTAGCACTATCTTTGAAATCATCAGTAAGTCCAAAATTTCCACAGTACAATCACGGGTAATGCACCGAGTTGAAGAATCGCAAGAGGCAAGACCGGCTGTGCGTTCCTTGCTGCATGACTAAGCGGATATATTCCGTGCCCATGTTTGTCAACCCCTTGTTTCCACACCCCTTGTTCCCCGGCCCCTTAAGGAGAATACCAAACGGAAGTAACCGAGGAGCGGTCTATAGTCGAAACTCGTTTGTAAAGTATATAAATGTATTTCTAAGCCAGAAGACAAATGTGACTCTAGCCTAGCGCTGAGCGGGACGGACACGGACTTCCCAGCCCATTTCATCCGAACATGAAGAGGAAGTGGAGGTAACAGCAAGCCATCATGCGTAGGCGAAGGCGCAAAAATGGGTTATTTAAACTGTGTCGACATGAACATGAAGTAACTGCCCTCCAAGAATCTCGCTATCAAGAATCTATAATAATCCAAAAACGATTATTACCAAAATCGCAACGAGACATCCAGTCGTTATCTCTAGTGGCTATGTCTGCCACGAAGCCCATCATTGTATACGTTCTTGGTATGTCATGAATCATCTCGCAGAAAATCAGAGGCTAACGAGTCACAGGGGGTGGCCCAAACCCATTCAAGGTTTTGATCACCCTGGAAGAGCTCGGCATCCCGTATGAGAAAGTCCAGGTCGACGACGTCAAGAGCGAGGCCTTTCTTAAGCTAAACCCCAACGGCCGCGCCCCTGTCATCATCGATCCCAACAACGAGAATTTCACCCTCTGGGAATCGGGCGCCATTGTCGAGTATCTCGTCGAGACATATGATATACTTAACCATTTGACTTTGGAGGACCGTAAGAGCAAATGGCTGCTCCAACAGTACCTGCATTTCCAAATGTCAGGGCAGGGTCCCTACTACGGACAGGCGGTGTGGTTCTACAGGCAAACCGAAGACATCCCAACAGCCAAACAAAGGTATATTGAGCAGGTTTTGAGGGTGTTTGGGGTCTTGGACAACATCCTCAAGGATCAAGAGTATCTGGTCGGCGGCAAATTGTGAGTGTTACTCGCTATGATCTGTCTCATGAAAACTTGCTAATGGCTGCAGCACCTATGCCGACCTCTCCTTCATTCCGTGGAATCGAGTAGCTCTCGAGGCTCCGTTCTTCAAAGACGAGCTCTGGGAGAAGCACGAAATCAGAAAACGATTTCCCAAATTTTTAGCGTGGTATGAACGCCTCAATGCTCGGCCGTCTGTCAAAGCGGCTTACGGAGCATAAGATGGGACTTGTTCATGTTGCCGTCGAGCTGATCAACAGATCAACTACTGCTTCAGTAGCTGCCTCGAGCATGCAGACAAGTTGAGTCGTGGAATCATCGCAATAAAGTCTTCAATGTTGAAATGGCCTTGTGGTCTTACTACAATATTTGTACATAACTCCTCGTAACATTGAAAGAATAACTTCACAGATTGTTTTCATTCATCTGATGAGAGTTCGGTGGCAGACCCCAATCCACCATTTGCAGGACTCCAGCAGAGAGCCAGTTGTGGCTGCCATGTGATATTCCTTCCCAGTTGTCCTGCTCTATCACATCAGGAACAGGGAGGACAGGCACGTACTCTGCATTCACATTGGGCCTTTCCATGGTCAAATTGAGACCATTAAGAGCTGCACCAAGGGGGTCCTGAAGTGTGTTTGTCGGATCTACGACGACGGACAAGCCAACTTCGTGTAGAGCCTTGATAATGTGATAGGAAGCGATTTTCTGGTGATTGACGTCGTATCTTTCGTAGAATGAGAGAACAAGTTTGATGAGCTCAATGTCCTGCGTCGCTATCGCGGAAGTCTTGTTCTCGATAATGTTGATGAACAGAATATCGACGCTCCACGCAACCTGGTAAAGGAGGTATCTGACCATTGTCAGTATCTTCAGATGTGCTTTCCACTCTTGAGGTGTAGCAAGCTTCTTACATGGTGAAAGGGTGATCGATATGGTGGTAGTTCAAGAGCGACACGGCTCCACGGGCAGCGTTGACGCAGATCGCAACGCTAGGTCGCAGGAAGTCCATGTCCTGGCCATCCAAGGCCGTCCTCAGGGCCGCAGAATGAACAGCGACGACCAACTGGAAGTAGATGAAGTGCAGGGAGCTCAAAGCTATCAGCCTAGCGTGGTTATCGTCATCCAGAGGGGCACCTGATTGCATAGGGCGGACCATTTCCGGGATGCTCTCCCGCCACTCCTGAAGCTCTCTATCCAGTAGACCGATCTCGGCTTCCAGGGCCGCGGCTGAAGTTGGGCTGTGCAGGTATAGCCTTGAGTAAATGCGGCCTTGGATCTGCGCCAGCTTGACCTCCTGTCGGAAGTAGTTAAGGGCCACATCGTCTGGATAGTAAAAGAATCCATAGCAATCCAGAGGGTACTCTTCTGGTAGGTCAAGGAGAAAGTTGTCGGTGATCAAAGGTGGCTTGCCGATCCTTATCATCAGGTCATGGTCAAAGATGTAGGCTTGCCAGAAGAGCCGACGACGATGCTGGATTTCTGCCTCGCTGAGGCCAGGGTGGTTGCCGTGGTAGTAGCCTCCCAGAAGAATCGACTGCGTCGCCAGAGCCAGAATCGAGACAGCAATATGATTTTCAGCGGTGAAGATGAAATGCGAGACCTTCCTCATTCAGTTCTCGTTCTCATAATGGCCGACAGGGTTTTTATCAGGAGGGGCTTACCAGCGCTAGTAGAGCCCCAATCGCCATGGGACATGGTGATTGCAACATGGTGGTCGGGATGAGAGCCATGGCGCTCTGCAGATACCGCTCGTGCTCTCGTGTGCCATGCAGCAAGTCCCGTTTCCGATGTGGGTGCAAGAGGATGGTATACAAGGCTATCTTCCAGCCGACGGCGCTTGGTGGCCGCCCATGTAGGTATGACTGAACTGCAGAGCGGACCTCAGACTCATCAAAGAACTTGATGTAACGATTGAGGGTAGCGAAAAAGTCTGGCATGTGAGTTTTGTTAGTCACAGGCGAGTCAATCCATGACGGCCAAGGTCGAACACATTACCCTTCATGCATTGTTCAACCACAAAGTCAGATGGGAAGTGGTCGGTGAAAGTGGAGATATCGGTGAGGGTCCTCTGCGGCGGTATACTGTTGATCTGTTCCAGTAGCCTGCGGGCAACGCCAGAGAACCGCCTGTCACCGACTAATGTGTCAATCTTCTCCATGCCATCAGCCGAGAAGAGCAAACATGAACCTGTTCGACGTATTAACCAATAGTTCTTCTGTGAGTGGGTTCAGTTTCTCGAATTTGATACGTACCGCCGGCACCGATGGTAGCTTCGGGCATAGCGCCGGAGCTGAGCAGCTTCTGCCCTGAGGTCGTGCTAGACGGGGACGTCTGGTTTGCATCCGGCTGCGGCGGAACCACTGCCGGTGAAGTCCTCATAAAGGTAGATTGATCTGTAGAGACGCCATTGGACGAGGTCTCGCTCATCGACCGAGGGTGGCTCGTCTGCGCCTGTGAGGCCGGCTGTTGTTCTTGCAGGTCTTTGACCAAGCGCTCTATCTGAGCTAGCCTTGTGGTGACATTTTCGTAGAGTCTTTGGATGGGCAAGGGCGGCCAAGGTTAGTCATCGCCCCTGGTTTTGAAATACGCGGAAGGCAATGTAGATACTGACGTCTTTTCTCTCCGAGGATTATTCTTCTTCCTCCCGGGCCAGATGCATTGTTGCCCATATCTCTCGCAGGTGGTACAAATAGGCTTCCGGTGATCACACTTGACCTGATCATCTAGTCGGCACTTGAGTGTACCAAATGGGAAAGGGGTGATAACAAACCTTGCGACGTCGGCAGGACGAACATGAGAGAGACGGAAGCCTTGCATCCATCCTGTGAGGCTCGGCTGGATCCGGCGCTTGCGGCATCTCGTCGGATTGCATCATAGTAACACTGTGTGATAACACTCAAGCATGCCCTGCGCGATAGAGCGCGCGCGTCTGCGGGCTCTCTAGACGATCAAAAGCCCGGCAGTGGTCTGTTGGGAAGTGGATAGATGGGTAATTAGATGGTGGATGCACGGAACGTGCGTGATGGAAAGAAAAAAGTCCGTCCGACGTTTCTGATGCAGGTCGCTTTCGCTTTTAGCAATGCGTACTCTAGCTTCCGTCAACAAGGGGTGCCTCTCGTTAGAGAAAGTTTGTTTGTCGGCCCAATCCGAGGCACGAGAGCAGAGGGGATTTACCAGGGTGCTGCGCTTGGTCCCTACAAATACCCCACCTGGTGAATACACTAGAAACACATAAATATTCTATAACCCTGCTGCCACTTCCTACGTTGTGAAACGTATGGAGGCTGATCACCGATCTCACCGTTGACCAAGATCTGCCTCGGGCAGAAAGTCGATACAGTTCGCTGCTATTGTTGAAGGACCAGTTCGCCCCTGAGCCTGATCATCTTGTCAAATTCGCGCCGACAGCTTCACGACCGCGCGCGTCTTCACGAAGGCTGGCGGTCTCAAGAACAAATCCTTGGAACCCGCGCCTACAATAGAGGATATTGGTTCTCGACAACGGCGCATATATCTTCGAAGCCGGCATCGTGTCCAACGAACTCTCCAAAGAGCCTTGAATCACTCCGAAATATATCACCCGCAGTGAGGCAAAGAAGATCTCATCACATCAGACTCGAGAAACATCGCGAGGTCGGGCATATTCAATTACGCCGACTTCATATGAAAGGAGCTGTCGTCATTATTGAAGGCACAGGACGGATCTGAGACCGCGGACTTCTCGACGGCAATATGCCACAAAGATGCGATCCAAAACGGACCAGACTGCTGCTTGTAGAACAGCCCAACTCGCTGCCGACCTCGGGATCTGCAATCCAACTGCGACTAGGTCCTATTTAGAGAATGCCACTTTGTGAGCTACTAGAGAGGCGTAGATGTGCTTCCGCTTCATTTCAGGTAGGGTTCAAGCCTACTCGACGTCCTCCAGGTGCCCTTTCCATTGCGTACCACAACAATAGCGTGCTCTGTAGGAGCACCCATGCTATGGATGCGCACTCATGCATGCCAGATTATGTCTATTCTTGGTGAACCGTTACAAATGTGGTCACCTCTTGATGACGCAGCTTTGATGTGCCTGTTCTGGAACGCGACATTACGACTACTGGGAACTAGGATAAGCGTGAGGTTGTGGGTAGACCGACTGCGCGAATGCCGAGTGGATCCTTTGCCGCGCCGGCTCCCGACCATGTCCGAGATGAGTGCTTCCGTAATCATAGCTTGCCCGATGTGGTGTGGTAATTCATCCGACTTGGTAATGTCGAATATTTCAGTCGAAAAGGTCTTCGATTCATGTCAGTATGTCCAAGACATTTGTCTGATGGGCAAAAAACAAAGGGCAGTGGCTAGCATTTAAGAGGGCGACCCTGCCCAAGTGTAGAGGTCTGCTTTTTCACTAGTATCCATGCACATATCGTTCCAGACACCGCAAAAAGTAATCACAGCGCAAACATGTCTCGCGCTCTTCTCATAACCGGCGCAACTGGCAAACAAGGGGGCGCCGTCATCAACGCTCTTCTCGCTCGACAGCCCTCAGACTTTCTCCTTCTCGCGGTCACACGAAATGCTCAATCTGCCTCTGCTCAGCGCTTAGCCGCCAAATCCGACAGAATCAAAATAGTTGAAGGCGACCTCGACGCGACGCCAGCACTCTTCGCCTCTGCCAAAGCTGCTGCTGGATCCGTCCCGTTATGGGGCGTGTTCTCCGTGCAAGCCCTCCAATCCAGCAAGAAGTCGGAGGACGAAACGAGGCAAGGCAAAGCTTTGGTCGATGAGTCGGTCAAGGCGGGCGTTGAGCATTTTGTGTACAGCAGCGTGGAACGTGGTGGCGACGAGAGATCGTGGAGTAATCCCACGCCAGTCCCACACTTCATCACAAAGCATAAGATTGAGCATCACTTGCGCGACGCCACGGCGGATGGCAAGAGTCCTATGGGTTGGACAATTCTTCGTCCGGTTATCTTTATGGACAATCTTCAGCCGGGCTTCTTCGGCAAGGTTTTCTTTACCACGTTACGCGATACAATGAAGGAAAAGCCCTTACAGTGGATTGCGACTAGCGATATCGGCTACTTCGCCGCGGAAGCTTTCCATGACCCGGCGACATGGAACAAGAGAGCTTTCGGGCTGGCTGGAGATGAACTGACCTACGCGCAGTTGAGTCAGACGTTTGAGAAGGTCACTGGTAGTCCCGCCGGAACGACTCTTGGTGTACTTGGAAAGGCGCTGAAACATGGAGTTTCTGAAGTTGGGGTAATGATAGACTGGTTTAAGAACGACGGCTACAAGGCAAAGACTCTAGAGTGCAAGAGAATCCACCCAGGAGTGACGAGTATGGAGGATTGGTTGAGAAAAAGCGCTTTTGTCAAGAAGCCATAAGAGGAAACTGAGGTGATTGCGTGCACAAGGGAGAGCTGTAGCTAGGAGCTAATGTATAATCATATGAATCAATCTGTCATCAATCATCTTATCATATCACTCAAAATATTCAAAAATCATTTTTGACTGCCTTTCGATAGAATTATGATGGACTTGACAGCTATTGCCGATTTGATATCTACACAGTCAAGCAACTCTCAGTAGCATGCAATTTGTCACTTCAAATATCAAGTGGTGTCAAATCACAAATACCTACAAATACATAAACTGGGGCATCTGACTGGAAAAGTCATGAGGCAGTGTTTCAAAATGAAACTCCATGAAGAAAGATTTGTTGTCATATGATTTTTTCTAGCTACAATCTTTGGAAGTCAGCGTAGATAAACGCAACACTTTTGTCACTCAGAAAACAGCCTTGTTTGCCTCCAAGAACTCCTTCCAGGATGTTGGCTTCAGCCCAACGCCGGCGAGCAGATCCAAGCTCTCCTTAAGGTCCTCGCCGTTGTAGTATCCAGGCTCCTCAATAAATAAATGGTTCTCCAACATCTCGTCAGCCATGGGACCTGGAATGAAGCTCTTGTACGTCTCAGCGTCAATCTGCACGAAGCGAGCGGCGTTCCCGGTCACCTCCTGGAACTCCGAGACGATGCGCGACGGACTGTAATAGTCAGCCGCAGCAAAAATTTGCTTCCCGAGGACCACGTCTCTGTTACGGATCGCAGCAACCACAAACTTGCTTGCAGTCATCGCTTGTTAGCAGTCATATCGAATTGAGATCATGAAAATAACTTACCGACGTCGGACTGTGTGTCGATGAGCGGAAACTTCGCCTTGTCGCTGACGGGATATGCCAAGGTGTAGACACCGTCTTCTACCTTGTGAATCATCTGCAAGGCGGTAAAATTGCTCATAAAATATCCTGGCAATACGAAGGTGCTTGGAATTCCCTTGGAGCGGATGTAGCGCTCAACCTCGGCCTTATCGTCGAAGTGCACGACGTGCTTGAGGCGGCCGTTGCTCGTGTTCGTGACATGGAGGAGCGATGAGTAAATCAGATGCTTAACCCCGGCGTCAGAAGCGACATCAGCGACGTTCTTTCCGTGAGGCTGTTCCTGAGTGCCGCCTCCAGTGAAGTCGGGGGTCGTGACGAGGAAAATGGTATCAGAGCCCTTGACAGCCTCGGCAAGGGAAGCTTTGGAGCTCATGTCGGCCTACATAATGTCAGACAGTACTCTTGGAAACTAACTTATAAAGGTAAACATACGGAAACCATCTCAACGCTCTTCGCGGCCAAAGCCTGCGCGGCGGGCTTGGAAGCATCGCGGGTAATGCCCCTGATCTTGAACTCCTTTGAGAGAACGGAATCAGCCAGGACGGCCTCGATGACGGAGCCGCCCTGATTCCCAGTGGCTCCGAAGACGGTGAGAAGCTTCGACATATTGGACAAAAATTGTGATGAGGACGGCGCGTTGGTGTTTGATGTGGATGCTGAAAAGAGTCCAGCAGGTCAATGGTCCGTAAATGTCGATCCATCTTATATACGTTTTATCAGGGTCAGCATGCATTCACACGTCATCACTCATTTCTCTGGTTTCAGGCAGCGCAGGGAAACGTCACAAGAGACAAGCCGTGCAATGCGTACAAGGACACGCCGAAGTGGAGGCCACCGAGTCAACACTCGCCATCAACAGCGGTGTTGTCATGGTATCTGACAAATGAATTTTCATTGGAATGAGCTCGGAAGCCGGGGCAATCTTGGCAGTCTCTTTGTTTATTCTGGCGTTGCCCTCGATGTGTCAGAAAGGGGGCCGGGTCCAGGCCGGATCGCCCCGTGAGCTGATGTCGGTGTTCAACGGAGGCCGGTCTGACAAAGCACCGCTCCGACCCACTCCGCTCGGCACGAGCAGAAATGCTTGCAAACATCAGTCAGTGCCCAAGCATACTGAACGTGACGCGCACATATCTATTCATAACGTAATTCATTATCAGAATACGATTCGCGACTTGGCTACATGTCGCTGCGGCATGTCAACGAATGTTGCTCTCCAAGGCCTGCAAGAATACACATCATCTGCATGTGACTGCCATAGAAATTTCCCAAACGAAATATTTATATTATAAATTATAGCTAGACAAATGACAAAATGAATATTTAAAATAGAGATTGGGTCGAGGCTCGTTGCCGTTGAGATGAAACCTCAGCTAAGAAGTCCGCCCCTACTCGTCATGCTTCCTAAAGTCACTCTCCGTCCTCAACCAAGTCTTCAAATCCTTCAACTCCGGATGCTCCTTTTTCAACTTTGAGATATCAGCAGCGTATCCAACATCGTGAAACCACTTAAACATGTACCCAAAGTCCTTCACAAGCGCCATGAAAAGCCATGTCAGTAACTTCCACGTGCCCGCCGGCCGCCGTCCCGTAGTACTCTCAAAAACTGCAAGCATCTCATCAAAAGTCAGCTCATCCCCAGCCAACGAGATTCCTCGCTCCTTATACTCCTCCGGTTTCAAGAATGCCTGTGCGCCAAAGAACCCGATGTCACTGCTCGCAATCAACTGCAGCGGCTTCCCCTTTATGGCCATTTGCCAAGCCGTTACGAACACCCGTCCAGGGAAATTATCAGTAAAGTTGTCCATGAACGCCACGGGACGAAGAATTGTCCAACCCATTTTGGATTCCTTGGACTTAGAGATAAGGTGCTCCTCGATCTGGTGCTTGTGCATGAAATGAGGGATTGTTGTGGGGTTGTTCAGAGAATCATCCCCATGACGGTCGACGGAGGCGTAGACGAAGAACGAGACTTTATTGGCGACAGCGGCGTCCACGAGAGCTTTGCCCTGGCCCAGTTCGCCGCCTCCTCCTTGGTTCATGCCCATGGGAGTCTAGGACCGTCAGTAAGACATCAGATTCATTGCGCCGTCACTGCTCACCTGGACGCTGAAGACGCCCCAGATGGGGGTCTTGGTGACCTCCCTCGCCGTCTTGAACAGCGCAGTAGGGTCCGCCATATTCCCCTGCACAAGCTTGATCTGATTTGATTTCTTCAATAGCCGCTGAGCAGAACCAGAGTCCGCATTTCGTGTAACGGCTAGAATTTCGAAGTCGGCATTCTGGCGCAGGAGTTGGTCAATCACAGCACCACCCTGCTTGCCAGTAGCACCGCAGATTAACAAGGCCCTCGACATGCTGGTCAAAGACAGTTGCGTAGCAGAAATGATAATGGTATAGATGGTATAGATGGTATAGAGTCAGGATTGAGATTGAAGAGCTCGTGATGATGATTGAAGTGGAAATGCTGCATTCTCCTCAGTATTGCACTAGGGACGGCTATTGTAATTATAATAAAGACCTCGATGACATGCATGTGATGATATCTCCGGTCGGACACATAGAATGTAGTCGCGGCGACTGGGGGGCTGCCCAGACGATCTTACCAATCTCGGTGCGTAATTGACCCGGGGTCTGCAGAGCGCAGGGAGGTCTGATTATGCTATGCTCTCGGTCAGCACCGGCCTTCTAACGACAGCCTAAAAGCGAGTAGCGAGGCTGTTTCGAGGAGGGTCTACAGCCATAAGCGCTTATCAATTCCATAGCCAAAAAAGTCAATGGGCTTACACGCTTACGACAGGGGTGATTTGTAACCACCCGTTTCTCATCAGTGCGCGAATGTCCCGACAACGAAAATGAGAAAATGGGAGGAGCATTTCCGCAGTTTAACGCCGGAGACAGCGCGAAGCAGTCATGTATCGACGAGTCTATGCTTGGAGAATATCTTGTGTGCCAAAGTCGTACTTATCCTCAAACCATCACGCACACTATTAGAACAACCCCACCATAGTCTAAAAATCACAAGATATCATTTCGGAGCATCCCGTGTTCTACTTACGTCCCCATATGGAAGCTTATCTTATGATAGGTCTTTCCACAGGAAAACATCCTACAGAAAGATTTTTTTAGATTGGTTATTTTTAAAGGATTTTTCTTTTTGATTTCTCTTTTACATTTTGTTCTGTATCAATACTGTGGTCAAGCGGATACCCGAACTCAAGCTGGTAGCTGTCAACCCAAAGAGGACCAAGATTAACACCGAAACGCACACCGAAGCGGAATAATCGCAAGTTAGATTTTCTTCAAGGCCAGGCTATAGAGGTGTAGAGAGCGAAAGCTTTCAGAGAACCACACATCTTGTACATGCCGAACAGTTTAAAAACTGCTATGTATTCTGTCTATCAGTGTCCACCCGATGTAGCTTGGCACAATCGCCACGTTGTTCTGCAATAACAAGCCGTGATTTAGAGCAGTCGATCGTAGCCAGCTTAGTCCGGCACCCAACCACATTAAAGTCATAAATATGTCTTCCACCTGCCGCTCTGGTGCTCAACGACTCCACTTTTCCCTTTCTCTCAGCCTTAACCCCCAGTACCACAAGATTGCGGGAGCTGGCAATCCAAAGAATAGCCCAGCAAATCCCAGCAGACTGTTGCCCCATCCGTATCCCAGAGTTGAGTACATACTAGGAACGAAGAGCGGGAAGAGGAAAGCAGTCAAACTCCGCAAAAACTGACTGGCAGCAAGAGCACTGCTGACGTGGTCTGGGTAGGCGTCAATGATGTACGCCTGTAGCGGCATTCCGTTGACTTGTCCAGCGGCCATAAAGACGAAGACACCAATGTCGACTGCTATCCAGTGGACACGGTAATGCGACGTCCACCCGTAGATGAACAGGCCCAATGGTGCTAATAGTCCGCCGGGATAAGTCAAAGGGATCCGGAACTCGGGTCTGTGCTTCTTGTCGGGGGAGCGGTTGACCATATAGCGATACAGCCAGTCCATTAGAGGGCCTCCGAGCTGCGCGCCGACCATCTCACCGAGAGCGCACGCGATGTAGTGCAGGCCTGAGGTGGAGACTGATTCGCCGTATTGGGACGTCCATAGAGTGGAGAAGCTGGAGAGAACGATGTATAGCGTGCCATACCAGAAGGCGTAGATCAAAGATGTGATCTGGATGATGGGATGGAAAGCGAGGAGCCTCAAAGGTCGCGTCAATGCATGGTATATCAACATGGCTGCAGAGTGTTCGCTGTCGAGTCGTTCATAAACAGTGTGATACCTTGCGTCCCCGGTCTCTTTGCGAAGCTTCGAGGCCCGCCGGCCGAGAATCAGGGGCACATATGTCTCATGATATGCGAAGCAAGACACAAGAGACATGAAAGCTTGGAAGATGGAGGTGGCCCAGAACATCCAGCGCCAAGTGGTGTACTGGTCTATGAACCCGCCTATGATAGGACCGACAGCAGCTGCAAACAATGGAAGAAGCAGGTAGACACCAAGCGACCGCCCGCGATCTTCTGGTGTCCAAATATCGCCCAGAACCCCACCGGAGAGGGCAAATATAGAACTTGCCCCAAACCCGGCCAGGAAACGCGAGGCGATCAGCAGGCCTTTGTTATGGGCGAAGCCACAAACGATGTTCCATCCCAAAAACCAGATATTGGACGCGTGAAGCACCCGCTGACGGCCGTGGATCTCTGATAGAGGCCCTATGACGAGAGGCCCGAAGGCTGTAGCAAGTGCGTAAATGGAGTATGCCATGTACGGCTCCGTCGAAGACATACGAAGCTCTTCGGAGATACTTGTGATGGCGGGTGCCACTATGGTCGAGACCATGATATTATTGAACCCCGTGATGGCGAGGACTGAAGTTACTGTCCATTTTGTGCGTGCGGACCAATTCAGGGGGTTGGCACTGTCTGCAGGACCGTCGAAGGTGATTTCAAATCTGTCGACGTTGGTCTCTGATTCGTGTGGAAGTGTCGTGGATTTTTCAACATCTGTCATCAAGGAGATCGGAGCAGCCTGAAAGGGGTCCAGTTGCTCTGTTACATGTCCCACATCTTGTTGTGGTCTGGGACCCGGGATGTCGAAGGCCATAATGGGCGGCTGGGTAGTTGACATGTGGGTGCCGAGCAGCTTGAGAAAATGTTGCCTGTGATTCTGCAAATTTTCAGTCCACGCTGAACATTACCACAGCTGTAAGGGTGTTATTTGGCTATTTCTACACAAGTATCTACCCCAAATACATGGCCGAGATCGCTCGAGGTCATGTAATACAAATTCGTCAAGCCTAGTCTAGAAATCCACCGTAAGGCAGTGGGTTCTTCAATAAACCAACGAGCTGCTTTGAATTGCCTAGGTACGAAAGTTTTCAGTGTCCCATCTCGGTGTGTGTGTGCGCGCATGAGCATAGTTGAGAGCCGAGAACCGAGCGCCGCTCCGATGATGATCCAAGCGGTCTGAGCCAAGTCCCTTCATAAGCTCCACCAGATAGGTACTCCCGGTTCTCACGGCCAATATTTTCCCGGAGTCGCCCGTATAATAATCTTGCTGGAAAGCTTTGACTGGGGTTGACGTCAAATCTCCGCCAAAAACCATCACTTCATTGGAGTGGAGGTTCAGAACGAATTGATGTTGACTTTACGCCAAGTCCCTCATCGAGTTGCAAAGAAATTCTTACCGATGTATCAAGATATTCTGTGAAACACTTCTAATTTGGAACGTTTGGTTATAGCCAAGTGACAGACTTCAGGGATGTGGTCCGGCGAACAGGACTTTTCACGATTGGCATGAAAGCCTTACTGTGTGGACTTCTAACCTGACGCTATCAGAAGAAGCGCAATGTGTACTGCATATTTTTATGACTCAGAAAGAATGCTGAACCCTTCTCCAATCGGAAACATGTGGCATGGAAAGCCAGAGCTTTCGGTCAACACACATAACCCATTCTATCACCAGCCAGATTAGACCGCTTGACAGAATGTTGTCAATTACGGACTCATGCATATGTTTTCAGTCATTCTTTTCAGGATTTTCATAAATATTCCAATTCTGACATCTAATTCTTCGTGAAGGTCATCGTCTACAGTGTGTGATATCAGGGCCCCACTTCAGTCAGCTAAGATGTGGGTCAAGCCTTCAACATAGATGCAGAAAAAGGATATAAGAGATCCACTTGAAAGTTCATTGCGTGACTGGGTGCCTCTAGAGGGAATACCGGCTATTTGAAGCCCCCTCCCTGTTATGAAAATTGTTGTGTGTTTGTTAACCACAAGCAAGACAAGCAAGTCGAGATTCTTGAGATTGCCGACATGGGACTGTAACTGCATGCGATCATTTCATCAGCGCTTAGGCAATAGATCACCATAATCAAATCAAAACTGGATCATTTCTTTCTTTCTTTCAGCTACTCAATGCCTCGAATACTAGACTGGTTGGAGATTTGTGAGGTGCGATTGGCCACAACTTCCCATTAAAAGTTCAGGTGAGCCCGACACCAGTGAAAGCAACTGTCTGATTATATACCGAAAAACTTAATATAATAAATCAGTGAGATATGAATGATTGTCATACTAGATCCAAATTTTTAGAATGCCGTCAACAAGCAATCTCAAGTCAAGTCGGACCACGGAATTTGCAAGTGGGAGGCGACACCTCCACTTCCCGACTGTCTTGGTATTTACGGAGAGATTCGCATTGACTGGGCTTCCCGATAACCCGAAGCTACTGTAAATCCGAACTTGAAAAGGAGACCATTTTCTAAAGCAGGTCCTAATCCAATTGTAACAGTGACATCGATCATACTCCCAATTTATTGAAGAATATTACCAGTTGTCCCAAGATTTCAGAATGTCTCAACCACAGAATACATGCCTAGTTTTCGACAGCGACTGTAAGACATCAGTCATCCGGAATGCTCCGCGGCCCACTCCGGCAGACGACGAATATCTGATCCAAGTCCTGTACTCCGGTGTTAATCCGGCCGATGTTAAGCATGGGACAGAACTCGGAATGCGGGACGTCGTGATGGGCTATGATTTCTGCGGCCGCGTACTCCAAACCCCTACATCGCCACCAGAGGGGCAGGGAAAAGCCAATTTCGCGGTCGGCGACCTGGTTGCCGGAATGACCCCTACAGGCCTAGGGCGGCCACAGAGGTACGGCTCACACCAGAACCAATTGGCTGCCCCGGAGGATATGATGTACAAAGTGCCTACGAGCCTCCCGCCACAGGAGGCTGCCTCGCTTACTGTGGTCGCTTGTACAGCAGCTGATGCGCTATACGGCTTCTTTAAGGTACCGACCCCTGATGAAAGTGGGCCGCGGACGGGTAGTGCGGGCTCGTTGTTGGTGTGGGGTGGGTCAACGGGTGTTGGTATCTGCCTCATTCAACTAGCCCGTGCGAGTGGTGTGTCGCCCATTATAGCCACGGCATCTCCAGGTCGACATGAGTTGCTCAAGGAGCTCGGAGCGACATACTGTTTTGACTACAAGGACCCCGACGTCAGTAGCAAGATACAAGCGGCGATACAAGAGTCTGGGGCCGGCAAACTATCCTTCGCTATAGACGTGGCAGGATCCAGTGACGCAGTCGAGCTGATGGAGCAAATTGTGGCGCCAGAGACGGTTTTACTTTCTACGGTCTTCCATCCGAGTAGGCCTCAGTTGAGGATGCCCATAGCTTGCACTCGTAACGATTTGTCTCTGCGTTTTCCGAACGGCAAAGAGATTACTGTACCTGCGCGGGTTGAAGACTGGAAGAGGACATGGAGCGCAATAAATTGGGCGGTGGCTCATTATGGCAAGGGCTTCCGCATACCGGCGGTTGAGGTCTTCGAAGGCAGCGGGGAGGATGCGTTGGTGGAACTTCACAAAGTTGCTGGCCAGGGAAGGTTTGGCAAGTTGGTGATCAAGCACCCTTTGAACTGATTACAGGGGGATGGAGGATTGCCGCGCGGGTTGCGAGTCTGATTGGGTCTGCTTGTGAACAGCCATGCTATCGCAAGTTTCCAACACAGGATTTCTCATGTCTTCGTGTAAGACTTTCTGGGACTATATGGTTTAGAGCATAGATTAGATGACTCGTAGCACATCTTAGTGAATGTCTCTTCGTCACTTATTCATCGCAAAAGTTGGCCGTCTTATGGCCGTAGATTCAATACTAAATGCTCAGACGGTGAAGACTTACAATAAACTTTGACGTGCAAAACTTTGAACACCGCGGTCTTAGCCAGGCTCAAACATGCAGATTACGACTAATTTCTCTATAGGGATACAACGGACGATGGCATCGAATAGCGAGGCTTTGTGGCACAGTTGTTGGGATATTTTCATTACTACCCGAGCAACGCGAAGAATCAATTTCCAAGGAGCAGACCCAGCTGGTATGCGCATGTGTATTAACATCGACATTTCTTTTCTTTTGCGGGGTAATGAGGCCCAGACATCGTCCGTTTTGAGTAATTCAATACTTCCTGAGCTGACACTCACTGTAGACAACGCCTGCAACAGCAATTACCAGATTCGATCAGCCCAAGCTAACTCACTTCACTCTATTGGCTCTCACCGGCAGCCTTTCTGCAAGAAGCGACAACCTCATTCGGCAGGCTCAGGAAGGGCGAATGGGATGCATCAAATGTCTCCGTTTCGATAGTTACACCCAAAGCCCTTCCATCCTCGACCATCTTCTCCTGCACAAACAACGGGATAGCATTATCCTTCTTGCAGAGATGATAAGTCGTCGGGATGTGCTTATACGCGGGGTAAGTGAGCTTGGTAGCGAAGGCCTTGTAGCTGTGATGCTTCAGAGTGTCGATGGATTTCTTCGCCTCGTCGGCACTGAGATCGTTGTAGAAAATCTCCTCGGGCGTGTTGGGTTTCACGCGAGTCTCACTGTCCGAGATAATGAACCACGGCAACGGCTGGTTACCGAGCATATCCATCAGAGACACTCCTGAAGAGCAGCAATCCGTCAGCCAAACATCGTCAGCACATCAAGTCTCGTCATCCAGAACTCACCCTCGCCCACCATAAAGGCAGTGCAGTAGATCAGCCTGATCACGCCGCCCTTCTTCCCGGCGGCCTCCCTGTCCTTCCCCCCCAGGCCGCGGCACGCCTCCGTGCCGACGACGCCGCCATAGCTGTGCATGAAAAGGACGACGTCCTGGCCCTTGTCCGCCTCCTCCGCGATCACCTTGCTGATCGCGTCGACATCTGGCCCGAAGCCGTCCAGCGGCGGCTCCGCACCGACGCTGGGGAGGTCGACGCCCCTCACCGCGTACCCGGCGGCACTCAGCGGCTTCGCGACTGGGTCAATCGCGGACGCCGGGTGCCACGCACCAGGGACGAAAACAAAAGTCGTGCTCGACGTCATTATCACCGAATAGTTACTGCTTCGAGAACAGTCTTCGCAGGCCTGTGCGAAGAGTAATTTTTTTTTTGAATGCCTTGTGATTTGGATTGCAAGGGGGATTGCATACGACAGCGCGGGCGGAGGGTGGTATTTGCTGAGTCAGGTTCAGTACAATCAGGTAGTGATAGACAAGAAATGAGACGTCGGTCTGGGAAATTCTTTTTTGATTGCTCCCGTTACCCCTCATGAGAGATGGGCATGACTTCTTATGTTCAATTGATTGTAACCGACCCCGGACTGGGCGTTGGCTCGCGCGGTCTGGTGACCGTTAGGCGGCAAGGGCACTATCACCGGTAGTCCTGGAACTAGCTTCAACCCCCAGACGGCTCCCGGTTAGGGGATGTTTGGTGTTTGATGTGCCTGGCAAATACCCCAAGCTTAGTGCTGTTCTGTCTCGGATGTGGGGCATGAATCCGGCTCAGTTCGTCGGGTAGGGGATTGATGAAGTATCACGGCCATGCATCACGAAAGTGCGATTTGCTCGTCGCGAGCTTTTCTATTGTAGATCAGGGTTGTGGTGAGATAGTAGCTTGTTCTACTGAGAGCCAGTATTGTTAAACCATATGCAGTGTAAGAATGAGTAATATTAGAATGACAGTCTCCACCAGGCTGTTGGCCCGGGCGCCCGGTCTGCGTTACAGTCGGTCTTATCCGCGACACACGCGGATCTGGGGTAAAGTAAGGTAGGTCAGACGCGCTTAAAGAGTTTCACATGTGTACACAGATCCGTCTAGTTGAGCGGATGCGGGGGCGACGACACTGCGGATAGTATTCACTCAGCGGGAGAATGAGGTTGGAAGTAGCATCGAGGGCGAATCGGTCTATTGGTCTATCCAGGTCGGGTCTATCATGGTCGATCTATCACGATCGATCTATCATCTCTCATTCAGTGTTGTATGTTTTTCAAAATTCCAAACCTCGCTCGTTCTTTCGTTCTTGTCGTTGGGTATCTCCATCCACTTCCTTGTTGCTTTATTCTCCAAGCCTCCTCAGGAGCATCCAAGCCATGGCCCGATGGTACCACTTTATAAGCGTAACGACTTTTCAGGCGACGGCGGTGCCGTTCTCGGGGGATTCTTCGGGCCAGACGTTGTAGCCGAAAGTATCCTTCATGTTCACGAAGCGCGTATGGCGGCCCTTGGCCACACTGTTGACGGCCTCGAAGTCCGCATCCGATAGCTGGGGCACCTCGAAGTTGCTCTCGATCCGGTGGGGCGTTGAGCTCTTGGGCAGCACGGCGTACCCCCTCCTCAGGCCCCAGGCCAGCAGGACCTGCGCCAGGGTGTGGTTGCTGCGGTCGGCGACCTCATTGAGCGTCTTGTTGGTTCGGACCTTCTCGCCGGTGTTGGGGACCTGATCCTGGGAGCCGAGGGGTGAGTACGCCTCTGGCAAGACGTCATTCTCGAGACAGAACTTGACGAGCTCTTCGTTGGGCAGGAAGGGATGGATCTCGATCTGGTTGACGGTTGGCTTGATCTTGGCGAATGTGAAGAGCTTCTTCAGGCCCTCGATGGTCCAGTTAGAGACTCCGATGGCGCGGGCCTTGCCGGACTCAGCGAGCTCCTCCATGGCACGCCATGTCGGCTCTGGGTTCTCTGTGAGCTCCTTGTTGATGATGTACTTTCCGTCAGCTCCAAGCTTTGGTTGGTAGTCGTCGGTCTTCTCTGCGGCGATGGGCCAGTGGACGAGGTACAGGTCGACGTAGTCCAGGCCGAGCTTCGTCAGGGAGTCGTTGAAGGACCACTTGACGTCCTCGGGCCTGTGCAGGTGGTTCCAGACCTTGGTGCAGATGAAGATATCCTCACGCTTGACCTGAGAGTTCTCCTTGAGGAAGTCCCGGACGGCCTGACCAACCTCTGCCTCGTTCTGGTAGAACCAGGCGCAGTCCAGGTGCCGGTAGCCGACCTCAAGGGCCTTCTTTGCAGCCTTGTAACTCTCGCCCTGGGCGCCCTCGTTGGCAAAAGTGCCGAAGCCCAAGCCGGGCATCTTGACGCCGTTGTTCAGGGTGAATGTGAATTGTGGTGCCATTTTGCTGTGATTTGTTGTTCTGCTATCCTGTGATGGCGGAATAGGAATGGTTGCTGTCTAAAAGTGAGTATGTATGCGCTGTCACATGCAGGCGCACAGGAGGCGCACAGGAGGCAGCGAGGACTTACCTTGATAACCTGTCACTCTGCAGGATCGTCGATCCGTGGCTCAAAAAGTCGGTCTGAGAGGGTTCGACGGGATGTGATGTCCAACTTAGAAACTGGCTGCGCAATATCACCGACCAAGGTTTCTTCGGAACTCTAACGAGAGCACAGCATTGATAAGGCAGACGTGAGGTCTGATTGCATCATCCCTCCCCAACAGAAAAGCATGCGTCTATTCTTGGGGGAGGGGGGACGCCAGCGGTACAGTGCAAGGTCATTCTCATTGTACGACTCGCCAGTCGCCACGGGCGGCTGGTTTATTGCGGTTACTGCTAATTTTTGCTAGATTTCGCACCGTCTTTCAGGGCGGTCGGCGAGTCCAAGTGGATATTGCCGTGGGTCCACCTTACGAAATGGTGGTTTCACTTGGTGTGTGCTTGAGTCACTTCGACGTCGAGCATGTGAAAGGGTCCAACGTGTCGCAAGGATGGACCAAGGACGGGCGTTTGGTCCCTCTGGGATCGCCCAGGGATAGGCTCGGCAGTCTCGGCGGGACCAGGGCACAAAAGTCGTGGCAGCTATGGCACTTGGCCGGCGCCTGAGGAGTTTGGGGGAGCGGTTAGCCAGGCCGGGGCGACGATCATGGATCTCACTGCCAGATATCTGGGACTAATATGGGTCCTGCCGAACAGATCGGAAGAGATTTCGCTTCAGGCCCGGTTTTGTGACATCACTTAGCCCATCTGCGGCTCCGCAGCGCTGCAAGGAGGCGGAGGGTTCTCGGTGGGACCTCACGGCCCTTTTCCGGGTTCGTGTTCCCTGGAGGAATTATGCCCCCTAACGTCCCTAATGTAGTAAGATCCAAGCTCGGCAAAGCTTCGAACGGTTTGGCTCGGTCCATTGGTTCAGGGCACGCTCAGCCCGCCAGCCAACCACAGCTACAGCAAAACAGACAAGACGGCCAGCGGCTCTGCACGGCTCTTGGGAGCACTGACAATCCAGGCACGTCAAATTGCCTGGCACGCCTTGCACGCCTTGCCACCACCACTACCGCGAACTTCGGGTCGATCCCCTAGATAAGCTTTGGAAGGTTCTTTACAATTTCTTTCCCTGAGCTTGCCGCAACGCGTCGCACGAAGCCTGATAAGGCGTTTCGCCGCGGATTCTTCCCGCTGTCTTTGTCTGTCTCAGCTTGACAGCTACACAGTACGCGCTCTCTGTTGCCTATTCCAACCCGTGCTATATCCTATCCTATCCTAATCTGTGGATACTTCACGACGCGGGAATTTATCGCGATAATTGTGGCGCGATGACGTCCTCTTCGAGTCAGGGTATCCATTCTTCCTCAACCGGGATCCTTACGGTGGTATCCAGGGACTGGACTGTCTCCAGTATTCATGTCTTCTCGCAGACACATGGCTGTTAGAGACGTGAGATACATGCGTAGAGCTTACGCCAGGTACCTTCGACATCAGACCTTCCCTTTGTCCCGCTGTCGAAACCCGCTCTCAGGCGCCGGGCTAGAGGTAGACTGTACATAGTACTGTACAACCGCAGGCATGAATGAGATCATCTCAACAGCTTCTCCTTCGCGAGACGCGAACCGAAGACCCCTGCCGGGATAAGCTTGGGCACGCACAGTATATTGCAATGCGAGCAGATAGCTTTTGCCAAAGTTGGCCGTCTTGCAGAGTCGGGTATCGGGAGCAGCAGGCTCCTAGCAGAGCATATAAGCACAAGAGGAACCCACTCCCAGGAGAGCGAGGAGAGCTTCACACTCGTGGAACCTGCCTGATCTCTCTTATCTTTCTGCTTGTTGTTGTGACAGAAGCTCCGGAAGCAAGACACTAAAACGCCAACATCAAGAACTATCCTCCTTTTTTGATACCCCCACCCTCCCTCCTTTCACAGCTTCCAACATGTCTGCCATTCAGGACTCCGAGCCCGTCACCAACGGCACCCAGAATGGCGTCCAGAACGGCCACAAGGCCGAGGGCAAGTCCCAGCAGACCATCCCCATCCCTGATGACGATGGCACTGGACCAATCGAGGTGCCAGCTTCGCGTTCCTCCGTCTCTGAGGCCGCAAAGTACATGCACAACCTCAGCGTTGTGCCCTCCATGAAGGACAGGCGAGGATCTCGCAACTCCTTCGGCGCCTCTCTGCCCATTCCCAGGAGGCAGTCCCGCCAGTCTCGTCTGTCCTCTGTGCACTACCCAGACCGTGATCCTGTCACCGGCCGGCCCACCCGGCCTGGCATGCCACCAATCCAGCCTACTCGTGCTCTGCTGGCATCCCAGGTTCAGACCATCGAGACCGAGAAGGTCAAGAAGGCCAAGAACATGGCCTTTGCCTTTGACATCGACGGTGTTCTGGTCCACGGTGACCGTCTGATCCCCGAGGGCCGCAAGGCTCTGGAGATCCTCAACGGCGAGAACGAGCTTGGCATCAAGATCCCTCACATCTTGTAAGTAATAGCACTTGATGCGTTCACCGAGCGCCTCGAAAGGTCTTAGCACAGCTACTAACATCACGGCAGCCTCACAAACGGTTCTGGCAAGCCCGAGCTGGCCCGTTGCGAGCAGCTCACCAAGATCCTCGGCCAGCCCGTCCACACCGACCAATTCATCCAGTCTCACACACCCATGTCCGCCCTGTCCGAGTACTACAAGACCGTGATCGTCGTGGGTGGTGAGGGCTACAAGTGCCGCGAGGTCGCTGAGCAGTATGGCTTCAAGGACATCGTCGTGCCCAACGATATTGTTGCCTGGGACCCTACCATCGCCCCCTACCGGGTCTTCACCGATGCCGAGCGGGCCACCTCTCGGCCCCGTGACTTCTCCAAGATCAACATCGAGGCCATCCTCGTTTTCAGTGATAGCCGCGACTACGCGACTGACATGCAGATCATCATGGACCTGCTGCAGTCCGAGAACGGCCGTCTCCACACCCGGGCCAAGGACCCCGTCTCCCAGCGTATCCCCATCTACTTCTCCCAGGGTGATTTGCTGTGCCCCACGGAGCACCCCACCCCTCGCATGTCTCAAGGCGCGTTCCGCATTGGCCTCGAGGCCATGTACAAGGCCCTGACCGGCGTCGACCTGGAGCGTGTCGTGTACGGCAAGCCCGAGCTGGCCACGTACAAGTACGCAGACGAGGTCATGGCGAGCTGGATGGACGAGCTGCACGGCGAGGAGAGGTTGCCCGAGAACATCTACATGGTCGGTGACAACCCGGCCTCGGACATTATCGGCGGCAACATGTACGGCTGGAACACCTGTCTGGTGCGCACCGGTGTCTTCCAGGGCGGCGACAACGACGAGAACAACCCGGCCAACTTTGGCGTCTTCCCCAACGTCCTCGAGGCCGTCCAAACCGCCCTGCGCAAGCAGCTCGGCCAGGACTTCAAGATGAGCTTCGACGAGAGCATCAACCCCCTGCACTCTGACGAGTCGCACGCCGTCGTCGTCTAGACTCAGCTATGCATTGCTAGCAGCGTTTCTTATTCTTTTTCCTTCCATCTCATATAGACTGGGTTACTGGCGTTTTAGGGGTTTACGATGTGATGGGCACATCTAGGGTGACCATCCGAGATACGTCTCGGCATGTGAAGCACCAAGATTCATGACAATAGACTTATGGCCTAGAATAGATCTAGCCTTAGAATTGATGATACCGGCAGCTGAGCGCCACTTTAAAGCATTACAACTCTCCGTCCACGTTTTGATGTGCACTTCACTTGTTGGTGTGACTGTCAATTATTCGCAATTTATAGCCCCATTTCGATTCTCCACGTCCTTTCGGTCCAATCTGACTATGTATCCGCATGACCGCTTACTCTGCTATGCCGGTCAACCCAAATTTTAATAACCTTCACGCAAAGAATTCTCCTTTTTATCCCGAAGCCACTCAGTTGTTCTTCGCTTCCCCATTATATGGCTTTCTTGCATATACAACGTACCTGCAAATTCATTAGTTCACATAGCTCTTTTTGTCATCGCGAAATCTCATACTCACATTGGAATGTACCACCTGATATTCGCATCTCGGATGTCATTCTTGACCTGAGTAGTCAGACTGTCTACTTCGACCGAGGACATCTCTCCCGCAGCAAGAAGAAAGTTCTTGAAGCTGTCCACCACGCCCGTGTGGAACGCATTGGCCGTATAGACGCCGATAAGCTTTGCTTTATCCCCTGAAGGCCAGGGTCCACCAGGAACGTGGATGACCCGCTCGTGGACATCTATAAACCCAGCCTCTTCCAACTGCACCTTGTACAGCTTAGCTTTTGCAAGGTCACGGCCCAGAGCTGCCGCTCCTTTAGGCACGAGTCGGCTCCAGCGCTCCATCGCCGTTCCATGCAGGCTGCCGCACTCAACTCCACTTATCTCAAAGCAGGCGTCTTGAAACTCGATCCAGCCGCCCAGCGCGAGGCCGTCGAACGCCTTGCGCATTATTGTTGTCACGTCATTAAAACACGCTATAGTCCCCCGCAAGTGGATGTAGTCGAACTTGTAAGGGAACACCCAGTCCTGCAGCTCCGAATTCTCCTGTACGAATTGGCAGTTTGGCATCCAAGACAATGGCTGGATGGAACTCAAATCTGTTCCGATGACCTGACATGTCGGGTTGTCTTCGGCTGTATCGTCACCTCAGTCACGGGAATCGAAGCTATCGATGCTGAAGCTTTGCGGTCACATACCGAATTGCAGGGCCCAGATACCTGTTCCTGTTCCGACTGCTCCACATCTTAGCCAATAGAATCTCGAACACGGCTCTGGGTGCAATTCGGACTCACTGTCAAGAGCGTATTCTGGAGATCGAATTGGGGCATCAGCCAGTTTGTTGTCGAGTATGAGCCGGTAGATCTCATGAGAGAAGTCTGCGCAACCAATTCGTTAATGTTAATTCGGCTGCAGCGGCAAGATCGCACAAGGCCACAAGTACTCACCCAGCCGGTCTTGTTCGGCCTTGCGTGCAAAATTTCAGCCTATATATCCGATAGAACGTATGCATGGGACTTACACCATCATTTGGTAGTAAATATTCTAACACTCGTCAGCACAGATCTGTTATTTAGGAAGTTGACCCACCTCCTGGCATGTAGCCCTGATATGTCCGGCCATCTGTCCCGACATAAGAATACAGATCGGGGACTGCCTCATCCTTTCTCCAAACCCAACGCGAAGTCAGCAAAACAGCTTCATGAGATGGGAAGTGGACCTTGCTTCCAGCTATTAGCATACTTCACCTCGTCAGCCCCAGTTTCGTCGGGCATGAAAGTTAGATCGTTGCTGAGAATACTTTCTGGCATCGCTCTCGCTTTATCTGACTGGGTGCGAATGAGATGAGGTGTGAGATATGGTACCAGTTCTGCCCGCCTTCGATGTCAAGATATTCAAATGGTTGCTGTTATTACTGTTCGTCTTATTTCCTGTGCATGTGATTACGGACTAGAAAGGGGCGAATTCGGTGTTTTAGAGTCCGCCGAGGCGGCCCACCAACAACAAATCTATCACATTTTCTTGTCCGGTTCCCAAGAACCCAGACTTGCATGGGCTAACTCCTTGTGTGACCAACATACATGAGATCCACTCTCAAGCCTGAACTTTTCCCGCGCCTGTCCAAACACGCGATTTGTGTCACCCCTATTTGAAGACCTCTGGTACCGCGAAACAAAACGTGCGCGTTTGTTCTTAATGCAGATGTTGTGAGAAACAAGGCAATACCCCTTGTTTCTTTGACCGCTATCAACGTCAAGTCAGCATCTCAGACCTGCTCTTGAGCAAAAGCGCCGACAGAGCCGAACAAGATGGGCGGCGTTCCGTCCAAACCAGGCGATGCCGCGACACAGCTGCAGGTCATTGGCGCCGGATACTCGAGGACGGGAACGACGTCGATGCAACTCGCGCTGGAGAAAGTCCTGCAAGGACCTGTAATGCACGGAGGCACTCATATTCTATGGAGAGAAGACGGTGAGCGCAACGGGACCCGTTGCCGCTTAGCAGACAAAACTGATGAGGTGCAGCGTTCGCCAAGAATTGGGTCCGCGCATACGAGGCAAGGGAGGCCGGCGACAAGGAGAAAACAATGAAGCTCCTGCGAGAATTGACGACGGGCTTCGTCGGCGTGACCGACACGCCCAACTTCGACTTCATCCCCGAGCTGGTTGAGTTGTACCCAGAGGCGAAGGTGGTGCTCGTCACGCGGGACCCGGCTAGATGGTGGACGAGCATCGGTGGCAATCTAAAGTACGCATTTCCGTGGTACCTCCCGATCCTCACGGCTCCGATGCCTGGGCTGCGGTGGTTCCCAAGCATTGCTGCGCACTGGCAGAGGATCGCTTTGAGGGAGATGGGGAAAGCCCGCGGACCAGGCACTCCCCTGAGTCCAGGTAAATTCCGCTCTCTACCCAAGTAGATGATTCGGTCGGAGCTAATGATTTTGATGGATTAGATCTCATTGAAGTCCACAATGAAATGGTTAAGCGAGTCGTCCCGCCCGAGCGACTTTTGATTATGAACCTTAACGAGGGATGGCAGCCGTTATGCAAGTTCTTGGACAAGCCGGTTCCGATAGAGCCTTTTCCACGACTGAACGACGCTGAGGAAGCTGAGAAGGTTGCCAAGGGCATTTTTGCCAGGTGCATATTGGTATGGCTGGGGATCATTGGCGCGACAGTAGTTGGCACTCGCACGGCAGCGCGATTCTTGAAGTCACAGGATCTGGGCTTATGAAATCGGTCATTTCATAAACGTGTAGTCCCTGGTCTAGGAGGTACGTAATGAAACAGGCTTCTCAACCTGCATCTTCGAGCCTATTGTTCGCGACTCGCCCTGATAATGCTCCCTTATTCAGTCATAGTAAAGCCATCGTGAATTTTTTTTAAGATGTTGTCTGGATAAGAGAGAGAGTTGACTGACGCATACTGACTGGAAAATCAGCCTCAGCTATTGCAAATGCGTCGTCATACCAAGCAACCATCGCCGCACAAACATGTGTTGCAAGCGCCGAAATGGCTTTCAGCCCTAGGGTCAACGCTAAAACACCAACATGAAATAACACATGGCACACGTCACCAGCTTGAGAACCGATGGCGGGGGGCAATCAGGCAGAAGTATCCAGAAATAATATCTTCACCATTTACGGTCAATACTTGCGTGGCCCTAGCTCCAAAAGCCCCCTGTCGATGTGATTTCTTCACAGTGTGTTCGTTGGTTCCGCGTGGAGCCTTTCCTCGGCGTAAGCTGACTCCCCAGATGTTTCGTCTGCGTGGGTGATTTTGGCCAATTATCCGGCCCTCTGAACCTGAAGTCTTCAGGCTTAATCGAATTCATTCACACCCAGTTGACTTGCTCTTATTTGAACCGATACTGACGCCTTGACTTCGAGGACGACTTCTGAATGGGTTAGGTTTAGGTGTTCTTCAATGTTCAGCAACAGCCTCTCGGGACGAAGGTATTCTTGAGCGGACATGCGATTCAGCTCTAAACGGCGTTCAAGGGGGCGGTGTAACCGCATTCTAACATGCACTTGGCCTCACGGCCGCATCGCTAATCATTAGTCAAACGAGACGGCCATGTAGGTCGCCCACATTTCCGTCATTGTGATAAGACCGTGTTTTTCTTGCTGTTGAAGCGGCAATGTTTTTCGAAGACTACTGTTAGCCTCTTTCTATTCCTGGTCTGCGACATGCCTCGGCTAGCTATTTGGGCCTCTTCGAGGCTGTCCTGGCCATCTCGAACCACATGAAGAAGAAGCTGAAGAAGGCGCCTTAAACAAACAGAGTTTCGTATCTGGCGGCTTACCAACTTGGGGCTTGGGCAACGTGTTGACCGACTCGGGATAAACCTGAACTTACCCCCAAGTTTACCGTAATCCTTAATCAAATCAGTAGCTCTGGTAAACTCAATCGCGGTACGTAGCGGGCTTCGCAGGATAGTTTCTACCATTCCTAACGCATTAGACTTTTCTACGTGCTCGCTTATTGCGCTCATTCAATCATGCATACTGGCTGTTGAAACTTATTCGCGTTCCTTTGCGTATTATCTGAGCTTCAAGCTAGGGCGTAGTACCCTCAGCGCCTATTGCAGTATTAGCATAGACTTTACAGTATAGTCTTGTTATTTACGACGGTACGTTGGTTCCGTCTCTATCAAATCAGTCAAATTGACTAGTTCACATACGGTCTAAGAAGGACCGTAAGACACTGCTCCACCAAATTCGAAGGTCACGGAATTGGAGGCAGTATTGCCAGTGCTGACACGGGTCTAGAAGCATCATGCCAACTATATACGAATCTTTTGGAGCTGCGGTAGACCCGGATCACGTAGGATCTGGACGAAAAGTCCCTGGGGGTGCGGATGGGAACGTACATGTTTCGCTCCCTTCCAACAGTACCAGAAAGTACGAGCCTCCAAACTTTCTTCTCAAAACATCAGAGTCGAAATGGTTGTCGATCGCAGACGCTGCATTACACCAATATAGATCAAGACTCGATCAGAAGACTATGCGCCTTGCGCCTTGGGAGTCAAACATGAGAATGGAGTCCGAGGGTGATGTGGTGTGTGGATCGACCATCTATCTCAATAACCCAGTTCACATTGCTCTGCATGCGGCTCAGAATCACTCTCCAGCATGTGATATAAGGAGTGAGGTGACGCTGGGAACAACGTCTCGTGCTGATAAAGGCTACTTCCATCGCGACCACGCATATGCGATCCTGGAATATAAGAGGCTCGGAGCTGTCTCGAGACGCTGCGCTCGTGGTGAGTTCGAGAATGGAGTTCCCAAGGATCCAAAACAGTTCGCCTTGTGGATGTCGAGTGCCGAGCACAGGTTCGCGGAAGACCGACGGGGTGTAGAGAACACTCGGTTTTTGCTACAGCAATCAGTGCACTATCAACACAGATTTGGAGCTCGTTTTGTGGCGCTGTTCGACTGGAATGCTCTTGTTCTTTTGGTACTTCCACAGTGCCGAGGTGTTGGCCTTAACGACAAGGTTTCTTACGCATACATCACTGAGGTCACCGACAACAGGAAGTTCCGGCGAGCTCTGCTTGGGTTTCTTCTGTTTGCATATAGGAACAGCCTCGGTGAATCGTCCGGAGACCCATTAAAAGTACGGCCGGATTGCTTTCCTACATATGTGCAAGCGTACAAGCGACGCGTGGCGGAAGACGAGAAGTATAATAAATCTAAAAAACACGGTCCCCAAGGTCTGAGGAATAACAACACTTCTTATCTCGAAATTGAGCCACAGCAGTCGTTTGGGAGAGGGAGGACGAACAACCGACATGCGCCTGTCATAGAGAACAAGAACACCAAACTTTCCTCCGCAAAGAGCTATCAGAACTTACATGCTGCGGATGAGTACCAAAGACACGCAGCAGCCCTAGGTCTACATGCTAGGGCCCATTCCGAGGATCGAGGTAGATCCAGGCACCAGCATGCTGAAGGTCATAGCAATCTGGCCACGAGTGCGACGTACACAGCATCAAATTCGACTCATCCAAACACTACCGACCCGATTGCTACCCGCATCAACCTGCCCATCCGCAGCCGTGGCGAGACCAAAGGCCCCAGCAGAAGGATAAGAAAGCAACAAAGCTCAAATTTGGCAACAAAACATGGAGGCTCAGGTGCAACAGCCGTCAACACGCAGACTTGGGGTGCAGGTCACATAGCAGGACGACCACGTCAAGTCCCAGTCAACACCGCTGACGATGGTCAATTTGGTTCATACAGTGGGTCAGAATATAGTCACAGCAGGATAAACCATACACAAGGTGTTTCAGAGTATGTCGGTACATATACGCATCAAAACTATCCCGGTCCCTCAAATTACCAGAAATCACACTCCAACGGACAAAGCTCTAAAGACAAGGATAGTGGCAGCCATGACAAAGGAAAAAATGGGGGGAAGTTTCTTGGGATTTTCAAAATGAGGTAGAACTTCTTCAATAGGCATTGGCTTGGAACTTCGGTGTCCTGTTCTTCAAGTTTCTGTTTTCTCTTGCTTGCTCGACTTGGTTCTGTCGAGCTTCTTGTATTCATGTGCATGTAGCCATGTTTTAATTTCATATTTGGTACTTGTGATAGTGATGGTACCAAAGGTGATCCGCATCTGTTTGAAGACCATTCGAGAGGCACAATTTCATGGTTTGACGTATGTTATACCGTTACAAGATTATTCCTACTTGATGAGTTCCAGATCTGAACCTCCGGACCTGACACTATAAACAGTTTCCAACAACCTCTAGTCACCTGACTTACTGCATTCCAACAAATACAGAACACAGATCGATTGTCACACTAACATTTTCAACGACTGTGACATGGTTTTCACAAGTCGACAAAGAATTAAACCCTTCATGAGCTGTATACTGACGCTGTCTAAGAGATGATGCCCGAGGGCATACCGCTGCTACAAACCATACGAAACCAGATACCCAGTAGCCATGTAATAAAGAACAAGCTGCTCAAGTGGAGGATGCTGCCGCTGCCCACTTTAATCTCCTTCATCTTGGGTATTTGAATTTCAAGTCATGCCACTCCGGCCACCGTACATCCAGCTTGACGTTCTTCAGCTCCTCGATTCGCGCCTTCATGACTGAACCAAGCTTTCCAGGATTGTCGGCATCCCATACCTTCCGAAGATACTGGCCATTAAACTTGCGGCCTTCCTTATGTTCTTTTTCCTGGTCTTCATTGAAGCAGCATTGTGTGAAACCAGTCAAGAACGGGCGTTGCGTGTCGCCGTCCACAATCACGCTCCGTGAATTGAAGTTCTTGATTATGACCCCACGCATGTTTGCATTATGAGCCGCGTCCACTGCGAGCTGTACGACCTTTTCGCATTCTTTGGGATCGGTAGGGGCCCATATCGAGGTTGGCAGCTCGAAAAGGGAGTAACCAGGTATGTATTGCATCATGAGGCCTCGAATAATTAGAATGTTTTTCATGTTCGGCTTATTCGGCGTATCACCCGTAGAGTCCAACACTGTGACCGTGGCGTAAGGCCGGGGTATGGTCAAGCCTTGATCCTTGATGAGCCTGTTGTATGCTCTCAGCTCAGAGCAGAAGTATTCTAGGGTTGCGTACTCGAAGGCATTCTCGCATCTCGCCGGGCCGTGACCTGCGAAGTTCTTGGAGCACAAGTAAAACACGGCCGTCGCTAGCGATCTACTGTCGTATTCCCGCCCGTCAAGGCGTTCTTTCCAAAATCTTATCGCTTCTCCCGAACGTACGAACGACTGGAATGAAGCCTCGGCGGCTGGTGTATGGGGAATATCTTTGTTCTCCATTCGGCGAATTGTCTTGCTGAAGCGGCGATCGTAGATTTTGAGGACAGCTTCTTGTCGACGGCCCTTGGGTGCCTCGAAGCGGACAAGTAACACTGGCATACTGGTGTAATCAAACACCTTCACGACAGTTGCGGTGAAGACCATGCCAGGGGGTAAATCGAAGCCTGGCAAGGAACCCTGCGACTGAACTTCCAACTGAATCGAACTGCCTACTTCATACGGGAAGGGGGTGGGCTCTTGCGACCTGTCCAAAAGCTATGAGTGATTGCAAAACCCTCGTTTTTACCAAGCATGCGAAGCAAACTTACTCGTGGCGTCCTGAGCCGCTGGGTGATTGGACATCTTGCGAAGACATGACGTCCGATCCGAAGGATCCAAAAACAAAAAAAAAAGAAGAAAAAAAAAAAGAAAAGCGACGTAAAGGAGCGTTTCAAGTGATATGCGTGTGAATTTAGTACTGGATGGAAGCACAGAGCTCTGGACCATGAGAATTCAAAGGCTGCTGCAGACAGGTTTCTGTAAAAGAGATTGTTGATCAGATTACCTGGTCCCTGGAAGTGGCTGCCAGCTCCTCTTGTGTGCTCTAGGCAATCCAGGAATGCTCCTGCCCTGCACCACTGGTATGGGCTCGAGGGCTGACGATTGGAAGGAACAAGCTGCTGTCTTTCAGGCACATCAGAGCTCGCGTTGGAACAGTATCAGGCACGCCAAAGTTTGGCCCGGTGCAATTCAGGTCGTTCATGTTCGCTAAGAAACGGACTTTTCATCCATCCACTCCTTTTCACCGCTTCGATTTTGATGGCTGCGCCAGGTCAGGAGCTAATGCATAGGTCGGGACTGGGCTTGTGTTCCGGTTCGATAGTTGCTCATATATGATTACAACAAGACTTTTTGCAGCGTTGAGCTCCATGGAGTCACGACAGGCTTGAGTGAGACCGTAGGGCACTTGGGTTTCAACGAACTGAGGACGACAAAAGGCATGGGCAATATCGTTGTCGGATGACCGAGTGAAGGAACGAAAAGTATCTGCAAGGAATGGAAAAATGACACGGACGTTGCACGGTGTTTTCAAACTTCCTATATCTAGAACATCATCATTTTATTATCTAAGCTTTTCCCCTCAGCTGATGGTAGGGCTGAAGGCGAGACTTGTCCAACATGACTCACAAGTGCCTTCTTCGCCCGGCATTAAATTTCCAGAAAGGCACCTTTAAGACATGCGATAAAGGAAGTCCCCCACTTAATGAAGCTTTTCCTCGCCACCCTCTGTGACCGGCTTTGACGCAGTGGTAGCACCGACAGTCTTCTCTTCCGGCTCCCCGAGGCTCCCGCTTGTGCGGCGGCTGTCCTCCCCACGGCCGACGACCTCGTCCCTGTCGTCCTCGCTCCAGAAGTTCTTCTTTCCCTTGGCCAGGCGCCTCATCCAGGGCGGCAGCACGCCACCGGGGATCTTGTACGTCCACGGCTCCTTCTCGTCCTTGTTCGGTGGGACGATGCGCCCGCCGCTGACCTTCTCCAACACCCAGACCGTGGTGTTCAGCACGATGTACGTGCAGACGCCGGCGATAAGGCCGTCGGCGATGGAGTAGGTGAAAGGCATGAGAGCGATGGTGACGAAGGCGGGGATGCTGTCGCCAGGATACCGCCAGTTGATCTCCGTGACGGACGAAGCCATCATCGAGCCAACGAGGACCAGGACGCAGCCTGTTGCCCAAGGGGGAATAGAGGCGAAGATAGGGGCGAAGAAGATAGAGATGAAGAAGCAAATGCCCGTCACCATAGCTGTCAGACCGGTCTTGCCACCTTCTCCGATTCCAGCACCTGATTCCACGAAGGCGGTCACGGGTGGTGTGCCGAGAAGGGCGCCGATAGAGATAGCGACAGAGTCAACCATGTATGCGATAGTGGAGCCCTCGAAATCCTGGGTAACGGGGTCAATCAGGTCGGCGTACTGTGCCATAGAATACAAAGTACCGGTGCAGTCGAGGATGTCGACGTAGAGGAATGTGATGAGTGCCAGTCCGAACTGGCCACCGTATTGTCCGATGCTCCACTCCTGCACATTCAGGACCTTGGAGATTTGGTGGAAGTCCACGACCTTCTTGAAGAAGTCAAAGTTGTCGTTTCCAACATCCGTGTAAGGGAAGTAAGTAATCGGTGTGGTACGCGGCCAGGAGATGATGGATACCAGGATGATGCCGTACAGGATTGCACCCTTGACGCGGTAGATCAACAACAGGCTGGTCAGGATACCGCCACAGAAGATGCCGACCCACATCATGGGAGATCTCATCTTCTCGCTGCCAGGACACAGTCCTGTGTCTGGGTCACGGAAGCCGTCCGCGCAGCCGGCAAGCTCGGTAGGGGTGGAAGTTGCGCCGACAATGAGGCCGATACCCTCGGAGTACGTCAGACCGATGAGGGTGAGGAACAGACCGATACCGACAGACGTAGCCAGCTTGATGGAGCGGGGAATGGCTCTCGCGAGCCACTGACGCATGCCGAAGAGTGCCAGGGCGAAGAAGATCCAGCCCTCAACGAAAATGGCTGTTACAGCGACCTGATATGGGACGGTGCCGGTGCCGTGGAATCCAACAACGGTGTAGGCAAAGTAGGCATTCAGACCCATCCCGGGAGCAAGACCAACGGGCCTGCCCGATGTTAGACGCTGTGACTGTGTACAAAGTTTGGATGTTGTGACTCACAAGTTGGCGAATAATCCCATGGCGAAAGAAGCCAAGCAAGAGATGGCGGCCGTGGCGGTGATCAGGTCACGCTTGATCTCGTTGGTGCACAGGGCGTACTCGGTGTTGGTCTCACATATCGGATCGTCAGCACCGCCGTTGCAGATGCATGTGCCTCCGGTATCCGCGACGATGCTTGAGTTGACGGCGATAATATACGCCATAGCGAAGAAGGTCGCCAGCCCGGCGCGAATCTCTGTGAGGAAGTTGGACCCGCGTCGAGTCTTCTTGTGGCCGCTGCCATCGAGCCGGAACCAGCGCCCGACGGCGCTCTTCGCGACCTTCTCGTTGATGCTATGAGCCCACGCCATATTGACCGGTTGTTGTTGATGAAGAACCAGATAAAGTTGCTCACGCGAGCAATTCCTGTCAAATTTTCAAATGCCGGTCGCGGTCTGTGGGACAGTGGCGGCTCCTGTGGAGTAGTGGCGTGTCGAACGAATCGCCAAGGCGCACGATTCTGCGTCGAGTGTTCCTTCCGACGGGACGACACTGATGGCCAGCAAACAGAAGGAGGCTGTCACGAATTATACCAAACTGCCTGAGGTATTCCCAGCTGAACAAAAGGTTCGGCACCCCTCGAGATTTTGTATTTCGCCGAGACCCTACAAGCCGGTTGACGGTTGACTTCCCAATCAGTTCCGGCTCCAATGAGCCTCGAGCTTGGCATTCAACGCCATGTCCGACCCTTATCTTCTTTGTTCAGCGTATCGATGCCAGTCCAGGATTGACACGCTTATTTAGTAACGACCGTCGAAGGACTTGTTTCTCAGAGGGGGTTAGCGACCGCTTATCTGTCTTGGCGAAGTGGGTGCTGCCAGGACTAGAGTTTTTCGGATTGCCCTGATTACGCCGAGGGCCTGGATCCTTCCGGGCTGTTGGCATTGATAAGTGGCCGAACAAAGCTGCCATCCGTCGTATACCACACAATACGGCCGCTTCTCAGCTGCGTTGCTACCCTCCATCTCCAACAACGCACGAGACCTTGCCCTAGCACGCTCCGTCAGTTTGATCACCTCGGCCTAGCTGGCGGCAACCGCCGTGTTGCATACGCGCTCTCGTCCGTGACAGGCAACGGCCGTCGCTCAAGATAGGGCTAGGACGTTCCAGAAGCCTAGTAGAACAACCTTGGATCAAGCCCGTGCATGATTACCATTTGCCCGACCACTATGCCGATGTGTAAGCAGTCTTACACATTGCGACACCAGAACATCGCTGAGGCCGATAACAGCCTTGGGGGCGACATGCAGATCTGCAGTCTAATCCAGAAGGTCAGAAGAAGCTGGGCCAGGTAGGGGCGAGCAGTACGCCGGCTTCCGATCAGTTGGATCGACCTTGCGTCGGCCGGGACCCAACAGGACGGTCGGCATGCCGAAATACGCATCTGACTGCTGCTGGCCAAGGCGGCTGCAGCATACCGCCTCTCCCCCTTGGCGGACACGTGCAGGACTCGGTTCATCCCGAAAAACAGCCATGCAAACAATTCATGTACTGTAACACATTGTGATGTGTTTCCTGTGATGCCGGCTCCACCAGTGGCAGGCATTTCATTCGGCCACGGTACCGCCTGCAAACGACTCGTTATGAGGCCCGTGCGTGATCTTGAGGTGCCGGTTTGTATGGGGAGCCGACGGGGCCCGCAAGCACTTTGGCGGAACATCGCGGTCTGTGCGACGTGTCAACGGAATCGCGTCCGAGGCTGTCTTGCCTTACAGCTTCGTTCAACCTTGACATCTGAGTAGCGAGAGATATCTGGCACCTCGCATGTTTGGAACAGTTACGCCAAGAGACCTGCCAAGGTGCAACGACGTGTCTTTGACGGTGTGCCGGGCTCGGAAACTGAAACAATGGGGATGCATCAGACACTGGCTGGGAGGAACTCTTGACGAAGATCTGCCTGCCATGCAGTTTAAATAACCACGACACAATGTCAAGTCTTGCTTGTCCAGATCCGCCCTCCAGGACGTTCAGGCGATACAGCTGAGAAAAAACCAACAAGCAACCGCGGCCGTCACGTTCTTGAAGACAGCCAGCACACCTCAGACAGTATGAATCTGCCATATGCCGTTTTCGCGATTCTGGCCTTCGGCGTGCCGATATACGAGCGTTATGAGCGCACACATTATCCCGACGACCGGATTCCCTCAAAACTGAAGTGGACGGCTCAGATGGCACTGGGGAGCACCACGGCGGCCAACAGCCTCTGCAGGATCGTCTCGGTGTTGCGCCAGCGACGCAGTGCCGGTGCGAGCAGTCCGAACGCGAACGGAAAAGCAGTCTCGAGCGGCTCCGGCCATCACTGCTTAGTGCTGGGCGTGACCGTGGGGGGCATATCGACAGCGTATATGCAGGGTTCGTGGGACGAGAACGACTGGGCGTATGTCCAGGAGAGGTCCGAGAAGCTTCAGCTTTGGACCACCGGTGCCACGGGCGAGGAGTCGATGGGCGCGAGCGCTGGACAAGCAGGAGATGGCGAGAAGATGAGAAGTAAGCAGGATGAGATTTGAAAATGGGGATGTGCGTCTGACAAAGACAATCGCTTCCCCAGCACCAAAGTGTTGAGAAGCAAGGAAGGGCTAAGAACTCGCCCCACAACCAAAATTGAGAAAGTAGATGTTCTCACAGTCGACTTGAAATATCAAACTTAATAAGACTCGGCCTAGGCTTCAAATGTGGGTTGCATGCATACAAGTGTATCCAGCCGCTAGCATCGCCTTTGCATCTGTCTACGGTAGGAGCTCCAGCACGATCCTGGGTACAGGGGGCCAGGGGGAGGGTACTCGAGACCAACGCCGACCCCAACCCTTGCCGCCGCTGCCCGGTCTGGAACAAACTGCCACCGACTGGTTGTTCAAAATTTGTAAGCTTCGTCTACCTCATCGAGCTCTTCCTCATTCAATGATCGCGTGGCTCACTCCCAATATTTTCCAGTGCTTGGGCGCGCCCCAACCCAACACAACACAAACATCACCTGTACGACCATAATGAAAGCGGCACGACAATTGATACCATTTCAATAATACACTTCCTCGTCCTTTCCTTTCTCCCACATCCCCCACAATGCCTCCACGGTTACCTTCCCAATCGCTGCAAGCCTGCTGTGCAGAGCTTTCAAGCTTCTCCGGCAGCAGCTCCAGTAGCTCAATAGCCGTTGGCTCGCCATCACCACTTGAGCGCGCACTCCTCTCCTCCCAATTCCTGTCCCTTCCATCATCATGCAGATCATTCTCGTCCAGCACAAGTCGCCAAAGGCGGAACGCGCCAATCTTGAAACAGCGGATGCAAGCCTGGTTCAAGAAGCAGGGCAAGGACCTGAAGGTCCACAAACCTGGTCAGACAACCTATCTTCCAAACCGCGCAGACAAGCTACGGCCGTTTCCATCCAATCCCGCCTTCATCAGCCAGCCCGTGCTTTCCGAGGAGGCGCGCGAGTTGATCTGGAATAAGGTCATGGTGAAGTGGGAAGGCGTCAAGGCCGTTTCGGCCGAGCTGGGCGTTGACCAGAGGAGGGTGGCCGCTGTAGTGAGGATGAAGGAAGTGGAGAAGGACTGGGAAGCAAAGGTATGTCGCACATCAAGATTCTTGAATCCGCACCCCCTCGCCGTTTCTGTGATGATACACAAAAAAATTCGATTAGTCTTGAAGACAGCTCATAAAACACATGGTTACAAAAAAGCTTTGCGAGCCTCTCTGATAGAAACACAACATCCTCTTGTCCTGGACACCAATAAGCAATTCAGCGGTGCAGTGGCTAACATTGTGATGAACCACAGGGCTTGAAACTAGCAAAACCGTACGCCAAAGCGGTCCTCGAGATGGTACCCACGCACGGCTACCCGGAGGACAAGCCAATACAGGCCCTCGAGCCGATCAATGAGATCCACGTGCACGGCTACACAATGCAACAGCTCTTCGTGCCGACGTCTGAATCGCGACACTTCACCCGTGAGGACGCAGCAAAGGCCTTCCACCACACCATGCTGTCACCCGACAAGCGTGTGCCACACCCCGAGCTTGTTGAAATGGAGAGGAGGGTGAAGGACGGCATGAAGGAGAAGGAGAGCTGGGATGTGTTCAAGAAGGAGGCCAAGAAGTCCGAGGACGACAGGGACATGAAGATCCTCCAAGCGGCGGAGAAAGATCAGAAGAACACCACGACGGTCACAACCGGGCGATTCGACTTCCGTATCAAGTCCATCAGCGCTGATGACGTAGGCAAGGATGGCCGGGCGAGAGGTGGTGTTGGTTGGAGGTACGGTATTCCGTTCGAGGACCGGAAGAAGAACCAGGTCAAGATCCCTACCAAGATCGACTAGGTGTATCAGGTCTCGACGGGAGCAACATTTGTACGATGTACTACTAAATGTCACGGACGCTGTACGTAGCAGGAGATACCTGCATGTTGAACGCGTTGGCATGATTTTGTATACTACGGACTGTCTACGACGCATCCGAACTCCATCGCCATGCGGGCTCTATTCCCGAAACTCAGACCATTCCAAACATACGGCCGTGTCTTCTGGAGCCACCGTGACCGATTTGCCATGTACGCGTCAACCTATGCCAATAACTTCCGGTGCTCCTCCCAATGAACAGGCTGTTGGCCCCCATCAGCCTCAACAACCAAGTTCCTCCTGATTCCCTCAATCTCCTCATCGGAAAGCCCACACCGATCCCTAACAAACTTCTCCACGCCCCCGTACTCCCGCCGTATCAGCGCCAGCGTGCCCAGCATAGAGCCGGGCCGCGACGCAACCATGCGCTCGGCGGCGGCCCTGTCGCCTTGGAGCGGGCCGGAGCGCGTCAGGTTCCCGACGAATTCCTCGCGCCGCTCGCCCAGCCCCAGGTCCGTCAGCGAGTACTCGTGGGCGACGGCGTCGTCCGGCACGCCGCACAGCGACAGCACCAGCGCGCACAGCACGCCCGTCCGGTCCTTCCCCGCCGTGCAGTGCGCCAGGATCGGCGTCGGGGCCTGGGCCGGCGAGGCGAGGTGCCGCAGCACCGCTGCGAAGGGCTGTGCGCCCTTCGGGTCCGTGGCGCCTTTTAGAATGAGGCCGTAAGCTTGGACGAAGCCCTGGGTGGTGGTGTTAGCCTTGTTTTGTGTGTCATGGCTGGCTTGGGGCGTCGTGTGTCGAGGGCTGGCTGGCGGAGTCCAGAGTCACAAGTGAAGCTTAGGGTGGCAGATTGTGCAGGAAATGGCTAGAGGGCGGGAAAGTGCTGTTGGGGCATTGACAGAGCTAGAGCTTGAAGTAATTGAGTGTGACAGCCTCTACGCGGCAAAGGTGGTAAGGCCATGTGAGACCTTCCAGGACGGTGGGTCGCATGGTGTGACATCTCGCAGCACCGTAAAATAGCCTCATCCCGAATCGGGTATATCATACCTGATGATATACCCGCCTCGCAGGAGCCATGATGGCCCAGAAAGGAAATGGGGCAAGAAAGGCAAAAGGAAATCAAAATGCAACTTCATCCCTCGCCCAACTCACCTCGCTCCCCTCGCTCGAGTAGTGCGCAAACCGTGTTGCAATAGCCTCGGGGCTGTAGTCCTCCTGCAAGAACACGGGCACAAACACCCTCTTGGAGCCCTCCCACTCCCTCGCCTGCCGGCCGTCGGTTATGGCATCGCGGTCGAGCTCGGCTTGGGACCGCAGGTCGAAGACGTGCGTGATGCCCAGGGTGTCGCGCAAGATGGCGATGCCCTCGTCCGTCACCTTCGAGGGCTCGCTGGAGCGGAAGAGGACGCCGCGGCGAACGATCTTTTGCTTGTTTTCATTTCCAACATCGCTGTCTGTGGCATTGGTGGCCACCGGATAGCCTCCACAATCGCGAAAGTTGCGCAGGCCTGGGATGTCCACGAAGGGAGGTGTTGGGAGTGACGTGGTTGCGGGCATCTCTCCCCTCTTGGTGAGCTGGACGTGCTGTCTTGGTGTGTATTGTACTAGTATCGGAGACGAGCAGGTTTTGCGCCCTGAGATGCAAGTCTGGGCATAATTGGGCAAAAGTGGCTGTGGACAGAAGGATCGGGGTGCAGTAGGTGCAGGTAAGAAGCTGTGGGTGAGAGTGAGCGAATTCCAAGGTTGAGGGGCAACGCAGGCACATCAAATAGCTAGGCGATTAAAGGAGGTGTGTAAGAAAGGAGCAAGTCGACTCCGGACACGGTGACTTGCAGTCACTACTGATAAATCTGGCAGGTGCAAGACGTGTTGTTGTCACCCAGATCCGCGGAACAGATATTGTTGTTGGACTGAGCTCCGGCCGGGCGCGCACGGCGGAGCAGAGCGGACCACCCTGGTTTTCCGGAGCGGTCTCGGCTACCTCGGGGGTTTTAGAGGCCCCGCTGACGGATCGGAGCCGAGGCTCATTTTAGACACCCGTGACGGCCGCAACAAAGCCACTGTGTAATTCTAACCAGCGATTCAAATAGGTATTCATCTTGAATGATGCCACACTTTGTTCAAATTACACTTCACTTCGATCTGGGCCGGGTGAGATCACAGTACGGGACGCAGAACGTGCCCATTGCTACCTACACTCAGAAGACTAGTACAGACGGCCATCATTCTACTTTCTGGGAATTTATTCCAAGAACTGGTGTGTCTTGGATCGCTGGTCACTTCTTTCTGTCATCAATAGCACGATTCCTTCGTGTGAGTCAATATTGGAAGACTCTCGACCCGCATGCCGCATTGGGCAACATTCGAGTGATTGGGCACTCTAGGCTGGCACTTTTGGTCACCCGAACTCATTTGAGACAAAGCCACTAGTCACAACATGAAGTGAAATGAATGAGCACGGGGAGACGACTGATTTTATTCCCAGCTGTTCACGGAAAGCTACCCAAGTCCTCTCTGACTGAAACTATGTCGTCCAGCCCAATGCTGTCATGCTGATCGATGATATGCCTTCTCAGGTTGCTCAGCCTTGTAGTCCCTTTGCCCCGTCCTAGTGAATGCTTGCAGTACGGGTACGGACAGAACCTTATGGTTCGCGGGATGAACCCAGGGTGCTTGTCTTTGCAGTGTTTTGTGATGTCCTTGCAATATTGTCCACACGAAGGAACTGGGCATTTGCCAGGTTCTTCATGTGTCTTGAGGTGATACCTGGGAACACCATGTCAGTGGAATGAATCAAGGGGGACTGCGAGAGTTGGCTAATATACTTCAACTTTCTGTTGGTGGCAAAGGCCTTGGGGCAGTGTAGGCATTGATGCGTGCCGTTTGCTGCATTCGCTGTAGAGATGGAACTTGTGGCCTCGACTGTGTCATGCCTGACAGTGCCCTGGCCCGTGATATTATTTGAGTTGATTTGCGTTGATTGTAATGACTGGTTGGTAGCTGAGTACTCCTCAGCAAATTGGGTTGAATTTGGCCAAGCATTGTCTGCTTGCACTCCACCATCCTGACCAGCAGGTATAGTAACACTTGACGATGAAGCCCCGGCATCTTGCTGCAGGGGCCCTGGATTCCCAACTTGTGTCCAGGCCGGAACGACGAACCCAAAAGGTGGTTGTGTTTGGTTTTGTTCTGCTTGGTTTTGTTCTGTTTGGTTTTGTTGTGTTTGAAGTCGATATTGGGGCTCGTTTAATCCTGTCTGGTCTTGACTAGAGATTGAGAATCCCTAGTAGGGGAATGTGCTTGGAGTGTATCTCTGCTGGAAAGATGGAGTGAAAGTAAGGACACTGGCCAAAAGAGAGAATGAGAAGAACGAAAGACAGTCGGCGGGAGAGTAAACGAGTGACACGATTGCGCCTCCAGGGCCGACCGTGAAAGAGCAAAGGAAGGAAAGAAAGATTGCAAAACGGGGGGAGCTGCCATTACCAGTGTTTATACCCAGTGACCTCAGATCTATTCGTCTTCCGCGTATAAGTCAAGCTTTACTAGCTCAATCTCTGGTCGGTTGACGCCCATTGGCCGTTGCCGATGACAGGACTCAAAATCATGCAGGTGATTGAATCCAGCCACTCACAAGGCTGGCAGAGGTGCATATCTGCTTGAGGCCCACGAATTGTTCATTTTTCATCGGGAAATGTTCTGGACGGCAAGTATCGAGCGCCTGTGAAGTCCAATCATAACCATGCTTGGTCAAGGGATGCACCGACCAAGAGATGTCTGGATAGAAAGGAGCACGGCAGTGTGTTACCGCTCCCCCAGGGTGGACATGCTAGGAAGTGTCGTTAATGAGTATAAGAAGCCTGGACGATCATCTACCATCTGACTTCGGAATCTTTTGATCATCAAGCAAAAAGTCAACTTCAACTTATTTTTACCCAGTCCAAGCACTGCGCTATCTTCCCACCAAAATGGCCTCCCTATTCTGTTGTGGCTCCATCAAGCCCTACCGTCCCCAGGCGCTCTCCCACGAGTCCAAGTTCATCCAATTCATGAGATGGGCGAACTCCACCACGGGCACCACTTCGTCCGCAGGCAGTGTGGACCTCGTTGAAACGGCGCCCGATTTCGTCGTCCAGCTCGTCCGTCAGGTCAACTTCGGTCCGCTGGAGAGCAAGCGGTACTTCGCCCCCACCGAGGGCGACAAGTTCGTCGAAGTGTCGGAGAACGACCTCGTCCAGGCCAACTTCCAGAAGTTGAACTCGTGCGTAGACTCCCTCCACTAAGAGGCTCAAGATCGACAAGATACTAATCCTTGCTTGTGGTGCAACCAGTTATAAGAATTACAAATGTGACGACCACAACAAGTTCTTCGAGCTTAACTTGTACCAGAAAGACCCTGTCAACAAGCATCATTGGCGAGCGAATCTTGCTCGGCCAGCCAGCGATATTGACCTGTGAAGAGTTGAAGGGGTTTTGGATGATATCTCAAGAGATGGAAGGTGATTGGTTGGATTCAAAAATAGGTAGCTCGGGTATGGCAGACGGATGGGCTTCAGGACTTCAACATCCTGTGGACCATCACAATGCCGACCAATAAGTCAGACTGTTGTTGTTCATTTTGACAAAGTTTTTGAATGAAGTCTTGCGATTCCCCAGTATGAAAAATCATATTGTGAACCGTGATGCTGTCTGTCGCTCATCGGTCCCTGAGTTGATATCCAATGGGAGTAGACTTGGGATCAAGCGGCCGAGGGTTGGGTGGTCGCAGTGGCTTGGGTGAAGGGTTAGCTCCCAACCTGCTCAACCTGGTAGGGATCTACACCATTGGGTGTACAGCCAGATGCACACAATATTGTGCTCCTCAATTCCGATCGATTGGTTGGCCAATGCAACAACCTCGGCTCGCCTGCAAACACTCACTCGAGGTTGCTCCGATACACTCTGTTTCGGCCGTAAAAGAGAAGCACCTCAGCCGACCGGAGCTTCCGGCCACAGAACGGTGGGCCCCCTGTGCCCCGTCTAGGGCCCCCCGGATCTCTTCCCCATATCACCTGCAGCAGCAGATCGTCACCACTCGGGATGCCCTAGCCTGTCAGCCGACGTACCCCTGGCGACATGGGACGAGGGGCTTTAGGCTCCACATCTAAAGCCGCCGAAAACGACATCACTCTTGCTTTTTCCCTCCTGCCTGCCTACTTGCTGACAGCAGCTGCCCACTAGGTCGACAAACGATGGAGACCGGCAAAGCAGGGTACAAGCCAATCAGTCATGCCACGCCTTCACTTGCCGATCATGTTCGTGTGCGAGGATTAGTTTCGCTGCTTGTTTCTCCCAAGGCTGCGGCAGCGCTGATCGCCGTTACGCCCTGAGGGGCCTGTTCCATCTTCCACGCTCGTGCGTACTGTAGGACTTCACGGCGTCACGAAATGCCTCGCCCCAGGCTCTTCGAGGGGTTGACAGGCGCATCCACGGGCTGATAAGGCTCGCGCCCTTGTTGTGTTCCATTCGGCCCTGTGTATACTTATATTTCCCCCGTTAGCGCGTCGTTGCCTTACGGTAGCTCGTGCGTTGTGCGGCGGCCCCCATTGCCAGGCAGCTAGCATCCTCCCGGGGGTATCCTGTGCCCCCCTCACCCAGCCTGCCTGGGCGTACACACAGGCCAAACGAAACAGAACAGAATCGATGCACAATGGGGCGCGCCGCTGAGCTTGGCCACCCTGCCCCCTTCCCCCTTGATTCAACCTGGCCTGCTGTGCCTCGGGGCCGCAAAAGCTGCCTGGCGTTGCTGGCCCGGAGACACAGGCGTGAGCGCACACCGCCGTTCGATCGGTCTGTCTGTCTGTCTGTCTGGTCCTGCTGGTGCCACTTGTCCTCGAGGATAGCTTGACTCAACCCCGAGCCAGCTTGTAGCGTAGGGAGTCGGCTGCGATCTCAGGGTGCGGAGGCCTCGTAGGACGATCGAGTGCGCGTTGAGGCCCAATTGCGCACCCTGCAACGTAAGCGTTTGATTGAGGGCACCCCGCCAGCTCTTTGCGCCAGAGTTGCAACACCAGGTGTTGTAAAGTTGGTGATATCGCAGTCCATGTCGTGGCCGATGACGAAAGCGGTGCAGATCAGCTGTCTGCTTCTCACAGGGTTCTGGGTCGTCCGCGGGGTAGTTGTAGTCAGGTCTTAGTAGTAAGCCATCGTCGTGGTGGGGATAGCACCTTGATTCACCAATTTAGAAAGAATGGGAACCGAAGCCTTGTTATAGACAGCAAAACTGCCCTGGAACTTATGCTACATACATTGGGAACTTCTGTCGATCTTCGATCCCATGCCATGTGGGTGTGCACAAATGTGCATGATACAGAAGGCTGCATGTTCTTGGACATGGAGATAGAGGGGTCAAATCTACGTGCCTGCATGTGGTAAGCTTGTGGAGGGGCGAATCAACAACTTCATCTGAGAAGCAGCCGCACGTGGAGGAAGTCGTGAAACATCCTGAGAGGTTTCAGGGAGGATTCGGGCGAATCCAAGCAAGGGGCATCGAAATTGCAGATTGTTTGGCCCAGATGGCTAAACAATGGACGGGTCGCAGTCACGGGCCCGGAACCTGTTGGTAAAAGAGTTTATTCAAACGACTACCATAAAAGACCCCCAGGAATCCAGATTCCCTCAGAACTCGTGCTATTAATTGAAAACAAGAATCCAACGCCTGTAAATGGGTATCAATTTGTGTCCGACTCCCAACGCCATGCTCTTTCTTTTCCCATCGGCAGGAAGCCGGTTGTAGATGATGTCGCGGAGGTTGGGCGAGGAGAGTCGGATGGAAGGATGCCGTGCCGAGGAAGGAGATGATTGCTCACGGGATGTGAACACCAGCAGCCTGCAATTCATGTCAGCTCGAGTCCACGCCGTCACTGCTCGTAGACGGGCCGAGCTCACCATCCTAGGAAGGCCATCGCGTTTTCCAAGGGACTCTCCCTATGAGCCTCCATGCTGCAGAAGAGAGATCCACCAGCTGTCGTCTGATGAAAGACGAGATATAACCGAAGAGAGGAAACCAAAGACATTGTTCGAAGAAGCAGGCATTCGACCACTCGCTCCGCAGGGTTTGTTGATCAAGCGTCACAACTAGGTGACTCGAACCTTTCGCGAGCGGTACTCGATGCGGCAGTACTGGTCGCGGGCGCGTCCACACTCAAGGCAGTGGGTATCGTAGGTCCAGTCCAAGGGCCCAAAGTGGCACCACGCGCAGAACCACTTCTTCTCCTGGACGTACTTGGACCGGTGAGATGAGCTGCCACCGGCGCCGTTGCCGAGATAGACATCGTTCTTGCCTGAGGAGCTGCTGGCGTGGGAGCGGCGCGAGGACGAGTGGGATGAGTGGGAAGGCATGATGCGCGAGTATGGCTGGATCGAATCTGAGGAGCTTTCGAACGGTGACGCGGAGGTGGTTGAATGGCTTGTGGGAACTTGAAGTAACCTTAAGAAGAGATCTGTTCAGACGGTGAGTGCGATCGATGTGTTGCAGACCAACCTTATAAACGAGGACGGATGTCTGTCCAGTTTTATGTCTGGCATGGCGGCAGTGATGCGATCGCAATCCTAATTGTTGAGAAAGCCCTGTTGAGTCAATAGGGACGATAGGGCGAAAGCAGTGGCCCTGGGGAGCCCAGGACAAGCATGGCTTAGCAAAACAGGGACCGGTGTCATGTTTGGATGTAGAGTAACAATAAATCAGGGCTGCAAAGACAGTGGTCCATATTCCCCAGCAAGGACTCCATAGGCTCATCTGGCCGAGGCACGGCAACATTGCCACAATTCAAGGACTGAGTGGTTGTTATTCAAACTCAGACAACTCTGTTTGAAGGCGATAAGTACCAGAGACTCTGACTAGCGCCACCAGAACCGGTGGGACAGCGGGCATTGGACGAGACGAATTCAAGCCCGCCGTTCGCCTTAGGGCGCCAGAGTGAGGGCTGGATAGCACGCGTCACCATGTGCTTCACCAGAACTCAACAGTAGTTGGCGACGACGAGAGCCGAGGCGAAAGGGGGGTTCGAGAGGGTACATGATCCTAGGCGACTGACGAAGGGATCCGCGTGAAAGGGAGGCCCACTAATGCAGGTACCATCAACGGTCGCCACTGTTGACATTGGCGAAGGAGAGACAGCAATTGGAATAGCAGGTTCTCGGGACATGATTGTCAGGTCACGGGTAGCTGTGGTCGGTCAGGCGTCGGTCGGGATGAGGGACTCGCCCTTAGGGTGGGCCATCCTGTGTGAAGGGTGCAAGCGTCCATCGTAGCTAGCTGAGAGCTTCTCGTCCACTCAAGGACCAGTATCGTCTTGGCGTTGAAGAAGGGCCGTGACATAGTCGGCCCAAGCCCATGATACCCACCCAACTAGGTGACTGAGGCAGTGGGCTCGGAGCGGTGTCTGCTCCCTCGTGACTGAACCGATATGGGAGAGCTCGATATTCGCCACCTCAGCACGGGTTGCTGTTTCGGAAGGTAGACGTCACTGTCAAGCATGTGAGTCAGTTGAGCAGATCGATTTTTGCCGGCTGGACCGCAGTAATAAGGCGAGAAACCAAGAAAATACAACGAGGGGGAAAGGGGGCCTAGTGCTGAGAGGAAATGGAAAAAGAACGGAGGTTTCAGCTGAAACCTTCATGTAAGCACGCCGGCCCGGGGTTTTTATCAGCTGGTCCCGTGATAAACATTGACAGGCTGGGAGAGAATTCCGAGTATGATTTTTTTTTGACATCAGAGACGACGGGAAAAGAGCAACCAGCTTGTTGCTTGGCTGATTCGTTGTGATCTGGTCCGTGGCCACGGCCCACAACGGTCCTTTCTACGGCATGCGGTCCGCGAACTACACGGTAAGGCAACCAGCCGCAGCACCGTTCGAGAATGTCTGGAGGACAAGGCTCTTCTGGATTGCGCAACTTGCAATTCTGGAGGCAGTCGCCTCATTGCACTCATTCAGTCAACCCCTGTTCTCAACCGGGTGAGATTCGTCCGTGTTAGCACAGCTCGAGTGCTGCGCGCGATGTGATGTGCGAAATCGCGCAGTCCCAATCCTTCGCCACTCTTTCCATCCTGTTGCACCCTTTCCGCGGCAGGTTTCAGGGCGACCATTTCATGAAGGTGACAGGGCGGTGCTGATCGTATTTAACGGGCAACAGCAAGCCAAATGCCTCGGCGTTGGACCCGATGCAATGGGCACTGCTGCAGGCGAGGCTGCACCGCATCGATTTCTGCACAATTCGCGCCGCGCAAAGCCTCAAAATAAGGTTTGCTCCCTCCCAGGCCGAAACACACCCGCATGTCATCGCAGTCTCGTGAGTTGTCGGCTGATCCGCTTCGCTTGCCTCCACCATATCAATCTTCACCACCGCTGAGCCTCCCGACAACACTTGAAGTCGAAAGGCCCACCTGAAGACGAGTCACACCGAGGTAAAACACTCCAACCAGTATGGAGCCTCACACCCACAACATGCAGCATGACAAACGGCCCGGAGCGAGACAACCTTGGGTCAGAACCATAACTGTGCCTAGAGCCACATGGAACTGCATGCCAACTTTTCCCCCCCGAGGCGGAAGAGGGCAGCTTTTCCAGCTGGTCTCGAGGCCGAAAATGCCTGAGTGAGCCATGAGATCGAATGCGTGGCTGTGTTGCTCCTGAGGCTTCAGTTCGAGCGCGTCGCCTCTCGTGCCTCCCAGTCGGCAATCGCAGCCGTGGGCGGATCGCCGATGCGTCGCCGATTGGCTTGTCGACCCCAGCAACCGGACAGCTGAGTTAATGACAAGGCGTGAAACGACGAGCAGTGTCTAGTCGGGAAGCCTGGCGTGCCTGGTTCTCAATTTTTTCACGGCATAGAATAAAGGTGTGCTGAGTTGGGCGCGGCCGAGGGAGGAACGGGCTCGTCAGCTCCAGTTTCCCCTCCTCTGGTCTAGCTCGGATAAACATCGGCCGCAGGTCCCCCGGCCCCGACTTCACGACACTCGGCCGCTTTCGAATTAACCTCAACTCAACGACCGACATCAATAACCCCCAGTCAAATACGTCTCTTTTTTGAATTCGAAATCATCACGTCTCAACGGCCTCTTGAAAAGACGCTTTGCTCTCAATCTACGAAGAGATGATACTCTATTCCCTAGCAGGAGCGACCTGCCAAAGGGCGCTCGAGCACTGCTTAGCCTCGAAACTAGGCAATCTGAGGTAGCATATGAGATCCTGTGTGACCTGCCTTCGTCGACATAGGAGGTGCAACATCACGCCACTACGAGGCCGTTGAGGATCGGACACCGCCCACAGAGGCAGTCGTGACAGACCCGTGTCCTGTCGGACGCAGGCGTGCGGCGGAGGTAGGAGAGGGGGCGAGCACGCATTGGGGGCCCCTCGCCTCCGAACTACTGGTCCTCTGGCCGCATATCGAAGACCGCCCGGCCACCATCCCACGGCCCTCCATTCCGGCCTTCATGCTCCACACCCATGCCAATCAGCCGCTGCTGAGGTCGCTGGCGTCACCGGCTTATGCGGTGTCCACTTTAATCTCAATAACTTGGCATCGGCTGTCCTGCCGTCGTGTCGACTCCCGCCATTCGCAAGGCTCTAGGTGGCACCCCTTACGTGTCTTCAGAGAGCGGTATCTGTCGATTTCGCAGGATATTGCGGGTATGCCCAGGCAACTCACAACCTGTCAGCCCAGGGGCCACCTTCCGACAGCCTGACGGAGGGCAAACGCGGGCGGCATGGGCATCTGGATGTGTATCATTCGGTGGAGCCGATGTGGTCGCATCCCTTTCGCTGGCAGCCTTAGAAATAGGGTTCACCACCCATCACCACCCTTCGGCGCGGAAAGCTTAACCTTCGAGGGCGGAACCAACGAAAACGCCTAAACAGACGATGCCACGGTCTTGAGCCCTGTCGCATCACTTATTCAGGGGTCGAAAATACGAGAAGGTGGTGGTACAGCTACGAAGGCTAGAAGATTGGGACTGTGTTGGCTCACTTCAACGATTGGGCGCGTCCACCGTTCAACAAGGACAATTGTGGAGTCTGTTCCCCGAACAGATTCTGACACTTCGTCAGGTCCAACGGTCGGTTCCAACAGCCGATTTCAGTCGTAACAACCCATCACATTTACTCAGCCTGCTGACTACACGCGTGCGGCCTGCTTCGTCGGCCGCGTCGAATTGCCTCCAATAGCGGACCGTCAATAAGCCCCTCTCTGGCTAGTCAAAATGCGCTGCGTACATGATTGGCAGCTTGCCGTCGGTCTGTGATCAAGATGACGCCGCTAGCCATTTCGCACACGGGGATAGGTCGCAGAACGGGCCGGGCCTGTGTGGGGGGACTGTTTCGCTTCACCAGAATGAGCAGAGCCTCATTCACGGCTCTCCTTCTGCCCCCCTCGCCCATGTAACCACTCGCTCTCTGCTCACCGACTTTTTTCTTCCCCGAGTCGGCAAGTTCTGACGCGAGTCACCATATCGTGTCGCAACGTATATGTCAATCAGCAGAACTCGTGCCCTCCATCAAACTGTCCCATTTTGGCCATGATAAGAGGCTTACATCGCGTCTATGGTAATGAGGAGCCTCGAGGTGGGTGGAATCCACATCTGAGTCCGATCCCCGCGTGTACTTTTATGATGCTCTTGCAGGAACTCACCCCGCTGTGCGACGTAGCCTGTGTAACCCCTCCTGCCTTTTATAGCATGATTGATTCAAGCATTGACACGTCGATGGTGCTTTAATAGGTCTGTCCCATGCAGATCTTATCTATCATTGCTGGTCCTGCCGTCCTCGACTATCGCAGAGCCGCATTACAGCCAACGTCCTGCGTCCTCAACTTTCATCCTCACTTGCAACCCACAATTTCATTCTCTCGCTCTCGCTACATCTCCTCGCTGCAATTAATAAGCATGATATTATGCGTAAACTAACACTTGTGTGACTGAACCAATCGATGGATTTGGATTGGTCAGGTTGCACTCCAGAGACCTCGGGGATCTTGTGTGACGTTACAAGTGCCCCACGGTCTTTGCTCTAGCACGCCCCTTTCTGCGGCACAGTGAGGATGACCTCAGGCGCTGGTAGGTTTGTAAACAGGCAGATTCTGGTCAGCACGCCTTCGCAGCCACGCTAAGCCTCGAAAAAGACCAGACCATCGCCTCTCCTACATGCCAAGTATAGGCGGCCATCACGCGCGATGCGGTGTGCACGCCACTACAACCATCCAGTGTGGCCCGGCAATTTGATAGCCAGAGATTCTTGTGCTGATCCTCGGCTGCGGGCCCTTGTTCACAGACCACTCTTCTAATTTGAGCTGCATGCGCTGGTGTCGCTTCGAGTGACGGCTATTCAAGATCTGATCATTCTTGCTAA